GGGGGGGGGGGGGAACTACCTTCCCCCCTCTATTCCCAATTTAATTATATTTATTTTATTCCATTCCATCACTTAATCAATTATTAACCATTCAACCTTTTAACCATTTTTTTTTTTTTTTTACCCTTTTGTATGACAAAATACACAACATTTTGAAAAAAAATCCCAGAGAAAACATGTTGAAAACATCCATTGATGTTATGTTAATTCGAAAATGTAAATATCGTGAAAAACGTGTACACAGTTTGTAATTTCGAAAAAATGGACAAACACATGAATTTATATTTTTAAGCATAAAAAAAAAGAAAAAAAAAAAAAAAAAATTTGTACAAATATTGGTTTGGGGGGAGAAAAAGGTTATGCACATTTGTGTGTGCATTTGGCTAGTTTTTTTTTTTTTTTTTTTGTCCTTGTCCTCATTTTGGCTAGCTCCCCACGCACACTAGTTACACATCACTGTATTTCGTTCAAGTAAAATATCCACCTTATACGCAACTACATAAACATTGACATATATTGAAATTAAATTATGAATGCCATTGTCTAGTATTTGTATAAGCATCCCTTGAGATGGTTTAAAATAATGGTCTATAACATTGAAACTTTTGAAAAAGCACTTTTTTGAATTTTTATGAATAATTAAGGTTTTATTTCGTATTTGTATTAAGGGGTAGGATAAATTTCTGAATTGGTAAGGTGAAATATCATTTTTGCCAAATTTCAGTGTAGTATAATCACTATCTGGTTCGTTGAAGTCGTTGTTTTCTTTAATCATTTCATTTAGGAGATAAATAAACTGAACATTATTTATGTTAAAGTTAAATAATTGGAAAAATTTATATAACAGATTTAAAGGAACTATGTCTTCAAACTTTATCTTTTTCATCTTATAAGAGGTATCATATGAGTTTATGAAGTATTCACATTCCTTTAGGTTATCCTGATCCTGATATGTATCATACGATTTATGTTCCTTTTCTATATATCCATAATTTTCACCACTGACAAGCTTATTGTCTGCTATGCTATACACACCTTCTTCCTTTTTGTCACTTGTGCATATCGCTTTGTTCAGAAATCCATTATTGTGTTGTAATATATTTAAGTAGGGAATAACCAAATGAGATGCATTTTTCGCGTTAATGGCATTTCTAATAGTATCTTCATTAAAATCGGATAATTCTATATTTTTCAAAATTTGATCAAAATCATGTTGTAAATTTTTTTTTTTATAATAATTATAATTCCTTTGAATGCATTTAAAACGGAGAAAAATATCATTTGTGGTATACGGTAGGAATATGTTGCAAAAGAGAAGGAGAAAAAATATGCTGCAGTTTTTGTATTGTTTATAATTGTTCAAAATGTAGTTCGTGTTTTTTAATATAGTTTCTAAGCATAAATTGATGAGGTCTTCTTTGTAATATTCTCGATACTTTAAAAAAAAAAAATCATCGTAATATATTTTTTCTTCTAATTTCTTGTTCAATATTTTATCCTTTAAATGGAACTTCTTCACTGAGCTGAATTGGTCAACAATATTTTTTAATTTTTCAAAATTATTTTTTTTCAGAGAATTTTCTACATAATTATTTTTATGTGTAATCTTAGCATCTGTTTTGTAATGATGCTTATTTTCTTTTCTATCTATATCTATGTTGTTGCCTGAGTATTTATCACTCTTCAATTTTTCTTCCTCCTTCCTGGTTGTTCTTCTCATTATAGTGGTACTAACACCGCTGCTATTGTTGGTAATTTGTGCCACCCTTCTTCCATCAGCAATGAATTTACTTCTCGTCACATCTGGCATTTCGTGGTTTGCTTTTCTCATCTGTTCATAATCATATATCATGGATATTATATACTCCACACTTGGTGTATTATTTTCATTATAAATATTGTTTACATAGTACATTTTTTTCTTCTTCATTTTGTACATAAGCAATTTAAGCTTTTCTACACAAATCATCTTTTCCTCTTCGTTCATGCTTTTGAAATTGTGTAACATATAGTTATAAACACTATTGAATTGTTGTTCCAAGGAATTGTTATCTTCTCGGAGCGCTTGCTTATTCAGTTGCTTGTTGTATTCTTCATTCTTCTCTTCCTCATTGGAAAATTCCTTTTTGTTTTCGCCAACCATGGATGATTCCAAAAGTAGTGACTGTTCATCACTCGATTTGAAACCATCAATCTGTGGTGCAATACTACTATCTTCTTCATTTAAAAATAACTTCAATTCTATATCATATAGAGAATAATCGAAGAAATGTAAATCTACATGAGAAAAAAGTAATATCATTATACCTGAAACTTTCAAATCGTGTATTTGTTTAATCAAAATATTTTTTATTATCAAAGTTAAATGAATTGAAAAATAAGAATAGTACGATAAATTGTACAAACTCTCCAATACATTGATGAGATAGCTATTGTCAACATTTTTAAAATTTGACAATACTTTACTTAATTCAAATTTGTAATTTTTAACATCAAAAAATAGGTATGCATTATGGGAACTTTTAAAATATTCATCTTCTTTTAAAATGTTTAACCCTTTCAAAAATATAGAACTCTTGTTGCATTTTTCTCCTTGGTTAATTTTCATCCCCAAATTGTCATTACAAATCGGATGAAACTCCTTTCCCGCGTGGATGTTTGTAGTTCCACCAAGGGTGCGATACCCATGCTGCACTTCCTCCCTACCAGAACTGCTAACATTGAGAGGGGTAATAATATGCGATGGATGAATTTTGGAGAATTTCCCTCTAATTGTTTCAAGGTTATGCATATTCGTATCGCCATCGAAGAGATGGAATAATGCCCTCTGTTCATTGGCAATAACGAGAAGAAGAAGCAAAATAAAATCTTCGTCTCTCAAATTTAATAAGCTTAAAATGTGTAAAAATTTACAGGCACATTTAAATGATATATCCTTGTATTTGTATGTGAATAAAAAATTAAAAATATCAAAAATTAAATCATCTGGGTTATGATTTTTATTAGTTTTTATATAATATTTTGATAAGGCTAAAAGTAGGTGTTGCAATGAAGTAACGTTTACACTATACATATATTTATATGTCACTGTTTTTATTTCTTCATATAGTTCTTTTGGAAATATATTTATTTTTGATAAACATGATATAGAAATGCAAAAAGAATTTATGTTCATATTTTTGAACATGATGAGCTTCTTTATGATTGCTCTTATTAGTTCATTTTCAAGTAATATAATATGCATTGTATTATATTTCTCTTCTTCTGCTGTCTCTTTATCTATATCGTGCCTACAGTGAGTATATAATCCAATTTGGTTACTTGTATTTGTTTCGCTTGGGGAAAGATATTTTTGGGTATCACTTGTAGAATCGCTTCTGTGGATAACATCTGATAACTTGTCTTCATCATGTCGATTTTTTCTAAACCTAGTTATCGCTTTTCCATTGTCCATGTTATTCGGGAGTGATAGAATGATCTTCTCTTCCCTTCCCTTCTTCTTGTCTATAAGATTGTTTAGACCATAGAGCAAACAAGATAAACCATACTCATTAATTTTATCAATTTTTTGAATAATTTCCTTAATGATGACTTTGTAAAAATGGATATCCAGATTTTTTACTTTTAATTTCCCCCATGAATATAGCAGAGCTACTAGCGAATGGATATTGGCCTCATGAACTTGATCAAAAAAATTCTTCTTGTCTAATGCAAAAAAGTTATTATTAAATAGTTGATACTTAGCCAGGTTATTACATATAGTTATGTTACTATTCAGGGAAATGTTTTTTTTCTTATATATAAAAATGTTTAATATCTTATTCAGTAGCAATAAATCATAATTGCTTCCATTATTCTTTAGATGGTTCACAAACACAATCATTAGATCCTTTTCACAATATTCATTTAAAAAAAAAAATAAAATTTTATTTAAATAATTCCCACTCTGTGTAAAGTTGTACTTGCTCAAAATCAGGAACAGGTATAAAATTTCTCTTTTTCTTACAGATATGTTATTATACTTCAAAGTGTAATCATTCAGCACTAGGGTTTCACAACGCCTCACACCTCGTTGGATCCTTTCTTCTTCATCATCAACTGTTTTATTAACAACCACTTTATTACATGATTCTTTAACTGTCATGTGAAATAATTCCTGATGAACTTGATGCATATATCTCCACAATTCCTTTTTCCTTAATAGACAATTCTCTGATACAGTGTTAGTTGGAGATAAGGAGCCGAGTGAACCCTTACTCCTCCTTCTACCCTTTAAGCTGATGCACGAATTCATTCCATTTTTTATGAATTTTTTCCCATGTGATGAAAGATCTTTGTCTTTTCTTACATGGAGAGAATTAAATTGTTCTTCATCGATTGAAGAAGTTAAATGAGATGACGTCTTTTTTCTTTCCCCTTCCTCTGCACAATTAATCTGAGAGAGCAATGTTGTATTTTTATTTATGATTTTCTTAGTTGAATCACCCGTTGTTGGCTTATAAAAGAGTTTCTTCTGAATATATAACTGTTTTAACTCATTTTCATATTTATTAAAAACACTTTGATAATTTAAAAAATTGAAAAAAATGCTCACAGGTATTTTTTTTTTTTTTTTTTTTTTTTCCTGTTCTGAACTGTACAGGTAAAAATTGTCCAAATATATTTGTTTCGCCTTTTCTACAACATTATCAGATCCGTAAATTTGGTAAAAAAGGTACAAGATAAATGAAATTTTTTTTTCATTTTTGTCACAATTTTTATAAGTGTAGGAGTAGGATACCCTTTCTTTGATTAACGGAAAACTAGTTGACTTTCTATAAACGAGCATAATTGTTTCATCTCTTCCCATGTATGCTATTTTTTTTTTAAAAAAATCCAAAAAAATAGATGAATAATTTAAATTGGTAAAAAATGGTATTAAGTAAAAGTGAAAATGTATAATAATATTATTTAAAAACTTAAGGAACTCATTTAAATATTTCTCATAAAACTTAGTCTCATCTGTTGAAATGTAACTGAAGTAATGAAAAAGAAACAATGGATTGTAAAAATAAAAATTCTTAAAATAAATATCCTTCATATATTTGTAATTCCTGTCGTCATAATTATTTACACATACGGATAAAAATGTGTATAAAATACATTCCTTCAGCATGTATGCACTAAATCCATTAGATGAGGGAATATTTTCACAATTCTGCTTATCTATAGCATGGTTATTATTTTGCAATTTTGTGGAATTCAGGAGGAAACTACTTTTGAGTTTATTGTTTTGCAACTCTTGTTTAATACTTGTGTCATCATCATTTATAACATTTCTATCCTTTATACAATGGTTTTTAATTTTTTCGTAATATTTTAAACATTTATATTGATCAGATTTTTCAAAAATTTCCTTGTACACCCCTAAATGGTTAGTCCCGTGGTTGTAAAAAAAATATTTAATTTCGTCCTCATAAATTTTGTCTCCATACATTTCATCCACATGCACTTCATCCGCATACATTTCATCATTTCTTCCCGTGTTACTTTCTTCCCTTTCATTATTCTTTTTTAATTTATAAGCATAACTCCACTTCTTCCTCTTGTCTTTCATCCCCTTGGACCCGTATCCTTCGTGTTTGATAGGGTCGCCTTTTCCCCCTGCAATTTTGTGTCTTGAATTGCCTGACTTGTTCAGGTGGGAAAACTCTTCTTCGCGCTTTTCAAGCGAGGGTGGGGGGGCCCCACTTCTAACTCGGTTAAGACATGCATAATCGATGCTACTAACTCGATTATGAAGTGAGTCATCTTCATTGCTGCTTCGATTATGAAGTGAGTCATCTTCATTGCTGCTTCGATTAAGAAGTGAGTCATCAGCACTATTAACCTGATTTCTGAATTTCACGACATCCCCATCAAAGCTGTTGTGGGAAGGGTCATCATGATTTCCATCCACACTGTTTATGCTTTCATTTACAAAATTGACGATATCAAAAATGTAAATGTTCAACGTAGGATCATGCTGGGAGATAATACCATGGGTATTCACAAAAAATTTTGAATCTAATATGTGCTGACATGTCAGCAGTAATTTGGTGTCTTTCTTCTTCCCTGCATGTCTGTTTTTTTTTTCAAAACTGTACAATTTCACTTTATTAATAAATGCCTCCAAGGCATTGAGCTTGAAGAATTCACAATTTTTAAAATGGAGACTTAATTTTAAGAGGATAAATAACTGATAAAGGTTTGCTTTGTTAATATGTTTATGAGCTGTGTTCACAAACTGATGAATGTCGGTAGAAAATATACAATTGGTTAATACCTTTTTAAAACTATGTTTTCTATTTCCTATAGAGAGGTATTTAAATTTGTTTTTTTTTAATTTTTCTATATCTCCTTTTAACAAAGTTAATATGTCTGCTTTTAAAAAATTACAATAATGTATATGTTTTTTTTTCATTCCATTGTAATTAATATTTTTCCTGAACATGCAGGTAATTTCATTGTATTTTAAATTGTTTGTAAGTTTAATGATTTCTTCCACTTTTTTTTTTTTTTCAAGTATGTACAATTTTTTGTTTCCATTTTTCTTGACATTTCTGTAGAGGTAACACTTAATGTTGGTGTTGATTTTGATGTTTATAAAGCTTGGCTTCTTCCTTTTTAAAAAAAAATCTGGCATAATTATTCATCTTAGGAAAGAGCGAGGTGGGAGAGTACGCGTTAAGTGGACGGCTGTACTTTTCGTGCTCTTTTTTTTTTTTTTCACAAACATGTGGATGAAATTTTTTCAACTTTTTTCTCAATTTATTTCACAATTTTCTTCAATATATTTAACAAAATTGGTGATACGTGGTAAAAAATGGACCTCACACACACCCCTGGAATTTTAAGCCAGAAAAGGTTGCTGTAACGAAATAGATATATGCTTTTGTATTGTACGCAACTTTCACTCAATCTGATGAAACAAAAGTTTTGTATTTTTTTTTTTTTTTTCCCTTTTTTTTTAATTTGAGTATCTCTTTCAGTGTAATTGCACGTACGTCACACTGAATCTGTAAGCACTTAAATTGTATATATTTTGGTTCATATATTAATTCAGGTATTTAAGTATATAAGCATAAAATATGGCTCTTTTTTTTAAATATGCATTTTTATAACCATATGGAGGGAGAGGCACACGATGAAATTTTTCGAAATAGTGTAAAAATTAATCTTGTTTTTTTTTTTTTTTTTCTTTTTTTCTTTTTTTCCCCTTTCCTTAGGCACAACATTAGGAGATGGTGTTTTTTTTAACAAAAGGGTTGTATTGTATGAAAGGGGGAGGATGTAACGTGAACATTTGTCACTTCTGCGTGGCGTGGGGATAGTGTCATGGATTATATTTGGTGCATTTTTCAAAAAAGGGAAATGGTGTGCTTATGGTAAACGGCTTGTTTACAGGCTTATTTTTATTTATTTAATTTTTTTTTTTTTTTTTTTTTTTTTTTTTTTTTTTTTTTTTTTTTTTTTTTTTTTTTTTTTTTTTTTCTTTTTTTTTTTTTTGTTTTTTTTTTTTTTTTTTTTTTTTTTTTTTTTTTTTTTTTTTTTTTTTTTTTTTTTTTTTTTTTTTTTTTTTTTTTTTTTTTTTTTTTTTTTTTTTTTTTGCGCCACTCTGCTTTCCTAGGTTGGGTTGAGTTTTCTTTCTGTATCTTTCTTCACCTTTCTGCATTATTTTTCACCTTTGTTCTTTATCTTTTTTTTTTTTCTTCTTCCATGTATTCTCCATTCCATTCCCTTCTCACCGAATAGGATATAGGAATTTTTCTGAGTACAACACTCTTGGATTATTTTTAAAATATACATACCACACTACTATATCCCCTCATTGGTCGCGAGCTGGTTGACATTATTCACTTATGCAACATCAGGAAACACATTTTTTTTTTTTTTCTTTTTTTCGTCCCCAACTAATTTTCTAAGTTCTTTTTTTACATATTTGCTTGTTGTTTTTTTCTGTGACTTGGTTTTCTCATTACATCTCTTGTGCAGCTTAAAACAGATAATCGTTCTTTAATTAATTTTTTTTTTTTTTTTTCCCACCTGAAAAAAAACCATTTTTAAAAAAAATACAACTTCAAAAAATGCAATTTTTTAATAATTTTTATAACTTGTTTTATTTTAATTTATTTCCCCCTTTTTTTAAGGAAAAATATAAAGGAATTTTTTTTTTTTTTTTTTTCCATTTTATTTTTGCTTGCCTTTTAATTTTTAGCTAAGTTTTTTCCATTTTTTTTCATCAGAAATTTGGAGAAAGCAATCATTTACGTATATACATTTTTAGCTGAAAATATACATTGCTTTTTAAAACTAAGAACTTTTGAAGCTTTATTAGTAGAAAAGTTGCATACGTAAAACTTGTAAGAAACTGTATATTGAGGACATGTAAGTTTTTTTCCCTTTGGTGAGGAGAGACACATATTTTCATTATTTTTATATAGTCCATTCTCCAACCCTTCTATCACACCAAAAAAAAACATATCTATCGTTGAGACCTATCAGAGATAATTCCACCCAAGTTATAGTTACAATTAATTGGTTATTTTCTTTTTTTTTCATATTTGCATAAACGGGTATAAAAGGATTTTTTTTTTTTTTTTTTTTTTTTTTTTTTATACTACATTTTTCTCCACCCCCACTCACTCCATTTTTGTGGCAAACACATCCGGGCAAAAGCAACACTATATATATAGACGACAAAAAAATGTGTATTTACATGACGATTTTCAAAAGTGACATTTTTCATGCATACTTAAAACACTCATATGCATACATTTCTCGTTACGTCTATACCTTAAGAAGTGAAAAATAAAATATGAAAATCGCTAAAACATTAAATGATATCTTGATGAACTGTAGTATAAAAAGGGTGGATGAGGAATTTTTACAAAATGTAAATAATCTATTAAAAACGAATTACAAGAAAAGAGAAAAAGAAACAAAAGAACTTTTCGAATTTTTAGGAAACTTTGTATACCAAGATTTAGAAAGAGATATTATAAAAATAAACATATCAGATTTGGATAAGAGAAAAAAAAAAATTCTTTTCACCAATTTAAGGAAGTTATTTAAAACTCTACTTCTCTTTCAGAATGTAAATAGATATGTAGAAGTGTTGTGTGACTTTCTCTTTTACTTGTTTAAGTACATGCGTAAGGTAAATGTGAAGAAGTGCTACAAGCTAGTGAGGAAGGTAACAATTGCCAGGATGCAGACAGGGAAGACACCGAGTGGAAGCACTCCATGTGGAACAGTTCCAAATGGAAACGTCACAGATGGTTGCATCACCACAGATTGTGGGAGCGCAGAGGAGAAAGAATTCCACATGGTTTCATTCCTCCTTATGAGCAACATAATGATATATTTAGAAATTTTAAAAAGAGAAAACAGCAAAAATCTGGTGCCTGATGAACACTATTTTTATCAAAGTGTAAAAATCCAATTGATGAATAAGAAATATATAATTACACTAAGTAAAAGATTGGGTGATATAGTAATTAATTTTCCCAATTTTCCCGTATTTGTTGATATGGCATTTAATTTATTTTTTTATGTACGAAATGGACTAGTCCCATTATTTTTGAAAATTGTTTATAAAAGAATTTCAGATTTGTTTGAATTAAAAAATAAAGAAATGAATACAAAATTTACAATAAAAAAATATTATGCTTTTCTGTTTTATGTATACTTTTTATATAAAATAAAAATCATTACTTTTTTGTACATGAACCCATTGACAACCTATGGCTTGCTAAATGATTCTATCCAAACTAACACAATTGTGCAACTATATTCCCAAGTTTTGAAAGACTATAAAAATGTATTGCACTTGTGCTTCTACACAATAAGCAATAAGAAAAATAACAAGACATTTTTCAACACTTTCTGTTTAGCAATCATTTATTTAACAAACCTTTTGTATTCAAATCACAATGATATTATGAAAATATTTCCTAGTGGATCAAAAAATAATTCTCTTTTTTTTAAAAAATATAAAGACATTTTTTCCATGTATCACAATGTTTTTGAAGCTTTGTTTAAGTTGAATAAAGATACAACTTTTTTTACAATGGCTAAAGTAAAATTTGCTGTTTATTGTAATCTCTCTTCATCCAAGTTTAATAACCATTTTTTACTTAAAAAAAAAAAAAAAAAAATGGACACCAAAGGGGTAGCGAAAGCAGAAGAGAGCATAGATCAACAAAATGGTAAAAACAATACAGCGAAGAACAAAGAAGAAAATCTTTTCAATTATCCTGCTACTTGCATGATAACCAATTTCATAAACAAGATGAAAGATCAAATGACAAAAAAACAAATGGGAAAACTCATGTATAGAACCATATCCGAATATGACTATTCTTGTTTTGTCGTTTTCTCTTACTTGTATATGATGACGATGAAGTTTATAAAGTTGTATGATTTTCCCACCATCCTGAATGATATAGTTTTTTATAAAAATCTCTGCATTGAGGAAATGAGCCTTACGACGCTGAGTGCAGTTCCGTTGGAGATGGTAGAAAAGAGGAGCATGGTTGAGGGAAGAACTTCTTCACGGGTGGAGGGAAAAACTTCACAGGTTGACCTTTCAAGTCCCCTTTACAATAATGCATTCCTGAATCTCCTGAAAGACAAACTATGTCTTTACATGAACATAGATGGGAATATATTAAATGTCTTTTTCATGAATGAATTGTACAAATTCTTAAATAGCAAGAATTTGAATTACAAGAATCTGCACTATCTCTTGGTTCACAACATCAATAAGAAGTATCATCAGATTAATGTGCTATTACTACTTCAGAAAATTATTTTGAGGAACATATTAAGATATGCCTTGAAGTTTGACACGGGTAAGAATCCATGTCACGTCAACCAAGCTGACAGTAGCAAGGAGAGTAGGGACAAAGCAGAAATTAGCAATGTGAAAAAAGAAGAGATGACAAACGAACTATTATCCTACTTGTTCAAAAAAGAAAACGAAAAAATGAAATTGTTAAACATAAATGAGTTTTCGCTAAACAATGAAGATGTAAAAAGTATAGCAGAGAAAAAGGATGAAAACACATTTATAATTTTGAAAAATATCGATTTTGTAGATATTAAGAATAGTATGAATTCAAGAAATGCCCTATTTGATATGAACATAATTAATATTGCTGTAAATCAAGTAACAAAAGAAAGTATTACCGTTTTAAAATCTTTATATGCATTAAAAAATAAGAAAAAGGAAGAAACAAAATTATATTTGAAAAATATTCGATCTCTAGAGGCTATATTAAAGAGTACATATAATTTTGTTAATTCATTTCTTTTCATAATTAATCTTGCTAAATCTGGTAAAAAATGCATACTCTGTTACAATGCCAAGAAGCAAAATATTCTATTCGCAGAAAATTATTATGAAAAAATAAAAAACAAAAAGAAGAAAATAAAAGCAACAGAAAGGGAAGTATACCTTCATTTGGAACCCAATTTTGACAAAAAATGTGCGAAAAAAAAAAATTTTAAAATTGTAAAAAATCTCATTAAATTGGTAGTTTTCATTGTTCAGAAAAATAAAAAAAGGCCGAATGAGAAAAACAAAGAAAGACATTACAATATCGAAACTGTAGAAATTGCAAAAATAATTATATTCCTCTACAATCTTTTGGTATTTTACATGATTCATAATTTAAGAAGAAACATGCTTGAGGAAGGAAAAATAATTCCAAATGGAAGAGATGTATTATTAAACAATAACCAAATTAGGAAAAGGTGTCGTAAAATTTTCGAAGATGCTTATACATTGCTCAAGCACGTGCATACGTATAATTCTCAAGGAATCATTTCAGATGAATTAAAAAAACAGCTTATCATTTTCTCAAAAAGTTACATCATTGTCAGCAAATTATTCTCCACCACTGCGTACAGAAATGAATTTGCATTCTTTGCAACGAACACTTACCTTCCAATCAGCAGGAGAAAAGCTGTCAAATTTTCCAAGCGGGTACACACACTTTTGAAAAATTTGACGCACCTGCAGATGCTAGGGGTGGGAACAGCGGACAGTGCAGAGGAAGATATGGAAACGGAGGAGGATCGTGACGATGACCAAGCCGAGAAAGAAAGTGCAGACTCAGAGGGGGTAGGTAATGAGACAGCTAATGAGACAGCTAATGAGACAGCTAATGAGACAGCTAATGAGACAGCTAATGAGACAGCTAATGAGACAGCTAATGAGACAGCTAATGAGACAGCTAATAAGGAAACAGCTAATGAGACAGCCAATGAGACAGCTAATAAGGAAACAGCTAATGAGACAACTAATGAGACAGCTAATAAGGAAACAGCTAATAAGGAAACAGATAATGAAGGAGATGACCAAAGTGACATCGTGGTGACGAGCAACTTCCTCCTAGACATTCTAACTGAAGAACCTGCAAAAGAGAAAAAAGCAGAAAACAAAAAGGAAAACATGGTGGGTATAAAGAAAATGCGTACATCCATATTTTACAACGTTTCTTATTTACTGAAACATCTGAAGGGAAATATAAAAAACCAAATGGCCGAAAACACAGTGAAGACCCTGTTTTACTTGGTACGCTCCCTTGTGATTATCTCCAGGAAAGTGAAGGTGAATTTGCACTTGGAGGAGGAGCGGCAGCAGCAGCTTCAACTCTCTACTGAAGTGGAAGTGGGAGAGAAAGAGAAAGAGGAAGAGGAAGAGGAAGAAGAAGAAGAAGAGGAAGAAGAAGAGGAAGAAGATATCAGTGATGTAGCTGATGGGGGCTATGGCAAAGAGTTACCATTACATGGGGAGGAGGAGTTCGAGAAGGAGGGACGCTCAAGTCTGCAAACGGCCAAACTACAAACGGCCAAACTACAAACGGCCAAACTGCAAGCGGCCAAACTGCAAGCGGCCAAACTGCAAGCGGCCAAACTGCAAGCGGCCAAACTGCAAGCGGCCAAACCTCTGACAGCCACTTACGCAGAAGACTTGATCATCTTGGAGAAGCAAATAAAACACATCTTAGTCAGCTTCAAAGTAATGAAAGAAACTGAGGCAGAGGACAAAGACAAGTTGAAAGAAGTAATAAAAAAGTGTGTGGTGAAAATTTTAAGGATGATAATGAAGGAAACGAAAAACACAGATTTAATAAAAATGTTGATAAAATGTTTAGAGAATTATAATATTATAGAAAATAAAATATACCACAAGAGTTATGTAGTTATTAATTATTTACTTGAATTTTTAAAAATTATTTTTTTTATCCCCAAATTAAGAAATTGTTATTCAAGATATTTAAGCGTATTTTTTAAAAGTGCCTTTGTAAAGTACCTAAATATTTGTGAATTTTTTAACGGTTCGTTTAAGAAATATTTTCCACATTTAATTAAAAAATTTACAACAGATTTTAATTTAGCACATTATTATATGATGAACAGTCAGGTAAAAACACAACCAATACTTTTAGAGGAAAGGCAATTTATTTCGAACCAGATTATTGTAATTTTAAGAGGATTAAATAAAAAAATTATGAACAAAAATTTAAGTGATGATATTTGCAATGAATATATTACCAGTTTGGTTCTCATAAATAACACAAATGATAAAAAATTTTTAAATTCTTTTAGTTTAAATGAATTATCTCTCATTATTCATAATATTTCTCAGCATTTTACAAAAATTTTGAACAATAATAATGTCTACGCATTTAATAAAAAGGTAACATTTAATCTATTAGGGTTATTAAAAAAAATTAGTGCCATTTCTCATATTCAAGGGGATGTAAAATTACTCTCCTTTAAGGAACACTTGATAAGTACCCACATCTCAGAGCTTAGAAGTTTTCTCAGTCTATTGGATGAACACATCAATACGCAAAAAATACAAATTAACATAAACGATTTTCACAAAAAACTGACATCCATTCTGCACGACAAATCACCTGCACATGGGAAGTCCAAGGAGGCAGAATCCAATCTAAAGAAAAGCTCACCACCGAATGGCAGTCCTCATCAATTCAGGACGAAAAGACCAAACACCATGAACATCTTGCATATGCACAAGAGAGTTAAATTGTAGATTGAAACCGGGGTGCTGCTGCTGCTGGTGCCATCGTGGAGAGTAACAAAATGATGACCTACGCAACGTCACAGGAAATGCGAGGGAAATGTTGGATGACAAAAGGTCCAAGTTGGAAAATTCGGAACAATGGCTGCAGTCTACTGAGCTAGCCATTTCAAGCCAAAGCAGTTTGTCCAAAAAAAAAATTTTAAAAAAAAATAATTACATAAATAAATGAAAAAATATGTGCATATGAAGAAATATATGTGCGTATAAATGAAAAAAATATATGTGTATATGAACAAATATATGTGCGTATAAATGAATGCATTTATTTGTGAAAAGATACCCCACACAACTCTGCAGAGCTGCCCTATTTAAATTCCCCTGTTCTGCATGTCCCATTTTGGAACTCTAACTTCCCCACCACCAGCACCAACGCTCGTAAGTTTTGTGATTAATCTGTTTATTTCTATATAATCCTGTTGCACACACGCTTTTTAAAATGTAGGATGCTTTTCCTTTTTTTTTTTTTTAAAAAAAAAAAAAAAAAAAAAAAAAAAAAAAAACTATGGCAACATCTTTTGAAGAAAACTTATCACGTCTTTGTCAAAAGGGATGGATACTTCTTTTTCGAATTTTTCTATATGCCTATTCATCCTTCGTAAAAAAAAAAAAAAAAAGTACACAAATTGGAGAAGGAAGAAAAAGGGTTTCATGTCTGAAAGTTATTGTGGCTTCACAAAACGCAGGTGTGCAGGAATTCGGGGCCATGCACACACATACACATGTACATATATATATGCATAATGTACTTTTTTGGCTATCCTCACCCGCCAATGTCAGACATGAGCAACTGTATTTTCTCCATCGAATTGATACGTAGCTTATTTTCGCTCAGCCCATGTCCACCACTCGCACCAATTCGATGTCTTTCGCAAGCGGAATGGATAAACTCCATCATTTCGTCAATTTCTTCATCATGGAAATCAATTTCGAACTTTATTGATTTTATGTTTTCTTTCTTTTCTACTACGTTGAGAAATTTTTTCATCAAATTTTTTAAATTCTGCAAAGAGACCAAATATGTGTATTGGTGTGAAGGTGGGTAAGAGAAAATGGGGGGGGGGGGGAAAAAAAAAAAAAAAAAAAAAAAATGTGGAAAAATTTGCCATTGAACACATAGATCATTTGTTACTTGCCCACAAGTGTATACACAGAGATGACTAAAAATATATACATAAATTTTATGAAAAACTTTCTGTTAATATTTCTTGCCTATTTTTTTAGTTACATGTATGTAATTTTCAAAATTGTTGTTGATATTTTCATTATACTGCTTAAGAGTAAAATTCATTTGGTTACTGTAAAACATAAGAAAATGCAATTTTTCAACAGAATTGTTATCCCTTAAATATTCAATCATAAATTCAAACGTTTCAAGGTTTAAAGAAGGAAGCTTAAGAGATTCGATTTTTTTGTGTAATGAAGAGAAAATAATATTCTTAATTTCCTGGGTACTTATCTCAGTATCTTGTATATTAAGATACTTAAAATTATTATTTTCAAGAATTAATAAAATTTTATTAAACAACATGCTGGTAATTTTATTTCCTTTTATATTTAGACCACTTATATTCTTATTTTCATGAACACTGCACAAAATGTGAAAAAGATAAATTTCATTTAAATTGTTCTGTGAAATATCGATGTAACCATTAAATGATATATTATTTTTCAAAGCATCACAAAAATTATCTATAACATCATAATCAATTTGTTCATTTCTACCGGGAACACTAGGTTTCAATTTAATTTTTTTACACACAAATTCGTTGCATTTTAACTTTTCTGTAATAAGTATGTACTGGGTCGTCAGTGACCCTTCGAAGTCATTATCCTTTTCCATGTGCGTGTGATGTGAACTATTTATGTGTGCATGTGATTAATTGGGTAATGCAGTGGGTATATGCATACGCGGATATATTTATATACACTCCTTTTCCTGCATGCACAAAAATATGATTGCCAAAATATGATACTTCTTTTTTTGCAAAACAAAAAGCCAAAAACTGTCATAAGAAGGTTCCTTTATTGCTTTACTATGGATGTAAAAGGAGCAACATAGAAACAGTGAGGAAGCAAAACATTCCATATATTATTACACGGGCGAAATTTTGTGTTCTGCATCATTGTCCGATTTTTCGAAAATGTGTTCAAATTAAAATGGCTCTCATAGGGAATGGGCCTACTTTTTTTTTTTTTTTTTTTTTTTTTTTTTTTTCAGTTTCACACATAGTATTACATACATCTAACAATTTTTAATATAAAATATATTAGTAGCGGAGCTCAAGCTTATGCTATGCTATATACTATGCTCTTTTATTTGTGTATTATATATCCACACTTGATGCTCAATTTTTTAATTATAAAATAATACTGTCCCAAAATTTTTATTTTTATTTTTTTTTTTTTTTGGGGGAAAAAAATTATAATTTTTTACCTGACCAAGTCATAAACTTTTTAACTTCTATAACATAAAACTGTAACTTGTACTTTTTTCTCCTTTCCCGTGATTTTTTTTTTTTTTTTTTTTTGGCCTTTTTTCTTCCCTTAAAAATGTGATAACAAAGTGAGGTTAAGCAATGTAAAGAACAAAATAGAAGAATGTATTTTTATTTTATTTTTTTATATTGTTCCATATTTTGGGTATGTATATGATTTTGACACGCTAGCCTCTTTTTCGCGCATATTGCCTTTCACCTTTTCTAATTTTCACATTTTCTCAAATTCTCTACATTCCATGCTGAATTAATATGTCATCAACCAACTGTTTCCCTCCCATTGTAAGTCTTGACAATTTTCGCTCTTCCTTTACGCAAAAAACAAAAAGTCCTTTTTAATCAATCTGGCTAAGAATTGAAAGTTACAAAAAAAACTCTTGCCTTTCGTCAGAATAACGTTCAGCGGTGTAATAACATAATTGAAGTAGCATCCATTCTTACAGAGAGAAAATACAAAATAGAACAAAGCAAAGAAAAGAACAGCAAAAAAAAAAAAAATAAAATAAAATAAAAAACAAAACTACAATATTCCCCAATCGGACAAAAATCAACTTCACAGTAAGTATGATAACTGGGAACGGTATCATATTCCTAGGTACTGGACGAAAAAGAGTAATGCAGTACATGCAATTTTGTAATGCAAGATAGACAATTCATAAAGTAGAAAAAAAAGAAAAAAAACGAATATATATATTTATGTTTCGAGAAAAAAACCTACCTTCAAAACAAACATATCATATTCGAAAACTGTTTTGTGTCACACCTCCTTTTGGTATATTTTTACGCGAATTTTTGTCTCCATCTTATCGTGATATAAAACAGATGAGATGGTGATATGCACTCATAAGGGGTGTGAATACGGATATGCTTGAAGAAGGATAGTAGGATTGTCTAGAAAGCACACGGAAATAGTTTCGCTCTTCCTATGGAACTTATAGCATCAAATGAGCATGCACACTCCTTTTTTCTCAGTCATCTTCACCTCAACTGATTCGTCTAAATCGCTTCGTCTAAACCAATTCGTCTAAACCGCTTCACCTCAACCCTCTTCTCAGGTACAGGTTCATCATCTTCCACGCCGAAATTATCTCACATTTTCAAAAACTCCAAAATTCTATCGAATAAGAAAAAAAGTTATTTCGAAAATTCAGAATTGAGACAGGAAGATTTTGAATTTGTAAACAAATTTGTTGATGATTTGGTGTCAAAGGATATAGAATGCATTGATCAACTGAATGACTTATATTTGAAAAAGAAGTACTTGGATTGCCCCCAATTGAAATGTTATACCTGCTATGATGCATTAAATAATAATTCAAAAAATAAGAGAAATAATATTTCTGTTTTGGTTAAATCAAATGATTCTTATGTTCTAATTGACGTCGGAAAAACCTTTAGGGACAGTCTTTTACAGAACAGAGATAAAATTAACTTTTATGTAAGCATGAAAGAAAAAATTAATATACATCTTGGTGAAGTGATTCTGGTTGTGTTGCATTTTTAAGAACTTATTTCACTCTATTATTTTCAGAAACTTCTTTCCAGTGGATAGTATACATGATACATCCATTTTTTTTTTTTTTTTTGTTCTCTCTTTTTTTTGCACCCCTTCTTCTCCTGTTAGGAAATCAAACTAGAATCAGTTCTAATAAGCCATAGCCACACTGATGCACTGAATGGAATAGATGATCTGAGAGATCTGCAAGAATATAACAAAGTAAAAAAGGGAGATGTTTTTTATTACACAACGGAGGCCCCAATTAATGTTTATTTGAATGATGTATCGTATGAACGTTTGCGAAATGGTTATGATTATTTGGTTAAAAAAAGGAAAGAAAATATTTTTTTTTCAAAAATAGCAGCCCTTAATCTTCAAGTTATAAAGGATAAAAAATACAACAAACTGATACTTGAAGAAAAGAACACAAATAAAATAAAAGATGGCACAATTTGTACGCTAAAAGGGGATCAAAAGAATACGGAAAATAGTAAGGAGAAAAATAAAATAAAAGATGAAAAGAAAATTAAAAAAGGGTGTGGCGAAGACGAAGAGAAGAATATGAACCGGAAGGAAAAGGAAGAAGAGTTGGATGGAACATGTGTAAATATACACACGTATGATAAAAAAGATGAACATGGATATGTGTACACACAATTTGATAAAGATAAACGAATAAGATTTATTCCCTTTCAGCATGGAGTTAATTACATATGTATTGGTTATATTATAGGAGAGAATAGTAAGTTGGTGTATATTTCAGATTGTTCATATTTACCACCAAATGTATTAGATTACATAAACAAAGTAGGACCGACTGAAGTATTAATAATAGATGCACTGTATTATAAAGCAAAACATTATTCACATTTTTCCTTGTATGAAAGTATAAAAATAGCCTTACAAATTAAACCAAAGAAAGTTTATTTTATTGGAATGTCTTGTGATATAGAACATAATATAACTAATTTATTTTTCAACAAGTTATCAAAAAAATACCCTGATATTTCTTTTTCCCTAGCACATGATGGTTTATTCGTACCGATCAACTTTTAACGTCCGTTTGGAAGAGCTTCGAGTGATAAGTTTCATCTTTTTCATGGTTTGTGGGGATACAAGGAAGTATGTGGCCCAACTGGGTATACATATATACGCATGGCAAATGTACAGACACATGCACACACATACACAGCATATAGCGTGTAGCATGAAGTACAATTACTTGAATATTTATGAGACAATTGACGGAACTGCTTTAAAATAAAGAATGGGCATTTTACTTGCATTGCACTTTATCACTAGTCACATTTATATAACGATATGTACGCATTTGAAATGAGCACATAACGAATGGTACATACGCCACTTATTTATATATGCGTGTGTATGAACATGCTATCGCAGAGGAGACATAAACTTAAAAATGATTGTAAATTTAATTACACTTTTGAGGGAAAATATAAAAATATTTTAAACGTGTGCTTACAAAATGATTATATTTTTAAAGATATATATATATATATATATATTTATATCTATTTTCATTTATGTATATTTTTTATTTTCCTATCTTTTTTAATTCCAAAATTTTAAAATAGTTCTGGGAAAGTAAAAAAGTGTCCACATTCTCTTGTCACCATATTGATGTCTGATTTATGCTACATTTTCTTTTAATTTTTTTTCCCTTTTTTAATATAGTACCACTACAATTTCTTTTACAACACTAAAATTTAGAAAAGAGCTAAAAAAAAAGAAGCAAAAAGAAGAAACAAGAATGAAAAGGCTCGAATGTGGACGTATGTATAAATATACATATTTGCGAACACATGTGTCATGTTTTAAATTTGTATTCTTTAAATTTTTGGGAAGAAAAGGCCGTTCATCATTTTATTTCGCTAGCCAAAAAAAAAAAAAAAAAAAAAAAAAAAAAAAAAAAATTAGTTTAACGCACAGCATGTAAAAATATTCTGAACGGTCATAACATTTATCACTTAAAATGTTGACAATTGTAGGTATCAAAATTTTTTAAATTAAATTGTTCAAAAATCTAACCTACATAAAAGCACTATGCGCATTTTTTTTTTTTTATTAATATTGTTTTAAAGCTCATCAAACGACATGCCTATTTTTGTGTGAAATATATAGAGTATCATACATTCCCCAAGTTTAAATGCAGTAAATGGGAAACCTTAATGTTATAAGCAGTGTTATAAGCAGTACACTTTGGTGGATTCTTTTGAAAATTATATTACAATAAGTAACATAGAGACACAGCCCCTTTAAATTCACAAATAAATAGACTTTAAATGATGATATAACCTTATTTTCTAAATTTGCACTTTCTTTCTCTTAAGATGAGGGGGAAAAAAAAAAGAAAAAAAAAAAACTTCTGATATCTTGGATAATTTTTAAAACACCAGAACAATGAAGTTTTCCCTGCAAAAATTTTGATGATAATCTACTGATACAAAAAAAGAAACATAGCTACAATTTATATGTAACGCAATGAATTTTTGAAAATATGATTCCCAGTCTCCCCTAATAATTTAGTAATTCTCCTCTCTTTTTTTTTTTTTTTTTTACAAATGTGTCTGTCTTATCTATTTCTGTAAACTGCAACTCGTAAAATTCTTTCAATTTTTTTTTTTTTTTTTTTTTTTTTTTTTGTGATAATTATTTTTTTATTAAATTCCAAAAAATTAAAGGGCCAGGTAAAACACGTATAAAATGTACGTTTTAATTCTTCTGGATCAAAGTTAAATTGGGTACCCGTACTCAAAACGGTTTTCTTATATATTAGACGGGGTACATATATATATGTATATATACATATATTAACGGTAATATTATCGTGTACATGTACGGTTTGCGGATATATGCTCGAACAAGACAAGGAGTTATTAAAAATAATGTATGGAAACAAACAAAGGGTGTCATGTCAATATGCTGACTTTTTTGCATATACATTCTTTTTTATAATTAAAAAAAGGGAAAATAAATAAAATGGAAAAATAGGAAAAGATCGACGTCCAAAAATAGTAACGTGATAAAATAGTGAAATAATAAAGTAAAAATTATGTATCAAACATAGGTCTGTTTTTTCCAAAAAAATTAAAAAGGAAAATTAAAACAGTACACTAACACATGCGTGTGCAATAGACAAATATGAATTCTAAAAATTGGGAATAATTCCAGATTTTTGAGATTTATTATAGTACAGTTCCTTTTTTTTTTTTCTTTTCTTTCTTTCTTTCTTTCTTCATTTTTGCTCTCTCTCATGCTTATTTTTCTCTCCTCTTCACCCCTCGCGTCACACTCAGCTGTGTAACAAAATTGATAAGGGTATGTATATGAAATAAAAAAATTCTACTTCAAGAAGCACAAAAAAATTAAAAAAATAAAATGGCCATTTAATAGGATGATATATGATGGATAATGCTATGTAGTATATATATATATATATATATATATATATATATATATATATATATATATATATATATATATATATATATATATGTCCGATAAAATCAAGGAAATTCTTCAAACAAAAATGGTAAATCGCTAAGGGATGAAATTTTTACAGACATTTTAAAATTATCATTAATTATGTCACAAAGAATTTGTTCGCTTTCTTGGGTGTACTTCGTCAAGTTAGCAGAAATATCGGCTAATGTTCTTGAATTTCTAATTTCTTTTACATAATTAGAGATATCAATACATCTATCTTCCTTGAATGGAAAATTGGAATTTGTATTTTCTAAGGAAGTGGTAATATCATCTTCTGTATTTTCTCCATTGGAATTAAATTTTCTTTTTTTCTTTTGAGTATCGATAGAATCGTTGTTATCATTTGCGTTTTGATAATTATCGAAAGAATCTAACTCATCATTTCCATATGTATTGTTATTCTGGTTATTCATATAACTCAAGTTTCTCTTATTTTCATGAGTCTCATTATCAGGCTTGGTGTTACACTTGTTCATATTATTCGTGTCATCATTCCTGTGGTAATTATCATCCTCCTGCGACTTTTTCGCATCCTGATTATCACAAATAAAATTGTTTTTACTTAAACTTGTGTAAATATTAGAAATAAAATCTGTATGTTTGTTTAATTCTTCTTCCATCTTGGACAAGTATTCATCATTTCTAGCCTTGATAACATTTTCCACACCCACGTTAAACATACTGTTTAAGTTATCTGAATTCATAGTATTGTTTAAATTTTTAATCGAGTGGGACATGCTCCAATCATTTTTGTTGTTTCCATGAGAAAAATTATAATCTATCATAGTGTTAATTAAAGAACCTTTAATGTTTTTGTGCGCGAACAAATCTGGATTATCATTTTGTATATGCATTTTGCTTCCGTTCTCCTTACCAATAGGAGGATTTTCAAAAAAGGTGACAAGGTTGTTTTGCACGGAATAAGTGGGCACCGCTGCTTCTGCTGCTGCTTCTGCTTCTGCGTGGGTGTTAGAACTGTCACCCATTTTCATCATCTGTAACTGTTCTCTTGGAGGAAGAATGCTGTTATTATTTACCCTCTTAGGAACAGAGTCGATAATATTGTTAGTACACGGAGCGGTATTATTCCTGTGGTTCGTGTTCAGAATTTCCATGTTGCTTAAATTCTTTAGAGAGAAAATGTTATTCTTATTATTATCATTTGTGTAAAATGTATTTCTAAAAGATTCACTACACTCCGAAGGAACGAAGGGTTTAATTTTTTTTGGAACGATGCTTTTCTTACTATCATTTTTATTTTGCTTATTTTTTGTTTTAAAATATTCTCTTCTTTCCATAATTTTATGAACATGTTCAGGTATTACTTCAATCATTTCTAATTCTTCATCCATGGAAATTTCTTTCGACGTTTCATTTATTAATTTTAATTTTTCCATAGGCGTTAACATGTTCGTGTTAACAACATTTCCACTTTTTATATGTTTTCCTCCCCCATCAAAAAAGTTAGTGTACTTTGTATTAACATCAACATAGGAAGAAGCCCCTACTCCTACTCCTCCTATGATATTATTTTTCTTCTCTACATTATTACCCATGTTAGACAAAGTGAGATAAAATTTTCTCTTTTCATTTCCTCTTAATATTTCATTTTCATGATTTTCAAAAATTCCATCTTTATTCATTCGTTTGTTTAGAACATCTATCATACTCTTTACATCCTTATTCGATTCTACGGAACTATTCGATGCTTTCAAATTTTTTAAAAATTTCTGATTTGTGCTCGATAAGGTGTCATAATTTTGAATACAGTTAATATTTTCATCCAAAAAATTATTAACATTTTCAATGGTTGATGGGATATACTTGTTTATGTAATTTATATTTTTATTTATGCAATTTATGTTTTTGTATATTTGATTCATTTTTTCAAAATCTTCCTTATTTTCGAAGTTCTCTTCGTTCATAATATCTATCATCTTGTTGCAGTTTGGGTTCTTCTGAAACATTCCACACGACACGTCGTTTCCACTTTCTCCATGCCCAGTGTTGTTACTATCATTGATGCTACGATTGTTATGATTATTATCATTGTCCTTATTATCATTTTTACTTCTCTCGGGACAATTATTCAATCCTCTCTCCTTTTCACTTAACCCTTGGGGATTCACAATCGACATGTTCTCGTTCGTAATTTCATTTAGATTACCTACAATATTGAAGATTAGGAAAAAAACATGTCTGACATAGAGAATTAGTTTTTTTTTTTTTTTTTTTTTTTTTTTTTTTTTTTTTTTTTTTTTTTTTTTTTTTTTTCTTTTGCTCTTTTTTCTTTATTTTTTTTTTTTTAAAAATATTTTTTTTTTTTTTTTTTTTTTTTTTTTTTTTTTTTTTTTTTTTATTTCTTCTGATGTATCTACTGCTACTCCATAGGATGTTAACAAACGGTAGGAGTAAATTTCTTTTATTTTTTCTTTTTCTTTTATATATTTTCATCAGTGAGGATATCCTGCTTTTTTCTATTATGCTTACTTCTACCTGATGGTTTATTCGCTGTTGGTTCTTTGACAATATCAAAAATCTGATCATGTTCATGTGAGATATTATGGTTGGTCTCATGTGGATTTCTAAATAATGGCACTTCTTCATGGTTTTCTTCCTTATTTGGGTTCTCAGGATCTGCAAATGTGTTGAAAAGAAAATGGTGTTAGATTTATGATCCGTATATGGTAAAGCACTATTGCTGCTACTTGTTCACGTGTTATATATATGTATATATTAATGTATACACTTATTTATTTATTTATTTATATATTTATTTATTTTATTTTGCTTCATTTCAGTTTTTTCTTTTTCTTTGTTGTTGAAAAATGCACGTGTTTTTCGCTTTCACCATGTAGTTACAAAAAATAATAAAATAGTGTTACCATTCTGTGCATTACCAATGGATTGGGTGCTACAGCAGGGCCTTGTATCTCCCTCCTTGTCATTGCATATGGTATTTACACTAATCCTGTTTTTTTCATATGCGTCCCTGTCCGATGGTTTAACAATATCTGCATCTGTGTTCACATCTATGTTTGTTGATTTGTTAACATTATCGTTTGAAACATTCGTTTTTAAGTACTCCTCTTTTGCAGTTTCTTTATTAGGGTTCGAAAATATAGATGGGATAAAATTATTAAAATAGCTAGATATTGTCTTGCGAATGGTTTTCTCCTCTTCTGAGTCATTATTAATTCTTGTGATACCTCCATTTTCATTATTACATATATTTTGTTTCACTTGGACATTCGTTTTTTCTTTTTCTTGATTCATAAGATCTGTCGTCAGTACGACGTGACCATTTTCCGCCTCACTTTTTACAACATCAATTGCAGTCGTTATGTTTCCATCCTCTTCATTTACTTTTTTTCTCGAAATGGAACATGTATCTACTACTACTTCCCCCTCCTCTGTATGATCTATTTGTGTTTTATCAGATTTTCTGCTAAGTTGTATTGGTTTGTTTTGAGAATCAGGTACTATGCTATTAATATTAGACAAAGTACTTTTAAATTTCATAACTCCTGCATTTATATCATTAATATTTTCGAATTTCTGAAAATTTTTACTCACATCATTTTTATTGACTATACTGATGAGATTTTCCCCTTTATTTGGAAATCCAAAAATATTATTTTCCTTTTTATTTTTTAAATTTGTACATACATTTACAACCCCAGTAGCGTGATCATTACCTCTGTAATTGCAACTATCATTTATTAACTTGTTGTTTGTATTCACAAGATTCTCACTAAGGAGGAAATTACTTCTACTAACTTGATCACTTTTTTGCTTTGAAATGAACAAAGTACCACCATTTGAATTTCCATTAGGATCATTTTTCCCCCTCTGCAGCACATCCTCTAATGGTTGACTATTATTATTAACCAAATTCTTTGTGTTATTCAACAACTTACTGGATCCACTAAAAATGTTGCTACCTTCTGTGATATTTCCAAAAAAATTGTTGATATTGTTAATTTGTTTGGAGCTACTGATGTCTTTGTTTTTGTTGAAAAGGTTACTCTCGCTAGTATTATTTCCAAAGAGATTACTATCGCTAGTATTATTTCCAAAGAGATTACTCTCGCTAGTATTATTTCCAAAGAGATTACTCTCGCTAGTATTATTTCCAAAGAGATTACTCCCGCTAGTAGTATTTCCAAAGAGATTACTCTCGCTAGTATTATTTCCAAAGAGATTACTCCCGCTAGTAGTATTTCCAAAGAGATTACTCCCGCTAGTAGTATTTCCAAAGAGATTACCACCATTTGCTCTGTTAGCAAATAAGGTGCTACTGTTCCCTGTTGTGTTTCCAAATACATTGGTGGAGGTGGTGCTGGACTTACCAAATATGCTTCCACTATTATTAAACAGATTTGCATTACTTCTGACTTTTCCAAAAATGTTGGTACTACTCTTATTGTCGTTAGTATTATTGAAGAGCCTACTTTTTTCCACAGAATCGGGGCCATTTCGGCTACCATTCAAATTACTAGCGTTCGATAAATTTGAAAATACATTAATCTCATTATCTACATTAATGTTAGTATCATTGCGTGTAGATAATATGGTGTTCACTTCTTTAGTTTTGTTTGGACAGGCTTGATCGTTGATATTATTTTCCCCTTGTAAAATATTCGCACTGTTTGTTGCAGTATTTGATCGATTGGCAATAATTTCACCCTTTGCATTAGATGCACTATTTGTGCTGAATATATTATCAGATCCGAGATGCCCATGCGCACTGGAACCCCGAATAATGCCCTCCTTACTATAGTCAGTAGCAGGAGTAATGAAGTTATTACATGACTTGTTCATACTGATATTTAAATCATGACTTGAATTCTGAATATTGTCGGTTTGGTTAAAATTGGGGTGATTCCATTTGATCGCGTTATTAAGGTAATTGTTACTACCTCTGCTGATGTCACTCGAATGAGAATTAAATATTTCAACACCCTTGCTAAAACCAATAATATTACTATTTAGACTGTTTTTCAGACTGTTGCTCAGACTGTTTTTCAGACTGTTGCTCAGACTGTTGTTCAGACTGTTGTTTAGACTGCTGTTTAGACTGCTTTTCAGACTGCTGTTTTGATTGTAATTATTACTTAAGGTGGTTCCTACATTATTCTTAACATCGGCGTGGTTATTTCTGTTAGGGCCACCTTTCTGGTCGGCGCCCCAATTTTCCCAATTCACACTTTTGGAAGTAACAATAAAATCACTGCTGACAAATGTGCTAGGGGAACTATCGCTTAAATTATTATTGAATTGTGGCAAATTTTTACTCATATTTGCATCGTTCAGAGAGGTATCTTTACTTTTGTTAACACTTTGTGAAAAGTAATTTTTGAATGAATTCATATTCAAAGATTGACTATTCCTTACTACATCCATATTAAATGAATGTGTATTATTTTTCACGAGATTCCCGTTTATAGAATGGTTATTCTCATTTGGATATCCATTTAAAGCATTATTCTTCATAGCTGCAGTACTACCAACTTTGCTTTGTAGAAGCGTGTTAGTATCACTATAACTATTGGTTACATTGGTTTCTCTCACATTGCTTAGAGAATTATGGTTATGATGCACATCCCCTCCTCCATGCATATTCGACAATTCACCATTTCCAATGTTGCCATTACCATGATTATTAGCACGATTGATCTGATTGGTCTGATTAGTCTCTTGGAAAAGTCCATAATAATTATTTTCTTCCCTCTCGTCGCATAAATTGAAAGATCTAACATTATTCATGAAATCATCCTCCATCATAGTCTGGCCATTTTTTTCAAGTTCACGTTTCTTCTTTTCATTTTTTCTTCTCATAACTTCTTCAAACGTTAAGGGTGTGTCAAACATATTCGAATCATTTTCTAATTTGTTAATTACATTTTTTGGTTTAAAAGGGAAATTTGCATTTCCACTTTTCATTTGTTGAAATGGGTATCTAATGGGTCCTTTTACATGTGTGACTTTTTTATTCGGTGTAAAAGCATCGAAATTTTTTTTTCCTATTTTGTTAAATCTGACATCTTCCGTTTCGAATGATCTTACATTTTTTACATTATGAGAAAGGGAAAATAGGTCTTCATTTTTTTTAACTTCTTCTACTTTTTGCGCCTTGGCAATTTTCATCTTTTCTTTCAACAGCTGCAGCTGTTTCATTTTAGATTCATCGAAACCGTCCATTTTGTGCATGCAAAGAAAATACAATGTTAATGAAAAAGCTAACTTCTCCCCCGTATGTTTCTCTCTCTGTGTGCGTTCTACACACGAGCTGCGCTCATGCATCTGTATTTCGACCTTCGCATGTGTATAATGTGTAATCCCTAATCTGTGCACACGTCCGAGCACACACAAGAATACACACACGCGTATGTATTCTTATGCATAGGGCGTAATCAGGCGACGAAATAAAAATAAGCAAAAATGAGCAAAAATGAGCAAAAATGAGCAAAAATGAAAAAAAACATACAGAAATGAAAAAAAATGAACAAAAATGAACAAAAATGAACAATAATAAAAGATTCCCTAATCCTCATAAAAACAAATGCTCAACTTTGTTTCATATGGGAAAAATGCTCTAATTTTTACTCTGATATAACGAAATCCATTTATATCTCTTAATTTACTGTTCACGATTGTACATGAACAAAATATGGACATGTAAAAAAAAAAAAAAAAAAATTGCATTTATTAAGAATCACTCTATATATTCCTTGTTCTGATTTTTATCCTCTTTTGTTAAAACAAATAAAATAAAATAAAAAGAGATATGAAGTATACCCTGAGCTTCATCTATCTTCGAGCCTTAACATTTCGACCATTTTCCTAATCTGTTGGATAGTATATTTATCTCGTTCCTTCACACGATTCCGTTTGTGGCTCCGTTGGTGGGTCTATTTATCACACCTTTTGGAATATTTCGCACTCCTTGCCTATAATCCTTTTCCTCACACATGCAAATTTGTTAATGTACGATTCCTTCATTTATTTTCTGTACGATGGTGTATGTATTTTCCATACTAATGGGGTGTGTGTCACACACAGTTATGTGCATATGTGTGGAGGGCATGAGACATGCAAAAAAAAAAAAATTCTGCTGAGCAAGAATGGCAGACTTACAGAAAGTGGTAGCACTCATGCGTGTGGTAAGAATGGTATGGAATTACTTGGGGAGGTGAGATGCTACACACATAGGTGTACTAGTCTGCCTGACCTCCTTTTGTATATGCATATATATATATATATATATATATATATATGTGTGATCGGGCGAATATGAACAAAAAGGTTCGTACATATGCGTATGTGCGGGTATGGAAACACGTGTTGGAGTTATATCTTCTCATGGGCTGACAAATATATGTACGTATACATATGCACATATATATGGCAGTAGAGAGTCGGTTGAAATATATCCCTTCTTCGTTTTTGCTGTATACTTGAACTCCTTTAATGGGTATTCATCAAATATAAGACTCTCTGTTTCCTTCTCTTTATGTATATTTACACATTATATATAAATGAGTGTGGTGTGCCAAAATAGGTATTCTTCAAAGTAACAGTGCCACGGGAAAGAAAAAGTTACACATATTTTTCAATGTTCATAAAAATTGTATAAATTCCATAAAAATTGGGGTAACAAAAATGCTTGTAATTTAGCAATTAGCAGTTAAGCAATTAAATAGTTAAACATATGAGAAGGGAAATTTATATGCACAAAAAAAAAAAAAAAAAAAAAATGGAGGCGCAAAAAGTATACACATACGAGTATATGTTATACGAATATATGTCATACAAGCATATATTATACGTGTACATATCATATATGCATATATTCATACTTGTATGTTTAAGCTATGTACATGTATACATATATATTTAAAAATGAAAATAATAAAAAACGTGCATATACACGTGTAATGATCATGTGTACATATAACTTACGAGAATGGCAAATATGTAAATTTAGTTTCCCAAAAAAAAAAAAAAAAAAAAAAAAAATTATACAAAACTTGTAGATTAAAAGGATTATTTCATTTTTTTACACTAGAGAAATGTACATATTGTGAAAAAGAGGGAAAAAGTTTATACAAAGTTATTCATATCCCACTATTTGACACGCTCTTAGAAGGTATGTGGTTCATTTGGTAAATATGAACTATAGCACACATATGATATGTGGTGAAATCCATCAAGCGCTATTTTTGTATACTTGAATGTAAGAGGAATGAAAACACTTTTACCAATATGTTTTTCCAAAAAAATGTGCATATTCTTCCCTTACTTGGTAAGAGCAAATTTTTATGCTACTCATACGTTGTTATACATAAAATCAACGCGTCTAATTCAGCATATGTAAACATATATTAACATTCGCAAAATAGAAAATTCGTGGAAAAGATGAAAAGGAAAAAAAAAAAAAAAAAAAATGTGTAAAAAGAGATATGTTTGTTCTTATGTATGTTCTTATGAATGTGCGTGTGTGCATGTATGTATATATGTAGAGGGGGCAGGGGGTGGGAAGTCTATTCGGTGGGAAATGAGGACATGCATACGTGGATACGTGTCATCTGCACGCAATCCTTGGGATGCATTATATATATATATAGCACGAAGTATGATACATTCTATGCTGGTATATGCAATTGTTAGGACTTTTCAAAGCCGTACTTAAATTAAAAAAAAATAGCAATACAGAAGAAAAAATCACGTCAAAAAATGAAAGAGAACGAACGTCAAAAGTACCGCCGATGAGGGGGGCAAGAGGGAAAAAAAAAAAAAAAAAAAAATATTTCACTAAAATTTGAAACCTCGTTTGCTAAAAGTGTAACATGGAAAAAGGGGATGCCTCATTTGGTGAAGAAAACAGTTTATGTATGAATATACCATTCGATAAAATGGCACGTGGGAAAATGAAAATAAAAAAAAAGGCGAAAAAAAATAAAGAACAAAGCAGGTAAAAACAGCAACAGTAAAAATCACCGCAAGTGGAAAAAAACACAGCAAATAAAAAACAGTGCATGTAAAAAAAAAAAAAAAAAAAAAGAATGCAAATAATAAAAAATCAAACAAAAAATATCATATAATAAAAGAAAAAAAAAAATGTACACGGAAAAAAATGCAAACAAAAAACAATCCCAAAAAAAAAAAAAAAAAAAAAAAAAAAAAAAAAAGGGCAAAAAAAAAAAAAAAAAAAAAAAAAAAAAAAAAAAAAAAAAAAAAAAAAAAAAAAAAAAAAAAAAAAAAAAAAAAAAAAAAATGTACACGGAAAAAAATGCAAACAAAAAACAATCCCAAAAAAAAAAAAAAAAAAAACAATGAATAATATATGAAAAAACACAATCGTGAAAGCTGCTGTAGGGGGGGGGGGTAAAACTGCTAATATCAAAATCTCCATGATATTTGATTGCTGCTTTACAACAACTCTGACGTTCTACATAAGGCTCATAAAAAATAAGTGTTTTTATTTTATGCTTATATTTATTTAGGACCATTAGGTATTTTACTCAAAAATGCTCTATCGGCGGGAAGTAAACATTTATTCAAGCCTGCAAAAATCTCACTCGGTCCCTGTTTGTTTATTTTCTTACTTTTACGGGTGTTGTAAATTATGCAAGAAGCCAAAAAAAAAAAAAAATATCTAATTTTTTTTTTTTTTTTTTTTTTTTTTTTTTTGCTACAATAATGATAAAAGTGTAAAACTTGTAGAGTGCTTGCACTTGTTATTCTCCCTCGTACAAACAAACATATATATATATATGCCTCTACCTATATGCACGAATATATGTATATATGTATTATGTACATATATGTACGTACGTATATATATATATATATATATATATGCAATCCCTTAAGCTTGAACAAGAACAAAATACCGTAGTAGTGCATGTCATATAATAATCCACTAATTTTATTTTCAAAAAATCAAACTCTATATGAGTTTTATACAAAAATACACAAATGTTTGCTTTTTATTTTGTCACCTTCATGAATGAAACTATTACAAAGAACAAAAAAAAAAAAAAAAAAAAAAAAAAAAAAAAAAAAAAAAAAAGAAAAAAAAAAAAAAAATATTGTACAGGTGTGGGGAGGGGGAGAACTTGTCATCATACAACCGTTTCAAACATTTACATAATTATTAAGAAGTCGTAATGTAACATGAAACTAAAAATATATTCATATTATTCACTTGTGTTTTTTTTTTTTTTTTTTTTTTTTTTTTGTTTCTTAATAAGAAGAAAATAATAATCATAAGAAACAGTAGTAAGGAGGGGGATGGTGTTTTTTTGAAAATATAAATTACGCTTTTCAGTTAAAGAAAAAACACATAGTCCAGAACTTTCCAAAAAAAAAAATAAAATAAAACAAAAAAAAACCAACATATTATATTTTGGAAACATATTACAAAATTTTTACACAATTTTATTTTTAAGAACTTACCAAATTAACAACTTTCCGTGTTTGTAAACTTTTGTAGAATATATAAATGCAAAAATGTGGAAGAACAAATGTTTTCCCACTTAGTATTTCCTGTTTAGAAAAGTTTTTTAATTTTATATGATACTACCATATAAGGAGATATATACCAGGAAAAAAAAAAAAAAAAAGAAAAAATCTTGTACTTACACTTATGAGGAGTACAGTACATTAGAGTCTCCTGTCCGAAAAGGTTGCGGGCACATATATATGTTCAAGCATCCTGACACTGTAACAACATTCTGTCAAACGTTTAATCTACACACATACACACACACACACACACAGAGGTTCAGAGAAACAGCGCCATTTATTTGCTATTCCTTGAGAGAGGCCCAACATGAAGGAGGAAAAAGGAAAACGAATAAACACAAAAGATGTTAATAAAAAAAGAAAAAAAAATAAAATAAAAAATAAAAAAAGTGCAAAGAAGCCAAGTGATATTGTAAGCTGCATAGCATTTTTGCCAAAGGATAAAAAAAAGCAAACGAGGGGGAAAATCGATCGGCTTAGGTATAACCGAAAAAAAAAAAAAAAAAAAAAAAAAGAGCAGATATAATAAGAGAAAAGGCGTTATCATGACTGCGACCAGTTCATGCATATCATTATATGATTATTCATACAAGTAGACATGTGAGTGTGAATATACTTTTCTTTGCTTTTCTTTGCTTTTCCGTACTTTTTCCGATTGCTGCTTTTTCCACACATGCATACTTCCTACCTCTTGTAATGACAACGCACACCTGTTTACAGCGAATATGATGAAACGAGCGATTACGAAGAAACAGAAGAGTCCCAAAAAAAACCTAGAGATGAATCATATTCTGATATGTATGATACGTGGAAAAATATATTTAATGACGAAAGGGAAAACAAAAAAGTAATAAGAGAAGATACTATCATAGAAAACAATAAAAAATATATATTCGAAGATGAATTAAATATTGAAAAAAATGATGCTTTAATTCTTAATGGAAAAATATATAGTGATATAGGAACATTGGAAATTCATATTGTTAACTACGATGAAGATATCTTTAATATTTATGATGATGTAATACTTGACGACTACCCCATATGTCTGGAAGTTATAAATGAATCATATTATAAAAATAAAAATATTGTAGCTATTGGAACTATGAAAAATGACATTGGCCTCTGGGACATTGGCAACATCGACACACTGGAGGCTCTCAGTTATTTGGGTTCCAATGATGTGAATACGAATGGGCAAAAGAGAAAAAAAAAACAAAAGTTTGGTGATATCGCAAAAGTGGAAGAAGCGGATGAAGTGGAAGAGGGAGATGAAGTGAAAGAAGTAGACAAAGTGAAAGAGGCAGACAACGTGAAAGAGGCAGACAACGTGAAAGAGGCAGACAACGTGAAAGAGGCAACTCATGCAGAAAAAACAATCCACGTGAACGCAAAGACGGATGGAAAGTCCCGACGCAGGGAAGAAAAAAAAAAAAGGATGAGGGGAAAAAGAAAAGAAAGCGAAAACAACCTGCACGGTCACACAGAATGTGTAACATGCCTTAATTCGTCTAAATTAATACCAAATTTGTTGTGCAGTGGATCGAAAGATTGTTCCATTAAATTATGGGACCTATCTAATTTGACATTTTTACATACGTTTAAATTTCACAAAAAAAAAATTAATAATGTTTCATTTCATTCGAAAGAAAGAAATATTTTATTTTCCACCTCATCAGATAAAACTTTAAAAATATATGATATAAGAAAAAATACAGTTGGGCTAAATATTAACTTGACCTCTACTCCTGAATCAACTATTTGGAATAAATCCATTGAAATGGAAATATTTTCATCCGATGTTGATGGTTACATAAGCAAGATAGATATACGCTATGTTACAGAATCGTCTTCATTTTTTTCACACAATAACATTAACAGATTTAAGGCATTTGAAAATTCATGCATTTCTCTGCTTAGTACCTCGTACCAAAATTTGACCCTCGCAGGATCTGAAGATGGTCTTGTGAAAGCATACGATTTTGGAGTTTTCAGTAACAACCAAAGCCCGAAATGTGTATACACGAAGAATCTTAAAAGAGTAAGATAGTGCAAGAAAGGAAGAAGAAATTCTTGTGTATATTTTTTTTTTTTTGCACATCATTTTTTTTTTTTTTTTTGTGCACGAACCCTCCCCCCACTTCTCTCCTCACAGTGCATATCAAATGGTGTGATAATCTATTCGACATTCAACCCTTTTCTCCGTAGAACCTGTATTGTATGAAGGATAACGAAGACTGGCCAAATGTAGTATTTTTTGGGTGTGATAAACTGTATGATTGGAATATGAACTTGTGCAAGGAAATAAATGAATACTTCAAGTTATGAGAAGGTTAAGAAAAAAGGGAATCAATGATGTAGTGTCCTTATATCACATCATATTTAATGCTTGTTCTGCATTTGTTTTGTTTTTCATTGAAATCTGTTACTTTTCTTTATATTGTACAGGAGGAGAAGAGTATTAGGCCTTGCACTCCATTTTTAATGAAAACGTTCCAAAAAGGGAGAAAAAAGTGTGAAAAAATAAGGAAAAGCGTAAAAAAATAAGGAATTTTTTTTTTTTTTTTGTACTACAACAAGAACACTCTAGTGGTCATTGCATTTTTTGAAGTTGTCACAGAGTATTTGAATTTTTTTTTTTTTTTCTTCTTTTTCCCCCTTTTTTCCCTACCTCTTTTTTTGTACCTTCTGGAGTAAAAACTATTTAACGCAATCATAATTTTTTACACGCAAAAAGGAAAAACTTGGCTTTGCCCATTTAATATTATACATATATGTGTATATAACATACTGCATAAAAGAACGTGTAAAAGCTATTGACGTACCTTCTCACCCCAAACATCACTTATCTTTTTTCAGTAATTGTCTTGTGAAAACCAAATTCATATTTTCAAGAATTTGTGTGTAGATATTGGTACTGACACTAAGTCTGTGCATAAAAAAAAAAAAAAAAATAAAATGTATATCTGGTTAGTAGCTCTCGGAGTAAAGTACATATATATATATATATATATATATATATATATATATATATATATTCCCCTCCTCTGTGTGTTCCTTTCACCAATTTGATGTTGCGATGATTGACACGCACAAATGACAAAGAAAAAACGTAAAAGTTAAAAACATACATTTTACACAAACATATAAGCATACAAACGTACAAACGTACAAACGTACAAACGTACAAACGTACAAACATATAAACATACAAACGTACAAACGTACAAACATACAAACGTACAAACGTACAAACATACAAACATGTAAATCAATCAGATATATGTATGCAAAAATAAACTTCCTAATTTCCCGCCCAATTTGTTGGGATATCCCAAAAGGTGAAAAATTTAGGGGAGGGTAAAAAATTTTAGAAAGTTTCGCTCCAACTGATTTATTAACCTTTTGGAAAAAAAAAAAAAAAAAAAAAAAAAAGAAAAAAAGAAAGAGAGAGAGTAATTTTTTTTTATATGTCCTAAAAAGGTATGGTGGTATACATGTAAGGTTCACAAAAAAATATTGCTATGAAATGTCAAAGGTGTGGTAAAAACAAAAAAAAAAAAAAAAAAAAAAATCGTGCAAACGCGTAAACTAACTAACAGAGTACATTTTTTGTGAGAGCAACGATACCAACTGTACATATTTTCTTTCTTGCGACTTAAATATTCAAGCGTTCTTTCACTACTACCTAATAGATTAGAAGATATACATTATTTTCCCTTTTAAATTAAAATTATTCTTTATTAGCTGTAAATTTTTTTTTTTTTTTTTTTTTTTTTTCATCCTTTATATATGTAGTATTTATTTTTGCATTCTTATAGTGATGTAAAACATTTATTTATTTATTTGTTTGTTTGATTGTTCATTTGTTTCATTGTTTCCTTGTTTTATTGTTTCATTGCTTCATTGCTTCATTGTTTCATTGCTTCTTTGTTTCACGGTTTCATTGCTTCTTTGTTTCACGGTTTCATTGCTTCATTGTTTCACTGTTTTATTGTTTAATTGTTTAATTGTTTGATCGTTTGATTTTTTTTTTTTTTTTTTTTTTTTCCTCCCCTTAACTTGGAAAAACGATTTTCTACGAACTGGAAGCGTTTTAATGAATAAAGTGAATCTGTAATTAATCCATTTCGAAAGATTGACAAAGCGTGTAACAAAACTGTCGCGAAATTGCCATTAAGCAAAGAAAAGATTATTCTTAATACTTACTAAGTCATATCTAAAAGGAAATAAGAAAATGGGATCCGCTATAAGTCATCTCCGATGGGTAACCAACATAGCAGGTTAGAAAGATCCACTAAAAGTATTCATACATGTTAAGAGGAACAAATGAAAAGTGGGGAGAGGAGACGTGTGAAGTTTTGTTTTCCAGTTGGTGTGTTTTTTTTCTATCACTGTATGTGGAATGAGGCGAAGAGGAAGAAATAGGGCAGATATTATATCCCTTCTTGTATGTGAACAATACTATTAGAGGGATGACATCAGCATCCGCTGTTTTTTTGGAATCAAAGTGGAAGCCTAGTGGAATCTGAGTGGAAGCCACGTGTCAACCCAATTGTATACATATATGTATATCCTTTTCCTGTATGCATTTGGATATATCCACTTATACATACATGTAAATATTGTGTGTACATGGAATACTTTTATGCCCATGTTGAAATGCTTACAACGGGTTCTTCCATGATTGCAAATTTAGATCCCTTCAAATAACAATTTTGCATAGGGAGAAGAAGTGGTGAACGGAGGATGATGGTAGTAGTAATAGTAGTAGTAGCAGTAGTAATAGTAGTAGTAGTAGAAGTTCCTTTCTCCACTTGCTGGGAAAAAAAAAAAAAAGAGCTTCTACAAAATATGGTTTTCCTAGACGTTATATTATGGATCCATTTGAGAAATGACTTAGGCTGCATTCCCACATTTAAACTAAATTTTAACATTACACAAATTAATTAAGAATGCATTTTCACCATTTTCTTCCGCTTCATCTTCTCATTCCGCACTTACCTTTCCTTACTGCAGGCATATCAAGCTTAGTAATTTCGCTTTTCCCAAAAGTTATTATAAAAAATCCACAAGTTCTTAGACCACTGTTAAATATAAGTTGGGGTTACTTATTTGGATCCACGTTTTGGTTATGTTTGTTTTCTGAAGTTGGTTTGATAAGGAGTTGGAAAAACATGAAGCGTATACCTATTCCAGAAAATGCAGAAGAAGCAAAGAAACAGTTAGAGGAGATGAAAAATTCGGAAGGAGATTTTAGCAGAAGAAGAGAAGACTTTCAATATTTTTTTAGCTTATCAACCCTTTTTTCGGGCATTTTATTATTATCAACCGTTAGACTTGCAAATCACAATGTTCAGTTAAGAATAAGTTCTACAATTGTTGCCTTGTCATGTTTATTAAACAATTTATATTTTCAAAATAAGGTGCATAGTTTGAAATTAAAGAAGGAAGATTTATACAATGAACTAATCCAGAACCCCAAAAATGAAACAACTATTGCAGAGATTAAAAAAAACAAAAAAGATTTTCACATATACCATGGGTTATCGCTTCTATCTTTGTATATTTCCTTCCTTGGTTTAACTCCTTACATTTTTACTTAATCGTCTATTGTTGCATGTGTGTACATATCTGTATTATGTTCCCATGCACGTGTATCCTATTAACCCCCCGATTTTTTTTTTTTTTTTTTTTTTCTCCCGAATTCATTTGAACTCATAGAAATTGCGTTAAGTATGACGCAAGGAAAAAAGGATAGATGGGTTCAAGATCTTTCTTGCATATAAAATATGTGCATATAAACACGTTAATGCATGCGAGCCTCGTGAAGTTTACATTTTATTAGAATAATATAGATCTGCCTCCTTTTTGTTGTGTGTATTTGTGGAAATACGTGTAGGAGCTTTTCCATGCATGTGCATGCCTAAGTAAAATCTTCCCATTCGCATCTACAAAACATACGTGGAGAGAAGACCCACTTATACGTGCTTAAAAAAAAAAAAAAAAAAAAAAAAAAAAAACTCTTTTTTAACAAAAAGAAAATTTTTCATTTACCCCAAATATATGTATACGTGAAGATATACGTATATATGTACATTTTATAAACTATTTTAAGAAAAAATAAAAAAAATAAATAAATAATAAAAAATAATTAAACGCATGCAAAACAATAACAGTTTGTTGGATCACACAAACATATCTATATATACAGTAATAAAACACGGGATATGTAGAAGAGCCAATTTTGAAACAAAATATCATGTTGAAAAAACAGGACTGAACAAAGTGTGAATGAGCAAAATTGTTCTACATAATGTTTTTCTTCAATTCTTTTCTTTTCGTTCGTTCGTTTTTATCGTTCGTTCTTTTCGTTCTTTCTCTTCTTTACCTTAGATAGCTTTATTTATTTATTTTTTTTTTTGCAACTGTCCGTGCATTAATAAGCCCCTCCCACTTTCAAGCACATTCCAAAGGAAAGATTGCTATATTATATAAAAATCTTGCTGCACAAATTTTTGAATGTACAGGAAAAAAAAATAAAAATTAATACCTTATTCCCATTGTGAAAACTCTCAAATTTTCATAAGTTTGATGAATATATAGCTACATTTATTATTTTATTTTTCTCCCCTTTCCGCTGATTAAGTTAAGAAGCAAATGTTAAGGTTATTTTTTAGGGCTTCATTATTATATCTCATAAGGTAAGGAAATTCCACCAACTATCACTATGCCATAATTTTTTATTTTTATTATTAATATTTTCTTATTTTATTTTTATATATTTCTTAATTTATTTTTATATTTTTTTTTTTAATTTATTTTGTTTTTTTCCATTTTGTTATTTCCCAGTTGAGGAAATTAAGGTATCCCCGATACGTGAGAAAAATTCAGGCAGGCCCAAAGACACAAGAGGGACAAAATTAGGGACAGAGTGAGTGATTTTCGATTTATGCATAAGAAGATAAGAAAAAAGATATAGCATTTCTGTTAAAATATCCCTCGCAGAGTTATACATTTGTTAAGGAGTTCTTTTCCCCAATTTAGGAAAAAAAAAAAAAATAAATAATAAAATGATAGAAATAATACTCAACGATAGATTGGGCAAAAAAATTAGAGTAAAATGCAACCCCGATGATACGATTGGAGATTTAAAGAAGTTAGTGGCAGCACAGACGGGTAGGTTTTCTCGTTTCACCATTTTCCGCAACCCGTGAAGTTGTGCGAAAAGATATATATATATATATATATACATATGTTCACACCCCCAACTATTGTATATTACCTCCGCATGAAAGGCAAGAAACGGATATTTATTCCCCCCCCCTCATTTAGGAACAAGAGCTGACAAAATACGAATACAAAAGTGGTACACAATTTACAAGGATCACATAACTTTACAAGACTATGAAATTAAAGACGGGATGAACTTGGAGTTGTATTACAACTGAATGAATGATAATGTATTATTCAGTTATATATTATTCCACGTAAAATTTTCTTTGAACATATTGTAAAGAGAAAAGACAGCGAGGGGAAAGAGTGAGGGTGGATAGGGTATAGCGAAAAACTCAAGATACCAATGATAACCCCTTTTTTTTTTTTTTTTTTTTTTTCATTCTTTTCATTCCATGTCCTTTTAAGTGAAACATAAATAATGGAATTTTCTTTGTAATATATAAGAAATAAATAAAAATGTAATAGGGGAAATGACATAATGAGTTGTAAATTTTCTGATAATAACACACTAAGTTTAAACAACATTTAATGATTTTTTTTCTTTATATTTTATTTTAATTTAGAACAATGTAAAATTTTTTAATGTGTGTCTTTTCCCCGCAACTTTTAATTTTTTTTTTTTTTTTTTTTGGTCTTCGTTTCTTTACTATATATAAACAATGTTATATATATACGCAACAAAAAACATGCTTTTTTAAAAAAAATATTTTATCGTTATATAGTTTTTGTAAATACAGTTGTTTTCAAAACATATTATATTTAATGGTCTCTTTTTTTTTTTGCACGTTGCGGGGGCGTGGTTGCCTTACGAGAATTTTTCTTAATTTAAGGCTTATGAGATTTGGGGTGTCCCTATTATAAACTGGTTTGCACACGATAAAAAAAATAAAGAAATTTTTCTAATTTTGCAGTTTTGCAGTTTTGCAGTTTAGCGGCCTTTTAATGTTGCAACTTTGGAATATTTTTTTCTTTTTCCAAACCGAAGGGATGATATGGGGGGGGGGAAGAAAAAAAGGGTTTGTTTTTTTAATGCTTGGTTAGGTAAGCGGGTGTGACGTTCCATTCTGGGAAATTAACACAAATTGTAATCCAGCTGTTGTACGAGTTCTCACTCCAACCAATTGCGATTCTCCCATTTTCTGCCATGTCAACCTGGATTAACCGCATGGTTCACAAGGGGATCTCGGTTCGTAAGGACTAAAAAATATATATATTAACATATCACTGATAACTTTTTTTTCCATGTTAACACTTTTATGTTCGCTTTTGTCACATTTTGTCACTTTTTTGTCACTCTCTCAGTTCATTCGGACTTGTGCGTGATGGCATATTCGTGTTGGTAACACCTGTCACTTGAAAAATCTTTATTTTTTTATTTTATTTATTTTTTTTTTTTTCTCTTATCATGCTCACTCCACCATTCAGTATGTATACACAAAATACCCGTAATTATTTTTACACTATAAAGTTAGCAAATATGTAAAAGTTAAATACTTTTTTTTCTTAGCGACGTGCGGAAAAGTAGCAACGCACTTGTAGGGAAATACAAGGACGTAAAGAAAAAATAACATCATGAATCTAAGCTTAAAAAAAAAAAAAAAAAAAAAAATAAAACTGCAAAATGGATTGTAAAAAAAAATATGCAAAATGGATTGTAAAAAAAAATATGCAAAATGGATTGTAAAATAAAATATGCAAAATGGATTGTAAAAGAACATGCAAAGATGTACGAACAAACGCATGAAGGAAACGCATAGCAAAAGCGTGCATTTTCCAACGAAATCGCTACAAGTCTCGTAAAATCATCCATTTTAAAAAATACAATTAAGTCATCTTTTCCCCAAAGAAGTGGGGAAGAAAAGGAAGCCGTATTTTTATTCATTTAGTATGTTCATTTGTTGTGAAAACGGCAAAATAGCCATGTTTAGCAAAGTAAAGGAAAAAACATAACCTTAACGGACATTCATATGTAATACGCATACCATTCTTTTTTCCATTTATAAAACAAAAGGGGGGAAGGGAATAAAAATATATATACACATATATAAGTATATATATATGTATATATATATGTATATATATATGTATATATATATGTATATATATATGTATATATATATATGTATATATATATGTATATATATATATGTATATATATATATGTATATATATATATGTATATATATACTTATATATGTTTTTTTCCTCAATTTAGGAATGCATAAAAGTTAAATGTGATAGAGATAAATCCGAATCTGTAAAACTTGCACCAGAGAGAGAGAAAACTTTCAAAGGGAAGACTTAAAACAAATTACAGATATATAATACTCTCTCCAGTCCTCCCCCCACTCCACACACATACACACATTCCCTTGAGTGTATATATTTACAGGAATACAATACAAATATAGTAATAAATGTGTTTATTTATCCCATAACACCGTGTTAACAAATTTTGGAATATACTCTAAAGCAGACTTGTTAAAAACACTTTACTTATTATATTCATACACATGGTTCCCTACATAACACTGGGTTCACATGTGATTCTATAAATTGAGAAATATCTGTATAACGAGAAGGCGCTGTATGTTGTCACCCACCCCCTCCTATTCATTGTACTTGTGTAAGTGTGTGAAAAAACATAATTAAAAAAGTGCAAGATATAAGCATACAATCCAAGCAAGCACACAGAGGACTGCTATTACTTGGTAAGATAGGAACTAAAGGATACCTCTTTTTTTTTTTTTAAAAAATAAAATAAAAATGAGCAAAGGGTTGACGAAACTGCTAGAAATTAGCATATTTATTGGGGGGTTTTTGCTAATTTGGTACTGCACAGGGGAGAAAATGTTTCGAAGGAGAAAAGAAATAGTGAAGGAAAACATCTTACTAATATTAAGACATTTATGCTTAGAAATATATAAAGTATTAAATGAAACGTCTAAAACTACAAAAAGTGTGTATGATATGATAAAGAATGAACCGAACACTGTTATAGAATTAAATAAGCTGGAAGAAGTTCTACTTAATAATGGGTATAAAGAGAAAATTGAAGAAGCGGAAAAAGAAGTATTAAAAAAATTTCAAGTAAGTGTGGAAGACTTTTATGAAGAATTAAAAAATTATGAAAAAGATGAACAAGTACAGAAATATTTAAATTCGATTAAGAAAATGTATAACGAAGCCTTGTTAGGAATACAACCAAAGTTACCCTCTATTGACGAAAATATTTCACAAGATGTAATAATTAACTTAACTAGTTTAATTTATAAAGAAAAAAGAAAAATATACAAAGCAAAAATAGATTCTATGATTAAAAATAATCAAGACTTTAATTTAAATACCACATTTTCAAATTCTGAATTTTTTAACAAATTACAAAAGTCAACAGAACACGTGGAAGAAAAAGTTATCAAAGAAAATAGTAACTTAGTTCCAAATTTATTTACTTTTAAATATCTAGTCAACTACTACTCGGATGATATAAATTTTATACAAAAAAAAAAATACTTAGAATCCAAACATGGAGAAAAAATGATCAAAATTCTAAAGGTTAAAAAAAATAAAAAAAAAAAAAAAACCACAAAAGATGATGATTTCAGTAACAATGCCTTTAAAAGAACACCCAGTAAAAATTCATTAACAGAAGATAATACCAGTTCTGATAGAAACTGTTTTATAGCTACTCCTACGAAGCAGGATGTTACTGACAATAATGATGTATACGCTGTTAGCAGCGATATAAGTGCTGATAATAATGAAAACATCATGCATTCTTACCTTGAACACATGCCATCATTGCATCATCCAGAAGACCATTTTATGCAGAACGTGGATCAAAATCAATTCGAACATGATCCACAAGAAGTAGAACCCATAATCATCCATTTTCAACAAAATGCACAAAGTGCAAAAAAGGTAGCTATAGCATCCCATTCGGGTGATGAAGAGAATCTAGAAAGTTTCTATTCTTCTTCTAAAGTGGAAAATAAAAAAAATCCGAATGACGAATCATTATTTCATAATGTTCAAAAAGATCTTAATGTCAACAATATAAAATTTGAAAACAATTTAGAACAGCTAGATACTGAATATGGAGAGGATGATGAAGCAAAAACAGACAAGGAACAAAAAAATGATAACTCACAGCAAATAACGTTCCAAGATTGGGAAAAAACACAAGATATTTGTAATAACCGGTTCTATGAGAAGGATATTGAGAATGTGCAAATTGACCAAGCGCAGCATCTGACAAATCACAGTGAAATAAAAAAAATAAATAACAACCAAGAGACTAAGTATGATGCTGAAAATGATGGGGGCTGCGACATGAATGAAGAAATTCCTGAGAATGAACCCAATTCCATTCCAAATGAACAATCAGATGAAGGAAGACATGTAAAGATTCCTCCTCCACAGCAACACGATATTACAATTCCTTCAGACCTTTCCGATGAGAAAAGCAGGGAAACGGAAGAAGTGCCTGAGGAGGTAAAAAGTGGAGAAGCGTTAGAGGAGGTAAAAAGTGGAGAAGCGTTAGAGGAGGTAAAAAGTGGAGAAGCGTTAGAGGAGGTAAAAAGTGGAGAAGCGTTAGAGGAGGTAAAAAGTGGAGAAGCGTTAGAGGAGGTAAAAAGTGGAGAAGCGTTAGAGGAGGTAAAAAGTGGAGAAGCGTTAGAGGAGGTAAAAAGTGGAGAAGCGTTAGAGGAGGTAAAAACTGGAGACGTGTCTGAGGAGATAAAAACTGGAGACGTGTCTGAGGAGATAAAAACTGGAGACGTGTTTGAGGAGGTAAAAAGTGGAGAAGTGTTAGAGGAGATAAAAACTGGAGACGTGTCTGAGGAGATAAAAACTGGAGACGTGTCTGAGGAGGTAAAAAGTGGAGAAGTGTTAGAGGAGGTAAAAAGTGGAGAAATGTTAGAGGTAAAATGTGAAGTGTCTGAGGAGATAAAAACTGGAGACGTGTCTGAGGAGGTAAAAAGTGGAGAAGTGTTAGAGGAGATAAAAACTGGAGACGTGTCTGAGGAGATAAAAACTGGAGACGTGTCTGAGGAGATAAAAACTGGAGATGTGTCTGAGGAGGTAAAAAGTGGAGAAGTGTTAAAGGTAAAAAAGGAAGAGTTAAAGGAGGAACCGCTAAAGGAGGATCCTACAGAAGGCAACAAACATTTGGCAATGAAACATACGTCAAAAAAAAAAAAGAGCGGACATAAAGACTCCAAAAAGAAAAAAAAGAAAAAAAAAAAAAAGAGCGGAAAAAAAAACTCCAAAAAAAAAAAAAAAATTTTTGAAAAAAAAAAAAAAAAAAAAAAAAAAAAATAGCATGTGAATTATATGAATGTAAAGATGAAAAAAAATGTTTCCGATCTAATTGAGGATTTTTAGATATGTATTTAATTTAAAATTTTTTTTTTTTTTTTTTTTTTAAATTATCACATTTAGTATTTGCACATACAATTTTTAACCAAGCATAGATGTCATATATATGGTTTTACATGTGCATGTAAAATAGTGATAAGGCTATATATATTCCCCCTTTTTGTAGAAACCTTTTTTTTTCTTTTTTTTTTTTTTAAAAAAAAAGATACAAAATTGTTAATAATTAAGTTACGCACGTTTTTTTTTTTTTTTTTTTTTCCTCGCATGGAGCTTGAGTTTGTAATATTAAGCATATGGTGCAGTTCACCAGAAAAAAAAAAAAAAATTGAAATATGTTTAGCAAGTTCGAAAGGAAGTGGAAAAAATATACCTGATTGTCTGATTTGATTTTTGTGAAATCATTTCAGTCATATGGGAATGTTGTTTTAATTTATTTTGTTTTATTTATTAAATACGTACAATTTTAAAAGAAAAAAAAAAAAAAAAAAAAAAAACTCCTACCATTTTACGGTTCGAAAAAAGACAAATGTGGTTTAAAAATTGCAAAAGCTTTGCAAGTCCTGAAAATGCACAATTGGCTCTTCTTCTTTTTAAAATAACTGTATGATGGTTTCAATTTATGCAGATGAAAAAAAAAAAAAAAATAAAATAAAAATGGCCATACATTCGCAGCATTTATTCATTTACTTAAAAATCATATATTTTTTTTCTTCTTTTTTTTCTTCTTTTTTTTCTTCTTTTTTTTCTTCTCTTTGTTCGTCTTTTTTTTCTTCTCTTTGTTCGTCTTTTTTTTCTTTTCCCCCCCTTTGCATTAATTTGTAGTGTACACAAAATTGCAACATGCAAAAATGAAAAAAATGCGTTTGAAAAATCCTTAAAAAAAAACATGTCTTATAATTTAATTCATAAGTACAATTCAATTTACACATACATTATTACATACATATGTGCATACACTTATGTGATTATTTTATTTTTTCGCAAAACAGTTAAAAGCATATCAGAAGTGTTTCACTTTTATCAAATACATTTTGCAATTCAAATATAATTAAAAAATTGTTAAAGAGACAAACATGTTAAAAATATTTAAAAATTTATGTTAAGCCGTTAATACTTATATTTGATTATAACCCACACAAATTACACTTTCCAAGGACGAATAATTTTCTCAAGGTGTTTCTTCACCTTGTATATAACATTCTACCTGTACATATATTAACCATAACGTGCAAAGTCGAGCATAGGTACGTGTGTATATCAAAAAATAAACAAATTTCCCATAAGTACGCGTGTTTGTACATATACATATGTGCACAAGTAAGCACAGATATGCACATAAGCAGATGTAAATACATATATGCAGATGTAAATACATATATGCAGATGTAAATACACATATGTGCGTATACGCAAAACCATGTCCTCATCCCCTTTCCCTTCCACCCTTGTTTTTTTTTTCCCTAAATAGGAGGAAGAGATTTATAGCAAAGAGAGAGGACAAAATAAAAAAAAAAAAAAAAAAAAAAAATTGAAGCCCTCTTCTATATTAAGCAGTTTACAATTTTAAGCACGTCACAACTTTAAAAAAGTGTAACTTGTTAAAAGTGTATATATATATATATTTTTTTTTTTTTTTTCTTAATCATGGAACTGATATTCAAAAGCCTACCAAATTTTAGCTTGCGGTTTTTATCCATGGCTTCAGGTAAAAGCATTTTCTTTTTTTCTTTTCAATTCTGCAATGTTTTCTCAATAATTCAAGTGTGTATGGGAAAGTAGGAATAACCGTGCTACGAAAAGCTTCAAGTAGTGACACTATGAGACATGGTTTTCCCTTTTTTGCACACAAAAGTGAATATTTTCCTCATATCTATTTTGTGTATATTTTCCCCAAACCGGATCTGCCATACGCTTTCCCTATTTGTTATGACATTATCATTATACTCCTTTATTAATACATACTCCCAATGCCCTACACACCAACATAAGCACCAACAGATGCAAGAGCGTTCATATATGAAACGAACTATCTTCCCACTTAACAGGTGCACTTATGATAACTGGAGGAATATTAAACGTTTTCAACCTGTTCCAAATTGTAATAAATTTATATATTATATTATCAGGAATTTTATTAATTTTATGTGATGTGAAGACATTTAATTTTTATCGACATATCGAATTTTTATTCACTGTAGTTGGAAGAAGTTTGTTTATGCTTATAATAGGATCCATATTAATTAATAAAGGAGTTCTTAGCTTATTAATTGGCATAGTTATTATTGTTATTGCGTTTTTTTATGTAACTCTGGGTTATTTCAATGGAATTCCTTTACCTCTTCTGGACAAAAATAACAACATGACTAGTTTCCCAGATCAGAAAAACAACATTAGAAGCACATGTTCTATGGATACAAGAGATGGTTTCAACTGAAATGTAAAAATTATCTAAACAGCAAAGAAAATAAAAGAAAAAAAAAAAAAAGTGCATGATTTTTATTCGTATTGCTAAAGTTAAGTACATTGGTGATACAACAGTGCACTTACAACATGGGAGGTTAAATGTTTTCCATTTTTTTTTTTTTTTTTTTTTTTTTTTTTTTTTTTTCCATGCACACACTTGTTATTTAAAAGAAGAAAAAAAAAAAGTCTCCTCCGTATCAATGGGAGTAACCCACTATCCACCCCCATTTACGTGTTTGAAAAAGAAGGCATTTAAAATTTTTTGTATTAATGTCGTAATGAGAAAAACTCTTCTTTTTTAAAACACGCGTAAAGGGCCCGTCCTGTTGAAAATTCACATGGGTAAACATTTGTATACTGATTTGTGTCGATTCTATCTAATGCACGTATGCGTGTTCGTTTTATTTGCAATTCCTTTATTTTATTTCATCTTATTTGATTTTGTTTCATTTCATCTTATTTGATTTTGTTTCATTTCATCTTATTTGATTTTGTTTCATTTCATCTTAATTTTATTTCATTTCATCTTATTTTATCTTATCTTATTTTATCTTATTTTATTTCATCTTATTTCATTTCGTCTTATTTTATTTTTTTGTGCGCACTCATCCCTGTGGTCACGCACATCAATTTATGCCACACACACACACACCCTTGCCACAAAAATGAAAAACAGGGGATTAAGGATACAAAAAATTCACCTTTCCTATTGAGCGTTTTCTGTACCATTTGATTCGTTATTTAAATTTAATTTTATATTTTAATTTGAAATTGTGTGTTCATGTTGATTGATCACATAATATTTTGAAGAAACCAAAAAATGAATAATAAAAATAAAATAAAAAAATAAATAAATGAAATAAAATAAATTATATTAGGTTATAAACAGAGCTGATCATGTGAGAAAATGGAGACATTGTAACTATTCTTCTGTGAATTAACACATGCAATAGATAAGTAAAAAAAAAAAAAAAAAAAAAAAAAAAAAAAAAAAAAAAAAAATTTTTAAATTTAATCTCACCGAAGAAAATTAATTATTTAATCTTTATATCAAAAGGTTTTAGGAGGAACTACAAAAATATAAATAAATTTATTTCGTAAAAAAAAAAAAAAAAAAAAAAAAAAAAAAAAAAAAAAAAAAAAAACATATCCTTTTTCATCATTACGAGATTGAAACAGTGTGAACAATATTAACAGATTACTTTAGACCTATAAGAATATACATTTTTCCCATGGAGAATAAGAAAAACATTCGTACATATAGTCCGTGCCTCCTGGGTTATGAAGGAAAAAGCTGTACCTGCAATTTCGTTTTACAAATTTGTTTTCTTTATTTATTACCATAATACTCCGTCGTGGTTAAGGGGAGAGGAGATACAATTTCGCTTGCGCTTGTATCATCCTCCATTCCGCTCGTTTTTTTATGTTAAAAAGATATGGGAGAAAAAAAAAAAAAAAAGTTGAAGGAGAGTATGAGCTTGAAAAAACAGAACGACGTTTAAAAACAACACAATTGATATTTAACAAAAATATAACACTGGGAATAAAAAAAAAAAAAAAATTAAACAATGTGTGCCAGTCAGTGTAGAAGAATTAATTAAAAAGGTTAACACTTGGTAAATGGATGAATGGATAAATGAAAAGAATGAAAAAAAAGAAAAAAAAGAAAAAAAAGAAAAAAAAGAAAAAAAAGAAAAAAAAGAAAAAAAAGAAAAAAAAATTGGTCTCAACTCCTTTATTTTCCCTCATTCTCCTTCATTCTTGTACTCCACTGATCCCTCAAAAATTTGGAACAGAAAAATCGGATTTCTTTTCGTTCGCTTCACACCAAGCCTTGGCAATGGTTCTCTTCATGTCGCTATCTCCCTCTTGATACAACTGTTTCATCATGTTCATAAGCATAGCAGAGGGTTCGGCCTGCTCATCCATTTTGGGGGCCCTAATTTTGGACATGGGAGATTCCTTAAAATTCAAATTATCCCAATACTTCTGATCTTGCTTTATTAGGTACACATGAACTGCGTCTTTTTTAATTTTGAAGCAACATTTGCTAGGCACTATTTTTTCATGTAATTTTTTAATACAAAAACGATAATTTTTTTTATTCACATCATGCATTTTAACTTCAAAAGATCGTTCGTTAAATTCTGTGAAAATTTTATTCTTGTCAATATTGTGAACATTTTGAACTGTCAAAAAAACAGTAACTTTATTTCCTTCTTGGTTCCATGCAAATGACTGAACAGAATTATAGGAAATGTTACTATGGTTTAAAGGTGCACTTTTCTCACTTATTTTACTTGGTGTCTGACTTGCTTCAAGTTTTAATTTTGCTATTTCTACAGTTGTGTTTTCTATGCAATGTTTTATTTTCTCTTTTACGTTTTCTCGAACTGCCAATTTGAGCAGCTTATTTAACTCAGCGATATCTTCGTTTAATTCTGTGACTTGACGGGATTCCATGGGGGTTCTCGTTTATTTGTTTATCAATTTGAAGGAAAAGGAGAGGGGTGTGTGTGGGGGGGGTCAGAAACAGCAGCAGATGAAAAACAAATTGTGATAGGCCTGTGGGTCTCAAAAAAAAAACTGGGGGCAGCAAAGATCGAACAAGTTGCTTTGGAACACGTACGAATGCGTAGCGCTTTATATGTTTACAAATCCATAAAAATTTGTACATATACACCTTTTCTTATTTATTTTTTTTTTTTTTATTCATTTATTCATTCAGTTATTTATTCAATTATTTTCGCTTCTATGTCGCAAAATCTGAAATGATCCTCATATTCCACTTGAGTGTTATTTTATTTTACTTTATTTTATTTTATTTTTTTTTTTTCCAGTTGTGGGTTTATACTTGATGTTGAAAGAAAAAAAGGGAAAAAAAAAAAAAAAAAAAGAATTTTGTTATTATAAGTCGGCGTGGCACAAATGTAATACATTAAAAATATGTAAAGTATTTGGTAATACTGAAAAGGGAGAAAAAAAAAAAAAAAAAAACTTGGTGAAAAGGGGTGGGCGAGAAAAAAAAAAGAAACAACTTAGGAATAGGTGGGCGAGGAAAAAAAAAAAAAAAAACAACGTAGGAATGGATGGGCAAGGAAAGATCAACAACTTAGGAATGGGTGGTTGAGGGTATTACTTCTAACATATATGTGAGTGAAAATATATATATAAATGTGGTAAACTATATATATATATATATATAAATGCAATACAATGGATAACAACTTACATCGTAATGCCCTTTTTCTTTTGTGGTTCATATTTCTTCCCCATTTTTTCTCCCGCCTCATTTTCAATGTACTCGGATAATCGTTTACAGCATGTGCTACACTTTATATTTACTCATTTTACCTACTCGTTTTATTTACTCATTTTACCTACTCGTTTTATTTACTCATTTTACCTACTCGTTTTATTTACTCATTTTACCTACTCGTTTTATTTACTCATTTTACCTACTCGTTTTATTTACTCATTTTACCTACTCGTTTTATTTACTCATTTTACCCACACGTTTTATTTACTCATTTTACCTACTCGTTTTATTTACTCATTTTACCTACTCGTTTTATTTACTCATTTTACCCACACGTTTTATCAATATGCTTTATATACATACTTTATCTAAATGCTTAATGAATTTATTATCTTTTTTTTTTTTTTTTTATTTAATTCTTCCCCCTCTCAACAGAGGATAACTGAAATTCCTCTAAAATTTTCCTTCGCATAACACCTGAGCATGAAACGGAGGTCTTTTTTCTTCATGCATACCTTTTCTTGTTACTTAGCTTCCCGTTAGCATGAGATAAAATGAAAGTAATATATAAACTTTTATATTTTTTTTTTTTTAGTTTAAACTGAAAAAAGAAAAAAAAAAAAAAATTTACAAAAAGGAATAATTAATCCCATATTGGTCACTCGTAATCGCATTCCATTTAAGACCATTCAATTTTTTCTTTTTTTAACCCCTTTCAACCATTTTTAAAATGAAAATTTCAGCTTGATATTTTTTACACCTCTGTATGGTATTCAATATAACATCATACTTTTGTATAAAAACATGCAAATGTGAAGGGGGGGAGACTTAGACAGCATAACACTCTATGTACATACACAAATGTAGAGTGAAATAATTTAACGAAGGTGGTCTCACATAAAAAAAAAAAAAAAAAAAACGAAGTTTATAACCTCCCCCACCAAGTGACACGCAGACATTTAACATGTTTCATAAAATTTATTTTTATCACCATGTGTTGCCGTTCTAATGGAAAAATATTCACCGTATTGTGAAAAAAAAAAAAAAAAAACACTCAAAATGAGAAAAACAGTTAAAAAAAATAGATTTCGTATTTTTAAGAACTCACATAGAGGGAGATAAACACAACTCGGTGTAACATATTTGAAATGTGCTTCTTTCTTCCACCCCCCTCCCCCTAATATATATATATATATATATTTTTTTTTTTATTATTTGCTGTGATATTTTTATGCAAATGTAACAAATGAATTTGTACAAAAACTTATTTCACATATAGACAAGTGCACTTGGAAAAATAAATTCACGCACACTGTTCGCATTGGACAATTAATCGTTACACGCAATATTATATATTTTCATTCTGTGGAATAAAAGAGAAAAAGATCAAACCAGGTCAGTTTTACCCAAATTCATAATGTAAAAAGTGGTGAATCTAATTTTCCTGAATAGTTTATGCTGTTTAGAATTTTACCAAAAAATGGGGGTGAAATGGGAGAAATATGTGGATTCACCCATCACCACCACCAAATTATCTACAGTACAGCACACCCCACTTCACACATTTTGTAATTCCGTTTCGAAAAAAAAAAATTATAATTGGTGAACAAGAAAATAAACATACATCTTTTAGAAGGGCCCCCTCTACATGCATTAAATTATCGCATCAAGCAAGAAAAAGAAATATTTTTGCATCTATCAAAATAAGGAAAAAGACTGGGGACAGTGAGAGAATGACATGTGCATAAAATTCAATGAACCAGATATCGTTCCTACGTAAGAGAATATTGAACCATTATATTATGCAAAGAGGTGTAACCCGTCGATGGAATATTTATCAAATGCACAAAACACCCACATACACATGGATGTAAAAGGGTATATGCTTGTACGTTCATATATGAGTGTATCTAAAGTTAGATAAAATGATCAAACGAATTGGAGACCCCTCTTGATAGTGAATAGAATTATTTTTTTGTTTTATATGACCCATCTGCATCACTCATAATGGAAATTATTCTTTATACAGCATTAGAAGGAATATCATTTGCATTAGGGGTTCTACTGTTCTTATGTCATCTTATTCTTGTACGGTTTCATCATGGAAGTACTTCACTGTTTTTTTTTTTCTATTTCTCATCCATTTTATGGTTCCATTATGTGAAGAATTTTTTTCTCTCTTTCTCTCATTCACATTCTCGATCCTCATCCAATATGTTTCTTCTGAGGCTCAACCCAATTTAGAGTATCTATGAACAACTTGATAATTTTAGTTAAGTCCCTTTTCTTGTTTTGATCTTATTGGTTAGACTCTTTTTCTTATCAAATTGCAATGACTGGTGTGTATTCAACAATGTAGGTGATTTTTTTAATTCGACAGATGTAGATGATCCCTTATTGAGGGTTAAAGATTTGCTTTTTATAAGTTTAGGTAAGGTATCCCCCTTTTTGCTTATGCTAAAAGTTTTTTCTCTTTCAATTGTGGAGGAATATACTTTTTTTAAACTAGGTAATTTTGGTAGGGATTTTTTTTTCAGTATCTGTGATATGCTATTCTCATTTGTAAATGTGGAATTATGAGTTCCATATATTCTGACTCCCCCCCCACTACCTGTCATATTTTTCGTTTTTTTTTTTTTTTCTTCTTTTTCCACTGAAATATACTCCATAAATTGTGTGTTTTTATTGGATTCCCTTTTTAGAGACAAGAAGTTACTTCCTCTAGAAGGAAATGTATATTTTTTCTTCATGTCTATGTACTCATTGGTTTCATGATTAGTTCTCTCCTTACTAATGGAATCATTTTCAGTCGTAGATAATAATTTATTCTTTGCATTGATGTGTGCATGGATAGGATAATTTTTTTTCCCTACCATATGATTTTCTTCACCCTTGTTGATTTTAGTGCCTTTTTCAAATAGTATATTTTTTTCAAAATAATTTTGTTTTTTCTCTGTAATGTCTTCAAGAATAAATTTTACTAGATGTTTAACTTTACCAATTTCGATACTTAAAAATATAGGAATATTTTTTTTTTTTAAAATTTCTATTAAATGTGGCTTAAAAAAAGAGTATACAAATTTCTCTCTCGTACTGCACCTATCACTGTGGCATAGATAGAAAAGGGTGTACGTGTCTGCAATTTTATAAACAGCATAAAAAATGTTTCTCTCTTTTGTTATGTGAAGAATGGATTCTAATTTTTCTATTTTCTCAAAATGGCTTTCTATTTTATATTTATTTACATCGATAGTGAATAAAAGCAAACAAGTGCTTCTACATGGAATGAGAACCTCGAGATCATTTGACATACCCTCGTATTCATCATTTAAACCATTAAAACATTGTTTAAGTTGCTCGTTCAGGAAGTAATAATTGTACAGGTAATTTCTAATAATGGAATTGTAAAAATGATATTTTCGATTCATTTCGTTTGTAACTGGAGTTGATAAACAGTTATTATACGTAACATCAACAACTTCACTATTTATACATTTTTCTAGTTGCGCAAAATTGTTTACTTCTATCAGTGGTATATTACTGTTGTTATGAATAAAATGAAGAATATTATTTTTTAAATTGTAATATATTAATCTATTCAATTTTGTTACTTCAGTGTACTTTTTTTCTTTTTCAAAATTTTCTAAGGACACACTTTTCTTCTTTAGCATATTTTCTTTCATCCGCATTTCCTCTGCTACTGATTCATCGGGGATCCATAAAATCAAAATCCACTTGTATTTACATGTAAACTTTGCATCGTTATAAAGTATAAACATTATTTCCTTATTTAATAGCTTTCTTATATGTTCGAAATCATCATTTGTATTTTCTCTTTGTTCTGTGTATCCTTCAAGTGTGAATTGAACTGTCAATAAGGTAAAAATGTGAATGCAGAAATTCATGCAGTTATGTTCCAGAGAAGAAGGGGTAAGGGGGGGGGGAGTGAGCGGAAAGAACAAAGTGCAAGCAAACGGTGTGTCTATGAGAGATAATTTAAATGAAGAAATCATTGCGAACTGGAATTGTTGCTTGTTTTTAGCACACATGGTTGCAGTAATGATATGGGGTGTGTTCATCTAAGGTTTATTATTATGTGTGTGCAGTTTATATGTGCAACTGTGTATTTGTGCGTACTTTTCTGTGCTTTTGTATGTGTGGTAAGATTTGTCAAGTACGCGGTTCATACAATTTTTAGTGAGGGTTGTGGCCTGTCCATTTTTTGATCCCCCCCCCCTCCCCCCTCCAATCCATGACCCATGTGATGGTGTTTGTTCTCATAAAATATTGTACATTTACTGTTGAGAGAAACGAGGAGACATCTTTTATTGCTCTTTTGCTTATTGCATAGAACTATCTCCCGTTGGATAGAGGGACTTAAATTTCTCTTCATTTTTTTTTTTTTTTTTTGTTAAAAATGGTAGAATAAAAATTGGTGATAAAAAGTGGTTTAAAGACAATGCATTTTTTTTTTTTTTTTTTTTTGTTAAAAATGGTAGAATAAAAATTGGTGATAAAAAATGGTTTAAAGACAATGCATTTTTTTTTTTTTTTTTTTTTGTTAAAAATGGTAGAATAAAAATTGGTGATAAAAAATGGTTTAAAGACAATGCATTTTTTTTTTTTTTTTTTTTGTTAAAAATGGTAGAATAAAAATTGGTGATAAAAAATGGTTTAAAGACAATGCATTTTTTTTTTTGTTAAAATTGGAAGAATAAAAATTGGTGATAAAAAATGGTTTAAAGACAATGCATTTTTTTTTTTTTTTTTTTGCTAACTCCGTCCACTTGCACAAGTTTAAGAGCAAAAATTTTGTGACTTACGAAAGAATAAATTTACAAGCCAATTTTTGTACACGTTGTGAACTTTTTTTTTTTATTCTACATTTTGCTCCCCCATGTTGTGTTTCTGATGGGGGAAAACTAATTTCATTTTAGTGATGAAATTGACTTTATTTCTTTTCCTTTAAAACTTTTTTTTGATACTTTTTCACAATCCACGTCAGGTATGTTCGAGTGTGTGTAGTGGAGCAGCCATTTGTTTCAACAACAATAAAAACAGGAAAAAAAAAAAAAAAAAAAAAAAAAAAAAAAAAAACTTACATGCATATATACGTGCATACATACACACATATATATTTACCTCTAAGTACACCTGTATACCAATATATGCACAATATTATTCGTGAACCTAGACGAAATAACACTTCTGTGCAAAAAATAAAGCTAACAGAACTAACAATAGGATCTTCTCAGGGGATAAATTTTAAATGGCGGAGTGCCAAGATAGATGTCTATATAGGAATAATATCCATGTAGTGAGAAATTTACTAGTCTTAATGATATGGGTTATCTACTTCACACTTAGGTCTGGAAAAGAATGTAGTACGGGAAAATGCCTTTTTTTCTTCTTTTTTTTTTTTTTTTTTTTTTTTTTTTTCTGTACATATCAAGCACTGCTTGGGAAAAACTCAGGAATAAACAACTCTTTTTACGGTAACTGTTAACTCGTTTTTGCAACGATATTTTTTATTTTTCCATTTCGGGATGTTCTGGTAAAAATGGGACATCATGCTGCGCTTCCACTAAATGAACGTCCATTGACTTATTCTTACAAATTTTTGCTTTCACACATTTTTTTTTACACGCTTTTTGTTACTTTCATTGTTACAGTTTTGATACCCTTTTGGGAATTTTTTTTTTCTCTTTTTTTTTTTTTTCGTTCTATTTTCAATTTTTTTCCAAAACTTTTTGCTGTATTTCCCCCCACCTTAAATTGAACTAATCGTATCACCATTACGGAAGTTTTTTGCCTATCTATTTTATCTACATCGAAAGGAAAATAAAATTTGCAAAATTTTGAATAGAAAGAACAAAAAAAAAAAAAAAAAAATTATCACATGTGAACAGTAAAAAAAAATTTGTATACATACAAATATGTAAATACATTTATAATATGTGTATTGTGCAAAAATATATACATATAATGCTATAAAAACCTTTGTGTCAAGCTGCTGAGTCCATTTTTTTTAAAGGGCGTAAAATGCCTTAAAAGAATGACGGCGAAAATTTTGCTAGTCCATTTGGTTACTGATTTCCACTTTTTAACCTCTTTTTTTCACACGTTAACTATTTTTTTGCATACTGTTTTGATTTTTTTTTTTTTTTTTTTTTTTTTTTAGTGTATACCCCCGAGATATAGCACAGTTAATAAGAACACAATAATTACCTAGAAAAGCGAAGACGAAAGAAAAAGGAAATATACATAAAAGAGAAAGAGTAGATAGAACGATTAATGGTAAAAAAAAAAAAAAAAAATAAATAAATGAACAATTCAAAGACTCTTAAAAATATGAACCTTTCCAATATCTTCAAGTGGTAGTGCTTGACGTGCTACATCAATTCCTCAATAAGAGGAAAGAGAAAAGCTACAGGTAAAAATGAAAATAAAAAAAAATAAAAAAAGTCATGCCAAACCATGTCACTATTGTTCAAAGTCATGCCAAGTTATGTCATTATTGTTCAAAGTCATGCAAAGCCATGCCATAGTTGTTCAAAGTCATGTCATTAAGAACCCACATTAATACATACAAAAAAATTAACGCAAAAAAAAATAGATAAAAAATGTCGAAATGGAGTATTAATAAAAAAAAGCGGAAGGGAAGATATAGCAGTAGTGAACACAGCAATAAAAGCATAAAAATGAGGAAACGAAAATCATCATGCACCTCAAGTGATGATAGTACAAGAAAATGCAAAGGAAGAAAAAGGATACATGAGAGGACTAGGTCTTCATCCCATTTATTAGAGGAAAGAGGAAGAAAAAATGACACGTCGCATAATAAAACGAAATGCGAAAAAAGCAAAAAAAGAACAAAAAGGGAAGTGTCACTTGATTACCCAGAGGGGGATCGCTATAGAAGTAGTAGCAAAGATTATTCTTCTCCCAGAAGAAGCACATCCATTCGGAGAGGAGGCACATCCATTCAGAGAAAAATCAGAGCGAGTAAAACAAATTTCAAGAAAGCAGAAAAATATGCCTATTCTAGTAATACCGAAAATTCAGTCAGAAATAGTGACTCTAAGGAGGGAGGGGAAAATAATAATTATGTTAAAGAAAAGAGTGTAAAACAACGTAATAAAATGGGAGAAGTAAATATAGATTCAGATACTCATGAAGAAGTGGAGAGAAACGCAGAAGGAAGAGGAAGGAAAAAAAAAGCAAAGAAAGAAAAAGAAGCTGAAAACTCCCATAAAATATATTATGATAAGAGTCAGAGAAAGACGAAAACAAAAATGAAGAAAGAAAAGTTTAAGGAAAGATACAAACATAGCAGCAATTCTTCCGATGAGGAAAACAAAAACGTGCGCCATGTGAAGGGAAGAAATCGATCAAATGATCGAAGGAAAGAAGGCATAAATTTAAAGGAGAAAAACAAATCAAATAATAAACAACATCGGAAGGAGGAACATGACAAAACATTTTTGGAAAATTCTACTAAGAAAAGAAAACGACACCATGATAGCAGTTCTTCAGATGGAATGAAAAAAATAGTTCAGTCAAATGTGGGCAGAAGCAATAAGAGAGAAATAAAAAGAAGCATATCCATCACCTCAGGGGACATGGGCTCCGAAACAAAAAGAAAAAATCATAGACAAACAAAAAGAAGCAATCATAACGAAACAAAAAGAAACAATCATAACGAAACAAAAAGAAACAATCATAACGAAACAAAAAGAAACAGTCAAAGCGAAACAAATAGCACATCGAAGAATAAAAAACGGGAAAGCAAGGATGATATTGTACTTCACGCTAAGAAGAAACCACCAGGATACAACACACGCAGCAGGAGAAGAAGGAATGAACCATATATATCATCTAGCTCAAAAAGTTCATACAATGGGGAAAAAAGAAAGAGTTCCTCGACACGCCATAAAAATCACAGTTCTTTAGCTCATTCAGATGTACTGAGGGGACACCATCTCTTCGAGAAGGAGAGTGGAAGAAATACAGACATCGTTAAAATGGGCAAAGAGAGACGGGAAAGGGGAACAGATGATCGAAACAGTGGGCACATTGGATACAACAGAAGAAGAGGAAGAAAAACTCCAAATGAAAAAAACAAAGAGAAAGGGAAATGTCGCAACGAGAAGAATGTCAACAGTTTGGCTAGTAGCTCAGTAAGCAGTTTGGAAAATAGCTCAGTAAGCAGTTTGGCTAATAGCTCAGTAAGCAGTTTGGCTAATAGCTCAGTAAGCAGTTTGGCTAGTAGCTCGCTAAGCAGTTTGGCTAGCAGGTCGGTAAGTAGTTTGGCTAGCAGGTCGGTAAGTAGTTTGGCTAGCAGGTCGGTAAGTAGTTTGGCTAGCAGGTCGGTAAGCAGCTCAGATGGAAAAGCAAAGTCGACTAATGAAGGAAGGAGGGGAAAAAGAAAGAAAGGAAAGGGGCTCAAAGGGGATCGAAAAGATAATCCACACATGGGTTCGAAAATGGGTTCGAAAATGGATTCAGAAATGGATTCAGAAATGGACCCAGAAGTGGATCGAAATGGGGCTCCCCGAATGAACCGTAAAACAAGGCGAAGAGAAAACTCCGAGAAATCATTTGACCCCTTTGAAGAGGACATAAAGGGAAAAATCGAAATTAATGAAGATCTAATTGAATATGCAAAGAAGAAAATTGCAAATGTAACAACAGATGATATAGGAAGATCTGGAGGAGTGTACATACCACCATTCAAGTTAGAAAGACTTAAGAAGGAGGAAACTGATAAGAAAAGTAGTTTATATCAAAAGCAAGAATGGATGAAGTTAAAAAAGAAAATAAACAATATAGTAAATAAAGTAAATATAGACAATATAGGAGAGATATGTTACGAATTATTTGAATGTAATTTGATAAGAGGCAAGGGAATATTCAGTCGCGCAATATTACATGCACAGTTAAGTTCCCCAGCCTTTACTAACGTTTTTTCAGCATTGTTATGTATTGTGAATTCAAAATTTCCAACAATAGGTTTATTAACAATACAAAGAATAATTATACTTTTTCGAAGAGCATATAAAAGAAATGATAAAATTCTTTGCTTCAATAGTGTAAAGTTTATAGCTCATATGATTAATCAAAGAATACTTCATGAAATTGTAGGATTACAGTTATGTTCCCTACTTTTACAAAACATAACAAATGATTCGATTCAAGTGTGTACATATTTCTTAGCAGAGGTTGGTCAACTTTATATGAATATTTGCCGAAGAGGAATTGATATAATTTTTGATAGATTGAAAGATATTATACAAGAAGGGAAGATAAATATAAAAACACAATATGATATTGAAAAATTGTGGAATTATAGGAAAAACTACTTTAGTGATTTTCCAACAGTTCTTGAAGACTTAGACTTAATTGACGAAGAGGAAAAAATTGTTCATGAAATTGACCTACTTGATGAATCATTTGAGAATCAAGAAGAATTAAACATATTTAAGGAGGTTCCTTATGAGCAGTACGAGGAGGAAAATCTGGAATGGAAAAACATTGCAAATGAATTACTTCATGGAGATGGCACCGATCATGGAGGAAAGAGAAAGCCGGACGAAAGAACTCGTGGGGAAAACACGTCTCTAACTAGCCAAAGTAGCGGAAATGAAAGTGGACGAGGCGAGAATGAAAGTGAACAAAGCGAACATGAAAGTAGTTACCAAAGCAGCATCGACTCAGAAAACGAGAATCGGGATTGTCGAAGGAAAAAGGGATCGAACAGCTATTGCCAGATGGGGGAAGAAGGTAGTAGTAGTGATGGTGGTAGCGATGGACGGGATGGCAGTGGCGAAGATGAAGGCAAAGAAGAAATAACAGACATGACAGAACAGTATCTAATAAATCTGAGGAAAAATGTATACCTCTCAATCATGTCATCACTAAGCTTCGAAGAGTGCGTTCACAAATTATTAAAATTGAATATAAAACAAGGGTACGAAATAGAAATATGTAACATGCTAATTGATTGCTGTTGCATGGAAAAAACTTTTCAAAAGTTTTATGCCCTACAAGCAGAAAGATTATGTAAATTAAAAAACATATACCAAGAAAATTTTGAAAAATGTTTCCAAAATTCATATAATACAGCGCATAGATTGGAAACGGCAAAATTAAGGAACTGTGCAAAATTATTTGCTCATTTGTTATATACAGATGCCATCTCTTGGAGTATTTTCACCAATATAAAATTATCCGAAGAAGATACTACATCTTCAACAAGAATTTTTATTAAAATTCTATTACAAGAATTAACCAATAATTTAGGAATGCAAACATTTTATCATAAAATTAATCACCCAGCTATATCACCTTTTATGACCGGCTTATTCCCAACCAACAATGCCCAGGACGTTCGATTTTGCATCAACTTTTTCACCGCCATAGGTCTTGGTGCTTTAACTTCCTCCATGCGGAAGTTGCTTCAGAGCTGAACAGATAGGAGCAGAAAAAAAAAAAAAAGAAGGGTTTACCCTTTTACCTGCACTTTTTTTCTCATTTCCTTTTGTAGAAGCGGAGATGAAGAGGTTGTGAATGGGCAAATATGAAAAGATTATGAATGGGCAAATATGAAAAGACTATGAATGGACAATTTTGAAAAGATTATGAATGGGCAAATTGGAAATTATTATGATTGGGCAAATTGGAAATTATTATGATTGGGCAAATTGGAAATTATTATGAATAAATAAATTTTATGAGATTGTGAAGGGGAAAAAAGGAAAAATAATTTGATCTTTGAAAAGAAACATAACATCTTCAAGGGTGTAAAAAAAAAAAAATAAAAATAAAAAAAAAACCAACAACGAATTGAGTATATATCCAACTGGTATATATATATATATTATCACCCCGTGGGGACAGGTACATCCACGTGAGAACACTTGTGTATAAGTAGATATACATAATTCAAATCCCTCAAGTTTACACCTTTCCAAAATAATGAAAATGGTTTATATCTGCACCAGCTTGTTTTTTTGTTTCATCCCCAACTTCTCCTATGTCAGTGGCGTACACATGTGTTACGCATTTTTAATTTTTTTTTTTTTTTTTTTTTTTTTTTATATTTCAACATAATACATTTTTTGTTTCAATTTATGATATGTTTGTCTTCTGCCTTGAGATAATTAGAGACGCCGCCTGCAACTGCGAGTAGAAAAATGCATGGTGTGGATGTTTTGCACAGGAATGTATTTGTTCACGAATATGTTGCAGAAGAATATACTTCACATTGATATGTTACATAGTAATCGAATTCACACGTGAATATTTTGAAAACGAATGTGCTGCTTGCACATAGTCATATGCAACGAATATGGAAAGAGAAAAAACTATGCAATCCTTTGAAGAAATTCTCTTTTCATTTTTATATACGCTTCTTACCATCAAGGAGTACTTGTATGCCACATCCTCCATGCAGGAGTTCAATGAAGAAATTCTTGAAAACAGGACTTCATTTTTTTGCTCAATTTTGTTTAACCTCTCTAAATATAGTTCTGTTTCTGCGTGTGCCCAACATGGAAAGGATATAACAGAAAAAGGAAAAAAAAAAAAAAAAATTGTAATAAAACGTGACATTCGTATGTTAGGAGGACCAATGTATTATATCCATGTAGCCATACGGGAAAAAAAAAAAAAAAAAAAAAAAAAAAAAGTTTCTAGGTTACATCAGAGTGCAAGAAAACACTTCTGAGTTCCAAATGAAGGAACAGATTTTGCCCTTTCATTAAAGAAGTAATACTTCCATACTTACCTGACATTTTATGACTATTTATATGCTCCTTTAATTCCACAATTTTTTGAATTTGATTACTGTAACTTTTCATAAAATCCAGGTGGGATAATATAATGTTTCGCTTGTATTCAAACGTGTTGTATACATCTAGAATACTGTTGCTGTGAATGTAGATGTAAAACTCGTTGTCTAAAAGATGTGTGAAGATAAAGAAGGGGGAATATTTTAAAGATGTTGACATTACCACGAATATGTACTCAATCTTTTTGCAAATCTTTAGATAAGTTTGTAACAATCTTTTCAAGCTTGTAACCACGCGCACAATGGGGAAAACCTTTTGTATCTTTCTCTTTTTCTTATTTCCTCTAGGATAGAAACTCATTTCACGTTTCATTATTTAAAACATTACATTGGTTGTAAATATCATGGAGGAACTCCTTCGCTATCTGTTGAAGGATCAATTTGATGGTGCATATATGTACTGCCATACTGTTTTGGTGCCCATGCTTTTTAATCGTTTCTATAATTTCATCCTTGTGGATACCTGTGAGGTCTTGGTAATACCGAAAAAAAAAAAAAAAAAAAAAAAAAAAAAATGATGCATATACTCTTGCCTTGTTATAACCACTATTTGTAATTGTATGTGTGTATAAACATGTGTAAAAAAACGCATGAAGAAATGTTAACCTTGAGATACATTTTCCAAGCGTGACTTTATCTCATTGAAGTCCTTTTCATCTTCTCTACTTGGTTCAATGTCATCATTTTTACCATTATCAGAACTAGCATGTGATCTATTTAAATATTCACTGTCTCCATTTTCGAACGTTTTTTCATCATTCGCAAATTTCTCATCATCAGGAAACTTTTTTGCATTATTCCCTTTTTCATAAAATTTTATGCTACCTATAGCATGTTCTATTTTTAACATCCTGTTTGTGAGATTCTCCAAAAGTGCTTTTTTTTCTTTACAATTTAATTTCATTTTTGTGGGCACAACATAATAGAGGGGAATAAGTTCAATTGTTTTTTTACCTTTTTTTTTGCTTTTTTTTTGCCTTTTTTTTATGTTAATCTTGTGTGTCAAAAGGAAAATTTTTCCGATTGTTGGTTTTGCGTGTAAATAATTCATTTCACGTTGAAGTTAAGAAATGATTTAATGCAATGGACGGCGGTGGAGTTATGAAAAGTTGCTTCTCACAAATGTGTAGTTACGAATATGAACATGCACAAGTGCACACAAAATAAATGTAAACACACACACACACACACGTGTATTGTCCGTGTTTGCATGCATAAAGAGTTTCCACGGGTTGGGCTACTTCATTTGTGTGTTACTAGCAGTAGTAAAAATTAAAAAAAAAAATTTCCCTTCATTGTTCATTCTTTATAGTTTATCGTTCGCAATTCGTTCTTCACTTTTCTTGTGGTCCCTGATTTATGCTTTGTCAGCCTTAACATCACGTGAATGCTCGAGGGGTGAGATATATGTATACTTTCACTGCCATGTTCAAATTTGTATACACATACAGGTGTAAGTGCACCACAAAAACAAGCAAAATGGAAGATCTTGATTTACACTAGTCTGAGCAAATTGCAAGAGATTTCCGTTAAATTACCATAGGCGAGAGAAAAATTTGAACTTTTCATAAAAAAAAAAAAAAAATTTTTTCTAGCATTTAAAAAAAAATAAGGGTAAACTGATCTCTTATTTGAATTACACAATTCGTGAGGTGGGTAGGTGTAATCGCATAAATGTTTAATGGACAGAACGGGGGTATAATGATACAAGCATGAAAATAAAAAAAAAAAAAATAATTGAAGCAGAAAAGCAAATGAAACAGAATAATAAATGAAGAAAAAAATAAAAGAAGGAAAAAAATAAATGAAGCAACAAGATAAATTCAAGTTGCCTAAAAAATCGACTTCATTTTTTTTTACCTTGTCAATAACTTATGCTCTTTTGTCGCAGATCTGTGAATAACGTATTTACAAATATTTTTAATTTTGAAATTTTACCATTTTGTATTTTTAAAATTTTGCAACCTTGCAGTTTGTAGCTGTGCAGTTAGTAGTAGTACAGTTTGTAGCCCTGGAGGTTGCAATTTTACAATTTTGTGCTTTGTTTAAATAAGCGACAAAAGGCATACACAATTACACGTACATACACACAGGTATTTTCGATTTTGTCACATTTTTTCTTTTTTTTTTTTTTTTGTTCTGCATAGATTTTACAAGGGGTCTCACCAATAAGACAAAAAGTTCATGCATATTATTTTGTGTGAGAGGAATTCCCTTGAAGTTAGTGTGTTTATTGAATGTTCCTCTGAACTTTAAGTTATTCCATGTGTAAGGGAATAAGAGTGTAATGCATACGTCCTGAGACGTATGCCAGAGGATACCTAAAAAAAAGAAAAAAAAACTACCCCCTAAACCAAAATAAACCAAATCCAGCCACACTAAAATAAATTAAAACATACTAAACCAAACCAACTGAACATATACAAAAATTTGCTGAACATGCAAATGCTCATTTGCAAACTTTTTTATAAAAGTACGCTATCAGACTGCCTTGTGCAAAATCTACCGTAATCCCCCATTTGTGCAATCCAAAAAAAAAAAAAAAAAAAAAAAAAAAAAAAAAAAAAAATATGGTACGAGAAGGCATTAATCCCAAAAAAAAAATAAAAGTGAATAAGATCTCCTCCATGTGCAAGAAAGTTGAGAAAAATGAATTCCAAGGGTCAAGGACAAAATACCGAGTAATTGATAATAAGAAAAAGGAAAATTTGGAAAAACATTACACACGAGGAAAAGTCTGGCTGTACGATAAAATAAATAAAATATATGCAAATTTGAACATATTTAAGATGAATATCCAAAGACGTAATCATCATCGTCATCGGGATCCTGATGATAGGAAGAAGAAGAGGAAGAGAGAGGAGCAAGGGAATGGATACATTGATGAACAAAAAAATAATAAGTCAAAAATGAGAACATTTGAGGATATTTTCAATATGGACCTGGAAGACTCAAAAAAAACGAGAAAATACCCCACCCAGTTAACCTCCTTTGAACATGTAGAAATTTTAAAATCCTTGTTATGTATATACAAATTTTACACATCATGTGATAGCAACTGTGAGGTAAGTAATATCCCTTTGGTGAGTGCACATAAGAATTCTCCAACAAGGAAAAACAATATAGTATTACAAGATGAGGAAGGAAAAAAGTATAATGGAAAAACCAGCACAATAAGTAATAGGAACGAATTCTTGTGCCATATACAAAATTATAAAATGAAAGAATGCGATAAATATAACAAAAGTTTTAATGATATTTTTTCACACATTGTGAATGAAGAATGTGGATTTTTTTTTATACTAAACACTATATTTTTTACAAAATTAAAAAATTATTACTATTTTGTAGACATAATAAATGTTTTAAATTATATGGGAATTCATAATACTGTCAAAATAGACGATGAAAATAAAAAAAAAAATGACTTAATATATCAACAGATTGCCTTATTTGTAGAAAATTGTTATAATTGTCTTATTTATGACATAAATCAAAACACAAAATGCTGCTTAAACAATCAACCATGTGAAAGTGGAATATATACAAATTTAGTTCACGCAAGAAAAAAACATTTAGACATTATTGAAAAAGTAAAAAACAATTTAGAGACTCTAAAAATGGAAAAATCAGATGAAGAACTTTTATACATTTCAATGAATGAATGTAATAAAAAAATATACGAGGAATTTAGTAAAATTCCAGACTTGTTTTATGACATATCAGGAATTACTGAATACAGCAAGAGTGACCAATCAAAGGAAGGAGAAGATGTACATATTGGATACACTCCAAGTGAAATTATTCCCCCGCAAAACAGTATCGACAATGAGAAAACAAGTTTAGGAAAAAATGATACAATTTCACTGTATAATGAAAATGATTATGGAAAATCATTTACATATGATGATTTGAGAAATAATCATCACATTTTAAAAAACTCCATTTCGACCAAATCGAATTTCGATTCTTTTCTTGGATGTTTTCATAAGAACCATTCTTGTAGCACGACTAAAAATGATATGGAACGAAATGATAGAATTTTCAATCATCACAGTTTTCCATTTAATAACCCAAATGAACAACCGTGGAACACACATACATGGGTGAACAACACAAATGACTGTAACAATTCACACAATGCTCATCCAAATGAAAATGTTGGAAAGGGTTACATAAAGAGTTTTTTCGAGAATTTATTTAGAAGAGAAAAAGTGAAACAAACCTCGAAAGAAAATGAATTCTCGAAAGAAAATGAATTCTCGAAAGAAAATGAATTCTCGAAAGAAAATGAATTCTTGAAAGAAAATGAATTCTCGAAAGAAAATGAATTCTTGAAAGAAAATGAATTATTCAATTGGGGTAACAAAAACTCCTTGCCAGAACAGGACTATCAAAGAAAGGAAATTAATTTGCACTCATCAAAGGGCGTGAAGGAAAATATTGCAAAGTGCAGCACGCATAAAAAAAAAAGCGTGTCGATGAATGAGAAAAACATTGAAACCCTTGAAGTTAATCCACTACACAATCCAAATTGTAACAGTGAAGATGCAACAACAGGCGTAGGAGAAAAATGCCCAAACCGACGAGAAGTCAAAAATTCAGAGAAGGAAGATGAATATATGAGTAACAAGTTAATACAAGGATGTTCTACTGATATCGAAGAAGAAAATAATTCATCTCAATACAATGTGTTTGGAGAAAGAAAAAAAAAAAATAACATCGAAAAATTGGAAAAATCACATTCAGAAGAACACAATGACATGAGCAATCCTGATGATATAAATAGAGACACACCTAATGATGGATCTGTCATGGTTGAAAATGTGTGTGTACAAAAAAAAGAATATGCAAAATATAGACTTATGGAAGAATGTGAACCTAACTTCGCCAGAAAGAGTAACAAGATAAAAGAAGAAATATTAACATACGAAGAGACAAATGAAAGGGAAGAAGTCGAAAAATGTTTCGAAAGAGGAAGTTACGACCATATATGTAACAAAGATAATGAAACAGAATTGGTAAAGTCACACAAGGATGAAACTAAATTTGTAAGAAGTGTAGATGAAGAACAGGAAGAGAAATCAGAACAAGATAATTTATCAAATATACCACAAGTGAATGAAATTGAAGAGTGCAAAATTGAACAGCACGATAATGAAGAAATAGAATCTGCAAATAATGGCCATTTAATGGAATCACGTTCATATGAATTTAATGAAGCGTCAAATGAGGCGTTAAATGAGGTGTCAAATGAGGCGTCAAATGATGCGCCGAATGATGTATCGAATGATGCTATAGACGATGATAAAACTGATAAGCAAAATGAAAGTAATCCCAAACCATTTGAGGAAAATTTCCAACAGGCAGATATAGCAACTGTGTGCGAAATTGAATATCAGGAAGGAAAGGAAAATCATAACGATTTAAGTGATATTTCAAAATGTGAAATCTATCAATTCCAAAATATGAATAATGAGAAGGAAACTAAGGAAGAACATTCAGAGAATATTACCCCCAATGGAAATGCCTCACACCCAGAAAAGAAAATTGTAATGCTGAAAGGGGTGGAAAATTTAACCATAACTGGCAAATCTGAAACAAATGTTTTCTTAGAGGATGAAATAGGAAAAGATACGTTAACAAGTCAGCCAGAAATAAATAGTTCCTTTGTAGGTGATGGAGAAAAAAATATAGAGAGCCTAAGAGAATCTCCTAGATATGTAAGCGAGCAGGATGATATGGATAAAACAAGTTATGGCAAACCTGTTGAGAATGTTGAATGTGATAATAAATCAAGTGAGGAGAACAACTATGTTGCAAGAAAACATGGTGAAGACGATTATTCATTGGAAGGAAACAGTGATGAAGAACATGACAACTTCAAAAGTTCTGAAAAAAATCAAAGCGCAGAAGAAGAAGAAGAAAAGGAAAATTTTAGCCTGAGTGATGAAGAGAGTGAATCGGAAAAATCAGACACAGCTTGCACATTAGATGATAAGGATTCCATCTTGAGTGAAGAATCAAATTATGATGAAAAGAATAACGAGGTGATTATTAATTTTTTAAAATGTAAAAAAGGAAATGTGGACAGAGGTTGGTACATTGAATACCTGAAGAATTTACTAAGATGTGATGAAAAATGTACAATAGAAAATCATACAGAAGAAAAAGATTTATTTATCAAGAAAGTGAAAAAATTATGTTATTTAATAAAAAATAAAAAATTTAAAGAAAAATATATAAAAAAATGGGAAAAAAAAATATCACTTTTTAAATGTTCTAAATTACAAAGGGCTTATAAAATATTTCTAGTAATCATGTTTTCTATAGTAAAAGAAATAAAAGAATTAAAAAAGGAGCTAAAAGACATGCATCAATTTATTTTTATCAATTCAGGTATTGAAAATTATTTAAATGAAAATAATATATCTATTGTTAAAAAGGATGAAAACAATGATATTATTATGAACACTTTTGATACTCATGAACATCAGGTCAATAACAATAATGTAATTAATAACTTCTTTTTAAGGAAAGGCTTTTCAAATGATGAGAATGATCTAGAGGGTGATGATAAAATGGAAAAAAAAAAAAAAACCAGAAAAAAAAAATATATTTCCTATGTCCCGCTACACAACTACAGCATCTTGTTCCAATCGTTAAAAGAAATATTTCACGAAAAAAATATACAAGACAAATTAACGCACATTTCTTATTACATCGAACTAGATAAATACATACCTCATTATTGTAAAATATTTTTTGATAAATTTAAAATTAAAGCAAATCATTTATCACACATCCAGAGTTTGTATAAGAATTCTACACCTACAGTCTCCTGTGTAAACATGTTTATCTCATGCTTAAATTATAATTATGCGAAAATTCATAAAAAAAAATCTATTTTTAAGTACGAATTAAGTAATACCTATCTGTCAATTCTTCCCGCAGTATTCTGCTGTGATATTCAAAAAATTAAACATGTAGAATTTTTAAAGTTAAAGGAAACTTGTCAAAAAATTATTAAAAAACAAAAAATTTATGAATATTTTGTGGATCATCTTTCATCCTACCAATTTGATGAATCCTACTTTATTATTCCATTTTTTACATCATATGGAAAATTTTTAATACTAATTAAAACTGGAAAAAATGACATCTCAGAATATTCCGTAGATGTGTTAAAAAATAAAAATTCTATTACATATGATATCCTTATTAACAGTTTTGTTTTCCCTAATGGCAGTAGCTTTCAAGCCATTGTTCATCTTTCCCACATCTTTATAAAAACATTGAGGAATTCTTTTAAGACTAGGAATTCTGACGAAAACATCCCAGATATAACCTTCTCCAGCTTACCCCTCATAAACAAACAGAATCTCATATATCATGAAATTGAAGCAGACACAAACAGGGCTGATATTATTATCAACATGCTTTTCTTGTTGGAATCCTTTTTTAAGTAAGATATTTCTCACAAACTGTTCCTTCTCTCGCGTGCACACCCCTTTTGGAAAACGATTGATCAATCACGTTATTTTTTTTCCTTTTTCTTTCCCCATCCTTATTTTCCTTCTTCTTTCCCTATCCTTATTTTCCTTCTTCTTTCCCTATCCTTATTTTCCTTCTTCTTTCCCTATCCTTATTTTCCATCTTCTTTCCCTATCCTTATTTTCCATCTTCTTTCCCTATCCTTATTTTCCTTCTTCTTTCCCTATCCATATTTTTCTTCTTCTTTCCCTATCCATATTTTTCTTCTTCTTTCCCCGTCTTTATTTTTATTTTTCTTTCCCCCTTCTCGTTCCCTTCCATTTCACCCCGTTTCAGCAACACGAAAAAAATGAAGGCCCCAATGGAATTCAATCAAGGGTTGCGCTTTCTGTACATTGTTAGACTGCTAGAATTTTTTCACGAAAAAGATAAAAACTCTGTAGGCAGCAAATGAAAATAAAAAGCAAGTTTTCTCTATTTTTAATGTCAAAAAGGAAAATTGTTCTATGATCAACATGAATACATATGTATTTTTTTTTTTTTTTTTTAAATATTTAAGTTGCTAAAATTTGGAGGAACAAAATAAAAAAACATACACAAGAACATATTTTAAAATGAAAACTGTTACACATTGTTTGCACAAATCACTTCCCATACAATTTAACCTGAATATGCATAATTTATATTACCGTTTAATATGATATAACGTGCTAAGATGTATGATTATACATTATAGGTGCATATCACTTCTAAACTACAATTTGACAAAACAGCATCCCCTTTTTGCATTCTACTTAATTCATTTATGAGCTTCTATGAGAGAAGTGAGTATATGCTTGGGAGATACATTCATATAAAATCAGAAAATTAATTTTAAAAATATCAGAACCAAAAAATGTAAGCTATATATAATAGTATATGTGATGTGTGCATTCTCACCTTTACTTTTTTTTTTTTTTTTTTTTTTTTTTTTTTTTTGAGATACTTAAAAATGAAACATTTTTATTTAATAATCATGTGAAAAATGTTTATAATCATAGGCGGAAGGATAACAAAAAATAAAAAAAAAAAAATAAAAAAAAAAGACAAAGAAAGAAAGTAAGAATTAATGTGATGGCGCGTAATACAATATGACAAGATGCTTAAAATTATGTAGAATTCAGCAAGGTGTAACAAAACAAAATATGGTAACTCACATAGTAAGAATTGGAGTATCATACAATGAATTACCATGAAAAGACGCCAATTTTATTTTTAAATAAAACGAATGAATGGATGGATGAATGGATGAATGACAAATTGGAGGGGTGCAATTTTCTCCTTACTCTAGTTGCATCGAATTTTCTTATATCCATGTTCATGTGCATAAGTAATCATGAATATACGCATGGAATGTTTGACAAATATGATACAAATGCATAGAGTCTGCCCTCAACCCAAAAAAAAAAAAAAAAAAAAAAATCTACTGTGTGAGCAGAAGGAAACCCTACTATACCCATCATATAATCAAATATAGACAATAGATTGGGAAGACTACATCATTGCAAACATCTGAAAAGGCGGATATAACTAATTTGGTATTTTGAAAGTGGCATATATAGGAAAGTGATCACTAGGGTGATGTATGTTGGTACATTTGTAAGGAATAAAACCTAGAAGAAATTTTATAATATGTATAGGTCTGTAACCCTTTTGTATAGCTGTTTGTGGAACTAGAGTCTTCACATTCGAATCATTATTAATTAGGATGTAATCTAAAGTATAATTATATTTGAAAGAGTAATCGTGTTCCATATGCATACAGTAATCATTTAAATATGAATCGTACGTTGTTTCCAATTCTTTTTTTGTAACAGAACTATTTAAAAAATCATCTGATAACATCTTATCGAATAATAATTTATCTATATGATATCTAATATTAAAATCTCCAACGAAAAATAAGGCTTCATCTTTTTTAATAAATTCACTTGGTGTACCATTATATACCCAATTACTCAACTCTTTCAGTTGTTTCAATCTACAATTTTGTTGATCCTTTGTATCTCCAGCTTGTAAATGTGTTGCTATGATGTTAAGAGGTTTGTTGTTTACACTGCATTTTAAATATATGGCACCCTTCCTACAAAACATATCGGGAAATTTACAGCTATTATATATTAATGCATGCTTGTGTAAAATTGCATGCTTAGATAAAACAATTACTCCTCCGTTTAAAATTTGGTAAAATCGAGGTTTTCCCGTCACAGAGTCAAAATTGACCAAATCTTGTTGGCTGTCTTTTTTTTTTTTTTTTCTCATAATTTCTCGCTTCTCCTCTTTCGAATTCTCATCACACCTAGAACTATTTGCTACATTCATTTTAGAACTTTTTGTGTTATCACAATTTTCTCTCATATTTTTTCCTATGTCATTGTTATTATTTTGTAAGTTCACGGTTTCAACCCATTTGTTTTTTTTTTCGTATTCGTTTATGCTTCTGTCTATTTTGTTCTTAAGCCGAATATCTGCATTGGTAAGTGATTCAACCTGTTGATTGTCTTTCTTGTTGATTCCTTGAGATCCTCTCAAATTTTTCACAATATTTTTAGAGCTACATATACTATCGCTCCATCCTTTGTATGGATTATCACTATGATTGTGATCCACCTTATAGTTCAGCTTGTCATCCTCAATCATTTTCTTACTGTTCATATTTTTATTTTCCCCTTTTCCATAACTGATAATTTCATTGTCCGTTTCATTGCAACACGCATTGTAATCATTACATGTATGCTCTATTATGTTTGCACTATACCTTCTACTACTTATCCTGGTTCTATTCATCACGGCATTATAATCGTTACTGCTTCGATTGTCCGTTTCTTTGACTCCTCTTTCCATATTACACTTGAGAGATAAAAAACATTCAGGATATTCCTTACTGTTTGTATCACTTGAATCATAGATTAGCGTTTCTTCCACGTCTTCGTTGTCATTATTATTTGTGCCGCATGTGTGAAAAGTTGACATTTCCTCCTCTTCTACCACGTTTGCTACTTCTACCAAGTTTGCCACTTCTACTTCGTCTTCCACTTCTACTTTGTCTTCCACGTCTACTTCGTCTTCCACTTCTACTTCGTCTTCCACTTCTACTTCGTCTTCCACTTCTACTTCGTCTTCCACTTCTAATTCGTCTGCTACTTCTACTTTGTCTGTCACTTCTACTTCTTCTGCCTCTTCCTCTTGCGTTTCTACTTTTCGAGTTGTCCCACTTCCAATGAGTGACATTTTTTTCCTTTCTGCATTCTCATTTGATGTCTTGCCCCTTAAGACTTTATTCGCATGAACCTTACTAGTGCTGCATTCTCTATACTTTTTACATTTCCCTCCAATCACATTTGTATGATATGGAAATCTTTCTTTCACTTTACCTTTCGTAATCATATTATAAAATTTACTCGTGAACACTTCATTTAATACAAGTACATCAATATTGTGCAAATCATCAAGTGAACATAGATAATCAATTATAGCATGTTGTCTTGATGGTAGATTAAAATGATTACTTAAAGGAATTGGTAACATTTGGACATTGTACGACATAATGGTCAGTTTTGTATCTGCTGGGTACTTTATATTATTCATTTTTTTTTTTTTTTTTTTTTTTTTTTTTTGTTCCACTAGAAAATATAGAATTGTAATCAGTAACTGATACATCATACATATTAATCACGTGTGCAAAAACCAATATATGCAGTGAAATTTTCCTTTGATTTTGTTGATTTAGCTCTCTAAAAGTAGTTGTGCTTCATGTATAGAAATTCGCCGCGTGTAAAGGGGTACATAATTTCTTTGTGATTTTTGTCTATTCTATGGCAGCACAAATAAATGGTTAGCAATTAAAGTCAGAGATGAAAAAAAAGGATGGGGGTTGTACGTATATGCATATGTACATATGTGTGTACACTCTCAAGGAACTAAATCGTTTCCCTTTTTGCCGTGAGAGCGATTGTTACAGCCTTTGATTCTATGACCTCGTATTGCACTCTAATGTGTATATAAAATATGGCCAGGGGTCATAATCTCATATTCTTTTTGTTTTTTTAGTTTTCCACTTTTTGTGTTGCTATTTTGCAGTACAATATATATATACAATGCGAAGTTGTAAAAAATTCAATGATAATTATATTTCTGTATCAGACCCCTGTCATCATATCCTCTACCTTATGGCATTACTATTTTGTTATGATTTTAATTTTACTTCTCTCTTTTGTTTCTGTGTAGAACGTCCCACTTCATATATCATCTCTTACCAATTATTCTACGATAGATATTTCATCTGTTTTGACTTATTTTTCTATACTATCAAAGCATCAAAAAAAAAAAAAAAAAAAAAAAAAAGGGAAAAGAAAAAAGAAAAAACCGTTATAAACGTGCCTCTCTCATCACATATTTAGAGTTCACTTCTTCAACATGGTACATATTTTTTTCACAAAGTTATATAGAGTCGCTTATATTATTCTGTGTAAAGAAAAACAAATTTAGGTTAATTTCCTCTCTTTTTTTTTTTAAAACTCACGGTGTTCTTGTTTTAACAAGAATGTATTGTTTTTCTTAAAAAAAACAAAGAAGAAAAAAATAAATTTAATTGCAATTTAGCCAAAATTATATTATACTTGCTTTTACTACACAGACGCAGAAAAAAGTAAAAGTATACACAAAACAAAACAAAAAAAATTGTCATCTACAAATGTACCTGTTATATGTATATAAATTTATTTATAATGCAGATAGGTAAATATTTTCACACATATTTTATTTTTTTCAATGAGAAAAATAAGTGATTGCGTAAATTTCTTTCGTCTAAACTGGTTCTTCGTTTCGATTCCGTTCCTCGTGCCACTAGAGAGAAAAATAAAAATGGTAGAAAAAAAGATTATTATTTAACTGTCCGAGTACGAGGAGCAACATATATATATGTACATACATATGTATACATACATATATATTATAGCAGCTTACACACAAAGTACCACATGGGAGTGCAGTAATATTTAATGTGCTCACTGGGAGAAATTTGCAAGTATTAAAAAAAAAAAAAAAAAAAAAAAAAAAAATTCCTTTTCTATGAATGATTTTTCTACATGTAAAATTCCCTTTTTGCTCAAAAGTAACATCTTTTAAAATTGTGCTTTTGAGGAATGAGATAAAAAAGTAATTAACATTATTTTTTACACATTGTGTTTTCCTATACGGGATTTACCAAAGAGGCTATTTTATTTTTCTTACTTTTATTTTATTTTCCTTACTTTTATTTTATTTTACAATTTTTATTTTATTTCACTTATTTTTATTTCATTTTACTTTATTTAATATTATTTCATTACTTTTTTTTTTTTTTTTTTTTTTTACTTATTCTTATCTGATTTCATTTTGTTTTTTCAAAATGGATGGCAGGTTTTCCCCCCTGAAAAAAAAAAAAAAAAAAGGTTTTAAAAAAGAAAAAACTTGGCTTTTTTTTTAGCAATTTATTTTTTATATTTTATCCCCTAATTTTATTCTACCAACAATACATTATTTCTCATTTTGTGTCACTAAAGGATAAAAATGAGTATTTATATAGAATCAGCTTTCCATTACAGATTTACAAAATAATCAATTTTCAAAAATTGTTCTCATGACTATTCTCACCTTTATCCCCATCATATGTACATATATATATATATACACCACTCACGACATTACTATTTTACGTGTACTTTCCTGTTACGAATTAATACTTGGCATATTTTCACAATAGTAAAAAATTAAAATAAAAAAAAGGAAAAGACAATTTTGTAAAATCCAGTAGTAATAAGACAGTACTCAATAAAATTGTTTGAAAATTTTTATTTTATTTTATTTATTCATTTTTTCCCCCCTATCAACAAATAAGTATAAAAGTACTTAGAACAACAACTCACTGACTTCTACAACTCAATGGATTGAGTGAAATGTATTTCAGGGAACAGAGAATAGCAAAGTAATTAATTGCACACGTCCGTTATTTTATATTTAATGCCAACACTGAGTAAAAAGAGAGGGCGAGAACAAGTATATAAAATTACATGTTCAAAAGGGGAAAAGATAAAAAGTAAAAATGAACTAAAAATATATATATATATATATATATAACAACGACGCACGAACTGCAAACGCACGAACGAAAAAGGGGGTGTCCGCTTGGTCGGAATGAGAAAAATAATTTCAAACCATTTCACATTCAAAAGTTTGACTCCAGTGTGTGTATTAATGGTATAATGGGGATTAGATAAAAAAACGGAAAAGAAAGAAAAAAGAAAGAAAAAGAAATAAAAGAAAAAAAGGAAAGAAAAAAAAAAAAAAAAAACAGGAAGAAAAAGAAAGAAAAACATCTTTTTTAAAAAAGTTATGAGGACAACATGGCAATTTTGCCGCGTCGCGAAAGATGTGGAGAGAATTCCAAAGCATTTACTACTAACATATTTTTTCCTATTTGCTGAGTACACACTACCATGTGGAAGTGTGTAAATGATCCTATTTTTTTATATATAAAAAAAGACTATAAGCTTCCAAAGTTCGTCATTTATGTATGTGTATAATCGTATGTATACAAATATACGTACAACTGGGGTGTATACCTTTCCTATAAGCATTTATGCCTAAGCAGCGCGTATAAATGGTATGTAATATATAATCTGGATATATTATAAATGTTTCTCATATGAATAATACACAAATGACTTAGGCAGAACAGGAATGTAACCACATTTCCGCAATGGTAGAGGTGGAGGGGAAAGAAAAAAAAAAAAAAAAAAAAAAAAAAAAAAAAAACACATGTGTATATATACCATGTATACATAAAGTGCACTGTTTGGAGGGGCTAAATTTGCCAATAACTGTATACAAGCAATTAATTCCACCGCGCAATGAAACATTTTCGACTAAAAAAAAAAAAAAAAAAAAAAAAAAAAAATGAAATAACGATTCCCTTATTCTATACGCAAAATGACTACAAAAAGGTAAACTATAATATCTTTGCAAATCATGTGTGGGATTAACGAAGAGGGGATAAAATGTGCTGTAAGGAAAGTCGCAAAGTATTGACAAAAGATTAGCAAAATATTAGCGAGCTATTAGCTAACAGTTAGAGAGAACCAATAACTAAATATCACAAACGAATCACAAACAAGTCACAAGCGATTTGCAAACAAGTCACAGACGATTCGCAAACAAGTCACAAACGAATCGCAAAAATTCAAAAAAAGCTGAAAAAAACAAAAATATAGAACTACACATAACACTATTTTTATAATTGTACTCCCCTGTGATTTATTTACCTGTCACTCCACCCCGCGTTTTTTGTTTATTATTAAAGCAAAGTGGACGAATTGCGTAAAACTGTTCCTCAATCTCAACGAACTGTGTGAAGGGATAACCGGGTGTGTTACGACTTCATAATTTCCCACCTGAGCAAATATACATACATATATATAAGCACACATATATACATATATGTTTATATGTGTGGAAAAATACTCCCGAGCACGTCAACGAACAAAGGTGAATAATACACATACAAATTTCATTCCGCTATACTGGTAAAAGTACGTGCATATGCAGATTCATGTATCCTTATACCTGCACATCTGCACATATACGCACATGTATATATACGCATTCGTAAGGTGAACATATTGACTCATTTTAAACATGGACACCATTAGCGAAGGTATATTTTTTTTCTACCCTTTTTTTTTTTTTTTTTTCTTTTTTTTCATTAGTTATGCGTTTAGTTAGTTGTCCCTTGTTTTACCATGTATTAATATGAGCTGTTCAATGGGCACAAGTGTTATGTATATATATAGACCCATGATTTTTCCACCGTATTCTACCGTCATTCTCATTCCTATTTTATACTCCACCTATCCCCCCCCCCCTTCCCCCTCTTCAGAAAACATCATAAGCATAAATGTCGGAGGAACAGTATATATGACAACTCTTAACTTAATTTGCAGATACAGGAATTCGCGCCTGTGCCAAATTGTTTTAGGTACGTTGTGAAAAAAAATTTTAATTCTCAAATAAAAAAAAAAAAAAAACTTGGAAATATTTTGTGATTACATTGTACAGTGGATAATGTCTAACTGTATTCTATCTCAGTGTTTTATACAAACAATGTTTTTCCTGTTTTACAAATATACATGTAATAATTTGGACTTTTTGCAGAAAAATTGAAAGCTGTGAAAGATATCGAAAGTAAGTATTATTTATGAGAAAAAATATAATTTTAAACAGTGAATTTATCAATTATTTTACTTTAGTTTTTTGTTACATATTACATATTCCTGTACTTATGTTGGTTGCTTTCCATGTCTGTACATCTTACCATATATTATTTTTTTTTCTTTCTTTTTCCCCATTTTTGCAATGCTCCCCCGCGTAGAGGATTACAACAAGAAGGAAATATTCATTGATCGAAATGGTTTGTTTTGAACAATGAAATGAGAATTAATATATTTCGTTGCACATTTGTTCTGCTTGTTGTTATTAGATCATTTTTTTTTTTTTTTTTACGATCTCTTTGTACGATATGTATATATATATATATATATATATATATATATATATATATGTACGTACATATGTATGTACTAATGTATGGACATAAATGGAGGAATGAAAATGCTTATCCATGTTTGCGCGCTGGCCATTGGTTTGCCAAACCACACTATAACGATAAGTGTGCATGTTTTTTAATTTCATTTTGTGAATTAAAATATTTTTCCCACGTTTTCCCCTATCCGTTTTACTCTTTTAAAGGAAACAGATTTGAGTATATCTTGGACTTTCTTCGAGATGGAGTCTTAATATGCGAAAATGACATCAATGTTCTGACAAGAATATTAATTGAAGCTGTGTATTTTAAATTGTTTTCCCTCATAAAAGTCTTAAAAAAAAAAATCAGATTGTTATACTCAAACATTGGTAATAATGTGAATAAAAATGTTTTTAAAAGCATTATTAACACAATTGAAGAAAAAAAAAAAAATAACATAAAAACTAAAAGTAGTATATCAAGGAAGTTAAATAAATTATCTGGGCATATTTCGAACTATAATGAACTGAAATATTGCAACGCTAAAAAAAAAAAAAATCACAACGTTCGATTTTTAAGTAACATAAATATATTAAATGAATTGAATAAGCAGGATAATCATCTCACACCGAATGATGAGATACATTCCAAGGGACATATGCTCATATCAAACATTTCAGGAAAAAATTGTAAATACGAAAAAGAAATCGTGTGTCCCATTGAACGTGTGGGTGACAAGTTAAAAAAAGACATTAAACGCGAATGCAGTAATGATAGGAAAACAAATTCACAAGAAAATTTAACCCAAAATATTTCTTACATGCCAACAACAAATGCATACACAAAAAGTAAAATCGATGATTGCAACATAACAAATAATTTCACAAATGATACCAAAAAGTTGAATCATATCAAATGCATGTGGACAAATTCTTTACTCAAAGATGAAGAAGAAAAAAAGGAAGTCCCCCAAAACCATTTATTACTCAATGAAAATTTAAAAAATGAGGACCAGAAAAATGTTTCCTTTTCAGAGAACAAGAGTATATTTTTCTATGGAAAAAAAGGTTACTTATGTTACGTGTTCTCATATTTTGCATGGATTTTTCCCTTACTGCAGGGGGAAGGAAGTGGTGTAAAGACTGTTTTGTGCATATCTTATTTTTTTCTTTACACACGGACACGTAGTACAATTGAAACATTGTTTTCAAATTTGTCTCTCTATTTTTTTTTGCAGATGAGATAAAGCTTAATGGGATTGAGAATATGGAGGATTCTTTGAATGAAATTCCAAAAAAATATACGAATGTGAGTAACTTCAACAGTGCAAATTACTCAATGCATTCTAGTATCACGAATTATACCAGTTGCATAAATTATGCCAACCCTAACATTGATGTAAATGAAGGTTATAAATATAACAGTTACAAATGCAATAATATGAACAGTGGAAGGGGAGAAATTTTAGTATATTCAGATATTGATGACATTGAAGAAACTTCCCCATTCCCAATTCTGTCGAATGTTAATTTAGGAGAGCAAATATTTAGCACAACAGTGGATTTCTAATTTCTCTAGGAGCCAATTTGTTCACGCATTTTTCGCATGTGCGTATAGTGGCACTATGGAATCCCGAATAATGTTGTAACATCGAAAGGGAGATCCGAGATTCATTTGTGGAGAGTTTTCATTTATTTTCATATCTTTCCTTCTTTCCTTCTTTCCTTCTTTCCTTCTTTCCTTTTTTTTTTTTTTTTTTTTACGTCATGGAGAACCGCACGCACTTCTACCTTTTCGCTAGAATGTTTTGTAACCTTTTTTAATTGCACTTTTTGTATTTTTAATTTTTTTTTTTAAATTCTTGAATCCTTGCGAATTTATCAATGCTTGGAATTTAATTGTACCATGTTTAAACTGTGCGCAGAGCGAGCGTATACAAACACACAGACGAGCACAGGTTAGCATGTCTGTCTTTTTGTGTTCTTGAATGTATTTACATATATACACATTTTACATGTCCACAAAAACATGCATAATTTTATGAATAAAGAGTTTCCTTAAAAAACCAATATTGAAGCACGGGGAAGAGTACCGCACAGCATGAGCATGTATAGCTATTACAATTATGCATTTTCATATGCAGTGGAAAATATGGAAACAATTCTACCTAGTAGATTAAGGAGCATGTAACTTATTTGGTCATGCTGAGGTTGTTCCTTCTTTTTTTTTTTTTTTGCTCATATCAGCATATCCATGCATACATGCTTCTTACCCCCTCTCACGCTCCTAAACATAAGTAGACCAATTTTATAGTCGTTCATTTGGAGTTTATATATATATATATATTTATATTTTGGGGACAACTAAATTGGGGATTGAGTCAGCATCGTGAGCTTCAAAATTAACCGTTGCAAAATTAACTTGTATCCATTTCCATAGGCACGTAGAGAAATAAAATGCATAAATGTAGATTAAATTGTAGTTTGGTTACATCTGACATTTTTGATTTTTTATAGTCATTGTTTTCTTCCTAGATGCCCTAAGGGACAGTTTTTCTCAAAAAAATTCCACACTATTGAATATAAAACCTGGCTTAAGCATAATTGAATGAACTGATAAAAAGAATGGATGAAAGAAATATAAATGAGTGGAAGTAAGCTCATCAGAAAGAAATTCAAGATTTTATTTTCCATCAGAAAATTAATAATAGAAAAAAAAAAAAAATTATTAATTATTCCGAGTAGATTTTTCACACATGTACGATAATATTTTTATTTTTTTATAATCCAAATTAACCCTATAAAATAAAAGTCATATTCTTTTTTTTTAAGAAATTCATGTGTTCGGAAAACCTCCTCAAGGGTGTACATATCACTGTGGGTTTTTTCTCCTCTTTTCTATATATATATATATGCATATATCTATGTATTTATATATGTATATATCTATGTATATATCTATGTATATATCTATGTATATATCTATGTATATATCTATGTATATATCTATGTATATATCTATGTATATATCTATGTATTTATATATGTATTCGTTTATGTACTAATTTATGTATTCATGTTGCGCGTTACACACATGCGTACATAACTGGGTGTTCCAAAAGAATTATGCACATGTAATGAGAACATGATCAGACATAGGGTGTGTTCTTTTGTGTCGTAGCACAATCAAAAAAGGGGAAGCTTTATAGCTATGTGTTGAGCTCAATTTAAAGTGAAACTCAAAATATACTGGAATTAATAATGGCGTTAAATTTAGTTCTGAAAAATCTATGATTAGCATTTTAAATGTAACTGTTACAAAGAGTTTAATCTATTCTTATTTTCTTTTTTCTCTTTCTTTAACGTCAACAGAGAGTAGTATTTATGGATGAATTATTTCGCACTACGGAAAAAAATATACACTGAGGGAGTAATATATAAAATGAATTCTATTGTTTTCTTTGTAATTTCTTTATTTTTATATTATTTTATTTATTTTTTTTTTTTTTTTTTCTATTTCACCATTTTATTTGTTAACTTGATTAAATTTTTTGTTGAAATTTTCTCTCTCCTTTTGTTCTTTATTTGAAAATTATATCATGTGCAAAACATATTTATATATATGTCACTCAAGCTACCTTTGGGATTATGGGTACAAAAAATAAAAAAAAAAAAAAAAAAATTTCTTCCAATGAGATACATCTAAGCTGTTCCTGTTTATCGCCCAATGCTGGATTATGCATAATAATGCAAGGTCGGAAAATGGTAAATTTACGTTCGTTTTTTTTTTTTTTTTTATGTGCCTCTGTGTATACCCCTTTATATGCCCCAATAGATATTCTCTTTTATGCTTGTGTTTACATACACACTAAGTTGTAGCATCCATGTTTGTGCCAACATCCTATGCAGCAAAAAAATTGCACGTCCATGTGTATACATACATATATATTATATATATATATATATATATATATATATTCTTATATACATAAATACACTGTGTACTGAAAATTTAAAACGGAAAAGAATAGAAACACTGTAGCTCTTCTTCTACGCGTGCGTAATAAAACATGGTGCAGTCTGACATATTTTAAAGCGACTATATATAAAACGAGTGAACAATTAAAAATGAGCATGTTATTAGAACTTCAACAAGATTTTAAAAATGTATAATATATTCTCCTTTCACGCAGCGAAGCAGTTTTTATTATTTTTTTCATGTCGTGTTTTATATTAATTTTAACACCGTGTTTAAGTAAATTTTAACGTAGTGCTACATATTGCTTTTCACTTCGAATTACATTACATTGATTTTTTTTTTTTTTTTTTTTTTTTCTTTTTTCTACTATAAATAAATATTTGCGAAAATAAACGATACAAAAGTGATGAACTGCCTATTTAAGAAAAATAATACTAAAGTAACAGGTGACTTACAATTTTATCATTTTCATTTTATTCATGTTTGTAAGAGCACATTTACATATGTCACATATATATATGTATGTACATTTTTCATATTCTAACGAGAACTTCGTCATACCACTAGCAAAATTGTACGTGTGGGAGGAAATATATTAAAACATACCTAAGTGTGTTTTGCTTGTATATATATAAAAAAAGTACTTTTACAAAATCCTGTGCTGTGCACAAATATACCTATAAGCATAAACATATAGAAGGCGCAAACCCTCAAATGAGTCATTCTTGTTTTACACCTTTTTTCGAAACTATGAAATTCGTTCGTTTCTCGTACTTTTCCATGTAAACACTTTATACATTTATTTGTTAGAAGTTTCGATTTGTGTGCATAGATTATTAACACCCTAAGGAGGCTAAATAAAAAAAATTAAAAAAAATTAGAAAACATAGTATCTCTAGTTCCTTATAGACCCTTTTTTTTTTTTTTTTTTTTTTTTTACGAATACCACCCTTCAATATTTGTGCACAGAGATAAGGGTATACACACACCAAAAAAAAAAAAAAAAAGTGAGCGTATTTATATGTGTATAAATGTGTATACATATGCTTATTCATCCCTTTTTTTTTTTTTTTTTTTCCTTTTTAATACACATTGGGAGTTAATGAATGAATATGTATTGACATATAATTTTTTAAAAGTGGCACATTCTTAATTTACCACTTATTGTTAAATTAGCACATATTGTTAATTTAACACCTATTGTTAATTTAACACCTATTGTTAATTGTACCCTGTGCCAAATTTACATCATGCGAATGTTGGTTATATATTTTTATTAAAGAATTTTTCGCTAGCACCACATAATTCCATCCATCACCTAGAGTATATGTATACATATATATGTGTATATATTTTTACTACTAAGAGCAATAAAAGCAGCAATAGTCACAGTAACCAAAAATCCTCAAAAAAATACATGGAAAAAGGAAGATGCTTGCAAATTGTTTCATCCACATGTACAAATTTTAGATAATTTCTTTTTCAGATTATCACTATAATTTTTTGGTGCTTACTTTACATTAAAACGCACAAGTAAAATTTTTACAAGGCTAAAGCTGGCCGACGTTTTTTAAAATTTTACACCAAAGTTATTTATAAAAAGAGAGATTTTCTCACATTCTCACGGAACCCCAACATAATATAGGCAGAAGCGAATGCACTTCCCATAAGAAGAAGCGAATGCACCTCCCATAAGAAGTTGCGTATGCACTTCACACTTGTGCAACATACGTGCAACACACGAACACTATAAACACAGAAAGCATAAGCCTTTAGAAAAATTGAATAAAATAAAATGGACGTGATAAAATTCAAACGAAAGATATACAATTTTTTAGAAAATGAAAAATTGCTTGAACTAAATTGTGATGAGTGTGAAGAGAAACAATACTTCTACGAAGAAAAAGGAACAGCAAAAAAGAACTCTAGCAATATCTTCAGGTCGAATAAGTATACATTATGTCAAACTTTTGAGAAAACGGAAGGATTTTTAGGTATAGAAATGTCGACAAAATATGACGTATTCTGTTTTTTCTGTAAATATTATCATAATGAACATTTTTTAGGAGAAAGAAAAAAAGAAATAAGGGGAAACGAAACAATTTTGGGAGAATACACATTTAAAACATATGGAGAAATAAAAAATGAAATAGAAATTTTTGCATCTGCTTTGTACCAGTTTGAGATAATAAAACCAAATATATTCACAGATAATGGAATATATAAGAATTTAAAAATTATAGGAATTTGGTCTAAAAATAGAATAGAATGGTTAACAACAGATTATGCATGCTCAGCAATCGATTTTGTGACAGTCCCCATATATGATACTATGGGTATCAACTCAGTAAAGCATATATTTCAGAAAACGCAAATGAAAATTTGTTGCATTGAAGCGGAAAAATTGGAATGTCTTATCAAGCTAAAAAGTGAATTAGACAATCTACAAATCTTAATTATATATGATGAATGGAGTTTAAAAGATGAAATTAAAGAGAGGGCCACTAAAGTAGGGTTTAAGATATATTTTTATAAAGGCTTAATTGACAGATTTAAGAATCAGAATATTATTCCCCAGTATGATTATTATGATCATGTTTTTCATACCCAGCAAAAGGATGAAAACAAAACAAATTCCAATATTAATAATGTGAGTGAGAGTAAGGGCCAGAAAACGAACAAAAAAGCGAATGAATCGAAGGCAGATAAAAATTATAGTAATAGTAACGACAGTAACAATACATTGATGGAAAGTTTGAAATCAAATAAAGGCAAAATAACGGATGTTTGTACGATCATTTTCACGTCAGGATCTTCCGGTACACCCAAAGGTGCCATGTTGACTCATAAAACTTTTATCACTTTTTTACAAAGTTATATTATTGATGGTAATAGACTGGGTTTGCTAAAATATGATGTTTTGTTAAGTTATCTTCCACTAGCTCATATATACGAACGTTTAATCGAATTTGCCATTTCTTTTTTTGGAGCTAAAATTGGTTACTTCTCGGGAAACATAAAAGAATTAGTCAGTGATATAAACGAATTAAAACCAACATTTTTAATCACGGTTCCTAGAATATTACAAAAAATTCATGATAATATTATGGAAGGCTTAAAAAATAAATCATTTATTGCCAGAACGTTGGTAAAAACAGCTCTGAAAAATAAGAAAAATATGTATTTGAATAATTCCCAAAAATTTTCTCATCCCATTTATGATATAATTTTACAACCAGTAAGAAATCGATTTGGGGGCCGCATAAGAACACAAGTTATGGGTTCTGCATCTATGGATAAAAATAAACTAATAGATTTGCAAATGCTTTTTTCAGCGCCAATTGCTGAAGGATGGGGAATGACAGAAGTAGGAATTGGTTTTTTACAACATAGATTTGATAGCACCAAAGGAACAATCGGAGGAATGTTTTCTAACATTACTATGAAAGTTATTAAAGTACCAAATATGAAATATGATCCAAAGTCCTATCCAAATAGAGGAGAATTATGTGTTAAAGGAAGTAGTTTAATGGTTGGATATTTCAGAGATGAAGAACTAACCAAAAAATCATTTGACGAAGATGGATTTTTTCAAACGGGGGATGTTGTAGAAGTTAGTGAAAATAATACATACGTTAGAATTATTGATAGAGCAAAAAATATTTTTAAATTAGCACAAGGAGAATATATTGAACCAGAGAAATTAGAAAATTTATATTGCAATAGTATATACATAGAAAATATATTTGTCCATGGTTACAATTATGAAAATGAATTAGTATCCGTCATAGTACCAAACGAAATTTTTATTCTTGATTATGCTAAAAAAAATAATTTAAATTTATCCTATGCAGAATTGTTAAAATCGGATGCTATTAAAAAACTTTTTCGTGAAGAAATTTTAAATATATCAAAAACGTATAATTTAAATGGAATTGAAAAAATTCACTTATTTTACTTAACACCCATTCCTTTTTCAGTAGAAAATAAGCAACTCACACCAACACATAAAATAGTGAGAACTGCTATCTTAGAAGATTATAAAAAAATTATTGACGATTTATATCAATCTAGAAAAAAATAAGAGCATTTGTTTGTTCCACGTGTTTCACATCCTTTTTTTTTTTGCTATCCTTTTGTTTTTTCACTTTTTTTTCACCCATTTTTTATACACACCATGATTTCTTCCCATATTTTTTTTATTATTTTGCAGCCCTTTTATTAATAAATTTAATATATGACGGAAAAAAAAAAAAAAAGAGAAGCATGTTTTCATACCGTGTGAGGCATGATTTAAATCATTCCTTTTTACCATAGTGTGTACAGTTTAATGCTTAAATAAAAAATAGGGAGTGAGCATCCCGTAAACGTGTTATATGTGTATTAAGGGGATATAACATTATCACGTTGATATATATGAGTTCAGTTTACTAGCTTTATTTGCAGTAAGTTTCTAGTGTTCGTAATGTAATTTTTTTTAAATATGCAATGACATATTTATGAATATTAAATTTTGTGACAAAATATGTTATAGCAAAAAAATTTTTCCCCAATTTGTATGTTTGTACATGCCCCTTTTTTATTAGGTTATATATGTACATAACATGTATACATATATGTATATATACAAACAGATTTTTGTGCTTTTTTTTTTTTTTTTTTTTTTCTTTATACACATTCTTCTTTTATCCTGTTGCATTTATTTGTTAAATGCCAAGTGAACATGTAAGAACATATATTGGCAAGCGTTTTTGTTGTAAAATTGATTATCATCAAATGTTGCCCATATATATTTATATATCCACCATGTGTATAGGGTTAAATTGCACTGAGTAAAAACTTTCTTCTAAGGCAATTCCTATTACTTGTATGTATATGTATATATATACACATACATGCATGAATTCACATTTTAAAGTGATGCGACAGGATGTTCACTATTTGAGAGTTTCAGTGTATGCTTCCGTAAGATTGTGTGAATTGCCCTAATTCATAGTTCCCATAGTGGAAAAAGCTAAACTGACGTGAAACAATTTCGAGTGTTCACATTGGTTACGTGCTCCATGCGAGTAGCATGCAATTTGTTAATGCACATGTATGTTTGTTTGTCATTATTATATTATTGACGTTGTCTTTATCGCCATTGTTTTATTTTATTCCTTTTCACAATCACTGCATTATACCAGCACTTGCCTTGTCCCAGTTGTCAACAAAGTATAACTTAGTAACCTCATGGTTAATTAAAATTTATTTACCGGCATACACAACAAAATATAGTGATAACAATATAATAATGAAGGCGCAATGATGTATAACAAAGCAATAATAATAAAAAAAAAAAAAAAAAAAAAAATGCATGCAGAAATTATCATAAAATGATGATCCCTCTTTTTTAAGTAAAAATGGAGGCAAAACTTGGTGACTGAAAAAGAATTAAGAAATATCTTCATTTTAATCCGAAAAACTCTCATAATGATCCGTTATTTATTTATAATTGCAAATATAGCTTATCTTTCCTATTATGTTTACTTAATAAAAAGTTCCAATTTGTGTGTATTTTATATGCAGAATAATAAGTGGAGGACACAATTATTCGTGGAAAACAATAATTTTGATAGAACTATTTTATTATTATATGAAATATAGGGGGGGGATAAATTAGGTTAAAAACAAAGACAAATTTGATTATATTACAATTTGAAAACAACATAAGAATTGCACTAGGCAAAATAATAATAATATTTTTTTTTTTTTTTTTTTTATACAATTTTGGCTAGCTAATTAGCTTGTAATTAATAAAAATATATATATATATATATATATATATATATATGAAAGCAAATAATGTCATGTTTAAATTAGGTGTATGGCATACCTTTTTTTTTTTTTTTTTTTCTTCTTCTATTTTTAATTAAAGCAGCATTAGGTAGAAAAAGGAAAAAAAAAAAAAAATAGTGATGTTTACATAATACAAAACATACAATGCGACAGAAGCGGATTGTGGTAGCAAGAATAATGATAGTACGACAAATGAATTCTTCATGGAGTGTAATAAATGTATTGGGTAAATATATGCTTCATCTTTTTATGTTTTTCGTTTTATATTTTTTTTTTTTTTTTTTAACTTAATTATTGTGTATCTGTGTGTGTGTGTTTGTTTTTTTATTTATTTTTTTTTTCTTATGTATCAAACATTCAATGGAAATGAAGGCATTTCCATGAAATTTTTCTTATTTCAAATTTGACAAAACAGGTGTAACGGCTGTATGAATTACTCTAGTCGTATATGGAGTTAAAAACAAAAAAAAAAAAAATAAAATAAAATAAAATAAAACAAAAAAAAAAAAAAAAAAAAGGAGCAAACACGCAAAAGAAAAAGTAGAATGATACTATTATCACAAGGGTTTGGATATTTCATCTTCAATCATTTTGCTAATTAGAGTTTATTTCAGTCTATAAGCTTGTAATTTCTTTTATTCGAAAATTCCTATATATCACATTTACACTATTTGATATAACGCAAAATATGCTTCCATTGATATTTCAGTGAAAGTATTTGTGTACACGTGTGTTTATGGCGAATTATGGAATTTATTTCGTCTTCTTTACATATATGATGAAAATTATCATTAATAAAATAGCATTTTACCTTAGGAGCCATATATATTTAATAAGGGGAAAAATCAAATATTTTAACTAGAAGCATGCGCGCATGATCGTATCACACTTTAAATCTGTATATACACATAATATATATATCGACTAATTCTGATTCATGCGGGTAATAAACTTGGAAATATAAGAAAATGTATTTACAAGAAATACATATACACTCTTTCGAAAGTAGTAATATACACACACAAAAATATTTCACTTTGGAAAAGTCATCATTATTCGCAACTTGACTAGCACGTGATAATAACAAATAGCGTAAACAAACTTTTGTGTCTTGCGATTTGAGAGCTTTCCTTGGTATTTATGATGAAGCGTAAAAAAAAAACTGGAATTATATATTGCTTCTGTAAATCTGAAACAAATGATAATAAAAATATATACAAATTATTATAATTATTTTTAAGCTATACACTTTTGATAAGAAACGTAAACATAACATACTAAAAGACTACCATACATGTGTTCCTACAAAATTCTGTATACATGTATATACATATGGTCTTATTTATATTTCTTTTTTCCTTTTTTCTCATGTTTTTGTTTAACCTTTTTACTCCAATTTCTTCGTCCGAAGGATTATAATTACAATTGTGAAATATGAAAAACTAAATACAAACACGTACAAAAACATAAAAATGAATACAAATACAAACACAAAAATGAATACGAATACAAACGCAAAAATGAATACGAATACAAACGCAAAAATGAATACGAATACAAACGCAAAAATGAATACGAATACAAACGCAAAAATGAATACGAATACAAACGCAAAAATGAATACGAATACAAACGCAAAAATGAATACGAATACAAACGCAAAAATGAATACGAATACAAACGCAAAAATGAATACGAATACAAACGCAAAAATGAATACGAATACAAATACAAGCATAAATGCATATACGAATAAAAGCGCAAACAAACATCAGAACTGTAAACGGAATTTGCATAAATGTTCACAAATCCTTTATCATATACACATACGAGAATGTTTATACATCTCTATAATATTTCCCATCTTTGGCAATGGCCTTCAAGCAAATTCTGGAAATGTGTAGTCATAAGCTTCTTCCTTGTTGTAATATGTTGCACACAATAAAACTTTATCGGCACTTGTTAACCTTTTACTGTATCGCTTACAATTGCTTTCAGTCTAGTTTGAGTAATCATACATACACACGACAGGCTAGAATATGCATATACATGGTCAAGTTATATGCACCAAAACATCAAATTCGTTCATTGCTTTTTTTCTTAAGATGGTAATTAGGTAATAGGGAGGAGGAATGATTGGATGAACGGCAACCTCCATGTAAAACTACTGTTTCGTACTCATTCGAATTAGCAATGTAAGCATCATAATCTTTTCTATTTAAAGATATGGAATCAATACTACTTTTATCTTTAATGAAATTTTCAGAGTATTTATCATCAATTTTTAGCATTGTATCAAAATACATTTTATAATCATTAACATTATGTTTGCTATTTTTACGTGCTGCTAGTTTAATGTTCTCATCATTATTATCAGGGATGTTATAATGTTTGCATTTTTTCCGCATTTCTTGTTCTGTTAATTTTTGAATAATATTTTCTTTATTTTTCATTTCATTAACATTTGCATTCATGTGCATATCAGTAATTTTTGGAAGAAACCACGGGTGTCCTAATGCTTGCATAGCTGTACACCTATCGTCGGGATTTTTGCTGCACATCCATAAAATGATTTCTTTTACATTTTCCGATTTTGTTAACCAATGTTTTGAATTAAAACTAATATGGCATCTCATATTTTTTTTAAATATCTCTTTTACATTATTACCTCGAAACGGTGGATAACCACAAAGTATATTAAACAAAATAACACCTAAACTAAAAATATCAACTTTTGTTCCATACGACGCATATTTTAAAATTTCAGGAGCAACATACCCTGGTGAACCACACCTCATACTCATAGATGGGCTATTTAAAAATGAGGCTAATCCAAAATCTATAATTTTTAATGAGCTTGGATCATTAACATTTTCAAGCATTAAATTTTCCATTTTTAAATCTCTGTGTACTACTCCATTCGAATGTAATGCTTCTAAAGCTATTAAAATTCTTTTAATAGCTTTTTTTGCTACTTGCTCTGTGTATGGACCATTATTATTAAGATATTCAAATAATTCCCCGCCTTTTAAATATTCTAATACTAGATATACAAATCCTTCTTGTTCATATGCTGATATTAATTTTATAATATATTTGTGCATTACTTTTCTTAAGACTTCAATTTCAGTATATACATTTGATTCCTTCACTTTTGATTTGTCGACTTCCTTTACCACTACCCTATTTCCGTATAGTATATTTGTTCCAATATATGCTGTGGAAAAACTTCCTTTTCCTATTTTTTTATTTAAAACATACACATTTTTAAAACCTAAAATAGGAAAACCAAGAATATTAAAGAATTGACTCATTTCACTAAACTCTTCCTGACTCCTACACTGAAATTGATATTCTTCATTAGCTGTAATTATGTGTATACATGGTCCGATTTCTGTTATATTGTTAATTATTCTACATCCTTTTAAAGGTACCGTGAATTCTGGGTTCTCTTGACGCATATATGTCCAGCATAATAAATATGGGTTCTTCTTTTCATCATATGTTAGAGATACGTGAGAAGCTGCCCCAGTTGCTAGGGGGAAATCTATCCTTTTTCCTTTGAACAACTGAAGGTATCTTTTTTCCATATTGTGATATTCTCAGTTTTTTTTTTTTTTTTTTTTATAACTGTTTTTTATGGTTGTAAATATTGGCACTTATTATTATTATTTATTTTGTTCTGTTCTGTTCTTTTTTTACACTCTATGGTTTGCGATAAAATGATAACGCATGATATAAACCTGAATTTTTATGAAAGAAAATTAAAAAAAAAAAAAAAAAAAAAGGGGCAAAAAAAGAAAAAAAAAAAAAAATAGTGATAGTACGTGGTGCTATCTAAAATGGGATGTCTAATTGGACAGGATAAAAATCATGTGCATGATCATTTCCAGACCTGTGTCTTTATATATACACATATGTCATTGTACATGAACGGGTATATATATATTTACAACTGTACATGTGTAGACATAGGGCGAAAATTACATGGATATTTTCCAATACAATGAAAAGGAAACACAGTATTTACAAATATTGGTAATTAATTTTAAATGTTGACACTTACAATGCAAAACAAGTGTAGAAGGAGTGTATATATATATGTATAATAATTTAAAACAAGTAACACGTGGATTTGTGTTTTACAGTTGGCATAAATATTACCAGACGATGTACAATTATATATTGCAGACACGTGAGCTGCATGACAAATATTTAAAAACAAAAAAAGTAATAAAATAACATATATGTGTTTTCCTTTTTATACATTAATTGAGGTGATGTTGTATCAAAAGAAATGAAAAGGAAGGAATAATGGTGCTGGTTAATGTAGTGAAAACTTGGGTGATTGTGGAAAGAAGGAGACGATAGCCATGGAAGACATAAAGAGAATAACTATTATCATAAATGGGTGACTAACGCAAAAGCGCTATAATATATTGCAATGTGATGCAAAAAGGGGGGCTATGTTCCTCGAATTTATTTATTTATTTAATTCTTACATCTTGATATAATTCGTAAACAAGAATTTAGCGTACACTAATGTTATTCATCCTTTTGTGTATGTTTGCTTTTGCTACATTCACTCAAAAATGTTCGTCGTGGATTTAAAAATGTATTTTCTCCAAAATGGGGTGCGTGTTGTTTTTGATGTGTGCATATAATGTGGTAACTGTTAGCATATATATATGTATATGTTTATATGCGAACAATGGTGCATATATACATATAGAAGCATACAAGAGATAATCTAAACATATACACACAGGTGCTAGTATGTGTTACGGTACGGGCATTTAAAACTGTTTACATGAGAAACTATTTAGAATTCACAAAGAGTATTATATTCGTGTAATTAATGTAAACACTTCAGAAGATAATGTACCTGTAGGCCATAATTTTACTTACAGAAGAGGTTTACTTAATTTGAATTATCGGTTAAAAATTAAAAAAAAAAGGGATATTTTAAGAACACGGTTACAATCATTTTTCTTAATAGTAAAAATTCGAACCTTTAACAGGTGACAAAAACAAAAAAAAAAAATAAATAAAAGAAGAAAAAATGGCCATAAAGGGACAAATGAATGAATAAAAAAAAAAGTAAAATCATGTGTAAGGCTCCAAATAAGAAAGCAAAAAATGTATTTTTTAGAAACTTCGATTTATATGTAATTTAATACTGGTAACCAAAATAATGACATAAAAAGTAATATTAAGATATATGCACATTCATGTAAACATATATATGAGGAAGCAATATCAAAAAAAAAAAAAAAAAAAAAAAAAAAAAAAGGCATGTGTAAAACAGTTGTTTTATATAATTGTTTTTTTAAAGCTGTTGTTCATAGCTGAAAAAAAAAAAAAAAAAAAAAAAAAAAAAAAGCCCATCCTTTTTATTTAATTTTCATTTTAGAAATAAACTATATATATATTGCATGAACAAGTCAGAAAAAAAAAAAAAAAATTCAGTTAAAAAACTTTGGACTTTATTTGATTTTTTCTTTTTTTATTTTCTTTTTCTATCTTTTTCTTATTTTGTTTTACTTCTTTGCAAAGATAAATTTAATGACAATTTTAGAGTTGCGTAATTACAGGCTTTTTATGTTGCTGGAAATTTATAAATTATCGGTGTACCATTCAAAGTTTTTCAATTTGTGCCAATATACAACTGTTTTTTTTTTTTTTTTTAAATTTAGAACCTTTAACAAATTTATAACTTAAAAAAAAAAAAAAAAAAAACCTTTATTTGTTCCAATAAAGAGAGAGGCCAAAATATAATTGTTAGCTTTTTCCAAAAGTGACGTGACAAAATGTTAAGCACTCCTGTTTCCTTGTGTAAAAAAACAAGTGCAAAAGAAAGCAAAAGAAAAATAACAATGATTTTTAATATACACAATTTTTCACTTGTTTTTGTTTGAATAAAACTGTGAAAAAAAAAAAAAAGAAAAAGATTTGCTCTGCGGTTAAGTTCCAGATCAAAAATTTAAGGAACGAAAACAACTCTACAATGTGGTCGTGCACACTTAAATAGCTAACTTTTTTTTTTTTTTTCCCCTTTTAGTTATTTTATTTATATTTTTTTTTAATAAATGTTCATAATTTTTTTTTCTTTTTTTTGTGTAACATATCCACTTTTGTTGCATACATATGATCAATAAGGAAGAAATTTTATTTTAAAACAATGAAAAAAGAACTTTTTATAAGGCTTTTTTTTTTTTTTTTTTTTTTTTCTTTGTAAAAATGACACGCACAATATTGTACACAAAAACAATGAAATTAACAATACCTTTGAGCGAATATTTTTTTCCTTAAATGATCTAACAAAATTTTTAATATTATATTTTTCATGTTTCAGTGTTAAAATATTGAAGGGAATTTATTTTTACTATTATATGTTCTTCAAAAATTAAAAAGGTTATGAACTCTGTAATAAGCACTTTAAAAAGTAACCATACGAAACCCACAAAGACAAAAAACTGACATGCGTTGATCGAAGTAATTTAAGAATAAATTAAGGATCATTTGATTGTTTTTATTTATCACGTTGCACTTTATTTTAATCATTTGTTTTTTATTAATTTCCTTTTTTATTGTACCAATTGTCAATGATGGGTAGAATTGTTCGTATTGGTTCGCATTACACTTGTTTTTTACATTAATTGTCACTTGAGCAGAAAATCATATTGAACACGTTAGTAGAAAAAAAAAAAAAAAAAAAAAAAAAAAATGAAGTAAGGAAGGAAAAGAAGCGCGAAAACGCCTCTTATAAATGAGAGACAAATGCTTAAATACCGAACCACGCAATAGCGTGTCTGAAGATCAGACAAGAAAAATATTTCTTAATATTAATGATATGGGCAAAAAAAAAAGATAAAAAATTAAATAATAAACACTAATAAGAGCATCTGCATTGTACTAAATGCATCAAACAGTTTACCAAAAAAAAATAAAAAATAAACAAACAAATGAATTGGTACGAATATGTACATACAACCATGTATGTATACAGAAATACGCAATGGTGTGTAAAACAAATTATCTCTTGTCTAATATTGGAATTTTTTTAAATACATATAAAATGAAAATTTTCCCCTTTTCGATGAGTAGCTAGCTATAATTAATAATGTATGTACACATATACATCTTATACAAAAATATCGCCGATATGAATACACATAAAAAATATAAAAAGAAATTATAACAAAAATGAATCAGTAATAACAATAGTGTATTGTTAATATATGCAACATAAATTCTGCAGCTCAAGCTGGCGAGACAACAAGGTGTTTTGTTCGTCTCCTGTCAGTTCTGATAAAAAGAGAAAAATGTAATTAATTATGATAAAGCAAAAAGACGGTGATATAGAAGAGAATAAGGAGAAATAAAAATATAAAGTAGCACACTTGTATACGTGCTCTGATATATAACAAAAACATGTAAATAATATAAACGAAAAGAAAAAATATATAACATACTGATGCTGTTCAGGTTTTTTTTTTTTTTTTTTTTTTTTTTTTTCCTTTTAATCCATTTTTTTGCTTAATTTTAACCTATTTTTCACTTCATTATTTTTTTCTTATAAAGGGGGGAAGACTCTGAAAAAATATCAGATATAAACTTGTTATGTGCATCTTTTGCTAAATGAGTTACCATTTTATTTTTACAATACAATCTGACATTACATTCTTCAAAATATCTTGGGTGTGTTCCTCTATACTCTTTGTGTGCTATGAATGCCTCATCTTCATTATCTGAGCTGTAAAAATAAACCGAATCTAAAGGATCGTTTGCACCCATTCCATAATTTAAATAATTCCAGTCAATAATAATGTCATCCGGACTTAGTCCATGGGCATATCTAGCTATTCTCTCTTCGTTTGTTATATCTCTCAAGTACTTAATCAATTGCGGTTCGGAAATGTTAATTTCTGAAATGTATTTATATGCATAATTTGAATTCCTATCGTGTATAACAGAGTTAATTAAATTTAAAGAATTTTGCACCTTTTCATCGTGTTTGTATACTTTAGCTCTTTTCTTAATATCATAAATTATAGAAGAGTCTGTTAATTCAAGAAATGAGTCTAAGTCATGTAAATATTCAGACCATCTGAAAATATCATCCGCCATGCGAAATCCATCACACAACATGAGTTCCATGACTCTCACTTTTCTATGGGTATACACTTGTTTAAATAAAGAAAATCTGTTCATATAAACAGTCCACACGGGATGAATTTCCTTAACATTATATGTTATATGACCATTTATAGCAGCACTTTGACTAATTATACGATTGCAATTTAGGGATGGCAGAGTGCCATTTGGTGGGGCAATAGTTGCATCTCTCTGTAAGTAATCAAATTTGTCTGCATCTAATCCATTTCTATTATTACATATAATATCGTAGGAAGCTTCTATTAAAGAATCTATGGGATCTATTCCACAAAGTGATTTATGATGTTCTCTACCTTTTATTAACTCTTTTATAATTTTTATATCGGTAGAATCTAACACATCGTCTCTGTCTATTAAATTTTCTATAATGTGCTCTGCAATTTTAAGGGACATTGATGCATGATTCCATTTGTGATCTGTGTCTTCTTTTTTATAGTTCATAAAGAAGCTTTCGAATGTGTGACTAAAAGGGCCATGTCCTAAATCATGACACAAACCAGCTATTTGTATGCATTGAAGCATTCTATTTAGTTCTCCATTATATGGTGATAAATTATATCGATTACACAAATGTACGAAATATTTTGCAGACAAAAATCCAACTCCTAAACTATGCTCAAATCTGGTGTGTGTAGCTCCTGGATAAACAAACTGACAAGCACCTAATTGTGACAAATTTCGTAATCTCTGAAAAAAAGGATTGTCTATAATATTCTTAAATGTCCAATTATCAAACTCTATAAATTGATGAATTTTGTCGCATATAGTTTTAGTACTTTTTTTTTTATTTTTATAATCGTGCTGACTGAATTGGCTAAAAATGTTATTACAAAAAATTCTCTTTTTTTTTATTCTTAAAGTGAATCTAAGAAGTAGAATGAATTCGGAAAAGGATATTCCAATTTCGTTTTTTAATCGCTCAAATTTTTTTCCTTCTAAGATTATTCTCTTAAATAAATCCAAGTTTCGAATATTACACTGTTCAAATTTGGGCCATAAATGTAACATACCAAAATAAATACATATCATTATTATGTCATTTAATTCCATCATTTTGTAAATATAATTAATTAACCTTTCCTTGTCTCTATCTGTCGTGGGGAGTGTTTTAATAACTTCTGATTTGATGTACATGTCAAAATAATAATACTCAAATTTTTTCTTATTATTTCTTTGTTTTTCTATTTCCTCTTCGTAATAGTCATGCATCTCTTTTATTTCTTTGCACGTATGGGTTTTTGCAAGCTGGGATTCGCTCTGTATGCCATTGCTATGCATACATTCGTTTTGCATTACCACATTATGCGTTCCATTCTTTTGCAAGCCATTCCACTTTTCGACATTTCCATTCGTCTCAATATTATGCATATTGTGCAAATCTACATGTTCTCCGTTGCATTCATCCCCATTATTCTTGAACAATTTACTATTTACGGCATGACCATTTTGGAAACTATTTTTATGTGCATTTCCCAATTTTACATTCGATTGATTATTTATGTTAAGACTTTCAGCATTGCTCATATCAGTGCAGCTCGTAACCGTTAGGTATGAAACATGGTATAAAAAATCGTAAATTGTTTTTATATTGTTGTGCTCTAGATTTTGTAATATTTTATCTTCCCTGTCCAGGGATATATTGCGTAAAAAATCCTTTACACTTAAGGTTTCGTTAGTAGAGCTAATATTATTACATTGCATATTCATGTTTTATTGCCTACTTGGTATAATTCCTTTTTTTCTATTTTTATTTTTTTTAATATTCTGTTTATTTCCTTTCATTCAGCTACATTTAAAGAAAGTATGTATTAGCTTTCCCGTGAAAAAAATTTCTTCTTACAACATCGTTAAAGAGATGTTCAGGAAATGTGGATAAAATTTTATATTAAAAAAAAAAAAAATTTAAAACATAAAATTTAAAACATAGAATTTAAAATATAAAATTTAAAACATAAAATATAAAACAAAAAATTTAAAACACAAAAATTAAAATACAAAAATTAAAACACAAAAGTATTGTGTAAAGTTTTTCAAATTTTTGAACATCCCAAACAAAATTTTCACCTGTTGATGTGTTATGAAATGGGGACAAATTCGAATGAACTCTAAACTCCACACACGTATTTTACACAAATATGAAAAAATACAATAATTTTTTTTTTTTTTGGGGTATGTGGCAATGAAAACGGATGATGAAAATTGAAAGGCACCTTTTTCCACATTTTAAAGGTGCGTAAAATTGTGTAGTTACATAAATATGACAGGTAGAAGGGTAGAGGAATTTCCTTAATACTTGGGTCAAATGATCATTGGGTTGAAATTATGGTGTTATTTTTGTTCAAGGCGAAATATTCTGTGTTCTGTTTTGGCCATTTAATAAAAAATAAGAGAATTGAACAAAGAACATTTAAAATTGCAAAAATGTATTTTAACTTCTGTAATAATGTTGTGTAAATGTGCGCAAAAATTATACACATTTGAATATATTATATATATGTGTATAGTATATATATATATATATATATATATATATATATGTGTATATATTTTTTTTTTTTTTTCTTTGCTGCATTTTTCACCAATTTCCTAAGACTTATTTTGTTCCATTTTGTTTTACTCTGTCCATCTTCACTCCACATTGTCCTTTTTTTTTTTCTTTTATATCTCCTGCCACCATACGAATGTACCTTTCTACATAATTCCGCAAAAAATAACTCCATTTATGTGTAACAGTTAAACATGAAGAAAGAATGGAAACAAATGAACAAAATGAAAAAAAAATGTATTTCGAGGTAAGCCCAATTTATATAAATTTGCTCAACTTTTTAGCCATTAAATATGTTGTATTTTTTTTTTTTTTTCATGGTGTATTCATAAATATGCAAAAGTGGAGACTCTTTTAAAATACATCCATCGGTTGAAATATGTGTATACAAGTTAACATATTCCTTTATGAAGTCGGGAATGAGGAATATATTTTAACTAACACTGTTGCAAATGACAAGTTGTTGTCACACTGTGCAACAGAAAGTATTATCCTTTGGAATAATCATATAACCAGAATAGGAGAAAAAGAAAAAAAAAAAGAAAAAGAAAACTCTCTTAAAAAGCAATTATATTGTGTTAAAAGTTAATAGGTACATTTATTGAAAAAAGATGTCTTCATGTGTGGAAGAAACATGAATGAACATATACAGTATATAGAACAAACTTCCCAATAACACAGCATAATTATGCATAGGTTATTTTACGGTCTCTCCATATGGTTTGTAGTTATAAAACATTTAAAAAAAAAAAAAATGGATAAGAAAACACTCTGGCATATAAACACAAAAAGAAACGGAATAGCTAGTAGAAAATATGCCACGTCTGCTAAAAGTGTAAGACCTGTGTATCCATCCTGAGTAGTTAAGATTATCTGGTGTTTTTCTTTTCGTCATACTTATTTTGTGTTAGTACGTACAATTTTAAGGTTTTTAAATTGTTCACGTGTACACATATATACATATAAGCATATATATACCTACATACGTGATAACTTCTTCAGGGCTAAGAGAACTGCAACAATTTAGTTAAATTTTTTTTTAAATAATACATACGGGCCGGACGTCATTGTTACCTATATCTGCAACTCTCTTCTGCTCTTATTTTTTAAGCATGTTTTTTTGTTCTCGTGTACGCAAAATGAACTATGAAACAATAACGACCCGAAAAGGGAACACTCGTAGCACCAAGTAATAAATGAAAACTAGTAATTTTTTAAGAGAACCTTTAAAAAAAAAATAATAATTTTCGTTTAAATTTTCAGCACACAAAATAAATATACAATTTTCACTTCAACAGTAGTAACTTAGGGACATAGAATGAATATATCTCAAAAATTGAAAAAAAAGGGAATGCATTACGCAGAAATAAAAATATAAAACAACGAATGTAAAATTAAGTACTTAAAGGATTAGAGAGGGAGGGAAGGACAAATTCCACCCTTTTGGGAATATGCCTTGTAGAAAAAAAAAAAAAAAAAACTCACCTTCCCCACATGAATAAGGCATGCACATTATGTACGTATGTATGCTGCACATATATATATATATATATATATATGTATAATAGCATAATAGAGTACTGTGTAGACTAGAGGTGTACAAAAAATCACTCTTTCAAACTATGTTTCTAAGCTTCATTCGGCATACCCCCCCAAAAACCCCAAGAAATGTTTTTTTTCCATGGCATAATTTTTGTGTACACAAATCAGGAAGTTTTTTAGAAAAGAATAGGCTAGCATTAAGAGTACCAATCAATTTAACAAAATTTGAAATTAGGGAATATTTGAGAAAAATATATAATGCAAAGGTTATAAAGGTGAACACATTAATTAAAGTCCCCGAGAGAAGAAGAAATTTAAGTGATTTTCGTTTCAATTATTATCGAAATGGACCAAGATATAAGAAAGCAATTGTAACATTAGAGCATGAAGTACCTGATAGTGTTAAAATGATTCAGTCATGTAAAAATATAGGTAGAAATCCTTATATTACCAAAAAAAATGTCATTTATGGTGTTAGAAGTGATGTGAAAATTACACCCACAAGGTCTCAGCTATGGCATATGGGTGAATGTAGATATTCTTGGAGATTGCCTCTAACCAACTTATTGGCTGATTATAAGATGAATTTAAACCCTGATTTAAGAATTGATGAAAATCTTGTTCAACTTGCACCCGATGTCACGAAGCCCTTTATGCATTCTGGTATTTCATCAGAAACGTTTAAGCCAAATAATGTGCCTGAACAGACGTTTCCAAAAGTAATGCTTAATTTTTTTCACTATAGTGTGATTTCGATGTTGGTAACATAAGGTCGTAATAGCTATAAGCGCGATAGTGTCCCGCAATAAATGACGCGGGCCACATTTTAAAGTACCGAAAACATGAAAAAAAAATGTGAATATCTTCATTTTTAGTTTTAAAAAAAAAAAAAAAAAAAAAAAAAAATGCCCATGTATTACATATGAGCACAATTATGTATTTATACTTTATACAAAGGAAATACATTTTTATACTTGCTATGTATAGGCTTATATTTTTATTTATTTTTTTTTTTTTTTTCATCCATTCTTGCGTAAATATATATATACTCTTATAGATCGATTTAACCCCATGGAGAAGACAAGTGAAAAAAATTTACGAGTCGGGAACTTTAGCACCGCCTGAATCGTTTCACAATGATTCTAAAAGACATCAAACAATTGAGTATGTTGGTGACAACAAAAGTGTAAAGAGATTATCCAGAAGCAGTAAATGGAAAGCCCCTTCGTAGACAAGGAAAATGAGTATATGTGTATTATTTAGTTTATTTTTAGAGAATTGAACAATCTTTTTTTTTTTTTTTTTTCTTTTTTTCATTCATTGACTCTCCTGCCTTGTTATTTTAGCACTTTCGATTTCGTTTTGGAATTATTTTTTTCAATTTTGGCCGAACTAATCGGTGCACATCCTGAGTAAATACTGAAAACACTGGGGTTTCGCGAATTTGCAGGTGCATGGAATTTGTAATTTTCTGCTTTGAGACGTTTTTACATCGATTATTTGCACTTCTTCATTTTAACAATAACATTTGAAAATAACGTAGCGCTGCTATTTGCACTTTTAAGGTCGTTTTTTTTTTTTTTTTTTTTTTTTCTTATTTTGATTTCTCTTCCAACAAGCAATTAAGGCTTAAATGTGTGCATGCATAAATATTTCTTTAACTTTTGCGCCTTGACAATTTCTCTATTTTTTCCCTGGGTGAAATGTTCCAAGTGCACGATAGTCAGAAATAAAACATACCATCGAGGAAATTATTGCCATTTTTACTGATCCTTTTTTCTTGCACATTCTCAGAAGCGAATGTACATGTGCATAACGAGGAAGGTATGTGCGCACACGTATGAATTTATATATGTAAAAACCTTTCCGGTGCGTTAAATGCCATCATATTATTTTCACATGTATATATACACACAGTTTTTAGCTCTTTTTCACAGATGACACCAGAAAGAATGAGAAAAGGGATGACATTGCTTCAGTTGATTCACATGATCCCTTAGTATGTTCTTTAGGGGCATGTTCTATTGAGTATAATAACATTTGCATTTTATGTAAGGTGTTGAAATGGAAACATTGGGAGAACATAAAATGGGCGCAATTTTGAGATAAAAAAAAGAAACGAAAAATGTGTAAAAACCGAAACGTAATTCTGCATGAGTCGAATTTATTTCTGTTTTGTTATTTTTTTTTACTGGAAATTGTATATACATAGGGTGGGGGGATGTGTGCATGCATTCAATTTTTGCTTCTTTTTTTTTTTTTTTTTTTTTTTTAAAAAGCAGAATGAACAAAATAATATTATGTATTTTCACATACTGCTGGATGACATGTAAAATGCACATGTATGTGTTATTTATAAATTTATGTAAACGTTTTTCACGTGAGAAAAATAAGTGTCGGTAAAAAAGTTATGTCTTTATAGGAGAAGTGTAGATAGGAGAAAAGTTTAAATCTGAATAAAGCTTTAAAACCTTTGGTGTACCGTGAAAAAAAAAAAAAAAAAAAAAAAAAAAAAAAAAAAAAAAAAAAAAAAAAAAAAAAAAAAAAAAAAAAAAAAAAAAAAAAAAAAAAGGTATGAAAAAAATTAGAAAAAAAAAAAAAAATAAAAAAAAAACCAAAATTGTAAAAAGAGCTAAAAAAATCAAAAAAAGTTAAAAAACACACCCCCCCAAAAAAAAAAAAAAAAAAAAAAAAAAAAAAAGAATAAAGCAAAATAAAATGTAGCACTTCTGCAAATAAACATTAAGCGATGTTCATTAAAAAAACGCATTTTCTCTCCATGTAAATTTTTAAGCTTGTATATATTATTTTTGGTTAAGTTACATTAACATTTTAAAACCTTTCTGGCATTTACAAAACGTAGTGTGTTAACACAAAATTAATTATCTTTGCCATTTTGTTTAATCTATGTCATTTTAATAGAACTTAAACTATCGTGCGTTATACTGTCATGTCAGTGTTCTTTTTTTTTTTTTTTTTTTTTTTTTTTTTTCGAAAGCATGTATTTGTGTTAAATTAGTGTGTTCGTTTTTGTTAAAGTAATTTTCCTCTTTTTTTTGACCTATGCACATGAGCTCAAGGAATCACACTCCTTGTATCAATATATCTTCATGGCATAATTTAAAACTGTGCAAATTTCAGTTTTAAGGATAAATAAAATATACTCATAAATTTTTTAACGTGAACTTTCGTGTAGTTTTTGTGGTGCTTTGCTTGGTAGACACATGCACACATGAAAGAAAAAATTCGCGGATGCTCTAAAAAAAAAAAAAAAAAAAAAAAAATAAAAAAAAGAAAAAAAAAAAAAAAAAAAAAAAAAAAAAAAAAAAAAAAAAAAAAAAAAAAAAAAAAAAAAAAAAAAAAAAAAAAAAAAAAAAAAAAAAAAAAAAAAAAAAAAAAAAAAAAAAAAAAAAAAAAAAAAAAAAAAAAAAAAAAAAAAAAAAAAAAAAAAAAAAAAAAAAAAAAAAAAAAAAAAAAAAAAAAAAAAAAAAAAAAAAAAATAATAAAATACAATCAAAATTAAGTGTTACCTGCAAAAAAAAAAAAAAAAAAAAAAAAAATACTAAAAAAGATAAAAAGCATAAAGCGATAAACAAATAGAGCAGGTAAGAAAATAAAACACACGAAGATAACACACAAAAAAAAATATACAAAATATGCAAAAAGTACAGAATATACAAAATACACAATTATACAAAATACACAAAATATATAAAATATACAAAACACACAAAATACACAAATTACACAAAATAAAAAAAAAAAAGAAAAAAAGAAATGATATGTAAAATTTTATAAACATCAATGGACGTCAAAGCATATATAAAAATAATCAAAATAAAACGAAATATAAAAAGTATTACACAAAACATGGAATAGCTTATGCATATAAGAAATATATATATGCTTATGCGTATATATATTTTGTGGATACATATGTATATATACATAAATTTATATGCGCCCATAACCTTTCTCATACATGTTTACACCATAATTGTTAAGTATATATATATATATATATATACATACTAAGAACCATTGATAATTTTTTTTTTTTACGTGCGCCGTATTTTTCATTCATATATGTGAAAAATTATGTATATGTACTTACCTCGATTATCCCTACCGTCCCTCACGTTCCACTCATTCGTTAATGAGCTTCCATAAAATATATACATGTATGGGTACTCACGCATGCACGTATGTTTATACATATGTATATTGCCTATTACACAGATATGTCTGATCATAAGTGTATGTATATAGGTGAATGAGTGTAATCACAGGTGTGATATATACACACAAGAACGTATATATGTGAAAATAATATGTAAAAATATATACATATACATGCATAAGAATTTTTATACTAGATTTTCCATATACCTAATAAATACGCTATCTTCATATCTATACAAAACATTTTTCGTTCATATTTTTTTACTTCACACCAGTTCACATTATCTTATATTGTACCAACAGATTTCATTTTATTTATTATTTTACTTTTACATTAAATGTAAGAAGAACGATTACATTGTGAACTAATATGTGAAGGACAATCCTAAGAATCATGTCGAAACTTCTGAAAGTTCCAGAATTCTATAAAAATTTCGTGGAAAAAGTTTTTCAAGAATAAATTTTTTTTAAATGTCTTTTTTTTTTTTTCGTAATTTTTCCAGTATTTATAACATTTATTGGCGTACATACATTATAACCTTTGGCTCACTTTCTCACACACTACACATTTGTCTAAATGTAAGTACAGAGAAATGCATACACGTCGAATGCAGTGTATTCATATATTTACATATGCACGATGCATAAGTATTTATATATTGATATGCACAATTATATATATACACATACTTTCGTACACATGAGAACCCATTTTTTGTTCAATATGTATGTGGATTTACCCATAACTTAGCAATCGAGGTAGAACTCTACGAAAGTTTATGAATTACACGAAAATTAAAAAAAAAATTCATAAGCTTTAATTGTTCTTCATTCCTCTTTTAAATATTTTATTCTGCTTCCTTTTTTTTTTTTTTTTTTCCATTATATATATACATTACGCCTATTTTTAGTCATTCCTTTCCATTACTCAATATCCTTATTAAATCTCATCAAAATGTCTAAATCCGTGTAATTTATACATATATTTCTTTAAAAGAAATATATATTTTTTATTTTTTTGGCGTATAGAATATTTACAATTCTAATTTTTTTTCCCCCTTTTTTTTTTTCATTTTGAATATATATTCAAAGAAGATAACCTAATTTTCATAAACACATCTTCCATTTTTACAATTTTACTTTTTATTTTTTTATGCACAAGATAAATGGCTTTATTCTGCAGTAATCATAATATACACTTGTGTGAGTTATAAATATTTAAATTTATTAAATTGTTAAACGATACAGTTATGAAGAATGTGAAAAAAAAAATTCACATAATACATAAGACTGCATGAATTCATCAATTGTAGAATACATAGGATTTATTTGCCACGCAACTGCAAGAAATTATACATTTTTGTTTAATCTCTCTGATTTAGTTTTTTAATTTTAAAACTACCTTGAACATTGAATTCTTTTTTTTTTTTTTTTTACGCATTTATTATATTTTATTTATACATTATTATCTCATAATGTTGTACATATTTAAGCCATGAATTGTCAAAAATAAAATAATGTGATAAGACTTTGTTAATACACTTTTTATTTAACTATTCTCCTGTGCATAAGAATTTCGTGCTAACCGTTTCGATTATAAAGATTCGTATAAGGCTTGTAAGTATGTTTGCATAACGCAATGTGTATGGGAAACAAGCAAATTGTTAATAGAATTGTGTGTTCTCTGTATATATTTGTTTATACATATGTACATATAAACAGTGAAGAAGAAAAATAATGATTCATATTGCATTGATTTTGCAAATGTCAAGATTATAAAGCAATACTATATATGTATGATTTATTTTACTTTTGTCTTTTTCCATACTTTCTTTTTCGTATCCCATACATTGAATTTTCGACAAAATTTCTCTCATTTTTTGTTTACAATTTTAAGATTTATTAATATTAAGAAACATTTAATGAGATATATGTAAAAATAAAAGAAATTCATTATTTTCCCTTTTTTTTTTTTTTTTTTTTTTTTTTATTACACAAGTGTGTTTAAGTGTTTTTTTTTTTTTAAAATCTTTTATTACATTACTATTTTATCCTTTCAGTTACCATTTTTTTTTTATATGTTGCCAATGAATATTTATACTTATACATGTGTATATATCTACAGAGAAAAGACATCACAGGGAGTGGTGAGAAATGTCAAAATGTCGACAAACATTCGCATTTGTCTACCATAGTAATATTAAAAATTAACGTATAGAGGCATTAATTTTTTATTTAATTAAGAGATTGTTTTACAATAGTTTATGTACCATCTTATTGGCAAAATTTTGCACATGTGTGCATCTGAGAATGTTGTATATCTGTCAAATGTACAAACTTTTGCGAACACGTGTTTTGTGTGTTCTCACATAAAAATATTTTTTCATGTGCAGTTATATATTTATTCTTGTCAATATAGACCTCTTAGTGTAGACTTCTCAACGTAGACCTGTTAATAAATACTCGTTTTCACGCACTTGTTTTTATACGTCCATTTATACATACAAGTTTCTATGCAACCTGCATGTATGCACCTGTCCGTATAAACTTATCCGTGTAATATTGTTCATACTTGTAAATTCATATATTAAAACACACTCCTGCGTAAGAGAGAAAGTCTCGTGTTCAGCGCAAGGAAATATAAGAATGCAAATTTGTTTGTTTTGTTTTAGAGTATAATGTTATAAATTTTATGTAATTTATGTGAGTATAATAAAATCAATGCATAAAACATTTGATCCCTATCTTGAGTAGGCTTGTATGGCACGATTCTACCGTTTAGCACATTTGTGTATGTATATATATAAATTGCATAAAATCTGAGATTGTTGTTTTGCCCAGTTGCGTATATGTAAGTGTATATGTGCAAATGTGCACTTGATATATGTTTGCTTAAAAAGGGTTTATTCATTATTGTATATACCTAAATATATGCATACATAAATAAACACATACATACATAGATATATATATATATATATATATATATATATATATATATATATATATATATATATATATATATATGTACTTACATATATACATACACACACATAACGCTCGTTTTGCACAAGAACGTAAAAGACCTATATACACCTCTCCTTCTGAAATTCATTCCGTCGTTGAGTTGCACTTCACACCAGACCAATGATTCAAGAAATGAATGATGAAATGCGAGAAAAGGAAGAATTGTCAATGAAGGAAATTATTAATAGGAACAATGATCGAGGCAATATAGACGAAAAAAATGATAATGAATGTTTTGAAAGTGATAAAAATTTGCGTTATTCAAACTATTATGAACATAGTGACAAAGAATATAGAAGATCTTATGATTTGATAAATTCCATGAATAGAAATATAAAAACTAACCATGGGATTAATAATGGGTGTATTTTTAATAGAACTTTTAACAATGGGTATACACATTTAGATGATATGATAAATTTAAAAAAGAATGCGAGTAATAATATGCATGAAAAAGGTAAGCATAAAAAAAATTTTGAAGATGCTGAGAATAATGAAAACACAAATTTATGTTCTAATTTAAACGAATCATTAATAAAATTATTTAGTTTGAATTACAACATGCAAGAACATAAGACACATGATAGAGAAAACGATTTGTACAATAAAATCTTGAAAACTAATCCCAGCTTAAATATAAATGAAATGGATATGATCAGTAGAGATAGTAGAAATGTGCAAACTGATGTAAACCAAGAGGAGCTAAATGAGTTAGTAGATGAGAATAGTGTAAGTAATTGCAATGATTTAAGTAGAACTTTTAAGAATTCTTCACATTTTATAAGTGAGCACAGCAAGGCTCATAATGATTTGTCTAATTCTTATCAAGAAAGAGAAAATAAACATATGAATCATTTTATAGATCATAAAAATAAGTTTGAGAATAGTATTACCCATTTCAAAGATAAGACAATGCGGAAGAAAAAAAAAACTCCAAGGGATAAACACAATAACACATCTAATCCATTAGAATATAATTCTGATGATGGTAACCACAAATTGGTTTGTAAGGTCAATAAAATTAATGTGAATAATGGAAATTCTTCATATAGTTCGAATGCCTCCAATGAATCTATAACTAGGATGGGGTGTGTTCAAAATGATAATGTAGAATATTTTAAGCACGATGTAGCAAAGAGAATTTTTGAAAATAATGATCTGGTTCGTACATTAAACAGAGATATACATACGGAACCTAGTGAAGAAGATAATGAAAGCGATATAAAAATTGGATTACTTAACAAGTACAATAATATGAATTACGTTAGAAATATTATGCATGATTTGAGTAAACTACATGGTGAAGAAGTGAATGGTGAAAATTCAACTAGATTAGCAAGAAAAATGAACATAAAAACTATTGTTGATAACACAGAATTTAATGTATCCCATGATGAGAATTATAAGAAAATGATAAATTCAGATATGAATAACACGGATGATTCTGTTATTTTTAATTCAGCTAGTGGTAAAGTAAGCAAATTAGGAAACAAAAAAGGAAACAAAAAACAGACCATACTGACTAAGAAAAATGGGAATAGCGTTTTAGGATGTGATGAGGATTACTCAAAGAAGATGTACATTAGTCATGAAAATAATTCACATGATGTGGTAATATATGATAATGGCATGAATACAAACGAAGAAGATTTGCAAAATATGAATCAAATATCTGGGTCTAGTAATATGAGTGAAGATAATATACCAAAGCAGATCATGTATATGATGCAAGGGAATGCTGCCACAATTAATTATGATTATAAGAATTACAAATTGAAAGACTCAAATAACGTCAATGAATTGAAGAATATGCAACAAAAATATTCGAACAGTTCTGGCGAAAATATGTACAAAATGAGTAATAATAATAATAGTATTACTTATAATGTAAATGATAAACAAATATCTAAGAATAAAGTCATTTTGAACAATAGCAATGGTTCCTACAAGAATGATGAATATGATAATTATAACAAGACAGAGGAATGTAGCGATAAGTCTAACGACTTGAGCAGGGTGAACAGTTTGAAGAACTTGAACAACCTGAAAAACTTGAACATTGAGGATGGAGGAGAACTTTATCGTAATTTTAATTTTCCAGTGTTGAAAAATGCAAATAAGGATCGAGAAAATGCTTCAAACGTATTCTCAGTTAACGATGCAATTGCCAATTTGTGTGAACTGCTACAAAATAGCAATAAGAAAAGTGTCGATATAAAGTCAGGCACTAAATTGGTTAATATGAACTATGAAGGCAGAAGTAACGGCAAAAACCAAGGGAACAACAATCACCATTCAGTATATACAAATGATGGAAGTTACAACTGCAATAGAATTGATAACAACAATGAAGTAAGAGTTTCAAGGGAAAATATATCACACAATTCTGTAGATAATTATGGCAAAATAAATTTCAAAAATATAAACCATCGAAATATGTTTTCGTCTCTTTTACGAAGTGTAAATGGTGATAAATTTAACTACTTAAAACAATCTGATGAATTTTTAAGCACTGCGAAGGTTGGATCAGATACACACACAGATACAAACCAATATGATTCTGTAGAATATGTGAAGAAAAGAAATGAATCTATTAATTTTGAAATTGAGGATGAATCATTTAAACACGATGAAAATAAAACTGATAATAATGAATTCTTAGAGCGTGGGAAAACGAATGATGAAGAAGATTTTGTTAAACAAGGAGAAAGAAGCGATATGGATTCGGTAAGTCAGAACCAGAATCATCATAATAATGAGAATCTATCTCTTCATTCGCAACCGATTCCAGTAGAATATATGAGAAACCCTTCGACGAAAGAAACATATCATGCGGGTTCTAGAAATAATACCACATCGTCTTCTACGGCTTATATGAATGAACATTTTAGCCACAGAAAAGAAAGAGGAACGAGTGATGATTATGAAATGGAAACAGAGGAAGATGAACGAATGAGAGATGAAAATGAAGAATCATATGATGAGGATGGAAATGATGAATCCAATTACTACAAAAAAAATGAAGAATTTAGCAATGCACAGAATGAAGTAAAAGGAAAATTTAAAAATTGTACAAAAAAAGGGGAATTTTTGAAAAATGATTCTGTTGAGCGGATTAAAGACACAATTGACGATGAAGAGATGACGAATTTTTCAAAGAACAAGAACAATTTTCATGTAAAACATTTTGAAGAAATTGGAAAGGCCATTATTAATATTAAGAATAATACTAAAATTGATGAATTTACAAAGAACAAGTTATTAAGCGTGATAGAGAACTCAATTTTTGCTGATAAAAATGGAAATATGCGATTCTTTTATTCAGAACAAGGAGGGAATATGCAAGACGAGGTGCATCAGAATTGTTATGATAAGGTGGCAAATAAGGACATTCAGCAAGGTGTTTCAACGAATGTCTCGAAATGTGATTCAAATTTTGATTCAAATTGTGGCACAAAATGTGCTTCAAAAAACCGCACAAGAAACACATCACAGATTGATAGCAAAGAGCCAATGAGCCATTTCAATTATTATGGCATCTCCAGAAGAAACAGAAAAAACGAATTGAGCACTTTGAACAATTCTTCCAAAACTGACGAACTGGTTAATGAAATGAGAAAAGGAAATTCCCGAGAGTGTTTTGACACAGATTCTAGTATGAAATATATAATGAATACACAGCAAGGAAAAAATATTCTAAACAATTCTGGTTATGATAATAGTGGGAATAATAAGCACATGCATGAAATAAATGATAAGCAATATGTAAATAATTTTAGGACCAAGGAAAAAAAAAACAAAAAATCAAAAAAGGGTGTGAACATGATAGGAAAAATATATAATGAAGATGAAATGAACAAATCGGGAGAAAATTTCTCCAGAGACAAAGATGGGAATTATGAACGCGACATAAAAGGAACGGGCAGCAACGACAACGAGAAGGAGAACGGAAACAGTAGCAGCAATAGTGAAGACAGATGTGTGAACGATCAAATCAACACTAATATTAACAACCTGAAACATGAGAAACAACAAAGAACATTGATGACAGGAATAATTAAGAGAGGGAAACGCCCCATTAACTATAATGAAGAAAATAGTCATGGCGAAGCAAAAAAAATACCAATGAAAAGAAGTGAAATAATACAAACGATGGAAAAGTATGGAAGTGAAGAAATAGAAGATGTAGAGGATCGCATGTTTTTGTATAGAAACACTGACAACTGCAATGGAAAGGATAGCACTTCTAGTAGTGTTCTTGTAAACAGTAATGATACATGCAGAGAGACAAATACAAATGTTGAAGATATTGCAAACGGAGAATTTTCATGTGAAGAGAAGAAACAGGCATATAGTGCTACTTTGAAGGAGGAATTAAATTCATACATGGATTCAAATAAAAGTTCATATCAGAAAAAACGAAGTGATAACGAGGAAGAAATTGAACGTATTCATGTACGAAATGATTATGAAGAAAATGAGGAACTGACAAGAAATACAAATAAATACGAGTCAGATGAAGTATGTAGTATGAAATATGAACAATCTAATGATGAAAAGAAACAAAAATTGTATTTATCTGATCATTTGAAAAGTAATAATTTAAAACAAGTTAATGATAATTACTTTAAGCTGAATTCAAATTTTCCAAGCAATTTGCTGAGTACCAGCACGAGCAGCAGCTATAGCAATGAAAATCTGAAAGGCAACACAAATAATTACAGTTTTAACGAATTGTCTTCTAATACATTAACGAATAAATTTCATATGGATGAAAGTATGCCAAGTAATTTAAACATAAGTTCACAAATATATAAGAATAATTCTAGTTCGTATGATAAGAAGAAAAAAAAAAATGATAAAAGAAATTTAGACAGCCTTTATAGCAACACACCGACGACATATGCAACCTGTATGAATGATTGCAGTAATACTAGTATTAAGTTTGTAGATTATGATATGAACGATGAGAACTCTCATAATCAGAAGAATAAAAAACATGTTTTAAATGTAAAAAACATGAGCGATGAAGATAGCAATAAGGTTATTTCTAATGCTTCAGCACACGTGGAATACGTAACAAAGGAATTTTTGAAATGCAATAAAAACATTATGAATATGAATAAAAAAATGGGAGAAAAACTGAATTGTGACAGGATCGATTTACTAATCAGTCCGGAGGAAAATCCATACAATGATATCATAAATAGCGATCAAAATGTATCATATAAACTGGTTAACGAAAATTTTGATGACAGTAGTAATGCTATTGATGATTGTAGTGATGGCAAAAACATATGGGAAAATGAAAATGACGAACATGCTGGGGACGTTTTAAAAGGCTATGGAGGAGGAGATAACGGAAATTCGCAAATTGCACACTCTCAAAGTACACAATTGCAAAATACCCAATTTGATGAAAACCTTTTATTTAAAAGCAAGAGCCATAGTGATAATGGAAAATTATTAAATTTTTTCCTGAAAAAGAAAAATTCCTCTTCTTCCTATTCTGATTATAAAGGGGAAGGAATGTCTCATATTAGTTCTCACAAGCCTCATAATCTGAATGAAATGAAGAGTGAGAATCAGTTTTCTCTAACCCGAACGAACAGTTTGAACATAAATTTGGGAACAATGCCACATGATCAAATGGACTATGATGATGCTATTCAGCACAATCGTAATTCCATTAATAAGAATAAGACGAATATGTACGATGAACTAATCAGAGTTAGTGGGGAACAAATGGACAATTTGAATCTCTCGGATTATGTTAATATCTCTGAGGAAATGTACGATAGACCCACAGTGGCGAGTATCAGCAAGGATTTGAGTTCTAATGAAACTATTCTAAAGGGCAAGGTCGAAACGGATAATGCTGTCGTGAGTAACTTAGCAAATGATATAGCTAATGATATGACGACCGATGTGGCTAACAATATGACTAACCCTATGACGGACGATTTGATGAACAAGAAGATGAATGACATTCCAAATGAAACGTCGAACCCCTCAGGGTCCACCACAAAAAACGAAGTTGACATAACCATCTGCACGTTGGCGAATTGCCCAACCCACAACCCGCAAAGCTACACGAAAAATGTTTCGAGAAAAGGAGATGCACAAGGAGATGGAGGAATGATGAAAGAGGAAAATGATGAACTAAAAAGAATACCAGGAGTTTATTATGATAAGAATTCTCAGAGATGGTTTGGAGAGCACAAAATAAACGGCGTCAAATGTGCTCAGAGTTTTGCAGTAAAAAAACATGGATGCGAAGAAGCCAAAAGGTTAGCAATTGAATGGAAAAAGGCAAGAATAAGAGGTGAAGTTTGGGACAGATTTATAAATAAGAAAAAAAAAAGCAATAATAATCCAAATTGTGTTAATAAAACTACGAAGACTAGTCGTCCATCAGTGGAAGAATTACGAATAAAATATTTGTCCATGAGTAAAAATATGCCAAAGGTTAGAGGAGTGTGGTTTAATTCTACTCCACAGAGAATGGGTTGGGTAGGACAAGCGTACAAAAAGTGTAAAAGAATTGAAAGAATTTTTTCTGTTAATAAATATGGCTTTGAAGGGGCAAGAAAATTAGCTATTGCTTTTAGAAATTCACAAAAACCATCAAATGAAGATAGTGATGAAGACAGTTGGTCAAAAGATGATAAAATGAATATTAAAAATGGGGAAGAAAATTTAAATAATTATGAATATAAAAATGAATATTCAGGTTCGAATGAAATTCCATCTAAAAATAATAACAGCAGTAGTAGAAGTAGCAGCAACGACATTAATAATACCAAAATTGAAAGTAAAGATACACGAATTAATTTATGTAGAGATGCAATGTTATTCATTTTACACGATCTTGAGACTATATTAGAATTAAATATACCCATGTTACACAAAAATGTCAATATGTACAAAATCTGTATAAAACACCATTTAAACTATTTAACTTTAATTAAAAGTGAAGAACAAATTATTCCATACCTGAACGTATTTGGTGATTACATTCAGAGATGTATATTGCCCACTGATTTGCCTTACGCTGAACTTTATGTATTAATAGATTCTCTAATTCATAGTGATATATTACCCTCCTTTGATCATAAGGAAAATTTCTCCGATTATTCCATGGCAGAAGATCCCGGAATTATAACACCCTCTATGTTGCTATGACTGCGTGAGAAAAAAAAAAAATAATGACAAAATGGAGAAATTATAATAATAATAATAAAATGAAGACATAATAATAAAATAAAAATATATATATAAAAAAAAAAAAAAAATGATTAATTCCTAAAACCCACTTACCCGTATTAACAGTCTTTAAGAGAAAGAAAGGATGAGATACACTCGTTTATATATGTTTGTGCTCTTCTCTGTAGGAGAAGCGTTCCCCATTTTGTGCACATTTTGGCATGTTGTTGTACATACGTATATATTTGTATTTATACATATAACAACAGGGGCTCATAGATGCATAACATTTTCATAACCGTGTAAGAGAGTCATAAGATCAGGCTAATAAGGAACAACTTTGTTTGCCATATGTGTACAGATGTCTCTCCGAATATCCATCCCTTTTTTTTATTTTTCAATTTTTTTTTTTTTTTATTATAATTTCCCCATAGTTAATTCTTCTCCCTAATCGTCAGATTTTTTTTTTTTTTTTTTTTTTTTTTTACGAAAACTATGCTAATGGTATTCATTTCTTGAACTTTTTCGATAAGATGTATGTGTACCCTACGTATAAATAAACCAAAAAAAAAAAAAAAAAAAAAAGACTGTACTTTTTTACTTTATTTTACTAAGGTTGACCTATTTAATGTACACGAACATGTTTTTATATTATATTTAGTATCTGACAGGATTGTGTATTTGAGATGTGTGTGCATGTGTTGGATGTGGCATATTACACGTGCATATATTCTCATACATAAGTACATTTTCTATTTTTTCAAATTTTTTTCCTTTTTCATATATCTACATATGAAGGAAGGATTCATTGATGACTTATACAACTTTTTTAAAATTTCTCAATTTCACATTAAAAGGGGTATTTTCCCGAATTATATTTGTTTTCCTATTTGGAGACATTGCTGCTCTTTCCAATTTTCCAATGGTAATTATGATGTAGGTCGTTTGGGCAAGTATTCTTTTTTTTTTTTTTTTTTTTTTTTTTCCCTTGAATGCGAGTGGGAACCATAAACGAAATGTTCACTTTTATTAACAATTTTGTCATGAAGCCCAAATTGTTTATACTGTTACTGGGATTTTAAAATTTTTAGATAAACAATTTTATATTTTTTTTTGAGCGGAAATGTGTGCATGTTTAATGTGCAATTAAGCAGTAATTACCACTTTTAGTTGTTAAAAATTGTTACGGAAATTTTTTTGTGAAATTCCATTTCAAATAAAACTAATTAGTATGGTCAATTTAAGGAGCAAACACCATTTGTGATGAAATCGGTTTATATTTGATATTTACAAACATGTGTGTGTAGGTAATTACATTGTCTACCAAGCATTATGCTTTATGTATACTTATGTAATAAAAGCGGCGTTTCACATATTCTTATAATCGTTCAAACGGTTTTACATATAAAGGATCTCAATGAGTAACATCCTGGGAAAAGAAAAAAAAAAAAAAAAAAAGGACAAACGAAAAGAAAAAAAAAATGTAATAAATATTTTTTTTTTTTTTTTCTCCATGTAAGAGTGATGATTTACTCATATAATAATTTATTCTCTTTTCGCAACCTGTCATGTCTTTTAACATTATGGTAATTTCTTTGAAAGTAAATTGTGAATTAGAAAAATTATGGTGTAAGGCAGTATCTTCTCTATTTTTTGGTAATTTAAGGAAGCATTGTTATAACGTAACTTTTTTTTAACCTTTCTCAACCTTAATCCGTTTTGCCCTTTTTTTTTTTTTTTTTTTTTTATATTTCTTTTCAATTTATAGAAGAATGGCGGTTTTATCCTATGTTAAACATTTCTAAATAAATATTCTGTTTGAAGAACGGAATAGGTAACGAGTTGGAGGATTATTTTATTTTATTTTATTTTTTTTTTTTTTTAATTCTATTAAGCCACCAGCTGAGAGTTTATTTTAATGGAAAATCTCATTTTAGCCCAAGAATATGTATTCAGGGATATAGAATTATAAAACAAATTAATTTTTTCACTTTTTCTAGCAATTATTTTATAGATAGGAGGAAGTTCCTCACCATGCTTATTTATTTTTTTTTTTTTCAATTTTTAATTGTCAATATTTACTATGATATAAACGTGCAATATCTTTTTAAAGCAGAGGAACAACCTTTTTTTTTTTTTTTTTTTTTTTTTTTTACGCATTTATCAGTTAGATAAACTTCATTTGTGCTGAAAATTTATGTGGCAAAATTGGCAAATTTGTAGGTATGGAATATATACAGATGATAAAAATATGTATCTTTTCCTCATTCTCCCACTTTTCAACCCATCCATGCAAGTACAAAAAAGTTATTGCATGTATTTGTATGTACATATATGCCTATAAAGGTTAAATCCAAAAGGAGAAGGAAATATAAGAGAAAACGTGTTAATACGTTTTATGAATAAAGTCCTTCAACTTTTACATATATCAGCACACACGGCTTCATGAACCACAGCATTTGATTGCTAATGCTATTTGGCTAAATGGGAGAAAGCGGTAATTATTTCAGGATACCTGATGAAGCAAGAACAAAAGAGCGACATTACAAAACAAAAAAGAATAAATTTCTAGAAGAGAAATCAGACTTATTTTGTTTCATATGTTTAGAGAAGAATTTAGAAGATTCTCATTTGATATCCTGCTGTTCTTTATGTACTGCTTGTGTTCATAAAAGATGTTGGTACAGTTGGAGAAAAACCCAGAAATTAAGTTCCCTAAGATCCAGAATTTTAGGCCTAAATAAATTGGACCCTTTATTATGCACAATTTGTAAAACAGGTACTGCAAAAATAAAAGATGAAAAGGATTTTAATTGGATAATTAACAGTAATACAAATAAAGAATATTTGCAAGATGAATTATTAAGAACAATTGCATCGATATTAAATAATGAAGGGAATGATAACAACATTCGCATACTTCATTTCCGATATATTTTTTTAATAAATTTAATTTTTTTAATTATAGGAATAGTTATAATAATAATTTTTACAGTTGTTTTCCATTTTACCACTACCTATGTCCTTCTTGTTGCACTTTTTGTACTGTACGAAATTATAGTTCTACAAATAGTTTTATATCTTTATATAAGAATCAGATATAATTAATTCATTTGTATACACTTTTTTTTTTTTTTTTTTAAAAAAAAACACACAAAGTGAATTATACTTCTTGTGTGTTCAAACCATTTGAGGGAGATATATTCATTGAAGCCTTTTTATATTTTAGTGTAAAAAATTGGACAATATATTTTACTCCCTTTTTTCCTTTACCGCTTTTCTAATGTAAAAGGTGGTTCTTTACTGTTTTACACTTTAAAGTGTGAATAAAAATGTCTAAAAATGGCTTTCATTATGTTTTCGTGCGTCATTCGCCTTTTTTTTTTTTTTTTTTTTTTTTTTCCCCATTGTTTTACTATTTCGTTTAATTTTATCATGCATTACGATTCATTAGTGTGAATTTTTATGTCCACTAACCAGTGTGATCATTTCGAAACATTTTTTAGCCTATATGAATATTGTTCCTGCGTTTTTGTTCATTTTGTTAATTTTTTTCATATTTTTCATATTTTTGAATATCCATACGCATATACATTTTTAAGACATAGTTTGACACTTCCAATAATCGTTGTTTTAATTTGAAAACAGTTGAAAGTTTGATTTGAGTAAACATATAATGGCTTGATTTGGTAAACATCAAAGTGAATGGTTGCATAATGAAAGATCATTGTTCTAATTTACAGTAACGCATTTTTTTTTTTTTTTTTTGTGAATATTTTGAGAAAACATGTAGCAAAACGAAACAAAACAAAATGGGTAAGAGGCGGAAAAGGGGGGGGGGGGGGGGGGGGGAATTGAGAAGATAGGGATACTTACTAAACCACAGTTGAAACTTTTTCTTTTTTTTTTTTTTTTTTTCCCCCTAGGGATAAGACGTAGAAAATTTCGATAGAAAAATGAAGAACAAAATCGTTAACACAATGCAGTCGCATTCACATAAACAAAAATAGGTAGAAACTTTTGCATAAACGAGTTTAATATGATAAGATTAAGAACACTCATATATCACTGCGTATATTGGGGAAACCTTTTTTTTTTTTTTTTTTGTGTGTCTAAGTTCTGTGTTGTGTTGTTAGCTAATCCACTGTTCAGCCAAATTATGATAAAAGCTACCTTGATTCGTTAACTTGTACTTGTTTAATGTGTAATTATTTAACTCGTTAAACGTTTCTAATATTTTTTTTCCATCGAATTTATTTGTGACGAAATTACCATTTCTTAGATATTGTGGCATGACATCTACGTCCATATCTCCCTCCTTTTGATCGTTTCCTATGTGACTCTTCTTTATCATGTGTTTAATATGATTTATTTGAAATTGCAATTCTTCCAATTGTTGTTTTTGGATATTTAGGACATAATTAATTTTCATTTTATCTTCTTCCATTAATATTATTTCATTCTTAATATCAACTAGGAAATCATTTTTTTCCTTTTCAACTAATTCTATATATTTCCAGTCTTTCGGTTCTATATTGTAATGTATATTAAATGCTGGATACGCTGAATCGAAGTTTGTTTCTTCGTTTGTCGAGTTTCGTGCAGGGAAATTTTCATTTCCCTTTTTTTTGGGATCCATGCATTTTATATACATGATAAACATTAAGAAAATATTGGCGAATGCTACAATTTTCATTGTTATGGTCAGATGCCAATATGATTGAACCTTTGTCAAAATGGAAAAAGTGAGTTAAATCGTATCTGTGTACGTATTAAGTACGTATGTATGCATGTATGCAGACACGATTATGTACACGCATTTGTACACGTGTGTGAATGTGTAGAACAGGGGGGAAAGGTTACACCTTTAGAATGTTAAGTAGTGGAGTGGTTATTTTGAGATAACATTTGGAAGATAAAGCATAGTGTTCATCAGAAAAAAAAAAATATATATATATATATATACGAAAAAGAATGGGCTGCGATACACACATACATGTGCAATAATCCTTATGCACAGAAACATGTACTTACACCTTTTTTGCCATTCAAATGAAGATATAAGACCCCTTCCTACAAACATTAAAAAGTTGCGCTATTTATGAGATTTCATTTGTAGATATAAAATTTTATGGGTAATAAAAAAAAAAAAAAAAAATTCCATTTTAAACATGTTTATTTTTCTTAACATCACACATGTGGCACCTTGTCCAAAATGGTTATTTCACATTAAGTTTAATGTTAGAAGATTGAAAAAAATTAGAACTTTTTGTCTTTTCTACGTTTAAGGAATATGGTTCTTACAGTGCATTAATGATACTATGCTTAAATTGGGTAATTTTTTTTTTTTTTTTTTTTTTTTCCCCACCCCCCTAATCAATTTTGCATGTCCTAAATATGATTTTTTTTTAAAAAAAAATTGGACCTAATTGAACTAAGGTGAATCATTAGTAATACATAAGAACGAAGTGTATTTTGTATAGCATTAAGTTTGCTTCTGAATTTTTGTTATGCTACTTCTTCTTTTTGGGAGTTGTATATGTTTAAACATGCATGTGATATAGGACAAATAATAGCCCAAACTGTGTTAAGCGATGTCAACTTTAAAATGTGCATTTTTTTTTTTTTTTTTTTTTGCAAAGGTACGTACATCCCTTATGGTAAAGAGGAATTTACGTGTGGAATTTAATGGATAGCTTATTTTCTCTCATTCCAGATTAAATACTTTTTTTTACGCTTGCACATTATGTGCAAAAAATATTTTTTCCCTTTATTTCATTTTATTCTATTCCTTCACGAATCAGCGCAGGGAAAAAAAAATACCTAAGGCGATTGCAAAATCAGGAAAAGAAGAAAAAAAACAAGAAAGAAATAAAAAGGAAAAGAAGCTTCCTTCTAATGTTTGAAAGTTGTGACCCTGATTCATATTCCTTTTTCATTATCCAAATTGGTAGGAAATGAAAGCATCAAATGGCTTACAAATGAAAGCGCGGAATAGCGCAAGAGCAAACAGACGATGAACATGCGATTTTCGAAATCATTCCCTATATTCATTCTCCTGTTAGAATATTTCCTGATATACACAAGAGGAAAAGTACACGATTCAAATACTTCCACTTCGAATCGTTTGAACAAATGGAATTTTCGAAAGAGGGATCTAAAGCGAAGATTCCCTTTTACATCCTATCCCAATGATGAGATAAAAACATTTAAAAGAAAAAGAACACCTGATAGGAAGAAATTATCTAAGAAAAAAGCATACTGTTTTTTTACGAGTATCAAAGGGGTTGAAAAAATAAAGAGGGAAGAAAAAAATCATAAAAATTTTTATCGCAGCTTCCGTTGTAAAGATTATGATGCAAAGGACATTGTTATTTTAGAAGGTCTAGAAGCGGTGAGGAAGAGACCAGGTATGTATATCGGAAATACAGATGTGAAAGGGTTACATCAAATATTATTTGAAATTATTGACAATTCAGTGGACGAATATAACAATTTTGAGTGTAATGAAATTAAAATTGTTATACACCGCGACGAAAGTGTAACAATAGAAGATAACGGGAGAGGTATACCATGTGATATTCATGAGAAAACTAAAAAGTCTGCCCTCGAAACGGTTTTGACTGTTTTGCACTCAGGTGCTAAGTTTCATGATGACGAAATTTCTGAAGAGTTATCGGGAAAGAAGGATATAGTGCCCGTAGATGCAGTTGCAAGTGTAGGTGCAGAGGAGAAAAGCAATGGCAGACGTGGAATTCGCAAGGCTGGAAGAAGAGAAGATGAAGAAAAAGAAAAAGTAGATCAGAAGCAGGATGGGAAGGAAAACCTTAAGGCAGGTTCAAAGGCAACAGAAATGAGTGAAGAAAAAAGCGCCCAAAAGGAACATTCACCAATGTACAAATTTTCGTCCGGGTTGCACGGAGTGGGGTTATCTGTAGCCAATGCCCTAAGCAGCTTCATGAATGTAAAAGTTTTCAGAGATGGGAAAATTTACAGCATTGGATTGGAAAAAGGAAAAGTCGTACATCCGTTAACTGTTCATAATTACCAAGTATATAAGAGAGGAACACAAATACATTACAAACCGGATAACACCATTTTTAAAAATACGATCAAGCATAACGCAGAGTTTATAAAAAATAGGATACATCAACTGGCATATCTAAATGATAGACTCGTTTTTTACTTTTGTGATGAAAGGGTTGCAAACAGAACGTCGTATATAAATTTGTCAAAAGGAAGTAATAAGAGCGATAGAGATGACAAAAAAGAAAAAATAATGGCTGAAAATTCTATTAGTTCCGAGGAGAAGGATCCAAAATTCAATAAACAGTATACTGATGAGAGAATAGTTGATGGAGTTAAAAAATTAGGGGAAGATCAAATTAGTCACTACAAAGATTTATACCTATATAACTACGAAGTAATAAAACATGAAGGGGGGTTAAATGAATATATAGATGACTTAACAAAAAATAAAATGAATTTATTCAAAGACAGTAATAAAACCATTAGCATATGCTGTCACAATAAAAATGTATACATCGATTTAAGAATGAAATGGATGCAAAACCAGTATCATGAAAATATTATAAGTTTTGTGAATAATGTATATACAAGTGATGGAGGAACACATGTGGATGCATTAAAACATGCAATTAGCAGATGTGTAAATTTTAATATAAAAAAAAATGAAACAACAAAAAATTATCTCAATGTACCAGGAGAATATATAAGGGAGGGATTGACAGCCATTTTATCTGTCAGAATGAACAACCCAGAATTTGAAGGACAAACAAAAACGAAATTAGGTTCTCATCATTTAAAACCAATATTAGAAAGTATCGTTTTTGAGAAATTATCAGAAATTTTTGATTTCGAACCTAATTTATTAAACACACTTTATTTGAAAGCATTACAAGCAAAAGCAAGTGATGAAGAAGCAAAAGCTGCCAGAGATTTAATAAGATCAAAAAATAATCAGTATTACTCTACCATATTGCCGGGAAAACTAGTTGATTGCATAAGTAATGACACAAGTAGAAATGAAATTTTTATTGTAGAAGGAGACAGTGCTGCTGGAAGTGCAAAGCAGGCTAGAAATAGAGAAATCCAAGCAATACTCCCCCTTAAAGGGAAAATTCTGAATGTAGAAAAAATTAAAAATAATAAAAGAATTTTTGAAAACTCAGAATTGAAATCTTTAATAACAGCTATCGGTCTGAGTGTTAATTGTGATAATACTAAAATTACAAAAGGGAATAATATTTTGAATAAAAAAAAAAAGGATATTAAAAAAAAATATGATTTAAAAAATATGAAAAATGATAATACACAAGTTAACAATTCCATGATGAATAAGAAAAAAAATTCGATTTTTGACACACCCATAAGATATGGAAAAATAATTATTATGACAGATGCTGATGTTGATGGAGAGCATATACGTATTTTACTTCTAACCTTTTTGTATAAATTTCAAAAAGATATTATAGAAAATGGAAATGTGTATGTTGCTTGTCCACCATTATATAAAATTACGTACAATCGTTTTTTTGATAATTCAATAAAGGAAATCGTAACTAAACAATTTAATGTTACCACAAAAAATTCCAAGTTCCTTATCCATACATATTCAGATGATGAATTAAACGAATTGTTGCGATTATTAGACCAGGATAGAGCTTATCACACTGAACAGAAAAATATAGAATCTCAAAAAGCACCATCTACCGATGAAGTAAAGAGTAAAATTAATGACAATGAAAATTATTTATCCATTTTAGAAAATGCAGAATTAGACCAACAAAATAAAGATAACGAAATTTCCGAGATAAATCAAAAAATACTTCAAACGGGTAATGAAACTCAAAGTAGTTCGCTTATCAGTAATAATACACTTTTTACGTTCTCCAAAAAATATGAAATACAACGATTTAAAGGCCTTGGAGAAATGATGGCTGACCAGTTATGGAACACTACAATGGATCCAAGTGTGCGAAAATTAATTAGGGTTACTGTTAACGATGCTATACGGGCGAATAATTTGATTTATTCCCTAATGGGGGAGGATTCAAAATTGCGAAAAAATTTTATTCTGGAAAATTCTCCTTCATCACATGATTGAACAGAAGAGTGCAACACAAAAAGTGTATATCACGTTGTTCCATTTGTTGTATATGTTACAGATTTCTTTTTCCACGCTCCCTTTGACGAGAAAATGGAGACTTTTTTTTTTTTTTTTTTTTTTTTTTTTCTGCGTTCAATTTGGTACTTTCGGGATGCATTCATTTTTATCGTCTCTATGAGAACCACATTCGCAGTACTTGCAAATGTGTACACCTGTTGCTACCCCTTTTGTCGTTGTTAGATGGGGAAAACAACATATAATTTTGAATTTAAATGTATTATTTCTTTTTAAGCACTGAATTAATTATCAATTTAACGCTATCCGATATGAATTAAGGAGGATAATTTTGGTAATCAAAATGCAGATTTGGCGTGATAAAACAAAATTGTAAAAAATAACAATAAAAGGGATTGATAATCAAAATTGAATAAAGTATGGAAATTGTGGAAAAATCAGAGACTGTGATTTTTCTAAAAATAAAAAAAAAAAAAAAAAAAAAAATGTACGAAAACATTATTTGAATATCACTTAGAACCAAAGTAATATGTGAATCCCAAATTAAGAACATCACCAAAATTGAAAAGAAAACTTTGGATAAAACTCAACTGGCCTTGTAGATGTCCACTATTTGGAAATTTAAAAAATGTGGATTATTTGAATAATAATAAATATTATCAATAATTTTATGACTTAATGTACCTGGGCCTATTTCTTTTTGATATGCCTTAAAAGCAGCCATTTTGTAAATTAAAGAAGCTGCAGTACATGCTATAAATGAATTTTTCGGATAAACAGATGTTGCTGCGGCACAAAGAGCACCAACTGAACATCCTGAACCAGTAATTTTTGTTAAAATTTTTAGATCACAATTAATTTTGGATATATAATTTGAACATGGACTGACAATAATATCAGATTTTGATGTGACAGCTACAGTACAATTATACTTTAAAGCAACATTTCTTGCACTTTTAATTATATCAGGTTCACTATAGGATGTATTGCTGTTGCTATCTACACCTTTTCCAAAAAATTCTCCTTTATCTAGATAAAAAATTTCAGCAAAATTGCCTTTAATAACATTTGGTTTACATTTAGTAATAATATCTTTAATCATGTTTCTTCTGTATTCTGTTGCACCTACAGCTATTGGATCAATTATCAAAATAAATTTTTCTTTCATTTTTTCTTGTCTTATTTTTTTTAACACGTCTACATTTTCCACCTGACTTGTATGTAAACCTAAGTTAAAGTAGGTGCAAGAGGATATCTGAGCAAATTGTTCTACCTCTTTAGGATTATCAATCATGGCTGGGGAGGAGCCAAACGCCAACAAACTGTTTGCCACCTTTTCAGTAGTTACTCTGTTTGTTATACAATGCACAAGCGGGTTAGTCACCTTAACCTGTTCGATACATTTGATTATTTCATCTTGGTACTCTCGAACGTTCTTCAATTTAGTCACGGAAGAAAATAATCTTAAATTTGCAAAATGTTTGCACCAATTCATTTGGTTCAAATGGGAGCAGCTTATTCAGAACAGAATGGATCTTAATATGGGACAATCTGAATGCGCAAAAAAGAGGGAAATAAAAAAAAGGGAAACAAAAAAAAGGGAATCAAAAAAAGGAGAAGTAAAAAAGAGGGAAGCAAAAAAAAGGGAAGTAAAATAAAGGGAAGCAAAAAAAAGGGAAGTAAAATAAAGGGAAGCAAAAAAAAGGGAAGTAAAATAAAGGGAAGCAAAAAAAAGGGAAGTAAAATAAAGGGAAGCAAAAAAAAGGGAAGTAAAATAAAGGGAAGCAAAAAAAAAGTATACTTTGGAACATACGAAAAGGTGAAATTAAACTGTGTTTTTGAACGAATAAATACGACACCAGGGAAAACCTATGTCATCATAAGCTAAATACAATCCCTTTCTTTACATACATAATCACTGCAATATTATTGTAGACGAGTAAAACGCAAGAAGATACGTTAATTTATCCCTAAAAAAAAAAAAAAAGGGAAGAAACTGGGAGAAACTCAATTATGTCCAAGTACAAGTACAAATATTATGTGCACAAATAATGCAACCTTTTTTATGGGAATAAAGTTGGATGAATGGATTATTTTAAAGAATAATTTAAAACTCGTTTGTTCCATAAAAAATTAGTAGGTGGAAAGGACAAAAAAAAAAAAAAAAAAAAAAAAAAAAAAAAGAGCTACATTCACAGAGAAAAGCCAAAAAGGTACTGGTGAAAAAAAAAGAAAAAAAAAAAAATGTTAATTTGCCAAAATGGGCTTCCGAAGTTGTATTCATTATGTTATAGTTGTTTAAAACCTTGAAAATGTAAATTGGTATAGAAGTATGTATATATACTTATGTGCAATATATTCATGAAACTCATTATATTCGATTTCTTGTGCAATAATAAGGGTGTTTTAAAAGCATGTTAAACAAGCATATCAGCTTTATTGTAACATGCATTTTGCTTTAACTTCTTTTTTTTTTTTTTCACTTAATATATATTCGAGAATGGGCTCATTTACTTCTCTGTTGGACCGTTTAACGGGGAAAAGATCGTTCACATGAAGCAATATATACATAATATGTAGTGTAAAAAAAATATAAGAAAAAAAAAAAAAAGTAATACAAGCACGAATGCAAACATGAAGCAAACATGAAGCAAACATGAAGCAAACATGAGCTAACACAAATGCAAACACGAATTCGAACATAACCATTATTAAGAACGTCGCATGGGCTAAAATTTAAAACATCCCGAACAAGTGACTTATAAAATGGTATGTCAAAAAAAAATGGTTCCACAAAAAGCATGGCTCATTTTTATGTTACAATTTCAACAAGTGAAATAGATATTACATACCCCAATTTTGTATGCAGCATTTTGATTGCTACAAAATAATGTGGTAAGAAATTTTAAAGATACGCAACGATACCATATCAAAGTAAATAAGCAAATGTATAAGTATTCACACTCATAAATGTACAGTTTACCAATTGCAAGAGAATAAAAGTGAATAGTTCTCAGTGCAGTTATACTCCCCATTTTCTGCACTTTGTTTTTTCCCCTTTTTTATAGTCACAATTGATGTATAAATTTTTTGGGTAAATATATATGCCCGTACTTTTTTTAAACGAAAAAAACCAAAAAAATATGGGCATTGACATAAGCTAGAACAAAAATTTATGCTACAAGTATATTTTACAAATCACCAACATTGACCCAAGTTGGGATACACAAGACTCCTGTTTGCATTTTTGTTGTGTTGTTATTTTTGGGAAAAGAAAAAAAAAAAAAAAAGTACCCAAAAAAAGCACCCAAAAAAAGCACCCAAAAATTATACCCCCCCCAAAAAAAAAAACATAAAAAGTAGCTGTTCACAGAGAAACTGCATGTATTTATATGCAGATGCTCGTAATTTTATGTGATCCCCAGATCGCATCACTATTTCACATGTGGTTCCCAGAGGTCTTTCACGACAATTGGTTGAATTGCACATATGCTGAGAGGATTGCAACAACAGAAAAAAAAAAAAAAAAAAGAAAAGAACTCGTGTAATAAAAGGAAAAACACATGTTTAAACATTATAAAAACACTGTTAACAAAATTATGAATTCTAAACATGAAAATGAAAGTTTTGTGTCAACAGGATCAGATAAGAATTGCGAAGAGGAAAATTCCTCTTTGTTGCAAAACAATGACACTGTAGGAATAAATAAGAAGAAAACGAAAAAATCTAACAATGATACCAAGAAATATAAATATTATGAAAACTTTTTTAATAAAAAGAGAAATAAAAAATGGAATTATTTTATCATATTTTTTCTGGGAATATGTTTCGGTTTTGCCATATGGCCATTCTTTATGACCATAATTACATATAAACTATTTTACAAAGACAATTTTAACAATTCCAATTTTACAACAAGTAACACTTCAGCATCCTTGAGGCCGTATGGAAATGATAAAAATAAAAAAGGTGATAATGGGAAAGTATCCATAAAAGATCAAACACAGAAAAATTCCTCCCCACATTTCAGACCTATAAGATTCGAAGAAATAGCTGGAATAGACGAATCAAAATTAGAACTCCTTGAGGTTGTAGACTTTATAAGAAACAGAGAAAGGTATCAAGAAATGGGAGCAAGAATGCCTAAAGGAGTATTATTAGTTGGTCCCCCAGGGTCAGGAAAAACTATGTTAGCAAGAGCTGTAGCAACAGAAGCCAATGTTCCTTATATTTATACATCAGGACCTGAATTTATAGAAATATATGTAGGTCAAGGTGCAAAGAGAATAAGACAATTATTTTCCCATGCAAGATCTGTTGCTCCATCAATTGTTTTTATTGATGAAATTGATGCCATAGGAGGGAAGAGAAGTTCTGGTTCTGTGAATGGTGCAGGGCAAAGGGAACATGATCAAACCCTCAACCAATTGCTAGTTGAAATGGATGGATTCAGCAACACTGTACACATTATGGTAATAGGTGCTACTAACAGAATTGATACATTAGATAGTGCTTTACTTCGCCCAGGTAGATTTGATCGAATCGTTTATGTACCTTTACCTGATGTAAATGGTAGAAAACGAATTTTAGAAATTTATATCAAAAAAATAAAAAGTGATTTAAAATCGGAAGATATTGAAAAGATAGCTAGATTAACTCCAGGCTTTTCTGGGGCGGACTTAGAAAATGTAGTAAATGAAGCAACCATATTGGCTACAAGAAATAAAAAAAGTGTTGTTAGTATTGATGAATTATTTGAAGCTAGAGACAAAGTTTCTATGGGTCCTGAAAGAAAATCACTTAGACAATCTGAACATCAGAGAAGAATTACAGCTTATCACGAAGCGGGTCATGCCATTGTTGCTTACTTTCTTCAACCCAAAACAGATCCCATACATAAAGCTACGATTATTTCCAGAGGTAATGCCCTCGGGTATGTAGAACAAATACCAGTGGACGACAGACATAATTATTTTAAAAGCCAAATGGAAGCAAAATTAGCCGTATGTATGGGAGGTAGAACTGCAGAAGAAATCGTTTTTGGAAAATCCGAAACTAGTAGTGGTGCATCTAGTGACATTTCTAGGGCTACCGAAATTGCATACAAAATGGTAACAGAATGGGGAATGTCTGATAAGTTAGGACCATTAAATTATAAAAAAAGAATGGGAGATGGATATTCTTCAAACAGGTTATCAGCTCAAACTATTTCTACCATAGAAGTAGAAGTAAAAGCTCTAGTAGAAAAGGGTAAAAGTTTATCTGAAGAAATATTAAGAAGGCACAGAAAAGAATTGGATAATTTAGCCTTTGCATTGCTCGACAAAGAAACATTATCAGGAGAAGAAATAAAAAAAATTATAGATCCCAACAATACGAGGGGTTATTCAGACACTGTACATCTTCTAAGTAAGGATACGAAAGCAGATACATCTAGCAGTTCTGACAATAACAAAAAGGAGAAGAATTCATCAGATAATGAACAGATTAATGATAAGAATCATATGGATCAGAATACACCGAATAACCGAATCCGAATTATTGATACGCATGGGAATAGAGAAAAGGACATTATTAAAAACAAGGAACAATGGGAAAAGAATAAGAACGAAGTAAGTCTTACGAGTGGAGTTAAAAATACTAATAATGATGATTTGCATGAAGGAAAAGGTAAAAAGAATGAAAAGTATGAAAGGAAGAATAACGAAAATAATGTTTTTATGGATAATAGCAAAATAGAAATCATAAGGAAGAACGCCAAAAACGCTACTAAAAAGATAAAGAAGAAATACGCCAAAGATGCGAATGTTAAAAATAGTAAAATACTGAAAACTGTAAATGAGCATAAATCATATGATGCTGATAGAAAGGTAGATGAGCAAAATTTTGAAAATAAAAATGGCCCATCGAGCAAATCAGATAAACACAGCTGCCCGAAGGGGCATCCCCGAGATAGTAACAATAGCAACAATGTCGTTAAAAACACAAATGAACTTTTTAATAAAGAATTTTCAGAAGAAAAAAATAAAAATGAAAATCTTGATTTTGTAAAAACTAAAGAAATAACTTTTAACAATTTCAATGAGGTAGTAGATACGTCGAACATTAAAAATGCTAATGAAATGAAGAAATTTAACATTTTTGAACACAACTTATCTAAATTATTTCTCTTTGACATTTTTAGCAGCTAGATTTCTGGTGTAATTGTAATATTTTTTTATTTGTATGCATTTTTTTTTTTTTGCTACCGTTTTTTTCGCCCCACATTTTCCTTTCCATATTTTATCCCAATTTTTAACGCCCATAAATTTTTTTTTTTTTTTTTCGTTTCCTTGATTGTTTGAAATATATGAAAATAATTTTTTTAAAACTCTAGTGTATTCGTATACTGCTCGACCAGCAAAATGTGTGCACTGAACAAGTTTTTATAAAAAAAAGCATTTATGTATGAACGTACATGTAAATCAATGTATATGCGCAAATGTACATAAGTGTGCACCAGCTTTCCTACACAAATTATGTCGCTCTCAATATATATATATATCTTATTAATTGTTTTTGCTTTCCCAAACAAATTTTTAGTTTAACACAGTCTATACTCATTCGAGTAATTCTTAATTTACATATTTATGTAAACCTTTCAAGTTTTGGCCCAGGTTACATTTGGCCTATTCACCTATGCGTATGCTTATGATTATTCTGGCACTTTACATTCACTTATATATTCATTTTTGTAAATATATTGCGTACCCAATTAGTAGATCAAACAAAAGAAACAATGGGTTTTTACCCGTATTTCCCCACTTATACAACTTTGATAAGCGGGAATTTCAGTATATATTTATTTCTACACAATTAACAAGGATATGTCTTGTCAAGTGCGTACACAAGGTTGTTACTTTGATAAAACGTCCATTTAGTCTATATTTGGGATATTTTTTTTTTTATTACGAGCGTATGGCAAGATTGCATAAGTTCATACAATAGACTTTTCCATTTTGTTTTTTTATGCATGTATATAAAGTTAGCTGAACGATCAGGGATAAAAAGAGCGCCCTAAAAACGTCCTTATTATTTCAGCGCCATATTTTACAAGCTCTTTTTCCTTTTTTTTTTTTTTTTTCGATCAAATAGCACGATTCGGAAAAAGGGGGAAAAAAAAAAATATTCATAATGTATAGTACTCTGAATTGTTAAAATCAAAAATTTCATTATCTTTTTTTTTCTAATACTTCCGTTACGGGAAATAAATTATATTAGCAAACTTTTCGTTGTGATTTCTTTGCCATGTTTAACGTTTTTATTATCACACATGTGTTTTTTCACCTATATATAGTGTAAATGATATTTGATAAGCTCTAAGACATGCCTATATGTAGGCATATATCAAAAAGTATGACAAAAATATAAACATACGGGAAAAAAAAAGCTTAAGTACAAAATTTCAACAGCTTGGAATAAGGGGATGTATGATGCTGCATCGCTATGTAAAGATATATAAAATGATCCTTTAAAAGCATATACATAACGAGTGAACATACTGTTTGCAGTTTTACACCATTTGAGTAACTGTAATTTAACAAGTGTAGTGTAGGATTTTAATTACGGATAATTCCCCATTTTATCACATTAGAGAACAGACAGGACAAATTTTTTGGCAAAATTAATATTACTTCAGCTAAATTAAAAGAGTATAAAACATATGATTTGATTTCCAATATGGGTGAAATAAATAAACTCCGCAGGTGTGCATCATTCGGATGTAATAGTTGGTGATGTTTAATGGATAAAAGAATGAACATGTTTTCAAATGTGTATGTGTTGGGTCTGTGTATGAATGTATTAATGAGCTTATACATATATGTGTGTAAAATAAAAATTCTTTTGTAATTATTATTTTATGTACACAAAAGAAAAAAAAAAAAAAAAAAAAGTTAAAACTGGAATATTTGTGTTATCCGAGAAGATCTACTATTTCATTTTTACAAGTAAAACATTTTTTACACTTAAGAGAATTAAAAGAGAAAAATATATTTATATTTAAAAATGTACTAAATGGGGAAAAAATAATTGAAGGATATTTTAAGCAAAAGCTCTTGTAATTTTCCATTTTCTTCTGAGAAAAAAAAAAAAAAAAGTTATGTCAATATGCAATTACAAATAAAGGTAAATTTAGCACAAAAAAAAAAAAAAAAAAATACTATGGAATAACGGTTTCAAAATAAATATAAATTAGGTTCACTGATTTAGTGTAAACAAGATGGGAAATGTCGCATTTTGAGAGGATATAATCAGTGACTTTAGTCCTTTTGCTTGCATTTATACTTATGTGTTATGACCTATCCGAATTTTGTGTAAAAAAAAAAAAAAACATATATATATTACATATACATATAATATTTTTTACACGGAAAATTATTCCCCAAACTAACACATATTTACATACGTGTATAATATGTTATATATATACACTCAAATATTATTTCATTCACGAATAAAATTTCCACAAATTTTCTTAAATCATGCCTTACGAAATATTTATGCCATGATTTTTTTTTTTTTTTTTTTCCTTTTTCTTTTTAAAGAGAAAAGCGCTTGCATTGTGCAAATGTATTGTGCTGAGTTACACTACCTCTCTGCGTGTTTGTATTTATACTCAACTGCATAATTATTTAGCTGCGCAGCTTATGCAACTGTATGTAAAATTTAAAAAATTTACACTGCATGAGTAATATCTGATCAAGGGCATGTATACATGAAGCACATATAAATTCTTGCCACATGTATATTTCAGCATGTCAAAAGCTTGAAAATTGTTTTTCCCTATAAAACCATGTGCATATATGAGTGTACATGTACATATATAAACATACACACATATAAATGCACACGCATATATATAAACTTATTTGCGTTATTAAAAAGCATCCATACATATATAAAAATATATAAATTAATAATTTGAGAAAGAAGTTTGGTGCGAAATGTTATTCGTTAAAAGAATATGAACATATATATATTACGTGTGTGTGTATGTATATATGTATAATTTTAAATATATTTGTCAACAATGTAATTCATACAACTCTTTAATGTTATGAATATCCCGATACGCGTAAGCATACGTGCACACATATATATACACACGTATCTATACACAAACATACATATGCATGTAGAAACATGCGTTACGCGAAAAGACATAGCATTATGCTGACGAATGCTTATTACAACTGTGAACACAAATGTGTACAAAGAGTTTTTCCCAAGCGAATGTTCATATCCATTATTTTTTTCGTTGTAAATTATTAAAAATAAAAAGCACTCACGCACACACACACAAAAAAAAAAAAGAAAAAAAAAAAAAAAAAGAAGGAAATAGAAAAAGAAAAAAAAAATATATATGAAAAACTTCCCTTAAAAGAGTGGTGAAAGGAACACTACAAGTGACGTAAACTGATATTCATAAAATACGAACTTGAAAGTAGACCATCTTGGGACTGTAGCAGTGATCAAAAGCCCTGGTGAAAACCGTGCGTAAATTGATAGAACCGATAGAATTGTTATAATTGAGGGCGCTGAAAATAATTTGCACACTCATTCCTCAAAACATGACGCCTATATGGGGATACAAAAAATGAATAAAAAATGGAACATAATAACATTGTAAATGAAGTTGTTAAACTTAAGACAAAGCTGAAAAATGCACTAACAGAAAATGAAGAACTGAAAAAGAGACATCATGAAGACACGGAAAAGTTAAATTTAGTTTCGTTAAAAAACGTTTCACTCATAGGTGAAATAACAGACGAGAAAAAAATGCTCCAAGATGAATTTATTAAATATAAGGAAGAATCAGTGAAAGACATAAAAAGATTACAAGAAGAGTTAGACAAAAATGTTATAATGTTAAATTGTTTGAAGGATGAAATACTTTTCAAGGAAGAAGAGTTGAAAAAGGCAGAAATTATTGAAAAGCTCTACAAAGAAGAGACTGAAATAAATCAAGAAAAAGATATGAAGATCAAAAGTTTAGAAAAAATTTTAACGCAGAAGGAAGAAAGGGGTGAATTTAGAAAAGAGAACTTACCTGATGAAGCACAACATGAAGTAGAGCTAATACAAAATGAATTAGCGCAAAAAAATAATGAAATAGAGCAAAAAAACCAAGAATTAGAGCAAAAAAACCATGAATTAGAGCAAAAAGAAAATGAATTAAAAATTTTAAATAAAAAATATGAACACTTAAAAAAATCCAACACTGAAATTGAAAAGAAAATATACTTCTTAAAGGAAGAAGTGGATTATTACAAAAATAATGAAAATAGTTTCATAATGCAAAATATTTTTAATGCTGAAAATAATTTAGATGATTCTACATGTAAGAAATATCTTTTGAAAATATCCGTTTTGTATAACGCTTTATACAAAATTGTTGTGTATGATCAGAAAAGTTTAATGGACAAAGAAAGGTTTATTTATTCCTTAGAAAAGGAAAATACTCATTTTTTAAAAAAGTTTATTGCGGATGAAATGTATTGTCTTTACCTTAAAGATTGCATAAGCAAAATTAATTTAACTTATCAAATCGATCTACATAAACAGGAAAAGAAATACATGTTACTTAATTCAGAGTATGAAGATCTTTATAACAAATTTTTGCACGAAAAAGACGAAAATTGCTTATTGAATGAAAAGTATGATAAGATTATTTTTAATCAAAAAAAAGAAATAAATAATTTGAAGAGTCATATATCGATGCAAAATAAAGACAAAGAAATTTTAACCAAGTATATTGATAATTATATTACATATATTGAGAATTCCTATGCGAAGTATTGTCTACTCCATAAGGACTATAAAAATTTAGAAGAATTAGTAAACGACTTGGAAGAAAAAAACAAAAATTTGATGATATTCGTTAATGGGATAAATAAGGACACTAAAACGAATAATTGTTCAATGCAGACAGAACCAAATCAAGATAATGAAGCAAAGTGTAGTAAAAACACCATAACTTTAGACATTGAAAATATAAAATTAATCAAAAATGACATCAAAGATAAGGATATAAAAATTATAGAACTTGAAAGTAAAAATTTAGAACTTGTAAAAACAATTGATAAACTTAATGAAGAACTTCTAAAGAATAAAAGTTCTGAATATACAGAAAGGGAGTGTGCGAAAATTAAAGATTTATGTTTCGATTTGAAGGATATTTGTTCAAAATTAGAATTAGAAGTTAAGGAAAAGAATTACATAATAGAAGAACTTACCGAAAAGTTAACCCAGTCAGATAAAAAAAATAAAGACAATCAAGTCATACTTGAATTATCCGAATTTAGAATTCAAAATTTTGATGATAATGTAAAATATTATCAAAAAAAAGTTTCCGAATTGAGTGAAAAACTCCAGAAGAAGGAAGCAGAAATTACCATTTTCCATGATTATAATGAAAGGTTAAAGGAGGAAAAAGAAAAGATATCTTACGAACATGGGAAAATGTTGGAACAGATCAACACCTTACAGATAGAAAATGATCATTTGAAGAGTGAAATAATTTTATTAAAAAATGAAGATAGCATGAGTAACAATTACAGCAATGGTAAAAACAAAAGTAACACAAATAATAATCATCTTACTAGTACAGCTGGAGTTACTGATGATGCATCATATATAAATGAAAAATCCACACTGCAAAACGACGAACGAAGTGATCAACATTCAGAATATGACGTTACTGAAGAACAAAAAAGTAGTAGATACAAAGGTATTTTCAAATTTATGAAACCTAAAAAAGGTATTTTTGAGGATAAAAATGAGTTAGTTGTAAAAATAGACCAACTAACCAATGAGAATAACATTCTGATTAAAGAAAATGGAGAAATTTTCGACAAATTACAAACAGTATCTAGTGAAAATGTAAAAGTTAAAAACGAATTGATGTACGCAAAAGCAGATGCAGAAAAATCTCTATTCTATTTAGAGTATGAAAAGAAAGAAAAATTAAAATATAAATTATTATTAAGACAAAAAAACAGAAAAGGGAAAAAACTCAAAAGAACTTTTAACAAAATGATAGGCACTGTAAATGATCTAGTTATAAATGTAAAAAGGATTGACAAAGAGAATAAAAAAAATGACATTAACAATTCATTCTTTATTTCCTCTTCTTCGGATAATAATTCCAATGAGGAACCATTATCAGACAATGGTAAATCCAACACACGGTTGATGATGTCTTCTGTGGGAAAATCGAAAAAAAGTATGAGCAACACTAGTGTAGGTGGCAAACACAGCATTTATAGCAAGTCTACCAAAGTTCCAAGAACTTCAGATAATGGAAATATGGGTATTCAAGGGAAAAAAAATTTCATTCATAAAGGCGAAAATAAACCTCCCAAAGCGTATATAAAAATACGTATGCACAGATTTTCCATTTCTAACCATTTTAAGATAAACGTAAAAAACTATAAGAAGGCATATAAAGAAATGGAAAGTGGCTCCTTGTCTTTCCTTAAGGATAATGTTAACATCGATCTGGATTCGTTAGCAATTCAATCGAAAAATATCAAAGGTCTGGATACTTTTTATTCCATACCTAACAGCAACGATTCTAGAATAATCGTTCAGGAGGAAGAAAAGAAAAAGATAAACAATTTTTCAATTTTCCAAACAGAGAAACTGATAAATGAGCTTAGCTACATTAGAAGAAAGTATGATTCAAAAGCGAAGGAAACTTTGAACATGCAAAGAAAGCTGATGGAAAATGAGAAGGAACTAAACTGTACTAATATAAAGTACGAAAATTTATTAAACGAACATGATTCGTTAATTTCTCAGATTAAGGAAAGAACAGAAAAGTTAGCAAATATTGAAAAGAATTATAACTTATTATTCGAAAAATATAGCGAAACACAGGACGAAATTAAGATGCATGAAAAAAAGACACAAGAAATTTTCAATGAATGTAATGAACTAGTGGAATATATGAAAAAGAAAGAAAATAAAATAAAGGAATTTGATGAACATTTAAAAAAAATGGAAATAAAATATAAAGAGGAAAAAGAAAAAAATGATATCCTTACAAAGGATAATATATCTCTGGATCATTTAAATTCAAAATACACAGAAGATATTGAACTTTATAAGAAAAAAATGGAAAATATGCAAACTGAATTAAAATTGAGGTTATCAAAAATTGAAGAGTTTGAGTTAATTCAGAAAAATACTGAAAATGAAATGTTTTATCTAAAATCAGCCACCTACAGATATGAAATAAATTTAAAGGAGGCACATGATGAATTAAATAAAATAAATGAATCGATTATTAAATTGAAAAAAGAGTTAAACGAAAAACAGATTAATATAGATTTGCTAACGGATCAAGTTTTAAACAGAGATTATTTTTTATATAGTATAAACGAATCGCTAAAAAAGAAAGAATATTTTTATAAAAATTTAAAACAGAGGGTTCAAGGATTTAACAAGGCCTTTATTGAATTGTGCGAAAACTTCGAAATGAATGAAATTAAAAAATTCAACGAACTGTATGAAAATTTTGAATATAACGATTCCAATTATAAGAAAAATGTGCTAAATTTTCAGATGAATCAGAGAGATAGATTTTCAGAAACTGTTGAGGACATTGTCAAAACTGTAGATGCGCTATGTGAATTCAATCTAAAATATGAAGAAGAAAAAAAAGAAATGATTAATCGAATTAAGGAATTAGAAAACAAGTTGAGAATTAAAATGAACGAAAATAATGAACTCTACGAACAGTATGAATGTAATATTAAAAACATACTAATGGAGCGAGATGAACGAGTGGAAGATTGTCTTATCCTTTCAGAAGATGTTAAGAAAAAAAACAATGAAATACATGCACTTATGAAAGAGTTAGAAGAGAAAAACCTAGAGTACAATGAAGTAAACATGAAATGCACATTTCTTACGAATGAAGTAAAAAATTTAGAAAGCTCAAAAATTAATCTGAAGGAAAAGTTGAGAGAAATCGAATCAGAGCAAGAAAAACAAATTGATTTTTTGAAAAAAGAAAATGATTACCTAAAAGATGATATATGCAATATTAAAAAGGTAATTCACAATTTAGATGATGAAATTATTAAACTGAAGGAAAAAATAGATAATATGAAACAAGAAAAATATGCTTACGAAAAGGAAATAGATAAATTGAGAGAAATATTAGAAGAAGAAAAAAGATTTAATGATATTTTAAAAGAAAATGAACAAAATTTTATACAAGAAATTAAGGAAGCACACCAGTATGCTATCAGAAAAGAGGAAGAAATTAATACATTGAAATTAAATCATGAATTAGAGCAAAAGAAATATATCGACGAAATTGATACTTTGAAAATAAAAAACAAAGAAATTCATGATTCAGTGAAAAACCAATTGAAAATGGTTTCAGACTTAGAATTACAAATGCTAGAATATAAAGTATTACTAGATAAAAATACTAGTATGAAAATGTTAATTCAAGATTTAGAAAATAAAATTGATGAACTCATCAAGGATAATGAAAAACTTTGCATTGATTTGAAGAAAGAAAAACATATAAATGAAGAACAAGAAAAAAGCATACTTACATTAAATGAGGACATTAAGCTACGAGAAGCGAAAATTTATGAGCACGATTCTTTACTTCTAAAATTGAAAGATGAAAAGGAGCAATTAAATCAAGAAATTTTTATTTTAAATGATATTAAAAAGAGCAAAGATAGCATAATAGAAGAATTAGAAAACAATTTGAGAAAAGCTGTTTTTGGAGATATTAAAATAAATGAAATGGAAAGGTCGCAACTTCAGCATAAGATATTTACAGAGGAGGACCTTGGTATTATAAAAGACAACGAAGAAGAGGTAGATTTCAACGATATGGTTAATTCTAACATGTGCATTTTTAACAATAACGGTAACTTGGGGTTAAACCTTGGTAATAATAACCGAAGTAACATGAGCAAAATTATTGAACTTAAAAAATATAGCCTTTATTTAAAGGAAGAGAATGATGCGATAAAACAAGAATTAAGGAAATTAAAAGATAAATTATCCATAGATGAAAGGAAAAATGTAGAGATGCAAAGAATAATAGATAGAAGAGATGAAATAATACAAAAAATGAACAAAGAAATAGTTTCTTATAACGAGAAAATGAAAAATTTCGAAAAAGATACGAATCAGTTGAATTCGGAATTATACGCTGCTAACGAATTACTAGCCATTCGAAGCGATGAATGCAAAGAGTTAACAATAGAGCTATACGAATTAACAGATGTGAAAAATAAGTTAATGGTCCGAAATGAAGTTTTGATGAAGCAGATCGATTTTTTTAAACAAGAGGCTGAAGAAAAATCAGAAATGTTAAACGATTTGGATATGAAAAAGGAAGAAAGTAACACCAAAGAATGTGAAAAAAATGCTATTGTTAGTGAATACAATCGGACATTAAGCATTTATTACAAAATTTATTCACATATTATTTATTACAAGAAATATATAGAGAAGGAATTGAATGCACATGGAAGATCCAATTTCATAGACAATGCTAGTGGTAAATACAACGATGATGATAATATGAGATTGAGCACAAGTGATGATATTTGTGATAAATTAAATGATAGCATGCATCAGAATTACATGCCTGTTATACACTCTCTCAATTTAAGCAATCCAAACAATTCTGTTCAAAGCAGTATTGAAAAATTGAACCCGAATGACACAAATGAAATATCTAGTTATATAAACGAATTTTTAAAATGCGTGAGGATGTTAATTTTCAAAAAAAGGGTATTCGAATCTAAGCTAGAAAATGCTGAAAAAAAGTACAACGCTTTTAAGGAAAAGTTGAAAGAAGATAGAGATGTAATAAACGATTTGAAAAAAAAATTAAGACAAAATGAAGAATACAATTTGAACAGAAATAACAATGGTGATTTTAGGAAACACAGCCATTTTTTCGAAGAAGGAGATAATTTATCGTTAAATTATAAAGAACTCAGCAAAGATATACTAAATAGTGGATCAAAAAATGATATAATAGAAAAAAAAAATTTACTTATTTTAAAATGTGAAAACGAAAAATTGATAGAAGAAAATAAATATCTAAATGAACAAATAAATAATTTGATTAATTTACAAAACTGTGCAAGTGATATAAGGAAAAAAACTGAACTTGGAGAAAAGGAAAATTCACAAAATGAATACATGTCTGTTGCGGAAAATAAGTACTTAAAATTTCAAGTCGACACCATCACGAATGAATTAAATATATTTAGAAATAAAAATGAATACTTAAGGAAAAAAGCCGATAATTATGAAGACATAATTGATAATCTTCAAAAAGAAATCATTCATATCATTGACAAACAAAAAGAGTGCGATGAAGAATACTACAAAATGGAAACTGAATTGGAAAAAAAGAATAAACATATTGAAAATTTGATGAATAAAAGAAAAGAAGATCAGGAACAGATGGAAAGAGAATATTCTAAGAGTTTAAAATTAGAGAAGGAATTTTTATCTTTAACAGATGATATATTTAAAAAAGAGTCGAAACTAAAAGAATGTGAAGAAATTATACAAAAATTAAACGATGATATAAATGTACATATTTTAGAAAAAGAAGAATTAAAAGCATATGCAAATAATTTAAAAGAAAAATATGACATTTTTCAAAATAAGTGTAATGATCTTTATGGCGTTTTTGAGAAAGGGAAACAAGGAAAATCCGAGATGGAAAAGAAAGAAGATAGTGCACTAATTACAAAGTTAAAAAATTACGATGATATTATATCGGAACTTTTAAAAGAAAAAGAAATTTTACTAAATAAGTATGAAGAATTAAAAAGAATATACGATGAAAAATTGAAAACTCAATCTACATTGCATAAAGAAATCAATGAACTCAGAACAGACAATGAAAAATTGAATGAACAGAATAATGCATTAGTCCAGAATGTAAACAAGTTAATAAAACAAAATGAGGAATATAATATGAAATTAATAGATTTAGACAAGGAAAAATTTGATCTATACATGAAATATCTTAAAGTCTTGGAAGATTTAAAAAATCTCTCGGATTCACCCATTTGTTCTAATAATATATCAGGGAATAATAAATTTACAGATAGTAAACTATCTAATTCTCCACCATCAATCCGTAATTGTACTGATGTGGAGAAAAATGACAAAAGTAAAGTGAAAAGTCCTCATGAGAATGGAAATACACAAAGTCAAGATATAGAACTTTTTAATTACCCAGGTGATGACACCAAGAGAGATAAGTATGAAGAAAAAAAGGGTATCCATATAAATAACTTAATGAACGAAATTAACCATTTAACAAGGAAAAATGACATACTTAAGGAAAAAATGAACGAATTAGAACAACTGAATGGAAACTTATTTAACGACAATAAGGAGTTAATAAAAATTATCTCATCTTTAGAAACGAATGGGAATAGAAATAGAACAAAGGAAGATAAAGGAGAAAGCTGTGAAAAAATTAAGGACTTAAAAAATTCGAATAATTATCAAAGTCTACTGAATGAAAATAAGTTAGAAAAGGAAGAAAATCAAAATTTGAAATTAGAAATATATAATCTTAAGAACAAGATTGATGAATATAATATAATAATAAATAAAAGTACCCAGCACGAAGAAAGTAATAAAAGAACTAGAAATTATCTCTACTATTTGAATGATAAAATTAAGGGGTTCATAGAAATATTTAGCGAAAATAATTTCAATTATGAATATTTCAAATCGGAATTAAAAAAAATTAAATTAACGAATTTAATGATTATTGAAGAAAATTTGAAAAATATAAAGGAAATGCAATCGAAGTTAAGTACATCAAGTAAATACACATTGGAAGACGATAACAATAGTGTAAGTTCTAAGATAATTGTGAATTTCTTCACAACATACAATGACAGAAATAAAAGTCAAGAAAATGATATCATTATTAACAGATTCGAATTGAAAAAATTTTATAAATGCATTATAAAATTAAAAGAAGATTATCATAAAAAATGTCTTTTAGCTGATAATCAAAAAAACTTGATTGAAGAATTGAACAAGGAAATGTTTAATTATTCGAAACAAAATAAAAAATATCAAGATGAGGAAATAGCATTAAAGAAAAAACTAAACCAGATAATGGATGAAAACACTGCCAATGTTGAGAAATACTCCAAAATGAATGAAAATTTATTAGTAAGACTTGAAGAAGAAATTAGTAAAAACAACAACTTATTATCTGAATTGAATGCACAGAAAGAGAAAAACAAAATATATCATGAGAATCAAATAAGAATAGAAAAGGCCCTAAATTTCAAAAAAATCGCTAGTGATAATTCATCAAAAGATAATGAAAAAATAGACGATAGAAATATACAAAAAATTTATTTCTTGCTAGACGAATATAAGGAACTCGTAAAGAACAATTCTAAGTTGTTAGTTACCAATAATAAGGTAACTTCCGAGAATGACACGCTCAAAGAAGTTATTACCAAAATGGACAAAGAAATAAACATTTTGTCTGATGAATTAAATGAAAAAAATGATGTAATCAATAAGCACAAGTATAAAGATGAACAAATTATTGAATGTGGTGCACGAAAATCGGACGAGGGAAAAATGGAAAGAGGAAAAAATGTTTCAAAAAAGAACGAATCTCCAAATGCTGATGACGTAAGGGAATATGAGGAAATTCTTCTCGTTTTAGAAAAAAAGAACGAGGAGTTAGAAAACAATTGTGAAAATTATCAAAAACACAATAATGAGTTGAATGATAAGTATGAAAAATTGCTAAATGAATATAATGAACTAAAAATTTATCTAAATGAAAAAAAAAATGAACTAAAGATATTACAAGAGAGAAGTCAAAATGGTAGAACAAATGAGGAAATGTTGGGCGGTAAAATCTCAAATGTAGATAAATACGCAGAAAAGGAAAAACAAGTTAGAAATTTGTTTTTCTCAGTTGATGAGTTGATAATCCTGAGTAAACATATAAACTCTGTTGAGATGTTAAACAAGGATTTTTTAAAAAATGAACAATTGGAAAGTTTCATAATTTTAATAAAACAAGATATTAACAAAATATTTAGAGAAGATTACGGACACGGACCTGATCGAGGACCCGAATCTCGTTCATCCCCAAATGAACTTTTTGACGAACTTCTTAACCGATTAAGCAAAAAAGATGTTGAAATAAAAAATTATGAAGATGCTATGAACAGTATGAAGGTACAACTGGATAACAAAGAAGAAATAATTAATAATTTAAAAGTTGTTTATGAAAATGAATGGAATAGAAAACTAGATTTAAAAAAAAGACTAGAAGAAAAGGTGCAAGAATGTAGTACTATGAATAATTCAGCCGTACAAAAGGATGAAATGCTTTTAAAGGTTAAGAATGGACACGAAGAATTATTGAATGAATATAACTTGTCTCTAAATACGCTCGAAGAAATGAAAGGAAAATTAGAATATCTGAGAAATGAAAAAGAAAAATTAGAAAAATTAAAAGAAATAGAAATGAATGATAAAGAATATATTATCAAAAAATTGGAACTAATTAATAACCAACTAAGGGAAAAAGCAGATGAAGTGAAAAACTCACTAGGCCAGGAACTTCAAATAAAAGATAATATAATTAAAGATAACGTAGATATGCTTGATGAATTAAAAAAACAAGTCGATTTTCTGAAAAATGAAAAAAGCAAAAATAATAAATACATGACAGAATTAGAATTACAAGTAGCTAATCAGAACAATGAAATTAACACTCTTAATAATCTTCTGAATGATTCAAAGGAAGAAATTAATTTCATAAAATCATCTTTAGAAGAAAAAGAAAATGAAGTAATCGATTTGAGAAACAAATTAAACATTCTTCATAACAAAACAGATGATACAACTATGCAGCATGAAAAAATATTATCAGAAAACAAAAGAAATAGCAACCCATCAATGAAACGACAAAGCTTTCAAGGTAGTAGCGAATCAGCAAGAGAGGACTGCGAGCACATTAACGAATTAAAGAGAGAAGGTCAGATACAAAATAGCTTACATTATCAGAAATTAAATGAACTAAGGATAGACTTGAAGAACTCCGTTGCAAGTTATAATAAACTTAAATTTGATAGTGAAAAAAAAATTGAAGATTACGAAGAAGAAGCGAATAATTTAAAATATTATATAAAACAAATTGAAGAAGAAAATGAAAAAAAAGATAAAAAATATGCACTAATCGAGATTGCAATAAAAGAAATGGATAAAGAAATAATCATTCTAAAGGCACAGCTTGAAGAAAAAAGTCTCTATGTTATTGATCTTGAGAGAAATATTCAAAAGTACAAGACAGATATGCAATATCTGGATGAAGATACACAAGTTGTACACCGTATAATTTTGAATTACATTGAATCGAATGGAACTAATATTCATGAGCTAACCAACGAACTTAACAAACAAACCAAGACCAAGTATTTTCTATTCCTGAAAGAAATTATGATAAAGCTTTATCAAAATTTTATCAATGTTGAATTAAAGAGAAAGGACCATTTCAACAGTAGTGATGAAATCATTTTAAAGAAAAAATCAGAAATGATAAACTTGGAAGAGAAACAAAACGAAATAATGTTTCAGAAAAATGCATGTGAGAACGATGTTAGGAAAATGAAGGAAGAGTTAGATATACTACACGAGAAGAGGAACATGTACTTAGATGAAGTAAACAAAGTAACGGAAGACATAGACACACTACACGAGAAAAGAAATTCACTTACAAATGAACTGAACAATCTTATGGATGAATTAAGTATACGGAGGGATGAGTTGAATCAATTAAACAACCAACTGGAAGCAATTGAGAAGAGAGAAAAAAGCTTAAAATATATAGAAAATGAATTAATGAGTAAAAATGAAAATTATATAAACAAAGAAAATGAGCTTATGAAAAGTAAAGAAGAATTAATAAACAGAGAAAAGGAATTAATTAAAAGTAGGGAAGAATTTATAAACAAAACAAACGAATTAATGTCTAAAAGAGAAGAATTAAATAATGATAAAATACACTTAGAAGAATTAAAAAACGATTTGATGATTAAATTTGAAAAGTTGCAGAATGCACAGAATGACATAAAAATTAAGGAAACGAAATTAAAAAAAATTTATGAGAAATTGAAAGATCACAATATTGTGGAATTACTAGATATTAATAACAATGAAAGTTTTCTAAACACCACCTCGAGCAATAATATGAACAACACCACATCATTAAAAAGAATAACTGAACTTGACAACATAGAGAACGAAAATGAAAGTCTAAATTTGGATTCAATAGAATATACCACTTACTTCAAAGAGTTTAAAAAACGCATTAAAATTTTAAAAAATGATTTAATTAATCGAGAAAAGGACATTGAAATATACAAAAAAACATTTGAAATTGAAAAAAAAGAAAAAGAAATATATAAAATAGAATTAGAAAAATTAAAAGAATTACTACACGCTGAACAAATGATTAGAAAAAATCTAGATGAAGAGCTAGAAAAATACAAAAATGATGATACACATTTTCTAAAATCTGTGAGAGAGTCAGAAGAACAAATTAAGGAAAAAAATAACCAAATATTAGAACTACAACAAAAATTAATTGAAACTTCACACGAAATAAGCATGATGGAGAATAGAAAAAATATTATGCAAGAAAAAAATAATGAATATGAAAAGAAAATCGAGCAACTAAAAGTCATCATATCCAATTATGAAAAAGAAATAAACTTACTGAATAAGGAAAAAATAAATATTACGAAAAAATCTATTGAAAAAATTATAGATGACGGGGAAGATATTAAAAAATTAAAGGATGATTTAGATACTGCCCAACAATTAGTTCTCGAATTAAAAAAAAAAAATGAACACTTGCAGAACATGAGTATTGAATTACAACAAGCAAATAAGGACATGAGATCCGACATTGATATTTTACTATCCAACATAGAAGATATAAATGAAGAAAAGAATATCAACGAAAAATTATTAAAACAAGGAGAGGAAAAATACAGTGAGCTCAAGCACATGTATGATGAAAAAATTAAGGAGATCTATAAAATGCATAATATGCTTTCCCCTCAAATAAGAAATAAGTTGCAGTTAAATGATCGAGAAAATGACAATGAATTAGAGCAAGGTGTTAATCATAAACAAGAACTAGGTGAAGATTCCAGATTTAGTCAATATGGTAACAACAAAGGCCAGAAGCATCGGTCTTCAATTCGTGATAGCATTAACAGCATGAATCCCGAATTGGAAATAAGAAAAGTGGAAGAAAAACATTTACATGCAATGAATGAAAAGAATGCAATTATCGAATCCTTAAATGAAAAGGTGGCCTATTACAATAAGGAAAATGTTAAAAAAGAAGAAATTATAAAAGAATACAAATCAACTATTGATCAAATTTCTAGCAAAATACACATATTTGAAAATAATATGCAATTTCTGATAAGTCTAAACGAATTTATAAACGAAAATGATTATACATATGAACAAGTGCTAACTATATTAAACGACTCAATTGTGTATAGAAAAATATTAAACAAAATTCTTTTTGAAAATCAATTTTATATACAAATTGTACAAATTAAAGAATACCTTTTTGATATAATAAAAAGAAACACATCGAGTACGAAAGAAACATTAAAACTAAGTTTATTGAAAAAGAAAGGTTTTAAGAAAGGTGCAAGTATAAGCAATTCGAATCATGCATTACACATGAGTGAGAATTTTCATTCGTTTCACAATCAAAATTCTGGACTAGTTGATAACATGGAATATATCCTAAGAGCAATAGATGAAGATTTTAACAATTTCGAAAATGTGTGTTATGAAATTCATCACTTGCACAAGAATGAAGATTGGTCTAATGTGTATAAGAAATTAAACATTTTAGAGTTCAGTTTTAACAATATCATTAATAACGTTATAAATGAAATTAAAAAAATTAGTAAAAAATCTAATGAGAAAGGGGAATTAAAAAAGAACCTGAAAATGATGAAGAAGAAATTTAATTCCATATCGAATGATTTTTTAAAAAGTATCGAAGAAATAGATAAACTAAATTTACTTCTCTCCAAAGAATCAGAAAAAAATGAATTGTTATTAACTCAGTATGATGAACTGAAGAAATTATATGAAGAATTAAATGAAGATCATAAGGACAAATTAGTGATTATTCAAAATAACGAACATGAATTAAAAAAAGTGCAAGAACAGCTTATGGAAAGGAATGAAAACAAAACGAAAACTGAACAAATGAATGAATTTCTCAAAACTGATTTGAGCTATTTAAATACTTCTCTCGATCAAGCAACCCAAAATTTAAATGAATTGAATAATGAAAACATGAAAAATAAAAGATTAGTAAAAGAATTGACACAAGAAAATGACTACCTAAAGCATCAAATGAAGGATAAAATACAAGTTATAGAGCATTTAGAAAATAAACTTGAATCTAAGAACCAAGTGCTAAATGAACTAAAAGAATTTAATGATATACTAATTAAAAAGGTTGAAAGTGGAAACTCAAATGGAGGAGTGGAGAACATGGATGATCATGAACAAAGTAAGGACAGTCGAAAGGAATGTATAAACAACGGGAAAACGATAAGTAACAACAATTCTATGTATAAAAAGAAAACGTACATAAATGATTCTTGTGATGAAATAAACAAAAACGAATTGCTCATCATAATTAGAAAGCTAGAAAATGATAATAACATACTAAATGAAGAATTAGAAATTTTTAAAAGTAATTTTAACATATTAAAAGAAAAAAAACAAGAACTGGAGGATATAATAAATAGTAATGACTTAGCATTGAACAGAAGAGAAATAGAACTAAATGATGCAATAATAGAAAAGGAAAAAATATTAGAAGAAACGAATAGATACAAAACCAAGTGCATACAAATGATAGACATTTGCTTTAACAAAGATTTTAATATAGTAGATATACGCGAAAAAATTGTAGCAATTTTTGAAAATGAGGATGAAGAAATAGTAGAAATTATAAATTGTCACAAACGATTATTGTACAATAATGATAGTAATCCTTTTACCAAACTGGGAAATGTAAAGAAAAGGAACGGTAGCAACAGAATGGACAAATCATCAAGTGAACTTCAGGACGAAGCGATTGTAAGCATAGACCAAGAAAAATTGATACATATTGAAGAAATGAGCAAAAAAAATGAAGAACTTATAAAGAAAAATGAAGAAATATGGAAAATGAATAAATATATCGAAGATTTAAACAAAGAAATTACGAACAAAAATTACATCATTATTAAACATCAACAAGATGTAGAAGATAAAAATGACATGTTAGAAAAAAATCAACAGTATATTAAATTTTTAAAAGATCAGCTAAAATTATTATGTAACAATATCGATGAAAGTAATTTATTTGATATAAACAATGTCAATTTGTCTCCCACTCTTAGAAGTTTTATTAAAAGGAAAAGTTTCAATGACAGGTGTTCTTTTGTTGATATTACAGAGAAGGAAAAAAATACTATGAAAGGGAGTGGAATCAAGAGCATTAACAATGATAATAATGTTGACAAGAACATGAAGGATGGAACTTATAAAAAGAGCGATATTTTCGACCTAAGCAGAAAAAAAAGGATATCTGAATTCACGAACCAGGAGTTGTTCAATTTCTATGATGAGAATGAAGTAAGAGTGGAAGAAATGAATTTAAAATTAGATGAATTGAATGATAAACTAAAAGTTGCACAGCATGAAGTTGAATTATTGAAACAAGAAAATAACGAATTGGTAGAAAAGTGCGAATTTTTAAAAAAGGAGTTAAGAAATGTTCAGGGCACTAAAAGGAATTTAATGCTTTGTGAAAGTAGACTAAATATATTAGAAAAAGAATTAGAAGATAAACAGAAAAAGTTGGATGCACAAAATAAAACAGTAAACGAGTGTGTTGACATGTATGTAGAAGAAAATTCGGAAAATTTCAACAAAATATTGGAACTCAAAAAATCAAATGAAAAATACAAAATAGAAGTAAATGTTCTCAATGATGAAATAAGTAAACTAAAGAATGAAATAAACATGTACAAGAATGATATAAAAAATATAAGCTCAACATTGGATTTTTACAAATCAACACACGATGAATTAGTTAACGAATTTAGCAAAGAAGAAACAACAAATGTGTATTATAAAAAATTATGTGATCTTTTGAAAAAAGAAAATGACCATGTGAAGGAAAATCTGGAAATAGAAGAAGAAAACAAAGAACAACTAATATCCAGCATGAACGAAATTAGAGAACAGTTAACTAAATGTATGAAGGAAAATTACGAAATCACGTTAGACTTAGAATATTTTCAAATGCAAAATGGTTTACTTAAAGATACTTGTAATTATTACAGGGAGAGAGAAGATGCTTTAATATATAACGTAAATGAGAAGGATAACAATTTAGAAATTGTTGAAAATTATAAAGAAGAAAATTTAAAAGTATTTATTGGGAAACTTAAAGATGAAATACACAATTTAAAGGATGAAATTGTGCAGAAAGAAAAAACAATTCTAACATTAAAATATCAAATAAAGGAATATCATTTTGAGAAATTTTCCAAAAAAGGGGGAAATTTGGAGAATAAAAATAATATTGAAGAAATAGTGAACTTGAATAATATGACCTATGTTCAAAGTAGTTTATTTATTTATATTAATTTATTCAAAAGTGTTCTTTTTATCATTAGTGAAATTTTATTTTTCACAGATCCTACGAATAGCTTATATTTGGAAATTTTAACTCTCTTAAAATTAAGAGGTGTCGATCAAGACTCAAATGTAGAATTAGATAGCATGATCAAAAATTTTCATCTCTCAAAAATGGACTGTGAACATATTTTTCATTCAGTTATTAAATCGAAAAATATACTCAGAGAAAAACTTCAGCTTTTGCAGTTAAAAATTTGTTAGAGTTGTTTTCCCAATAATTTTCTATATCTCATATATGTATAAATCCGCACATAGTAGGAAAGTAGGAAGAAAAATAGTTCTATTGGCATGTCCTAAGTCACGAACTAATTATCATACAAAGTATCGTTTAGTGAATCATAATTTTTTTTTCTTTTTTTTTTTTTTTCGAGTATGTCAATTTTATTAAAATGAAAGATTCAAGTTTGCCGCAAAATTAGGTGTGTTTTTATGCGCATTCGTTTTTTTTTTTTTTTTTTTTTTTTTTTTTTGAGCACCCCCTTGGGTAGGAAAAACTTGGACATATTTTTTTTTTTTTTTTTTTTTGGCTCTATTGTAGCCATCCCTTTTGCCATTTTTTGTCAAAATATTTAGCTTTTTTTTCTTTTTTTTTTTTTTTGTGTGTCTTAGTAAAAATTCATGCCATATCATTTTCCCACATTTGTACAATGTCAAAAAAAATTTTTTTTTTTTTGAAATGCTAAATGCTATGCTCACATAGCGTATTTGTATCTCTGCATATTGCATAATTGTGTGTGCATGTTGTTCGTACACCTTGTTAAAAAATTATTGTTAAATGCCGACAGATCCAAGTGCATTCCCCGAGAAAGCCAACACTCGCACTTACACCTTTGTGTACACACCCCAAACATGTTGTTTGTGCTTGCCAAACATATCAACTCTAAACTGTTTATTTTTTCTCAGTCATAGCTGCGAAATAAAAACGATTTAAACAAAATAAATTCGTTCAATGTGGTGCAGAACACGCCTGTAGCACGTTTTGCAAGGGGTCAAAAAAATAAAGAGTAGGCAAATAGTGGGAAAAATAGCGGGAAAAATGTGCGAAAAACAGAGTAAGCAAAACACAACACAAACAAGTCATCCATGTGGAACTGTAAATAAACACACTCGGGTAGGTAAAGACATGCAAAGTGTTTTTAAAAACAGTTCACATATTTTTTTACATAAAAATTAAACTCTTCAACGTGTACACAAAAAAAAAAAAAGGAAAAAAAAACAGTTTTCCTTGGGTACTTTTAGGATCCAGCGCTCGTGCTAATATTTAAGCACATTGGTACTTTCACATGAACCAATTAATTCACACCCTTTTTTCATAACTGGTCATACGCATTTTGCTTATAAGCAGTAAAAATCCCTCCCCCTCCTATCGCATGTTGGATATAGCATCCGATATGGTCTGAAAAAGAGACGTAGTTGTTATTTTTTGAGCCTTGATTTCTTCCAACACACTTTCTGCTTCATTCTGCATGTTCAATTTTGTAAACCATTTATACTGCAAATTCAAGTCCTTAATTTTTTGAATTAACTTAATGGTTAGAGGTATAGAGCCATATTCATGGGAACATTCGATAAAATAGTCCATACCTATTGGTGATACTCTATAATGGGCAAAGTTGTACAATTCATCAAAATATTTATTTTTAGCTAGGGCATGTATTTTACATCTCCAAAATTTAGGTTCTGATATTTTAAACTTTTTAAAAATATGATCGGCGTCCAAAAATTCCCCAACTGATATGATATATTCTACGGTCTTCATTAAGGATAATCCTTGGATTTTATGGGGGTATCCTATGACGGATTTTTTATTATATTTCATTTCTAACTCTTTTTGATAGTTTAACAAATCAATGTTATTCATCAAAGATTTATGTACAAATTTAATGTGGCTATTCATTTGATCCGTTGTTAGGAACCCTGCAGAATAAGCTAACCACGTTTTCTTTTGGTCCAAGTTTTTTTTGGAAAGAGCTAGATCTAAAGTAACAAAAGCTGCTTTAGAGTGTTGACCATTTTTTTCGTAAAATTCTTTAAGTAAATTATACTGTTTTGTTTTTTTACAATAAATATAAAAACAATTAGCAGCTTGTACATTTTTGTTAAAAACATCTATCAGAGTTGATAATTCCCTTTCCCCATTGGCATTGACCTTTTCTTGATTTAAAATGTTTATAATACACATATACACAAGTTCGATATCTTTGGACAGAATAGCTTTTTCAATAGCTGAGCTGTAATTGGCTAATTTAAGTAACATGTCAATTTGCTTCTTTTTGTTTTCTTCATATTGAATAATGATAGTAGCTAACTGTGGTCTCAAGCATTTGGCAGCAACAAAGGCGATGTAAGAATAATCTATATTTTTTTTGTTTCCAATTTTTTCTGTTATAGATGCACACAACTGTTCATCTGTTAATTCAATCGATTTTTCAATTTTTTCCTTGCACCATTCGGTTAGTATTTTTTCTGTTTTAATTCCTGCATATTCACAAATCCGATAGGCTAAAAGATACTCTTTTCGTCTGGCAATGTAATTGACAAAGGAAGGAATGCTAATGTACTGCAGCTCAGATGCCGTTAGAAAAATATCTAAAGGTGGCTTTCTAACATTGATACATATTCGTAAATATAAACAAGTTAATAAAAATTTCTTACAATTATAATTATCTTTCATGAAATTTTTCCCAAATAGAGATGTTTGAAGAAGGAGATTAATGACATTTTCGTTATATTCGTGTGTAGCAGCATTTAAACACTCTTCAATTGCAACTTCCAAATTGTTATTAAATGCTCTTATTTCATCGTCCAGACAGCTGTTTCCATTTCTATATTTTTCATATGAATAATAAAGCATAGCTGATGGGGTACAACTACCTATACTGAAAATGTTAAATGTGGATTTTCTGATTCTACTAATATATTCGCAATTTTCTTTACTTATAATTTTTACTCCATATATGTCTCCAATCAGATACAAGTCGTTTCTGTATTGATAAGGTATCCATTGATTCTTAGGACCACCAATAAATAACATATGCTGAATATAATTCGATGGAGTTATCATTGGTGTGTAAACTGCTAAGCAATCATCACCACACCAGACAATTTGTTTAATACTTTTCTTACTGTCTAAAATAGTTTCTTCTATACATTTATTTAAATTTTTTGTTAAATATATTTTTATGATACCATTATCCGCTAAGAAAGCCAAAATGCTTCCCGATTTGGATATGCACATATTTGTATAAACACTAGTATAATCTGTATCATAAAATTTAAAACGATTTTTATTTATCAGTAAAAATCCACCTTTACATAGGGCAATTATGAGATGTATGTTTAATTCCTTTTCTTCTTTTTTATCCGATTTAGCTGAATTTTTTGTTGAGTTATTTTTTTCTTCCTTTTTGTTCAAGTCGTAGGCAGATATTTTCATTAATATTCTTTTGGATTTTTTCTCTGCCACATTTTGTGATGTCAATATTGTATTATAATTATCCGCACTCTCGGTAAGGGCATTGCTTTTTGCTCTAAAATTATCATTCACATTTTCCTTTTTACTATCAAATGGGTTGGTAATATAATTCTTAATATTTAACCTTAACAAATCATTATTAGGCTTATTATCAAAATAATTATGTTCGATGTTTAACTCATCATGAACTTTATCCTCTTCCACAGAACATACACAATTTGGTTTCCCTTTCAAATCAACCGATGGGTATTTAACACAATTGTTACCATTAAAGTAATAATTAACATAAATATTCAAACGTTCTGTAATTATAATTATTCCTTCTTCACATATGGAGCCATATAATATGCCCTCATTTTTTATATTTTCATCTAATGAAAATACATATATTTTTTCACAAAAACATGAATATACTCTAACTATATTGTCTTTAAATAATAAAACTAGGTCATTATTTTTATTCCATCCAAAACATATTAACCCATCTGACGTTAATTTACAACTAGATATTAATCTACCAATGTTTGTGTAAATTTTTAAGTTATCTTCCTTATTGTAAATATCAATTTTCTCTTTATTTCTCAAAACGGCCATTAAACCTATATTCCCTGAGCATGCAATACCATCTCGAAGCACATCTTCATTACTCCATAGCATGTTACTTAGTTTCTGTTTTCCATAATATGTGTTATCAATATTGTTCCATTCGTTTGTGTTCATCTTTTGTTCACGTGTGTGTTTGTTGGTGGTACATTTAAAAGTGAATTTCTTCTCTTGTTATATATGAACTCTTTTTTTTTTTCTTTTTTTTTTTTTTTTTATTTCTTCTTCTTCTCTCTAAAGTGGTGTCAAATTTTTTGATATATATATATATTTTTAGTATATACCTGAGCACCTTTAAAATATACCTAAAAATACATGTATCATACTGTTAAAATGAATGAAAATCAAAATGGTAGTTATTATAACGAACCATTCGTGCCTTTATCTGTTGTGTGTTTGGATGGAAAGGGGGTAATAATTTCTTCTTATTTCTAGAACAAAAAAGGACATGATTCATCAAATTCTACTAGAGTAACATAAACATATGCAAAAAAATTCAATGAGATAAAAAATTGGGAGATGGCAAAAACTGGACATGTAGCTGTGTTAAGTGCTAATCACAGTGGTAGTCCTAAAGTTGTATGAGATTAACTGGGTTTGTGGAAGAAGGGCACTTGAAACTTCGTGAAGGGAGAAATTTGGAAAAAAAAATAATAAATAATTAAAAATAATAATAACAAATAAATAAATACGTAAATATACAAATAAATAAATACACAAATGAATTAACAAATAAATGAATACGTTAAATAAAAAGAAAAACGTCGATCTTCAATCAAGATGATAACAAAAATAAATTGAACAATGAATAGGTATTCTAAAAAAAAGGGATAACGTTGAATGGGTACAGCGGTCTCAAACAGAGAGTACAAAATATATGTTGTATATGTTCTGCTTCATGTGCCAAACATATTCATTGCTGCCGTTTTAAATCATGTGATTGAAAAAAATATCAAACCTAAAAAAAAGGGGTGGTGATCAATTTTGCAAATACGTACATTTTAAAAAGTATATATAATTATGTATATTCCAATTAGGAATTTATGAAAAGTATACAAATTAAGCATATTATAATTTGCAATTTTGTTTTATTTTATTTTGTTTTATTTTGTTTTGTTTTATTTTGTTTTGTTTTATTCTTTTTTATTTTTTTTTTTGTTTCTTTTTTTTTTTTAAATGAGAGATCCAAAAAAATAGCTGGGCTTAATTACAACGGATATGGGAAGAACACCAAAAGAGTGCAAAAAAAAAAATAAGCTTTTTTTTCCGCTACATTTAGAGCATGCAATATTACTATGTATAAAATTGCAAAAAAAAAAAAAAAGATGCATTTTTGCTATTTCAACAAAGCACTTTTTTGCAAGCCTATGTATTGCAAGTAGAAAAAAAAAAAAAAAAAAAAAAAAAAAAAGGTGTCATGTATGCATGGATTAAATTCTCATATCGTGACCTAACACACAGTATGTGTAAAGAAAGATGCGATTTTTTTTTTTTTTTTTTTTCTTGCTTTAAAATTAACCAAATCCTTTTTTAAATAATATTCCCTCCTTCATCTAAGGACGAAAGAATGAATCTGCACATACCCCATTATATATTTTCTTATACGAACGAAGCACAGAAATATATATTCATGCATTAAGCCCACCCCACCCCCGTAGTTTTCTTCCTATCCCACTTGGTTGGCTTTTCTATGGCTATTGTCTACATTTTAAAAAAAAAAAAAAAAAAAAAAAAAGGTGGAAAATACAATAAACATCAACACATTTTGATATAGGTGCTTATTGGAATATTGGAAGTGGTTCTTATATGTACATGTAACAAAATTGCATCTGGACCCTCCTTCAATACAATCACACAAGATTAACAGAAATACAAGCATGCAAAAAATAGGCACGTGTTTATATATTGGAGAGGTCAAATACACAAGAGGTGCCATTCACCGCTTTGTAAAAAAAACCGAAAGGAATAATCTTATTAATCCTTTATTTTTCGTACACAATTTTTGTAATAAAAAAACATATCAACAAAAGGATCTGAATAGTATCGTATCTTATGAAAGGAAACACAATTGCAGATTGTGCAAAGGAGAAAACAATTATTCTTCTATCAATGAAAAAGAAAAGAATGAAATATGTTTTGAAAAAATGAAAGAAAAAAACAACTCGGGGTTTCATTTAATTAAGCAAAATATATCAAATGGAAAAAACAATTGTCTTAATTCTACAAATAAAAAAGGAGAAACAAAATCTTGCATGAATGATATAAATGGAATGGACATTCAAAATAATGGAGAAAATCTTCAAATGGGAGCTCAAAATAAAATAACACTTGATGAAATAATAGATTTAGAACTATCGGATACATGGTCAAAAAGAACATTAATTTTAAATTTCAAAAATAATATATTCGAAATTATTCTAAATAGACCAGAAAAATTAAATGCTATCAATAAAGACATGATTAACGGTTTGCTAAATATTATAAAAAGTTTAAATAATGATGATAGGTGCCATATGATTATAATTAGAAGTGTCAACACAAAGTGTTTTTGTTCTGGTTCTGACGTTAAGGACATTGTCCAAAATAAGGAAAAAGGAATGCAACATATGAAACAACTTTATATGTACATTAATTATATGTCAAAAATGAAAAAAGCTGTCTTGTGTATATGGAATGGCTACGCTATGGGAGGGGGATTAGGCATTTCTATGTATGCAAAATTTAGAGTAATAAATAAAAATACAATATTTGCAATGCCAGAAAATAAAATTGGATTTTTTCCTGATATTAGTTGTTGCTACTTTTTTAAGAAATATTTTGGAAGGAATATTGGTTTGCATCTGGGGTTGACTTCCCTACGTTTGAATGAAGCAGATTTGGTGAATTTTAAAATATGCAGTAATTATATTGAAGATGTAGATGTACTGCTCAACGAATTTTACAATATTAAAAAGACGAATCAAGCTGATTTCGATACTAAACTTTTTCACATACTAAGTAAATATCCCCCGAATAAACTTAATGCAGAAACAAAACCAGTACTAACACAAGATCTAATTGACAACATCAACAGGTATTACAATTCAGCCAATAGTTTAGATGACTTAATAAACAATTTGAAAAAAGATGAGGATAATCATTTTTGTCTACAAACCCTAAATTGTATTAGCGAGAATTGCTATTCTAGCGCGAAACTCTGGTTTTCTTATTTCCTTTATAATTATGATAAGCCCTTAGAAGAGGTATTAGACAACGATTTTAAAATTACTCAATATTTCTTGTATCACACCAAAACGTTTGAAAAAGGTGTAACTGAAATGCTTGTGAAAAAAAATAAATCCTTTAAGTGGAGCTCAGAACGAGAAAATAATGATATGCCGATGGAGGAGGGAAATGTTGAGAATATATTAATGAACAGTAGTTTGATGTCAATCCGAGAGGAGTTCATATGAACGCGTGGTGCCTTTTTCACTAAACGTGCACTATACTCGAAAACGTGAATATATATGTATGTGTTCTTCATTACGAATTCGAGGAAGCTCGTTCGTGAGAAAAAAAAAAAAAAAAAAAAAAAAAAGAAGGAAACAAAGGAAAAGATGGAAAAAAGAATTTTACACCAACTGGGTATATATAAAAGGAAAATGTAACAGGAACACAGAAAGATTTATGGATTCCTAGTGTGAAAAAAAAAACAGTTACATATTTGTTTGAGAAAGTATTAAAAAGACATACTTGGAAATGTTTTAAGGCCATCAAAATTATTAGTAATTATTTAAGGGCGTGCTGCTTTTTTTTTTTAATCGTCGGTGAATTGTGAAACATGTGGGGATAGCACCTCAAATGGAATTCATTGAAAAAAGAGAAATTCATTTGGGTTCAAATTGTTTTACGTTCTTATAAGGGTGATACTTATGTTGATTATTAAAGCGATTAGCTTTTGTCCACATATATATATATATATATATATATACATGCATATGTATATATAACCATACTTATACAAGCAACACTACCACGCCCGTTCTGTATAACTTTATCGAAATGTTATATATGTAAGCACAAAAAAGGGCAGGCCTCGTATACCCCAACATATACCATTTTCACTGTAAATATGCGTTAACTTGAACTGTTCTATAATTCCAAATGTGAATCCTTTTCATCCCCCAACCCTGGAGTATTTTGCTTTTTTCAGTTTTTTCCGTTTTTTACGAGCGTGCGAAACTTTCCTGTAATAGTTATTATTCAATTTGTTGAACTTGTAACCCTCTTCTTCTAAGTCCGAAATGGACTGATTACTGCTTACATCTAACATATTTTCGTCATTAATATATTTTGAATTGGGAAAGGAGCCACTATTGGTAATACTGATTAAAGACTTTGCATCTATTTCTTTTGAAATAATGGAATCACAACTAGATGCAGACCAAAATTTAAGCAATTTATCATCCCCAAACGAGGTTAGGATATGACCAAGAGGATTCCAGTCTAACAATGTGATAGAAGATGGTTTATCAAAACCATGAGCTGAAGAAATAGATTGGATACATTTGTTATCATTAGTACTATAAAATTTGATGTTTCCCTTGTTGTCGGAACTAGCGAAAATATGATTTTGTATAGGATTCCAAGCTACAAAAGTAGGTTCATAATTTAATCCAAATATACTACTATGAATTTGATCATTTTTATAAGAGTGCAAAAGTTTAAAGTTACGGATGTCCCATAATTTAATTAAGCTATCTCTACTACAACTTAATAAATAAGTGCCGTTATAATTCCATTTTATTTTATTTACATTTGCTTTATGTGCATTGAGAGATATAATCGGTTCATTAATTCTAATATCCCAGAAGGATATTGTTTGGGTTCTATTTCCACTAGCTACAATTTCATTTATTGGATTCCATGATAGGCAACTAGTATTGTTCGTATCTATATTTTTGCATTTTAGATCTTTTATAATTTTCCTTGTTTTTATATCCCAAATGATGGGATTACATGTATCTGCACAACCAGCCAATTTAGTGTTACAACATGATAAACTAATATCAAGAACACATTTTGTTAATCCTTCAAATGCATAATTATCCAATAAATTTAGAGCTGATGATAAAATAACAATCTGTCCTAATGAATTTCCTGCAAATAAGTTATCATTTTTTGACCATTCTAAACATGAAACAGAACCACCTCCTATTGGTATTCTTTTTATATCTTCAAAATTAAAATAAAGACCATTCCAAATAGCTAGTTCGCTTAGTTGAGTTCCTGTTAATAATCTCTTACCATCATTAAACCATTTCAGGCTCATAATCATTCCTTTACTTTTATTTAAACACGAATATGCTAGATGTGAAAGCACACCATCATATCTATCTATCATATTACTATAGCAGAAAGGAGGCTTAATTCTTCTTGAAAAAATGGGATGATTCGGGTACAAGTTTCTCTCAAACTGTCTTTTATATATGTCACTTTTTAGGAAATTGCAAACTGAGAATGTGCGAAGGTGGGTATATGTATCTACGTGTGTGTTTGTCTACATGTGGGCAGATGGAGGGAAAAAACGAGATGGGTATATATAATAAGCACGCACGCATGCTTATCATTTGAAATGTAGTGATACACATTTTTCACTACACAGTTTTGTTTCTGAATAAATTGCATTCCCTATAAACACTTGAAACTCGTATGCTTATATACATACGCATAGACGACGTAATTGATGCAAAAATATGTACTTGTGTATATCTCACAACCATATGCATAGAGAATATATACACACAATAGTAAAAAGTTTTGACCTACTTGATGAATTGAAATCAACAGCGGGCCTGTCTATGCCCAATTTTATTGGGTAATAATTATTGACATTTTGTTCTTCATTAAACATTTTGTATCCATTTCAAAAAAAAAAAAAAAAAAAAAAAAATTAAAAGAAATTACTAATTATGATTGTTGTGTGTGTTATACATGCGCGCTACAGATATGAAACTACTTTATGAATGACAAGAAGGGTCACACTATTCGTGGTATTAATTTTTGCTTGATGATCCATTCATCATATGTTTATGTTTTCATGTACCCATGTGAAATTTTATTCGAAGGGTGAACTAAATATCGAATTCAGTTGGAATTACATGATACCCTACTAATTTACATAATCCTTTATGATTAAATTTATAGGATATTCTGGGCTATGATGCTTCACTTGGCAGAATACCCCATTTTAATTTAACACTTTTAATTCGTGAAGTTATAATTCAAAACAGAAAAGGGGCATCTACGTATATATATATATATATATATATATGCGCATACACTGCTTTTCTGTTTTTATTTCTTCTGCTCAATGCTTATCCCATTATAGCATAGCATTTTGAACAATGCACATGAATTTTTCAAAGCACTAAAAACACATTCCTATTCTCTTTTCACCTTCACTTTTATTACTCTTGCATTTTCGTTGAAACAAGCTTCCAACAACCACTTATAAGTATTTTCCTTATCATAAATTCAAGTCAAAATGCATGCAATTCTTTTGTTCATACATGAATATATGAAATGTTTGTGCGATTGCATAATTCTCTTCCCCATAAGAGTGTCAAAATGCTTTAAAAGCGACGAATGATAACAGCGTAAAAATTGCCTATGTAGACATGGGGTTACTTTTCAATTTAAAAAAAATAATTTTTTTTGTAATTTTAAATTGCCAACTTAAAAAATAAGCGTACGTAGGGGGGGGGGGGTTGACTCTTGGTGCAGCATAATATTATATATATAAAAAATAAGCGTACGTATGGGGGGTGGGGAGGAATGACTCTTGGTGCAGCATAATATTATATATAGTTAAAAATTAGGTCATTCAAAAAAAAAAAAAAAAGATAAAGCAATTTGTTTTTTGTCACAAAAAAAAAAAAAAAAAAAAATCCAGAGAATTCGTATGTTTGCATGAAAAATTGCTACATTTATATATATTTATTTTTATATTTTGCTTTATTCGATTTTTTCCCTTTTGAAACCTTTAACAAAATAAGGGGGAAAAAAAAAAAAAAAAAAAAAATAATATTAAAATAAATAATGACAATGAGAAGAAGAGCTCATAGGATTCTAAGTACATGCCTTATGACCATGCATAAATGTGTATGCGCTTTAAGAGTCAAAGACGTTTAAAAAAAGGGGGTGGGGGGGGAAAAGAAAAAACGAATATAATACGTATACAAGGAGTGCATTATATAATCTTGCAATACTTAATTTCTGTATGCACATATATATATATATATATATATAAAGGATCACATGATATGTGGATCATATTTTGGGGGAGAGGAATGAGGAGCTGCTACTGATTCAGAGTTATTATCCACTTTTGCTGTTGCACAGGTGATGGACATTCCTCCTCATGCTTATCCCTTCGATATTTCCTTATACTCCTTAAGTGCATTTTTAAAAAAGGAAGAAAAAAACACATAAATAGAATAGTGCTCCTTGTGAAGGATATACAAAGAATAGTTTACAAAATAATTATTTTCCAAATTGTAACTACTGTTTTCATTTATCATTTTTCGTACGTATTGGATATCTGACATGTTGTGTAAATTGGATTGATTCCCCTTCTCCTCCGTGACTTCATGGAGGTTAATCCGCTCATCCTCATTGCTGTCACTCGGGGATCTTCTACTTGTGTCACTTCTGCTGATATCACTTTTGTTATCTCCACTTCTGCTATCTCCACTTCTGCTATCTCCACTTCTGCTATCTTCACTTTTGCTATCTCCACTTCTGCTATCTTCACTTCTGCAGATATCACTTTTGCTATCTCCACTTTTGCTACCATCACTTTCGCTACCATCACTTTCGCTACCATCACTTTTGTTACCATCACTTTTGTTACCATCACTTTCTCTGGAATTACCATCGTCAGCCTCTACTTCGGACCCATGGCTACGTTCTTCCTCTGATGCATGAGAGCTTCTAGAATGACTTTTCTCCTGATCGCTATTATCACTAGTATCACTAGACTCATTGTTTTCGTTATGGTCACTGTATGCATCTTCCACTGTGAGATATTTTTTATTCCTTTGGATTAATCCGTTTTCCTCTTCCTCCTTGTTATCACCTTTATTGTTTTTATGTTTATCTTGTTCGTCTTGGAAATTATCAAAAAAGTCACCATTCTGATTTTTTATTTCTTCTTCTTGATGATCTGAAAGATCCTCTGGAGATTTTTCCTGTTCCCACTCATTGGTTACTCGGATACAATTGCTACCATTCCATGAGGTCTTTCTTGATAATCCAGTTTTATAAGTTGAGGACAAAATGTTAGAAGCCTCTTCATCCAATTCGATATTCATATTTAAGAAAAAGTAAATAAAATGACGTGTAATAATGTAAAACAAGCTGTCATATATGAGATCTATTTTATTCAAATTGTGAATCATATCAAGAATTTCTTTATCTAAAGATTTGATAACTCGAATATATAATCTGATTACACATGCTGGTATTTTTAACTTATAAATAAATGGTATCATAAATGTTAATTTTATTAACAAGGATTTAACCATTTTTTTGTCCATTAGAAAAAAAATGGAATTATTTTTATATCCTAATAAATAGTTTGCAATCGATTTAATTGAATAATTAAATAAATCTAAATTATTTAAAACATTGACATCAGATGTTAGTTCTTTTTGAAGATGACAAATCATAATGTTAAAGGATACAAAATCTAGTATCACATTTTTAATAAGAAAATTATTTATTTTTATATCTGAATTAATTAATTCATGGGATTTTTCATTAAACATATCTGGGTAGTAATAATATTCTGTCAATAAATATTTTAATAATTTAAAACAAGAACTTTTGATGGTTAGTTCTTTTGTTCTTATAGCTAAATCGTATATATGATATAAAATAAAATTATGAATACTAATGTTGTGCAATTCTATTGGATCATTAATGGAGTAACTAAAGTATGTGGAGTTACTGTACCCAAGAGTAACATTTTTTAAATTCCTGAAAATAAATCGAAGCGCATAATAAGTTATGCTATTATGTTCATTCACATGTTCATCATTATTTAGGTAGCTATATTGCCCTATTAAGCTTATTAATACCCTATTAATTAAATTCTTCACTAAACTTGGAAAACTTTTACATGTTTTCCTAAGGTTAAATATAGAAAAAATATTTCTTATGTAAGATAAAAAGTTTGTCCCAATCTTCATTTTGCTTCTATTACTCTTCCTCATGCTTCCTCCACCTCCCTTGACGTCTTGTGCGTTTTCCCTATAATAAATTTTATCACTGGAATAGGAATTTTCATTTTCATTCACTGTGTGACCAATTTTCTTATTCATCTTGAACACACTGGGAGAAAAAAATATGTCCTCGTAATTATTCTCGAGGTATGATGGCAGATTATTACTACATTGTTTTTGAGTTAATGTTTTTTTCGAATCAAATCCCAAAAATTTACAAAAAAATTGATAATTCATAAAATCCGCATTATCCAAGCAATAATTATTTCGATTAAAAAATATGTGTTGCGTTAAGGTTGGTGAAAAATCTTTAAACTCGTATATGATTCTAAATACTCTTATGACAGTTTTAAACTTGATATAATCCTTTAAATCATACAAAATTAGCAAATCTAGTAAATATTTCAAAGGGAAAAAATGTAAAATATCCATAATTTTTTCACTCTTTACTAAATAGTGTAATGATAAATAGTAGAATAAGTTATTTCCATTAAATAAATTAAAAAAGAAAATTAGTCTTTCTGTGTTATTTTCGTTCGTCAGAAGTATATTTTCGTTTGTTTTCTGTTCCTCGTTTTTTTGGATCCACACGTGATCCATGCTTCTTTCCTTACTCATTCTATACTTTCCTTTTCTTTGCACATTTGCTTGGGCTCTTCTCAAACTTTTTCTGCCACTTCGGCTGCTACTGTCACTTCTGCCGCTACTACCACTTCTATCACTACTACCACTTCTGTCGTTACTGCTTGTGCTGATGGTGCTGTCGTAATAATGACTCTTGCTCCTCGTTTCAAATACACCATCCCTTGCGATGTATTCCTCGGGGTTGTTTCCACAGCCCCTTTTATAGCTGTCATTGTGAGGATGTCTTGAGCTATAGTCACTCTTTGTGCAACTCTGATTTATTTCCTCATCATAAAAATAGCTTTCATTGTCTGTAAACATGTTCGTTTTGTTTTCATTCTTCTTATAACCTTTTAGAGACACTAAATTGCTCTCAATATGAGTTACATTTGGACTCATATCAGTTTCTTTTTCTTTGTTACTACTATTATTTGTTGGGATCCCTCTTAGGGAAGAGCTTGAAATGGTGCTATTTCTATCATTGGAATTTTTCCTTTTGTTGTTGTTTCTTTTCTTATAAGCAAGGGGTTTTTTTATGATATTTTTTTTTACTTGGACAAAGTTGTGATGATAACGTTTTTTTTTTTTATCACTTGATTTGTTATTTTGCCAATGGTTTTTACTTCCATCATGCTTTTTTTTTTTTTTTTTCTCATTTGTGTCAAGGATGATATTATTATCGATTATTTTTATGTTAATTTTTTTTTGCCTTTTTTTTATTTGGCCTCGATTTTCTATCTTGTTAAGGTATTCATTCAGTAGTTTATTTAGTTCGAGTTTGTCAGAAGTCATGCTCATTTCTTCCAATGTTAAGATAATGACATTTTTGATATTATTAAAATTTAAGCAATAGTGGAAAGTTTTTTTATATTTACTTATATTTCTTTTTAAATTTTCTATGGAATTACATATGTCTTCTAATTTTTGATCCTTAACACAAAGATAATTCAGGAATTTCTTCTTCTTAGTTTTTTTCGTTTTTATCATATTACTCAAGGTAAAGTGGATATTTTCAATAAATTTTAAATTTAAATGTAACTTGTCAACAATATTTTGAAAATATGAGTTCTTATATATATGCATTAAATTGGGGAAATTGAAGTTTTCAAATTCGCTTGTGTTTTTTTTTAACTCATAATTGTACTTCAAGTTTTCCACAATGTGGTGTGGGTTAAAGAAGTGATTCATGTGTATATCGGCACTACCTCCGTGGTTGTGTCCCGTATGGTTATTAAGATTATTACAATTAACACCATTGTCAGCAGTGCTAGCAATGTTAGCAATGTCAGCATTGTCAGCACTGTCAGCATTGTTGTGGTCTTGGGAGGAGGAATGACGTACACTCGATTCATCCGCAAAATATCCGAAATTGTTAAAAACACACTGTTTCTTATTCTCCAAAACGAAGAAGGATTTTTTTTGATAAAAATATTTGGCGTATTTTATATAAGAATATGAATGTCCAAATATGTGCAGTATACACCATGTGTAAATGTATATCAATTTGGAAATTTCCTTAAGGAAATGTTCCATTTCGCTAGTTATTTTCTGTTCTTGTTCTTTTTTATATTTTACATTATTGTGCCTGGTAATTAAATATGATTTCATGTAATTATTATAGGTCGTGGTTATTTCCGTTATGAATTTTAAAAAATAGTAATCAAATTGAAATATGTTATCCGAATTGTAAATGCTTATAAAATATGATATGGTGTCTACATTTTCTACATAATCCAAATTTATCATTTTATTTTTATTTATTTCATTCACATCAAAAGCATTCTTTAATTTATTTATATTACTTATGACTTGATAAAATTTTTTTTTTTTTTTTGCTTTCCTTAAAATGTCATTAAAGATACTTTTATTTGTATACTCGTTTTGATATATTCCATCCTTTGTGACATATCGATTTGATGATCCTTTGTAATTTGGCCTCATTTTCCCCTTTCCTCCATTTTTTTCACATTTTCTCTTTCGTTCTCTTTGTTCATCGCTGATCTCGTTACTTTCAAATTCACAAGATTCATTTGAACTCATTGCATTATCACTCTCTTCATATTTACTTTCCTGGTACATGTTTTCATCTCCCATTACGCTATCTTCCCCTTCTCCATCAGTGCTACTTTTCCCACTACTACTATAGGTATCATAACTGTTCTTTTCACTTTCTTCATATCTTCCCTGGTCATATAAACCTTGCGTCCCATCTATGCTAGTTTTCATGCCTCCACTAGTTCTCTCTTGATTAGTTGTTGATCCAAATATATCTTTCATCTCATCGTCACTTTCGAGACTCTCTCTTTTATTAAAATCATCTTGGCAGAAATTGCTAACCACATTTTTGTATTTTATCAAATATTTAATGATATTGAAATTATGCAAATTAGTATCATGACACGTGTCACTCGTGTTATTCCGATTATGAAGACTTTCCCTCTTTTTAGCACTTGCAGTTTTTACCTTGTTTCTGTGACGCATGATTCCTGTAGCCGTGTCTGTGGATTCATCATCGGATTCGCTATCTTTAAAAGTGTTTATTCCACTTTCTGAGGAGAAAGTTTTCCTTCTGCTCCTTTTTTTATGATCAAGATAAGTGACAGTATCATCACCCATGGTGCAACTTCCCGTGTTTTTAAATTTCTTATTGTTGTTCATTTGATTATTATCAAATGAAAAATTATAAAAATTTCGTAATTTACAAAAATTTAAATATTTATTTGCTTCTTGTTGCATAATATTATGATTAAAAAATAAGCCTGCACTTATAAATATATGGAAAATCCTCGAGATGATAGTTACACTATAGTTGAGATATTTAATTAGGGCATTTGCGTTTTTATACGTGTTAAAGAAATTTTCATCTTTACTTTTTTTTTCAATATAGTATAAAACATTTCTATGAAATGTAAAAATTAAGTAGGGATTATTAAAAAAGTAAAATAAGGCATTAATAATTTCATCTGAATAGAGGTTGTGATTAATATCATTTTGATAAATTATTTCCACAAAAGAATTTCTGTTTTCTTTTTGAATGGAGCTATTTGAAATGAAAAAATTATTTAACTCTTTATTTAGATAATCTTCTTGGTTTGTCTTGTTCGTTAGATTCTGCTTCTTATAATTGCTTTCCTTACTTTCTTTTCTTTCCTTATTTTCATTTCTGTTTTGATCTTTTCTCATTTCCGCCTTCATTTCGACAGCAACTTGGACATCGATTTGGGCATCGGCTTGTACATTTTTTGTCTCAATTTTATTTTCATTTTCGGAACATTTATTAATCGATTTATCCATGTATTCATTGGAGAAATTGGCAATAGTATTTTTTATTGATGCATTGTTCATGTAATTTTGGCAAGTTGTGATTTCATCTGAAAGAATTCCAACATCTATACATCCACCCCTATCACCTCGTATGCTTAAATCTGTGCCCAAACTGACATGCACAGTATCCCTTGAATTTCTATTTGATACTTCGTCATGTATTACATAATTTCTTTGAAAATTCAAAACAACAGTGAATAAAAATGTATTCATAGGTGTGTCAAATATGTTTCTAATTAGATACTCATTAATATATATGTACTGAAAAAAATTGCAGAAAATTTTGATAACTTCATTGTCCATTAATCTATGTAATCGTAATGTTTTTAAAAAGAAAAAATAATTTATTACTTTATTTTTTCTCTCTTCGAATCCTTTAAAAAGAAATGAATACGAATTTTCATTCGTTTTGTAGCTTAAATCGAAATATATATTTTTTAAAAAATATAATAAACACAGTAAATTTAAAAAATATTGAAATGTATCATAAAAATCATCTTCATTTATTTTCTCTCTCTCTTCTTCTGCTATTATTTCCATGTTAGATTTGTACAAATCAAAGATGTCCAAATCACATATGTGTTTTCTTAAATCCTCCAAGTTGACATTTTCAAATAAATTTGAGTTTACAAAAGAGTAATGATTTTTAAACCTCGAAAAAGTTGTTTCTTTTGCAAATTCTTTCTTTATTCGATGTTTTCTCGTTTGGCAATCCACGTTTTCCCTTGCGTAATCACTCTCATCCACAGTGCTGTCATTCGTGTAGCTCGATTCATTGCTATAACTGGGCTGAGTGCTGTAGCTCGGTTGATTATTGTAGCTGGGATGATTGCTGTAGCTGGGCTCATCCATGCACCTCACATAATTTGCTTCCCTCGAGCCATCCTTGTCTTCTCCCTTTTTTTGATGCAAGTCTATTATGTTAATTTCATTGCTTTCTTCCTTAAACGCATTTTTGACTCTTTCAATAAGATTTTCCTTGCTCCTTTTATCATAAATAACGAAGAAATTCCTGCAAATGGGGAATGAAAAAAAAAAAATGCAATGAAGAAATGTATATCCATGGATATGTTTCCTATGTTGTTATCCTATGTGTATAAGTACTAGTTCATACGATTAGGATAAAATGTTGTTATAATAGTGCACATGTAAGTATGGAAAAAGTTTTAGCAATGCATGTCTTCCAATTTCAATTTTTTTTTTTTTTATGTTTCATTTTTTCATACTTCATTTTATAAATGAGTTCACTGAAGACTTTTTCCGCAATATGCCTCTCATTTGCTTCTGCCGATTTGTAAAACTGATGATAAAATGTCAACATCTCTTCATCTAAAGCGGTTGGGAGTTGGGAACGGGGAAGTATGTATGCGTGTGTACAAACGCAGTTGTGATTATATATATATATATATATATACCTTGTGATGCACAAGCTTAGCAGTAGAAATTAAATTCGAAAAGCAGAACGTGGACAAATATATATACAAAAATATGTAAGCAGCATGCCATGTTCCTTATACATATATAAACTTCTCTAAATAATTTTGATTTTCTCATCTTTCCTTACCTCCATACTCTTTTAATTCCCTCTCCAAAATATTTAACAGCTTTCCTTTCTCCATTTTCAAATTTTCAATTATACAAATATTTTTCTTCTTTTTTTCAATCCTTTCACAAAAATGAAAAAAAAGAAAAAAAGAAGAAAGGAAAGAAGGGAAAAGAAAAGAAATATATTTTCTTTAAAATATATTCCTTAACTTTTTCTTTTTTTTTTTTTTTTTGTTATATTTTAAACTATTCCATAAACGCCCATGGAGAATAAATAATATCATTTCAAGAGAAAAAGAACTCTTTTATGCAAAAATGTGAGAACCACAAAAGGTATGCATTTTTCTTCAAGTGCGCTTATGTTCGTGTTATGGTAAATACATGTATGTATAAAAATATATATATATATACATGTATTTACCATATGATATTAGGTGCAGGCGTTACATATGCATCATGTATACTAATATATATAAATGTATATGTACAATGAACGTGAATTGATAAATCGTATGCCAGAGAAAAGGTATTTAAAACTTTTTTATGATTTTCCTTTTTTCTCATTTTGTAGGAAACCCCAAAATAAGCACTTACATATACACATAAGGATCTTCCTAAAGGTTTAAATAACGCAATTTTAAGGAATCCTATCAAGAGGAGACCCAAGAAAGAGCCTACTTTATAAGGGGAAAAAAAAAAAAAAAAAAAAAAAACTAAGCATATGAAATGAACGAGGCAAACACATAACGGTTTTTTATTTTTTATTCCTCATTTTTTTATTTAACATTTCATATTATTTTTTTTGGCCTATCGTAGAGCTTTTATATTTTAAAAACAACTTTAAATATACAAAATGTGTATAATATCCTGAATTTACACCTCCCCTTTATCATTTACAATTTATTTAGTGGGTGTGCGTAAGAATAAATGGAAATTAAAAGAAAAAAAAAAAATATATATCGCACACTGGGAAAAAAAAAAAAAAAAAAAAGAAAAAAAAAATAAACATGTCATTGAAATATGCACAAAGGTGTACATATAATATATATATATATGCACGAATGAGAGTATTCGAGTAAGGATCATTTCATCCAATATATACATTTTTTTCCTTTTTCTTAATATTATAATGCTTTAAATTTAACATCCTGATAATGAGATGAAGAAAAAGTGTATTGCGTACCCCGTACATTGCCACTTGTCTTGAAAAAACAAAAAGAAAATTATCTCCAAACTGTTCACAAGTGTGTGGTTTTGCTGTATTCACAAAAAGGTCATAACCTCATAGGTGGAAAGTACTTTTGTTCCTAAGTTCACAAACTTGAACAAAACATGCACAAAATTTAGACACATTTCGACAAATATTCTCAATCACAATCGGCGAATTTTTTGGTAACCAGGGTAGTATAGTACGAGCTTCTTTCCCTTGGAAAAAAAACAAAAAAATATAACAAAATAAGAAACACGAATATACAAGACTAAAATGAATAATAATAAATAATAAATAAACAAAGTTACGAATTTATAAAAAAATAGGGGAAGAAGGAACAATGTTAATGGAAGAGAAATAAAATTCAAAACCCAGACAAGTCTTTAGTGTAAAAGTTCATCAACTGTGTGCCTTTTTCACTAATATTTGAAGTTTTGAAATTAGGGTAGTTATATTTTGCGTATAATTTATAATAGTGCAAATTTTTTATATTTTTTTCTTGCTGATCTTGTAAGGGAACAAATTTCAAAGGAGGGGTGTAACCTAACTGAAGTTTTCTAGCTAATAATTTTCTCAAAACAAAAGCAACCTTATCTAATTTTTCCTTTATCATTTCATGATTGATATTTTTATTCAATAAGGTATAAACAATTTTACATAAAGACCTTGTTGATTTCATTTCCAGATGATGAATAGAAATTGACAACCCATTAAGCAAGTAAAATTTAAAATAGGAATTATTACAATTTAGCAATTGTTCCAGATGTGTATGCAGAAGTTTTTCCACCCTTATCCTTCTTCTGTTTACATGATATTTAATTGGATCTAATATATGTCTAGCAACATTAGGTATTTTCTCTTTCATTATTTTTGAATTCCCCATCTTCTCTTTTCTTATTTTCATTCGAATCCTGGACACAATTTCATCATATTGGTTTTGTTCACATATTTTATTTATTTTATAAGAAAAATCCCCTTCATTTTCATAGTAAGGTTTGATATCTTCTTCAAGGGGAAATCCTTCCATCTGTTTTTTCTTTCTTATATGGAAGTTTTGATCCCCTTCCACATCACACATCCCATCGTTCGTGTTTTTTTTTTCTTCTTCATCCGCGCTTAGTCGCTGTGCTTTTACAATACTTTTTGCTTCTTTAATAGGATTAAGAATATTACTCATTTTGAACCATCTAATTTTTCTATCAACATCACACTTTTTAATATATAAATTGTTCATATATGCATATTCGTCATGTGTTAAATCTTGATATGTCCCCTTTTTTCCTTTCATACTTTCATAATCAAAAATGGAATTTTCCTTAAGTTCGTTACTCCTCGGGAAGTTGTATTCCTCATCTAAATCATTTTCATTATTTGCTATTTTTCCCTGTTCATCTTTCCATTTCTTTTTCTTGTCCCTTCGACCCTTTATTCCTTTTTTTAATTCTGGATCGTCATTTATGCAATTTGGAATTAAGTTACGATTTTCTTCATCTTCTATGACATTTTTCCCTCCCTTTTCTTTAGCTAGATCAGTATCATATTGTGTGTAATTTACATTATTCCCTTGTCTCATTTTTTCTACTTTCTTATTCATAAAAGATAATTTTGTTGATTTTTGTACTCCTTCATTTTTTAATCCTCCATGTAATTTTTCACTGTGTAATTCTAAATCATCCTTGGACCCTTTTTCCAAATTTGTGCCTTGGAAAAGAGATATAATTGATGAATCTTCGTATTTTTTTTTCTTATTATCTACAAATATTTTTAATGATGGGTTAAAAATTTGATTTATTCTCTCCAACTTATCCTTTGGAATATATTCTTTTTTTGTTCCTTCTTTTTGAAAATATTTTTCAGTGTTTTCATTTATCGTTCTATTATCAGGAATAGAAGAATCAATTCCTACTATATCTGAAATGTGTTCTTCCACTTTGGCATTTTCAATACATTGAAAAAAATTATCATTCTTTTCCTCGGTTAAATATTCTTTCTTCATGTTGTTGATGGACCAGTATAGGTGTTTATTTTCTAGGTCATCATATTTGTCTTTTTTCTTCCACCTTTTAAATGTGCTGAATGGGGCTTCTTTCCTTTTCGTCAAGTTTATTACCCATTTTTTTGCTTGCGTAAAGGTCATTTTCAAGATCCAAAAGGCTTTCAAAAGTGGATTATAGAATGAATTGCATAACTATATTTTTGCAGTCTTGGAATGATCAGTGGTATTTTGTTTTTCTCTTCCTTTGCACATTTATGTACACCCCCTTATGAACAGTTATCATATAGAACTCTTAAAATCATATTATTTTATTTTTTTTTTTTTCAATGTTCTGAAATTTACTGGAGACCCGAGCTTCAAATAAGGGCTGCGGAGTTACTAGCCTCTTTACAGTACACAATGTATGGTTATCACAAAGAAAAGAGAAAAAAAAAAAAAAAAAAAAAACATCGCTTTTGTTATCTGGTCATAATGTACACAAAAGTTCATCACGTACTCCATGGTTGCTGATTTCAACTTATAAGAGCTTCTTCTCCTTCCATATCTTATTTCTTCAAAAAGTTAAAATGTAAATGAGAGCTGCACCGCGGTTACGCTACATATAAGTGTGCCCAAAAAAGAATAACACTTGGGGGATGAAATAAAAAAATGTGCAAAAGAGAATCGGTCAAAATGTTTGTATATACATATATATATATATATATATATATATATATATATATGTGCCAGCACACAGGAGAACCTATGTTGTAAACTTAGTTACAAACATATTGGCATGAATAATCGCCCCAATGAAGCATACTACATAAAATGATCGCAACACTTAAGTAAACACAATATAATCAAAGGGAAGAACAAGAAAAAAAAAAAAAATAAATAATAAAATAAACTGACCCATGCGATAGGAGGTCATAGAATTGCACAATTATATTTATCATACATCATAAAAAATTCATTTCATTAAATATTCACATCGCAACATCAGAAGTTTTTCCCAATTAACAACTTTAACAATTTAAGAAGTTGCCAGGGATGTGAACTACATATTCACAAAAAGTGCAGTATCTGTGGGTTGGATTTTTTCCCCACACCATACATATATTATGCGTTATACATAACTTGCAAATGCTTCTACACATGTGCTATATATGTACATGTATTTGTTTATGTGTAAATGGACAGTATTTGAACGTCATAAAAAAAGCATTCACTTGCTGCTTTGCAGATCAAAACTATAAATCCACCCAAGCCAAGTTGCACTATGCAAGAAGCAACACAAAGACGGAACGAACGGCACACATAACTCCCTCGTTCTTAGTTGCAAAACATAAAAAACATTTTTCTAAAATTTTCAAAAAGTGATAGATTAATAAAATATTCACCCCTCTCATATATAAGGTAAAAAGGGATACAAAAAGCAATCAACTTGTTCTTAACGTGAAATGTTACATACTTCTCTTTTTTTGCTCTTTTCTTAAATATTATGTTTAATTTCTTTCCAATCTGAAAAGTTAAAACTGTGTATAATTACTATACATAATTTGACATACGAGTTTTATAGACTACGACAGAAAAAAGTTGCTAAAAACTCCAAGTCTTTTTTTCCTATTTCAATCATAAAAAAAAAAAAAAAAAAAAAAAAGAAGGAAAGAAAGAAGGATAGGATGAACGAAGGAAAGATGGACAGGATGAACGAAGGAAGGAAAGAATGAATGAAAGAAAACCAATCATAACAAAAAATTGTACATTACACGGGGAAGCAGTGAAAAGTGGAAGAAAAGGAAAGAAATAAAAAAAAAAAAATAAATAATTATGATAATAATAATAATAACTACGTATGTGGGTAAAAACTTGAACGCGCAAATGTAAACTCGTGCATATATAAATATACATATCACGGTATGCTCCCTTATATTATTCCTTAGGATATGGGAGATAAAGTAATACTACACAAAAAAAAAAAAAAAAAATATGCATTCAGGTGAATATACTAGACCAAAATACAGAAACTATGTTCAACGTACATTGTCTATATTACTAATGCACTATTTAATAAAAAAAAAATTCAGCTGAAAAAGGATAAAGGGGGTGATAACTTTTTAATATTACACTTTTAGGCTCAAAAATGTGTATATGTATGATAAGTACACGAATAAATGTGTAACATAATAGTCGGATAAAAACATCCCCCATCACCACCATACCCTGGTTGATATACATATATATATATATATATGTATGTATACATGACGTGTAATATAGTGGACACTTTTTTAAGAGTTGCATGATACAAGTTCTGCATCAAGCATGTATTTCAAATGTTAAGGAAGTAAAAGTTGATATATATACCATGCACTCATACGCGTACACATATATATATATATATATATATATATATATATATATATATATATGCACTGGAACAACCAAAGGTGAAGGGGAAAACTCATATATACTGCGATACTTTGATCATATGAAATATGCTTAGGCAAATTCGTTATTCTGAACACCATGTGATTTTACTAATTTGATTTTTCGTATATTCCACAGTGCTTTAATATGCTTCTCCAAATCCTTTTCAATTGCATCAAGCTCTTTATATTTCATATTGTTCACATACGAATCGTCCAATAATTCTAAATCTTCCCTTGTATAACACATATCATCGTCTAATTCGTGAATCATATCAGAGTTATAATTTGTGAGTTTAATTTTATTTTCTTCATCCATTAACGTATTTGAAAGTTTTGACATATTATGTTCCACGTCTTTCTTCCCCACCCCATTTTGACTATTTGTGCATGTATTTATTTTTCCGTTTGACTCTATGTGGTGATGGTAATTATAAAGAATATTTTCAGGATTGTTTGCAACATCATTGTCATTTTCTCCCATATGATGATCCGTGCAAAACCGGACATTGCCATTGCTATGACCAAGGTTAATCGAATTGAACCTGGAAAATATGTCATAAATGTCATGATTCCCAAAAAACATATCGTCACAAATGTTATTATATGAATGTTTCTTATAACTATGATGAATGTTAATACTGCCATCTCTATCTTTCCATATGTTGGCATTGTTTGTATTGGTTTCAAAATTTGCATATGGTCCAAGACTTCGATTATTGTTATTATTATCATTATTATTATTGTTGTTATTATTATTACTATTGTTATTATTATTACTATTGTTATTATTATTACTATTGTTGTTGTTATTACTATTATGATTGTTATTACTGTTATTATTGTTATTACTGTTATGATTGTTATTACTGTTATTATTGTTATTATTATTATTTTTTTTTTTCTGCTCTTCGTTATTACTACACCTAATTCCTGCGTAATTTGCATAGTGCTGGTATGGACCTATAATATTTGACCCCTCAAGGTTATAAGCATTATCAACCTTATCGTTATCATCATTATAATTGTCATTGTCATTCCCCCAATCATTTGTAAAATTGAACTGATCATAATTTAGCGTGCTCTGGTTCATTTCTATTGCATTATCAACAATTGACTTTAAGTCTACATTTGGTCTACTTTCCGACGTATTTTTATTGTTGCCACTATTTACACCGTTGCTACTATTCATAGTTTTGTCACTATTCTTATTGTCATTATGTTCCTTCTCCTCCCTTTCGCTGAAGCCGTTTGTAGATATGTTTCCATTCATGATGAACATCTTGTCTCCCAAAGAAGCGTTAAGACATCTTGTCATCTCTCCATTTATGTTGGACATTATTTCGTTTTCATCTATGCCCTTTCTGCTGCTTACCACACAGGTATCCACTAAATAGGATTCATTATTTTTCTCATCTGATTTGTACAAACTTCTCTTCACAGGAGACACGTTATTAAATAACTGCGTATTCAGCATACTGTCTGGAATGGTTGTGTTTGCTGCTGTTGTTTTACTTGTCTCTGCTATCATGTACTTGTTTACCGGGTTATTTACACTCATTTCGTTCAACACATTTTTTGTGGGTACTTTATTTCCATCATACAATAATCCATGATTCACAGCATCACCATTTGTAAATATATTATCTGCATCCTTGTTATTACTACTATACAGGACTGGGAGTGGTGCTATACTATTTGTGTCCATGTTCTTTTTAACATAATTACTCAAAGCATTGTCATTATTTATGCACATAAAATTGTGGTAGTTTTGTATTGGCCCTCCGGCTATTCCCCCAATCTTTGCATTATCAATGTGTTCTTTTAAAAGGTAGTTATTGGGCAAATTCGGGGACTTCCCATCGTGCGGAAGTTTTCCATTGCTCATAATTGTGTGTCCAAGTTCGTTGCCAAGCTTATTCCCAAGTTTGCTACTAATTTCATTTCCAATCAAGCTTCCAACCACCTTGCATGTCTTTCCTTTTCTACTATGGTCTACCACAGAGGAGCCATCGGTAAGGTGATAAACGTGTGTGCTCTTTTCTTGGTTATTCTCGTCTCCAATTTTGTTTTGCTTTTGGCTTACAAATGTTTTTGCGCTTAAATTTTTATCCACAACTTCGCAATTATTTTTATTATGGCTGGCTCTGTTAAGCTTAAAAATTTCCTTTTGCTTATTCTTTCTTTGCTGTATCTGTTGCGATTTCAATTGTTTCATGTTGCCAGATTTGTACGAATATTTATTTCCCTTCGTATCGGCCGTTTCTCCTACAAGGTTTGGTGTAACAACTGCTACATCGTTTAAACTATTATTTCCACTCTTAATTCCATTTTGTCTCAACTTGTTATTTGTGTCCATAATATTCCCATTGGTAATGCTGGTTATATTACTACTACATATAGCATTCGTTGGGTTTTTTCTCGATGAACTGTTTGTGGCGTTCTTATTCAACTTATTTGACTCCATAATGGTTTCAGAACTACAACTTCCTACTACTATTCCTGGTGTTGAACCTTTGTTCAAATTAAAATCATGTGTGTTATTTAGATTCATAGATAAATTATCTGGTATTAAAAATTGTCCCGTTTTTTTAAATTGAATTTTTAATTTTTTAAAATTTATATTAATTGATCTCTGTACCAATTGAAATGTCGAATTGAGATTTGACAATTCTACAAATGCATAACCATCTTGTCGGTCAATATTTACTACATATCCATTATCCAAGTTCTGATTAATTGTGTCTCTCAGTTGCACATTTGTTATGTCTTCGCTCAAATTTGACACATATACACTTCTACCATATGAATTATCAGGTCTTGTGCTTATGTCAAATCTTGGTCCTATATTAACCCTATCTTCATTATTTTTCAAATTCTTATTTGTTTTATTTGTTTCATTTTTTTCTTCATTCATTAAATTTTTTTCACTTTGTATTCTTGCCTTTTTTAAACAATCCATTATTGATATTCCTACATGATATTTGAGACAAAATCGACATTTCATTGGACAGTCATTTCCTCTGTGAGAAATATTATGACAATTCGGACAAACAAATGAATTATTCGGGCACAATGGCATTGGATGATCAAGTGAATCACAACTTAAACATAATCTTCCTTGCATGAATGCCTCTAGCATTTGTGAATTATTTAGTGTTACAGGTCTCTCAATTGACATAATATCATTTCCTGCTTTTTTCAAATTATGCGAATCTAAATTTTCTTTTCCATTGACGGAGTTATTATTGTTGCGGTTGTTTCGGGTGTTCAGATGGGAACTTATATCGAATTTCTTACCTCCCTTACTGTCCACACTGTTTTTCTTTTGTTTCTTGGAGGTATAAGTAGAATGGTGCACGCTATTCATTCCGTTCATTCCGTTCACGCTACTTCCATTTAGCTTATTGGTAACGGATCCATTTGCCATGTTGCCAATTATCAGACCACTTATTCCGTAGTTCCTGTGATTTACATTTCCCTTTGTGTCATTCACGTATGACGTTGTACTACCTACAGTGCCGTTCATGTATTGACCATTATGCATGCTGTTATGTGGAGTGTTGCTTAGAAGATAGAGGCTTCCTAATGAATTGTTAATGCTGTGAATGCTATTAATTCCCAATTTGTTTTCTGATTCTGTGTCTTCATCATATAAAGAAAGATGAGCGGGACCCCAATAATTCATCATACCGTTCTGCAAAACACCATTCTGTATCACTTCATTTTTGGCGATATCACCTTGTATGAGTCCAACTCCTCCATGCACATGATCCTTCTGTGTAACTCTGGCATTCTGCACATTCTTTATATTTAAAAAATTCATATTTTCATTTGATTTTTCCTTGCTTCTATCTATATCATTGATCAAATTTCCTGTCATATATTCATCACTATTCTCCTCATCACATGAATCACTGAAAATGCGATACAGGTTATTTTTTAATATATTAAATGTGTTGTTGAATCCAGTGAAGTCCTTTTCCTCAGACATTTCTTTATTCTTGGTGATACCATAATCATTTTCTTCCAATAGCATGTAATTTTCATCTAATACCATATCGTTTTCGTGAAACAAAAACATATCATCCATATATTCTCCAATGCAATCGTTTTCCAACATGTTCATATTAGAATTGTCTAAAGCATTCCCTTTATTGTTCACATAATTTTTTAGAGTATTCAAATTTATTATGTTGCTAACATTATTTTTATTCAGGGAAAGGTTGTTCATGTGACTTTTTGCGTGGGGATTATTTTGGTGCGCTTCTATATCATTTTTCAGAATTTTCTTATTCGGATTATTTGCACAGTTTGCAATATTTGTGTTACTTCCACTGTTCGTAGGTATGTCTTTAATCCTGGTCTCGTTTTTATCGTTTTTCGCAATAATTTTCTGATCACTTTTGTTGTTTATATTTTTGTTGGCGCTATTATTCTTGTTTTTGACATTTTTTCTGTTGGAATGTTTGTTTTTGTTTCCTCTATTGTTTTTGATACCACTATTGTCGTTTCGATAATCGTTGCTATTGACATTGTTTTTTTTGTGATTGTTATTATCATTTTCGTTTAGGCTACAGCTTGTGTTGATTTTTAGAACATCTTCCTTGTGCTCTTCATTACTGTTAACGTTACAATCGTTTGATCCATTCTCACTACCATCATTATTTCCATAGTTCTTCTTTCCGACAACCTTGCTATGATTATTCTCAATGCACTTTTCGTATTCACGAGTATTTTCATTATTGCATACAGAGAGAACGGAAGAAATATGAGCATCAACAATTATGTCCTTCACATCGCTGGGATTAGTGACATCTACATTAACATTGGACTTTCTATAATATTCTGATAAACTACAATTTGATATAAAACTATCTTCTCCTTTTTTAATTTCTCCCTTTTTTTCTTCATTCATTTCTTCGCCATTTCTTTTGATATCCCTCCTTGTATTACTATCTAATGATAATATATGCCGTTTCTGTTCATATTTTTCAAAATTATTCGAATTATTCACAATTAGATTCATGCTATTTATATCCAATTTATTGCTTAAACTATTTTGTACTCCATTAAAATTATTTATAAAAGCATTTGCACAAGTAGTGTTTTCTTCTACTTCTAGGCTTACCCCCCCTATTTTTTCAAAATTTCGGTTATTCAACATGTGTATATTCTTATTATCGCTGTTGTTCATATGATTATTAATATTGTCGTGATTTACAGCATGATGATCATTATTATCCATGTAATGAAATTCACAATAAGCACTGCTTCTAATGTTAGGAAGTGATTTGTTATTTCGTCCATCTGCATAATAGTTCACTCCCTCGTTCAGTGGTATAATACAGTTAGCACCAGCGCCACTATCATTATTGTTCGTATTTCCAAAATATCTACTGTTTTTTTCGCATATGTTGGTTGCGATATTGCTATCACTTCCTTTATTAAAGGTATTATTTGTGGTTTCATTTTCTTTGTAATTTGTCATACCTCCATTATTATTAGCTGCATTAATGTGAACATCCTTTTTCCTCTTACCAGGCAATGCATTAATTTTATTTTGCTCGATAAAGCTATTCTTGCTGAGATTATTTGAAGTATTATTACCTATCCCATTTTTATTATTATAAACCGTATTATTATTTGAGTTATATTTTTTTATACTATTCATACTGTTCATACTATTATTTCTGCTACTGTTTGATAAATTGGTATTCATAATATTCTCATTCCCTTGGATTAGGTCAACATTTATTTTGTTTGTTCTACCATCGGATATGTTCATATTATTGATTTTCTCGTTAATTCTTAGGTCATCGCAATTTTTGTCCACTCGGTTGAACAAATTTAAACTGCTTACTTTTTCCACAGTTGATGTATTTGTATTCACATTATCTGCATCTGTACCATTGACATCCATCTTTTTTTTGTCGAAGTATGGGAATTCTTCCTGGATCAGAGGCTTGTTGTTTACGTAATGGCACATGTGATCATGGTAATGATGGGCTAGGGTTATTTTATTCATTTTTTCGTTTTATTAATGTGGTAACGAACGTGATACAAATTGGATGAAATGGATTAAATAAAGAATATTTTATACAAAAATAGGAGAAGGAAAATACTGCACACATGCACTTAAATGTTGTAGAACGTACATATACCTATATGCACTTACAATTCGGTGCCTCATTAGCATATATATATATATATATATATATATCTAATTTTACTCTATGATGGGGAAGTAAATCAAACTACCCTTCAAAACATGTGTAATTTCATTATTTGTTTACACTACAAATACTGTTCTTCATTCTAAAACACGTTCAAGAAAAAGAAAAAAAAAAAAAAAAGAAAAAGAAAAAGAAAAATGATATGTATATACTTACAAAAATGAGTAACTGAATGTAGTAAAAAATTATTAAACTTATAAAATATGGATCTATTTATGGACAAATTATTGGGATCACTGGGTACATGCTCATTCAAATAGAGCATATTACATAAGTTACACATGGGTATTCAACACATGCATACATGCATGTATGCCATGTGTAAAATATGTTGCACAGAAATAAAAAAAGAAAAATTAGTAAAGCGTATAACTTGATTTATGTATATGCTAAGCCTATAATGTAAAATTGTCTTTCCGTTTTTTTTATCGATTTCCTGTGGTATATTTTTCACTTCATTATGTATCATTACATAAAATTCTATTTACTACGTTTTTAAGCTTAAGGCCTATATACAAATCACACGATTTTACTGGATTGATGTAATAAAAAAAAGTCTATATAACACAAAATTGTTTATTAATAAGGGTAATCAAAATGATAATTGCTGAGATACAAATAAGAAACTGAAAAGAAATCAGAACAAAAATATATAACCAAATATTCCTGCGGTCGTATGGGGGCCTTAATAATGCTGTATAAACCACATAAAGATATGAATATGCATGTACGCTGGGAACACAATCCAACGTGGACACACAAATGTGCTCAAAATTTTCTATGCATAAATATATCCAATCAAGGAAAATTAAAATGTTTGGTTAAGGAAATATGTTTTCCCTTGTGTAACTCAAATGAATCCACGATGAAACATATTACATTCAAAGAAATAAAAAAAGTGCAAATACTTCTATCTGTATGAGTATATAATACGTACATAGATATATATGGGAAATGTACAACACACACTGCATTTAAAATAGAGAAAACTTTATTATAATCTAAGGGTTGTAAACCTTAATAATAAATTATGTTGTAATATTTTGTTATATACATAAAATACAACGTGGATACGCGCACGTATATATGTATGTGTACTTAAAAACATATATTGTGCTTTTATATGTGGGTTATGAGCACCCTCTACATAATAGCTGAGACACACGGTATAAATAGGAATGTGAATTTTTTTTTTTTTTTTTTTTTCTGAAAAGCTTTTCTATTAACTTAAAAGCTTACTTATATAAAATTTTATTCTAAATATGATTATACATATGCATAGATATGTATATATATTTATATATCTATACACACAGTAGTAATTGCGAACTCTACGAAAAACTTTTTCTCACAATTTTTTTTTTACTAATTTAGTTTGTATTATTAAAGTATAAAAATAATGAAGCACACACACATGTATGTACGTACATATATATATATATATATATATATATATATATATATATATATATAAACACACACGAGACGCATAACCTTGAAAATTAATAAATAGTAAAAAAAAAAAAAAAAAATGTAACTGAAACAAGAATAGTTTTGACATACGTAGAATAGTAATATACGATACACATCTATTCATGTAAAAAGACGTATAATTAAATTGTCCTAAATGCGTAAAAAAAAAAAAAAAAAATTTATGATAAGCAAGCCCTCTTGTGTAAATATATGCTGGCATCTACATATCTATTTTTTTTTTTAAAAAAAATTGTAAACTACGAACTGCAAAAAATGTTGAATGCATACATTCTTCTATTTGTGTATTAAATACAAAGTAAATCGCATAATTTGTATGTACAAACAAATATAAAAAAAATAGTGTATGTCCAAGAAATTCGAGGTGTTACTAACTTAGGATAATCAAAATGGTAACAAAAAAAAAAAAAAAAAAAAAAAAAGAGAGAATAATAATAAGGAAATAATAAAAGGATAGTAATGGAATGGTACTAATGAAATAGTAGCAATAGCATGGTAACAACAAAAACTGCGATAATAAATCATGATAAAAAAAAAAAAAATCTAATGGTGCAATAAAATACTTATCTATTAAAATATCACATGATATACTTCTTACACAAAACATACATACACAGTTGTTATGTGTTAACTTTTTCACTGTTGTGAATCCCCTACTCAAACATTAGATTTATTCTAATCGTTATTTTTTAACAAAAAAGAAAAGGGGAAAAAGAATTGGGAAAACGAAAAAAAAAAAAAAAAAAAAAAAAAAAAAAAAAAAAGTTTCACGTACAGCGCAGAATTTTAGATATTGATTTCTGAATAAGTAAATGGGGGGAAAAAAATCAGTAATTAAAGAAATGCACAAAATACGCTGTTCCAAGAAAATTTGGATGTGCGCAAATGTATGCCTGTCTGTATATATATACATATGTACATTTGTAATAAGGTAGAAGAAAAATATTCCTATACCTCTATGGATTATTTATGGGGTTTAAACATAAAGGGAAAAACTATCGTAAGATGAATGTTAATAGAACTATTCACGGGTTGCTACACAACGTAACTTTTAATGTTGGATAAATGATCAAAAAAAAAAAAAAAAAAAAAATAGAAATTCTTTACAAGACGAAAAAAAAAATAAAAAAAATTCATTTACATGTACTCAGGGTATGTGACATAAGCTGTACACCTGTGTGTCTGTACATGCATTCGTATATCCTAGTTGCCACGTAGCATTATTAAATGTCGGTAAAAACGAAAGAACGCATTAAAATAAGAAACACGTCCAAACACATGCCTGGGCAAAAAAATTGTGCGGGATGGTAGGCAAAAAATTGTATTATAACTTATTGTTCTCGCTATCTTTTATCACACTAAAAGTTTTTCACATTCTATGCACACATTGTCTGCATAAATTTATGCATATTCTCTTATAAACATATTAATTTTAACTTATTTATTTATATTTATTTAATTATGCACATACAAAAATCTATACATTTATGATGCAAAATAGTCGATCGTGTGTTGTTCGTTACAACATACGTAAAAAAAAAAAAAGAAAGGATTTTTTTTTGATTGTTTAAAAAAATATATAACAGTTTTCACAGATCAAAAATTAGAAAAATGTTATGTGTTTCTCCATAAACATGGTAAGTTCTACATGAAGCCAAAATGTGTCACATTTTTTTTGTTTTTTAAGTACATGTGATATGTGCTTAATGGTTGTTACATACACTCATTTGTATTATATACCTGTATAACTCCTTCGATGAAAGTAAATATATATATATATATATATATATGCGTAAACATGCAAGCAATATCTTATGAACTTGAGCGCTAAATAAAAAGTTTCCGATGTTCATAAAACAGGATGAGCGCATATAGGATCATAAATAAAGCTACTTTATAATAAAAAAAAAATTAGATGCTTGCTTGAATGTATATATATATGCAATATATGCTCGCACGGGTGTTAAAAAATAGGACTGAACAATGTATATTCATGTACATATGTGCCAGCACATACAAACATTTATATAGGCTTAAACACGAACATGTGTTACGCTAGGTTGTGCAACTGTTCAATTAAAATACGTCACAAAAGTGTAGAGTGCACCTATTACATGTACACTGCTGGGTGTGAATCGTGTGAGTTTTTTCTTTTTTTCAAATGGTAGAATTTTCAATTATGAAATATACAAAATTTTATTTACACAAATTTTTTTCACTAATTCTTGTGCAGAAACTTATATTTATGCATTAAGGATATATATATGCATAATATGTATATAAACATAAACACGCACAATGTGGGGTGTAAAAAAAGAGCACATGCGAAAATGTAGATGTTAAACTTTACAACACACAATATGTTGTTTGACAAAAAATAAGATCAAAGTTATACAAAGCGTGAACATATGGACTTGCTTTTCTATGAATTTAATGGATAATATAATAATAAAAAAAAAAAAAGAAAAAAAAAAGCATAACTTTTAAACATTCCAACGTTAAAATTTATGCATATATAAAAAAAAGTACCTTCTCCCCCTAGGAAGGTAAAAAGATTGGTTACTGCCACTACAATATGAATATACAATGTTGTGATGATGGTATATTAATCGAGTATTCTGTATATCATGGATAAACCCATGACTTAAAAGGTATAAATATATATGCCCTAGTATTCCACGGCATTTCGTAATAAAGCAAATCTTAATATACACGTGTTACGTGCTGAGGGACATACCTAAATGCATATATATAATGTATGAAAAATCCTACAAGTTAAATTTTCATGTTATGCGCAAAATAAAAAAAAACACATACGACAATTATTACATTGTGAAAACACATACCCTATTCTTTTATTTATGTAAAAAATTTGTAAGAAATTATATATTATATTTTCTTATTTTACTGTATATTTTTATGATAAAAAAACTGTTGTAAATAAAACGTTCCAACTTTTTGGCGTTTGAAGGAAATATAGTGGTAAAATGGTGAAAATAAGAATATATAAAAATAGGGAAATATAATGAAAAGGAAAAAAAAAAAAAAAAATAAAAAATAAAAAAAATAATACTTAAATGTAAAATAATAAAAGTGTGAAAATAAAAATAAAAAAATAGATAAAATTTTATAAAAATGGGGACAAAAAAATTTTTTTTTTATAAAATGACATCATGTAAGTACAAACATATGAAGCACATTAATTAATAAATATGTACAGAAATGGGTAATATATAATAATAGCATATTTTTTTAGAGCTATATTTCTTCCTTCATTTTTTATTTCCTTTGTCAGGAGTACAGTTAAAAAAAAATGTACTACATGTTATGGGAAAAAAAAAAAAAAAAAAAAAAAAAAAGTACATACGGCATATGTATAGCAAAAATTTAATGGTTTTATTTAAATGTAGAGTTAGTATATATACAAAAAAAAAAAAAAAAAAAATTCTGAACTGTTCATAAAAAACGCGTCATCTAGTTATGGTTATAGGTAGCTAATTAAACAACAGTAATATGTAACAAGCCCTTTTTTTTTTTTTTTTTTTTGTGTGCAATAAAAATACAATTTCAATGTGTATATAATTTGGTACAAATTATTTTTATAATATATTTCTAAAATGGACCTTTTTTTTTTTTTTTTTTTTTTTTTTTATGACATACAAAAAAGGTACATAAGGAAGACATGGCCTAGTGATTTTTGGTAATTTCTTTACAACATGGTGCCGTTTCCTTATTTCCATAAAATCATGTTAAGCCGATTTCCTTCATTTCTGCATGTTCATTTAGTTATAATAATGTGTTAAATAAATGTGAAATGGGAAATATTTGAAACAAAAAGGGAAGTAGGAAAAAATAAAAAAGAAAAAAAAAAATACATAAGCGTGGTACACATAAAAATATAATATGTAAATATAAACAACGATGAGCTAAAGTTAGCCAAAAAATATAGAATATGAGGATATTCCTTGTGGAAAAAAGAAAAAAATTAAAAATGTAACGAAAATTTTGACAAACAAAAGGGAAAATGAATAATATAGCTTTGAACTTTTAGACCTTTTTTTTTTTTTTTTTTTTTTTTTTTTTTTGTCACCCTTTGTCATGTAGAATACGTACATTTCATTACTGGAAAAAAAAATGCATACTTATATTTTGTCATTTGTGAAAATGTGCTTTTTTTTTTTTTTTTTTTTTTTTTTGCGTACATGCTTAAAATATATGAAGTTACCATTATGCATAAGTGCACCATTTTAATATACGAGTAAAATGCTCAACCATTTTCTTTCTACAAGTGGCTTTGGTGTAGTTACATGAAGACCACATTTTCGACATTTATAAAATTGCCACTTTTTTTTTATAAAGATTAAGTTTTTCGCGATCCCCAAGTGTTGGTGGGGAAATTGTCCCATGTAGAAAAAACTTTTAAATATATTCACATAAATAAACTGACATTAATTGAAATGTATGTATATATATAACGTACAAGTAATATATTTTTTTCATGTTTTTATTTATTGTCATCTAAATATTTATGGCACCATAGTAAATTAAGGAACAAAAATATGCTTGTTAATGTTGCATTTTAATGTTGATACTTGGAACGTATTATATTAACACATAATTACTTCGCCTTGGACAATGTTTCGTTTAGTTATGTCTACGAAACCACGTTACCCTTTTGCGATAGTTATTTCGTTTTACCATTGTCCTGACATACACATATATACATATATGTATATATGTATGTATGAATACACTATAAATGTATAAGCATTGTACCTAAAGAATAAGTCACGGGGAATACAATTTCTTTTCCGCAAATTTAGTGTTCAACCATTAGTACGAAAAATTTATTAAAGGGATAATTTATATGGAAAGAAAAAAAAAAATTTATCATTACAAATTCTCCATTGATATAAATTATTTGTTGTAATTTTAAGCATCACACAATAACCATTTCCCAAGTTTGACCAAAGGGCATCAAAAATATGTTGAATAAGAAACTAATTACGATAACTTTGAATGAGTCTCTCCTTTTTGTTCCACTGTAATAATGCGTGAAAACTCTGCAGCATATCCCTAAATGAATCAGCCTTAAAAATATTTTCCTAATTCACCTTCATAACAAAATTGTGAATAGTAGCGTAAATAGGTGGAATAACCCAAAAGTTTATGCGAAATAAATGTGCGCCTAAACAACATAGATGTACAGATGCGCACAAACATGTGCCAATGAATGTCAAACCGAGATATTATGTAGGTGTATACGTACAAACATATATTAATTATGGCAAAAGAAGGGGGTAGGAGGGTGACATATGAAAGCTTTACCTTTTTCAGAATATTCCACGGAGCACTTGTCCTTGACACATGTATCCAAAAACGGCATTTTACAACAACAATATTCTGTTATTTAAATCCAAGTTTTAACCATTTAAAATGGGTTAGGTTGTGTAAAATAGCATGTTATATGTACTATATCAATTTGTTTATCGTTTTCAAACAAAAAAAGGAGGAATCAACGCACAAATGGATTGGGATTGTTAAACATGTGCTATAATTAAAGCTTTGCAAAAAAATATGCACACGCACGCTAAGAGGTAAATATATATATATATGTTACACGTATAGCATCGTACTAACAAAAAAAAAAGAAAAAAAAAATTTACTACCATACTTCAAAGAAATTCGAAAACACAAAATTGGTTTTCATATTTGATGATTTAAAAAAGAAAAACAAAAAAAGAGGATTAAAAAAAAAATGAAATAAAATAACAATAAATAAGTACATTTTCATAAACTAGTGTTTTCTGCCTTGAAATATAGTTGGAGTTGCTAATGGTTCGCTAAAAAACAAATCAAAACAGTTGTCTTCCTTTAATGTTGTTGATTCATTACAAAAAAAGTCAAATTTTATGTTCGTTTCATTTTTACTTAATGTATCTCCTTCTATTTTACCCTCTGGTTCATTTTTCGGATTAATGCATACACCATTTAAGGCCATATTACGAAGATGATGTTCGTTGTCACAGTCACTTTTGTTATTTTTTTCTAACGACATTTGAGTACCTTGATTATTTTCATGTTCTTTAAAAAACTCATCTGTAGGGGATTCATCCGATTTGTTTAAAATGTGGTTATTGCCTCCGTATTGTTTGTTATATTGGGATGTTACTTGGTCGCTTTCTCCATTTTTATGCTTCTCTTTGTCTTTGAAAGAGGCTTGAACAATTTTGTTAATATTTTCGAATTTATTTTTTCCAAATACTAATGTGTTACTTTCATTTTCTACATACAATTCGTTGTCTTCGAAAAAAATGTCTTCACTTATGGGACTCGAATGGGTGACAAAATTTTTTTCTCCTGTTCCACTTTTGGTTTCGTTGTCCTTATTTTCCATTTGTTTTGAATTCATCTCTTTAATATTTGTTCCTTCCGAACATTGGTTTACTTCGAAGGTAACGAAAGGATTACATTTTTTTTTATACTCGGGACCGTTTTCTTCTTCAAAATGATTTCTTCCTTTTTTCATTTTGTTTCTTAAATGAAATGATTGTTCTGTATTTGGAAATTTTGACTTTTTAAAAGCCACTTGTGAAAATTTTTGTGGGTACCATATACTACTGGATCCCAAGAAAGGGTTCCCTTTTGATCGTTCTTTATTATTCTGTTTTAACTGTTTACGTGTTTGAAGGGACAGCAAATCATTGTTTTCTTGGATTTCCTGCTTAATTTTAAATATCAAAGAATTTGAGGAATCAAGAATGTTGTAACTAACTCTACAATTATTTTCAGAATTCTTTCCTTCGAATTCTTTACTTGTTAAGTAGGTTTGCATTTTATCATCTCTGAGGTTATAAAAAAGGTTATCTGCATTTGTGTTAAATTTGTTAAAAATGGAATAATTTTCTTGAGAATCCAATTCGTTCTCTTGATTAATTAGATAACTGTCTAATTTTCTCATTTTTTCTTCCTTATATTTTTCTTCCTTTTTTTTCATTTCCAATTTTTTAAAAACATTTTTTTTCTTTTTCTTATTTTTTTTATTAATAGTTTTTTGCGTCTTGGGGTTTAACCGATGCAGGATAGTCGTTTTGTATTTCTCGGCTAAGTTTCGAATTAAGGAAATTCCCTTCTCCAGCTTCTTATCCATTTTGTTATTGCTTTATTTTAAACTCTTTCAACCATTTCATGCGACATTTGCACAGTTTCTTCTGGTATGACATTAAGGATTCAGTAAATTTTGTTATTTCTGTTTTATTCCCTTTTTACAAGTTAATATTTTCAAACCTTTTTTTCCCGATCATCCGTCATGTCAATCGTTCGTGTTATTAATATTATTTTGTGTTTTCTTTTTGTTCGAAGGTTTGGATGTTTTTGGAGTTTGTATTTTTTGCCAATTTGTGTGTTTTTGGTGTTATATATTATGCGTTATCCGCTTTTTTTTTTTTTTTTTTTTTTTTTTTATTTTTTTTTTGTCACTTTTTTTTTATGTTTTTTATTTTTCAAACCTTTTTTTCCCGATCATCCGTCATGTCAATCGTTCGTGTTATTAATATTATTTTGTGTTTTCTTTTTGTTCGAAGGTTTGGATGTTTTTGGAGTTTGTATTTTTTGCCAATTTGTGTGTTTTTGGTGTTATATATTATGCGTTATCCGCTTTTTTTTTTTTTTTTTTTTTTTTTTCATTCATTTCTGGCACATTTTTTTTCATTTTTTCCATTTTTTTCACTTTAGTTTTTTTTTTTTTTTTTTTTTTTTTTTTTTTTTTTTTTTTTTTTTTTTTTTTTTTCATTCATTTCTGGCTCATTTCTTTGCATGTATGCCATGTTTCGCACTTAAGTTTTTTTGTTTTTTTTTTTTCTGAACATGTTTCACTTTTTTATTTTTTAATTTTTCCTTTTAATGGTATCTTTTTCAAGAACACTTCTACTCACACCCTAACCCGCGAAGGTTTCGCAAATGTTTGCATATTCTGATGGAAATAATTTTATTACATCCTCGAAAAGCTTGTTTCTGCACAAGTTAAAAAAAAAAAAAAAAAAAAAAAATTGTAAAAAAGAGGTGAGTCATATGCCACATTTTTTTTTTTTTTTACTTTTTTTTAGCACATTTCAAGGAAAAAAACCAAACAAACATGTAGAAAACAAATTTTATGGCACAATAGAAAGAGGAGAGTTTCTTTTTTTATTCCATTTTTTCCCTTTTTTTATTTTTTTTGCAACAATCGATCCTTTTCTTCAACCAATTTGGATTAAAACTCTAATCATAGAATCAAGCAAATATGCTTATTCAAAAAGCAAAAAAACAATTCTACAATTAAAAAATGCAAAGGATATTTCTAATAAAGGGGAGAAAAAAAAGGAAATGCAATTTCTCCAACTTGCTTTTTATTTATTAATATCAACGTTTTTGCCAACATTGATAAATGTAAAAAAAAAAAAAAAAAGTAGCAAAGAAGTAGCACAATAAAAGTAGAAAAAGAAAGCACGCGCACACACATATATACACACACACATGCACACACATTTTTTAAAAAAGATATTGCAGAAAAAGAGTAATCAGCAGGCAAAATGTTGAAAATGCTTAAATTGACATAGTTCCTTGGTAATGTGTACAACTTTCAAAGTTACCTGTGCTCTGCACTTGTTGCCTTACAGGGATACATATTTTTTATAACGATTTACACATTGGAAGCGAAAAACATTGCGTACATTTATTCATTACATTATATTACGCTTTTTTTTTTTTTTTTTTTTTTTTTTTTTTCTGTGCCCAGTCAGGTAAATGAAACCCATTTATTTTCCTCCCATTTGGAAACAACATCTCCCTTATGGAGCATTTAAGTAAGGCCAAAAAAAAAAAAGAAAAACAAATTTTATAGAAGTATTTGACAAAAGTATACATCTCTTGGATAGGAAATATTTTTACCATGGAAGATCCATATGACAGTTTTGTCATTGCACCATTATATCCCTTTATTTTATTAGCTATTTTATTTTATTTTTAATATATGTCTTCTTCCCCATTTAACAGGTAATTTGGTAACGGGTGCCTTGGCTGGAATTGCTGTAGACACCGTGCTATATCCTATTGACAGCATAAAAACAAATATCCAAGCAAAAAAATCATTATCAGTTTATGATATAAAAAAGTTGTATACTGGAATTTTACCAACACTAGTTGGCACAGTCCCAGCTAGTGCTTTTTTTTATTGCTTCTATGAATTATCCAAAAAATTATTAACAGGTAGTATCATTTTATCTTGTTTTATTTTTTCCTACATATCATTTTTCGCATTTAAAATTAGAATTTAAGAAAAAAAAAAAAAAATAATAATATATATATATATATATATATATCGAAATGAGACTTTGTCCAATTTGGTATTCTTAAAATAGTAAGCCTTTGCACATCAGTGACCTGTAGCATTCACCAAATGGTTCTCATTTCATTGTTTGGGTTACTAAACAAAAGTCGTGGTATCAAAATATAGTTGTGAACAAATTGATAATTAAACCTTGTCAAAGGAGTAAAGACCCATGCTCTTTTTTTTTTTTTTTTTTTTTTTTTTTTGCCTGATGTGTGCGAAGAGAAGAATGAAAATATTAGCAAAACAAGCTTGTATTTAATTTCAACAAGTGTAGCGGAAATTACAGCCGGTGCAGTGAGGTATGAGAAAAAAAAAAAAAAAAAAAGGAAGGAAAATAAAAGGAAGAAATAAAAAAGAAAAACTGGTTGTTCATAACAATAACAACACAAGAAAAAATTCTTTTTCTTAATAGGTTTCCATTTGAAATAGTGAAACAGAATATGCAAGTGTCTGGTACTAGTTCCTTGATAAACACGATAAACCAGATTACTAAAAGAGAAGGCTTGTTATCTTTTTTGGGAAAAAGCTATTTTGTTTTGATTCTTAGGGAAATTCCATTTGACTGTATTCAGTACTTTTTATGGGAGACTTTTAAGGAAAAGGCAAAAAGAGGTATTGCACATACGGAAAACAATGTTCAAGAAATACCAAAAGACAAATACTTTAAAATTACGTATACATATTTATATGTATATATATTTGTTTATTTATTTATTTATTTATTTTATTATTGTTTTTTTTTTTTTTTTTTCGTTTTTAAAGATTTCAGCAAATTTTCCAATAAATACCCATCCATAAAATCAGCAATATGTGGTGGACTTGCAGGTTTGTAAAAATTGAAATATGGAGAAATCCTCTTATAAACACATATATATAGATATATTTTGATTTAACATTTGCACTGTTTCATGCACACTACACATTGTTTCTTTGCAAAAAAGAAAAAGAAAATGAAAGATTCAAAACAACACTCGCATTTTTGAACTTTATGTTTTTCAGGAGGAATAGCGGGATTTTTAACAACTCCCTTGGATGTTATAAAATCTAGACAAATTATATATGTATGAAACTAAAATTTGGAGCGTTTGCAATAAATATGTGAATGTGTGAATAGATTTATTGTGTGTACATCATCGGCGTTTCTTCCCATTTGACCTACGTTAATGCCAATTGAAATGTGCTTAAAGCATGTTTTACATTAAAAAGCATGAATGAAAATAAAAATAAAAATGAAAATTCGTAACAAACAGAACCAAACCAAAACAAACCAAATTATTCAGGGAAAGACCTATATAGAAACGGTTACAGAATTATCGGAAGAAGGATTTATGGCATTCTATAAAGGATGTTACTTTAGGTCCCTTTATTTATTTTTAGGGGGCCTTATATTTTTTGGATCTCTTAGATTTTTCTCTTTTAAAAAAGATTAGTAAACGGAATATATTAATTTATACACGTCCCTATTACACAATTCCTGATATTTTAAAAAAAGTAAAAAAGATGCTATATTTTTGATAAAAATGTTTCAGTTTATTAGAGAATTTTCGCATAGTGTGTGTATGCTATATTTGAAATTATTTTTCTTTTAATATTTTATTTCTGGCTCTCAATTTTTTTTTTTTTTTTTTTCTGATTATCCAAAATGATACATTATAATTTGAACCCTACTTAAATTTCATTTATTACATATATAAGCTGCATCTTTAGAATAATAAATCTCTTTGGCATTCACACTTTTTAACTTGTTATCATTGTTATTAATATTATTATTTTATTTCTTTTACAACGGGAGGTTTTCAACGTTTTTAAAAGAATCAGGTCATATTTATGTTGTCTTTATTCGTTTGCCGATGCTGTACTATTAGCCATACAGCTGCAAGTTATATATTTATTTTATTTTATTTTTTTTTTGAGGCACTGAATGAGATTCTTTACGAATTTCCCTCCCCCCATCCCCCTTTTTTTGAGGAACTGAATGAGATTTTTTACAAATTTCCCTCCCCCCACCCCCCCAAAAAAAAAAAAAAAAAAAAAAAAAAAAACGGATAAAGTAGAAATAATAATATTTTGACGCTTATATGGTTATATATATTATTCACACATTTTTTTTATCTTTTCTCATTTTATGCATTAAACGTTTTATTTGTCCTGTCATAAGTGCTTCTCTTGTTCTACAACTTGGTGGGTTCATTATTCATTTTTCCTTTTTTTATTTTTTCCTCCTCTCTTTCTAATTGCAAAATGTATATGTAGGTATAATCTATGTACCTAAGTCCATGATACAACTTTTATCTTCTAAGTATTATTGTTTTTCCATTGAAAAAATGCGGACAAAAATTTAACAACACATAGTGTGTATGACAAATTTGAAAAAAAAAAAAAAATAATTCCTGAAAAAGGTGCATTCCTCTAATGTGACACTTCTACGATATTGTATTTACATTTTTGAGAGAAAAAATTTTCGAAGAAATAATTTTTGATAATAAATGTTAACCCAAATTAAGGTGGACAATTCTGAAATTCTTTTTTTTTTACATATAATTTTCACCCATGTTCTTAAAAAGAAAAAGGTATTATATGCCCTCTCCCCACTGTTCCCCTACTCACAAATTGTTGGCAATCTAGGATAATACTATATAATGGGTATGTATAGCAAAGGTAAAAAAATTCAAGATAAAAAAAAGAAAAAAAAAATATTTTTATTTCTACGAGATGTGCATAAATACTATCACAAATTTATGTAAACATAAGAAAACTCTACATTTTGCTTCAGGAAGGGGAGAAACAAAAAAAAAAAAAAATAAAATAAAATAAAATATAAATAAAAAATACATAAATGTAACCAGAAGGGGTAATATAAAATAATTTTTTTTTTTTTTTTTTTATGGTAACTGCACATATCTTAGCAATATTACTAAGAATCTTTAAAATGCACATTTTGCTCATATGGGCAATAAAATTATATAAAAAAAATTCACATCGATAAGCCTGAATCACTGTGCAGAACGCATTGTTTTTATTTTGAAATGAAGTTATCATGTAGACATTGAGCCATCCCTTGAAAAAAGAAAAAAAAAAAAAAAAAAAAGAGAAAGAGAAAGAGAAAGAAGAAGAGGAAGAAGAAGGGGATGAGGAAGATAAATCTATCCACTGAACAAACACAATGGCAAATATGCACATGCGATATTCAGTATGCAATATGTTTTATGTATTGTGCTTAACTATTTAGTGTGCAGTGGGCAAATTAACGTGCACAATTATATAAGTGGAAAAAACCTGCAAGAGATTGTGCACACACTTTTTTTTTTTTTTTTTTTTTTTTTTTTTTTGAAGGTGTAAATTTAAACCCTATTACTTTCTCATATGAGAAAAGTAGGATGATATTATGAAAAGTGAATTATCGATTATTCCATAAGTACTTTTGAAGCGCTGCAATTCTTATTTTGTTTGTTTGATTTTTTTTTTTTTTTTTTTTTATTTAAACCTGATGGAAAAATATAATCCTTTCCCAAGGCCATACTTTAAAAATAAGTGCATACCTTTAAAAGAGCTTATATAGATATACGCATTAGCTTAGCAGATCAACTAAAAGAACCAACTGTGAGGACCGAAGGAACGGGCGTCACATAATATATATCCAAACATACATCATGCAAAATGGAGGAAGATTCATTTAAGAACAGATTGCTTAAACGTAATATCGACATATGGATAGAAAAATATAGACCTGAGTACCTTGATGATGTAGTAGGAAACCCCTTTGTCATAAATACATTAAAAAGTATTATCGTGTCTGGGAATATGCCTAACTTGCTCTTAGCTGTAAGGATTTTTTCTTTTTTTTATCATTGATTTGTGTTTGTGTAATACATGTATAAATGTGTCCTGCTCTCGTCACTTCCTATCTGCGTTAACGGAATCAACATCTTGTGCATTTTTAATTTTTATTTTAATTTTTTTTCAAAATGTTAATTAAAAATAGTGCGTTTGCAATGCTAATATATTTTTAATTCCCCACCTACACCCAAGTGGCAGCACGTTTTGTGGTCCTTCCCATATGTACTACTATTTTCATTTTTTTTTGTTGTTTTCATTCCACGTCTTCTTGCACAATTGAGATGACAAACATAAGTTCTAATTGTGTGCAACAAGAATATTGTGTCTGTTTTGTTTCTATTTGCTTTGTTACGGATTTTTTCCAATTTTTTTTTTTTTTTATTATTTTTCCAGCTGTTTGTACCTATTCTGACATTGCACTTTTCCTCCTATTTTTTGCAGGGTGCCCCGGGGACAGGAAAGACGACGAGCATCCTTTGTCTAGCTAGCGAAATGTTAGGAAGTCAGGCGAAGAAAGCGGTTCTAGAATTAAATGCGTCAGATGATAGAGGAATTAATGTAATAAGAGACAGAATAAAAAGTTTTGCAAAAGAAGTTATAAGTTTACCCCCAGGAAAACATAAAATTATCATATTAGATGAAGTAGATTCTATGACAACAGCAGCTCAACAATCATTAAGAAGAATTATGGAATTATATTCTGATACCACACGATTTGCATTAGCTTGTAACCAATCAGAGAAAATAATAGATGCACTTCAAAGTAGATGCGCAATCATAAGATATTTCAAGTTATCAGATGATCAAGTTTTAAAAAGAATTGTAAAAATTTGCGAACTTGAAAACATCAAGTATACAGATGATGGATTAGAAACTCTTACTTTCATAGCAGATGGAGATTTAAGAAAAGCAGTGAATTGCTTACAGTCAACGTATGCTGGATTAGAGGTTATAAATAAAGAAAATGTTTTAAACATATGTGATATTCCTTCCCCAGAAAGAGTAGAGAACTTGTTAAAATACTGTATCAGTAGTGAATGGAAAAAAGCACATGACATTGCTTACGATATGATACGAGAAGGACACACCCCTTTTGATGTTGTATTGACATCATCAAATGTTTTAAGGAGATATGATTTGGGTTCTGAGACTCTACAGATAGAGTTCTTAAAAATTGGAGCCATGGCTTGTAACACCATGGCTAGTGGATTGGCTACTGTAATACAACTGGATAAATTACTAGCTGATTGGTGTATGGCTGCCAAAGCACTTAGAGCTAAGTGTTAGATTGGAAAAAAGAATAAAGAGACCAAGAAATGTGCATACCCAAGAATGACACATTCAAATTAAAAAATATCAGGGGGTGGGGGGGAGGGAAAAAAAAAAAAGGATACACATACAATAAGAAGTATGAACACAACAAGAGAATTCTATATATTCCTTGTTAGAAGATCCATTTTGAAAATAGCTCAATAGATGCGTAAAAAAAAAAAGGGGTGGTGTGTGATAATCTGAAGCATGGAGTGTGTGGGGGAGAGGGGTTTACCTCTACTATTTTTATTACGTTATTTTATTATGTCATTTTATTACTTCATTTATTACTTCATTTTATTACTTCATTTTATTACTTCATTTTATTACTTCATTTTATTACTTCATTTTATTACGTTATTATCATTATTATTTATTTTTTATTTTATTTTGCTTTATTTTTCCCTCCTCCCTATGCATGTTTCCTGTATCTCTTCGCTCGGGAATACAGCCGGAAAAATTGTTATTCCTTTTCTTATTCCATTTCAGACACACGAACACAAAAATTATGAATAAATTAATTAGTTACATATATACATGTTTTTAATTTTAAAAATGAATAAGGAGAACGGCACAAATGTTTATAAGATACATAAGAAATCTTCACTTTTTACACACATGCACGTATCATGCTATGCTACACAAGCAGCAGCTGCTGTATTCCCTTCTTACATGGACACAGGGATACACAAAATGTGGTTTAAACAAAAGTTTGATGAATAGATGCACACGGGGACATGTGTCCTGTACATTACGGAATTGGCTGTGTGTTTGGGTAAAAAAAGGAACATATCATAGTATAACAGAATAGCAAAAAATAGAATAGAAAAAAATAAAATAGCGTAAAATATAATGGCATAAAATGGAATAGCGTAAAATATAATGGCATAAAATGGAATAGCGTAAAATATAATGGCATAAAATGGAATAGCGTAAAATATAATGGCATAAAATGGAATAGCGTAAAATATAATGGCGTAAAATATAATGGCGTAAAATAGAATAGTACAAAATAGATTAATATAAAAACAAAACAAAACACGCATTCGTTATGCATGTTTATCAACAGTTTGACAACACATCTACATATGTGTGTCTCTGTGTGCGTGTGTACGTATGTATATACACCTGACTAGACATTCTTGTGTCGTTTATGTGTACTCACTACCCCCCCCCCCCTGATTATTCTTATAGCTAGTTCTGTGGTCACTCCTCCAGGAACCACTTCTTCTTCTCTTTCGTAATATATACTTTTTGTAGATGTAACTTTTCAATCGTTTTCCATATATGGGGGGAAGTTTGGAGGGATCAGCCACATCGATCTCAGGTTCCTTTCTGAGCTGATTTTCATAAGCCATTTCAGTTAACATAAATCCGTTCGTTTTATTTTTAACATAATGTTGTGGAAGTATTTTTGATTTGTAAGTTTCATTATTATTCCCATTGTTTTGCTGATAATTCCAATTTTTTTTCTTGTTGTAATTTTGGGCCCCATTTTTCCCCACATTTTTATTTATCATTTTATTTGTACCAATCTTTTTCCTTTTTAAGAACAAGTTTTGCAACCTATCTTTAATTAATTTATGTGGTACTACATGTGTGTTGAAATATTTTATAATTTTGTTAATATGCTCTTTCTCTTGTATATTTAAATTAAAATATTCCTTCAGTTCCTTCGATTTTAAAGACTGGTATAGAATTTCCTTCTGTATAAAATATTTCACCTTTTTTTTGGTACATTTATTTAGAACAGATTCTACACGATATCTATACATCTCTACTTTATTAATTGAAACAGATTTTTTATTCATATTACATATATTTTTATCGCTTATTGTGTTTACCATCTTTTTTTCTCTATCTTCATTTTGGTTAATGAAGGATATACTAATCCCTTTTCTGTTCAACCTGCATGTTCTTCCCACACGATGAATAAATGTTTTTGTATTCAATGGCATGTCGAAATTAACTACGCATTGCACGTCACGGAAATCTAGTCCCCGGTTGTATAGGAAATCTTTTTCTTCTCCAGAAGATCCATCTGAATTTTGCTCTCCATCTTCACACGAATCTGTGTCTGAATTTTGCTCTTCATCTTCACACGAATCTGTGTCTGGATTTTGTTCTCCATCTTTACACGAATCTGTGTCTGAAAATTGCTCTCCATCTTTACACGAATCTGTGTCTGAAAATTGCTCTCCATCTTTACACGAATCTGTGTCTGAAAAGTGCTCTCCATCTTTACACGAATCTGTGTCTGGATTTTGCACTCCATCTTCAGTGTCACCTGCATAAATGTTTCGAATTTCCTCTTTTGTAAATGAAATAGTCTCACTTCTATTGGTCTTGCATGAAACGATATCTTTGATGGATAAATTTTCTTCCGTGATACTAGAATGGTTCGATTTCGGAACTGAATTATCTGTAATCAAGTTTCTCTTCTTATTCATTTTTCCTGCTGTGTTTTTCTCATATTGTGGACATATCAAAAAGAACATTTTAAAATTATTAAAAGCAGAAATAATATTTTGTCTTACCAAAATGGGATGATTTGGATTAAGAATGGAACATGGAATATCAAAGTATGTTAAAAAAATTTTTATTTTGTATGCATCGTGTATGGTCGAAGTAAAAATAATGGATTTGTGCAAAATAATTTTATCATTTATTAGATTATACAAGTAAATAAATTTTGTTACTTCATCTGGGTACAAATAGTAAAATGATGTACCTATAAATTTTTTATCATTGTAACTTTCGCATGTTCTTGGTGAAATGACAACATCATCTGTGTTATGGCTTCTGGTAATCGAATGGGTATCCATAGGAGGTGCGTTAGTCTTGATACAGTTATCATGATGATCTGAGATATGTTTATCGTCTCTCTGTTTATTAAAATTTACTCCATTACCAAGCACCGTGGTTATGCTAGCAATAGTACGAGTAGGTGAAGGGTTGATTTTTTTTTCCATTTCTGTTGTTAAAAATACAGGCTCATGTAAAAAAAGTTTTGTTTTCCCTATGATATTATTTCCTATAGTGGCAGATGCCATAATAATTTGATATTTTTTGGAATAATTTTTTGGAAAGTGGTATCTCGCTAAAAGGTTCATCCATTTTTGAAATCCTTTTGAATGCAATATATCTGCTTCATCTACGACAAGTATTTTTAAATTTGATAATATATCTAAATTATTTTTTCTTTTACATTCAACAATATGATTATATAAATGTCTTGGTGTACTAACTAACACACTGGGATGTTCATAAAAGGTTTTACCTATATTGTGATTAACTGATAAAATGTCTTTCAGGTAGCTACATAATTTATGTGTTATTTCATATATTTGTAAACATAATTCTTCTGTTGGTGCAAGGATTATACCTTTATAAAAAAATTTTAAAGATTCCTTTTCGTTTAAATTTGATTTAATTATATTCTGAACAAGTGGAATCAGATATGCCATAGTTTTACCTGACCCTGTTTTGGAACTTATAATAACATCACTTCCTTTCAGTACATATGGTATCGCTAGTTTTTGAATTTTCGTTGGGTGTTGAAACTTAAACATGTGCAGTATTGACTTTCTCAATCTTACATCTAAAAGGATGTTTTCAAAATCGAGGAAATTATTGCTTTTGTCGAAGTGATCATCATCTTTCCTTCTGACCTGCGCGTCATTTTCGTTTCTTTGTTCTTGGTTACACTGCTCCGCCTTGTCTGGGCATGTTGGTTCTGCTTCGTTTGGGGATGTTGGTTCTGCTTCGTTTGGGCATGTTGGCTCTGCTTCTTCTTCACAATTTTCGTTCGCTCTCATTTTGTCCATCCTCAACCTTGGCATAATTTTAGATGTGCCTTTTTATGCCTAGCCGCTTTGGAGGCACAAACAAAGACTTCTTGTGATATGTTTAGTTCTCTGATTGTATATGTACGGAGTAACTGTTCATAACCACAAATGAGTTATACATAAAAATTCATGCATACATTCATGCGTATAGAGGTTTAAAGGGCCATGCTATTAGCTTATCTCTTAGCTTTTCTTATTTATTCTCAGATTTATTTGCATAATTTAGTACGTCCACGTGAGCACCTTTTTCTCTGCGTTACGTACTATAATTTCATTGAATATGCTTTTTCCACCTTTTTCCCCTAATTTTTATGCTTCGCCATCGATAATGTTTTTGTTTTGTTTTATTTATTTTATTTTTTATATTTTATTTATTTATTTATTTTATTTTATTTATTTTTCGTATTTTTTTTTTTTTCCCCCCTTTCACTTGTAACCACGTGTAGGGGCATTTTCATGAAGATCTTGGAGAGGGGAATAAAAAAAAATACATAAAAGCGAAACGCGTCACAAGAAAAAAAAAAAAAAAATAAAATAATAATAAATAAATAAATAAATGAATGAATAAATGAATGAATAAATGAATGAATAAATGAATAAATAAATAAAGCAGCAAAAGATGCCAAGAAGTAACGAACAAAAAACCGAGAAAATAAAAATATCCTCAATAAAATTTATAGGGATATAACAAAAAACGGACTTTGGAATTTGTGTTTGCTCCATAATAATAGCACCCACGTATGGTCTCGTGTATGCTAATATGTGTATATTTTTCTTCTTTTTTTTTTTTTTTTTTTTTTTTTGCCACTTAATGGTAAATAAAAATAGCACTTTTATATCTGTTCGCTATGCGAGAGTGATTTCTCATCTCAAATATGTCACGACGTAGAGTAAATAAAAATACATATTATACACATATGTACATATATCTACGTATGTATAAATAGCTAAATGCTAACATTAGGGATAATGTAACCCTTAAAAATAGAAAAAAAAAATAGTGTCGGGCAAGCTGAATACGAAAATAAGGGCGTTTTTTTTTTTTTATTCTTTTTTTCCGACAACAATAATTTGGTACCCCACGAATATTTTTATTTCATTGCCATTTTTTGAGAATTTATTGCTACATTTTTCGCGAATTTATGCTACATTTTTTGCAAATTTATTGCTACATTTTTTGCAAATTTATTGCTACATTTTTTGCAAATTTATTGCTACATTTTTTGCAAATTTATTGCTACATTTTTTGCAAATTTATTGCTACATTTTTTGCAAATTTATTGCTACATTTTTTGCAAATTTATTGCTACATTTTTTGTAATTTTTTTGCGAATTTTTTTTTTCCCTTGCCGTTCTTCCATGTTCCTGTTTTCTCCTGGTTGGTTGATTTACTCTTTATGCTTAACTACTAAATCCAAATAAGATACTTAGAGACAGAGCAAAACAATTTCCACAAAGATGAAGAGTGTACTGCCTCTGTGTTAAGAAATTTGGAGATATTCCATAAGCAACAACTTGTGCTAGTAACCAAACATTCGTTTTATTTGCTTTATTTGCTTTACTCGCTTTACACGCTTTTTTTTTTTTTTTTTTTTTATTTTATTTTTTTCACGTCGTTTAATTCTGTCTTGTTTTCTTCGTCTTTATTGTTTCTGTAATTTACACGGAGATATACGAAGATATACATTCTGGTATGGGGATTTAAACTCAGGTGTAAGCACGCATAGATGAAAAGTTTTTCATAGATTAATAAAATGTAAGTACGTAGGGTATAATTTCGAGCCATAGCATTTTTTTCTTTATTTTTTTTTTTTTTTGGCCGTGTAAACCCGGCATATGAGGGTTTTGTGTATGTTAACTAAAAATGACACAAATGTGTGGGTACACTTATAAGCGTATGCATACATAATGGGGAACCCAAACTTACCACTCGCGAAGGCATAAATTGTTTTATATATATTTTTTTTTTTTTTTTTTTTTTTTTTGCCTTCTTTCCTTCCTTCTTTCTTTCATTCGTTATTTCTGTTTGTTTTTGCTTCCTTGCTTGCTTTTGCCTCTTGGGATATATATTTTTTTTTTTTTTTTTTTTTTTTTTTTTGGAGAGTGCCTAATTTCCCCCACCCCGTTCACACACAGCATAAACAAAATGGGTGACAATTTCATTTTCCAACTTTTATAAATTAGATTATTTTTACTTCACCCTTATGAATTATTCCTGAATTGTGAAATTATTTTTTTTTATTTTAAGTCCAGATTGACTTTTACCTAAAGTACACGCCCCATTTAGTCGTGTACATTTTTTTATTTCTCTTTTTTTTTTTTCTCATTTTTTCACAATGTGTAATTTTATATGTCCCTTGTACCCCCGCCCTCCCTAGTTTTACTACTCATTTTGCTCATTTTCTTAGTCCTTTGGAAAAATAAAACACATACACATAATACATTACAACACAATACATTACAACACAATACATTGCAACACAATACATTGCAAAACAAAACGAATGAAAATAAATACTATAAGGGAAAATGTTGCTCTATGCCTTTACTCTTTTTATTTCGATTATAGGCACTTGGATATATCTAAAAATTGTGGAAAATAGAAAAAAAAAAAAAAATTATTTATTATTAGAAAAGGATGACTTAGCTAGCATAAACAAGCAAGACGAAAAAAACTGTGATTCTGTGTCAAGTGAAAAAAAAAATATATTTAAAAGAAAATTTGTCAAAATGGAAAATAGTATACCGTTTTATGATCACCCCCATGGCAGCTGCTTAGATGTGGCCTCAAGGAATCATGGAACGGATTCTATCAAACTGGTTACTAGTGAAAAGAAAATCAATTCAGACACATTAGCAGGGATGACATTTGAAGTAGATAGTACCCTCCATATGTCTAGTAACCATGTGGATGAACAGACAAAACGGGAATCCCCAATTGGATTAGAATTCGATTCTCCACCAGGAGAGTCACTCGAAGAAACACCCAAAATGAGGATAGAAGAATCCACGGAAAAAAATCTCCTAATGGATGAGAGTCAAACTGAAGAAACTAGAGCTGATGAAAGTTCACTTGAAAGAATTGCACATTACAGCGAAAAAGAGAAATTTCAGATGACAGAAGAAAATGTCAGCTACAATTCATGTAGTCTTATAAATGCAAGTTCTGAAAATGTTAAGAACGGGTCCAATGATAGGGAAGTAGTACAAGATGTAGAAGAAGGAGATATTAGACAAAAGGAAAATAATACATTTAACAAAATGACCTCGTACACATGTGGAATGAAGTATATGGAGGAAGAAGTAAAACAAAGTGAATCCCATGTTGAAAAAAATATGAACAATAAGGTGGATAATCACAAAACCAAGACTAATCAGTTAGATGATGTGAGTAAGTCAAGTTACTTATTCATAAAGGAGAAAAAGAGTAATACAAAGGGAGAAAGCACAAATGAAAAAGTAGATAAGGAAGAAATGAACACACACTTGAGAAATTATTATAGTGATAATTGCTTAACCAAGGAAGATAATCAGAATTCTAGTTCGTATTTAAGTTCATCTAGAGAAGCTGATAACTCTGAGAATACTAGCTATAATGATTATGAATCCGGTAGAAGTGATGATTCTGCAAGTGGAAGAAGTTCATCTGTTATGAGCGATAACAGTCCCAGTAGCAAGCTGGGCGATGATGATGATGATGAGGTGGATGATGATGAGATGGATGATGATGAGATGGATGATGATGAGGTGGATGATGATGAGATGGATGATGATGAGATGGATGATGATGACGTGGATGATGATGATGAGGAAGACAATAACGGCTACCGTGATGGTGGTACATTTTACCGGGAAAGGAAAGGCTCTATGATGAATTCTGAAATAAAAAACAAAAGCGTTGAGGAAATAAAGGAATCAGGAAATGAATACTTTAAAAAAGGGGAATATACGAAGGCCATATTTTACTATAATAATGCTTTAAAAAAATGTAAAGAAAAGAATATAAAATCGATACTGTATTCTAATAGGGCGGCGTGCAATTTGTGTCTAAAAAAGTGGAATGAGGTGGTTGAAGATTGCAATAAATCAATTAATTGTAATGAGAATTATGTGAAATCCTACATACGTAGAAGCAATGCTTACGAACAACTGGAAAAATACAATAATGCATCTAACGATTTAAATAAAGCTATATCTATGGATTCTTCTTTACTAGCGAATTATGAAATGAAACAAAAAAAATTAAAGATCCTAGCGGAACAACAATTAAACAAAGAAAAGGAAGAAATGGTGGGAAAATTAAAAGACTTTGGAAATTTACTATTAGGAAAAGTTGGTTTATCACTTGATAATTTTGAAGTGCAAAAAAATCCAAACAATGATGGTTCTTTTAATATTCAGTTTAAGCAAAATAAGTAAAGGAATGAAATGAATATTTCTCCCTTTCTTTTTTTTTTTTTTTTTTTATATGTGCTTTTTTATCTTTTTCCGTTCATTTCTGCACTTGTCTTTTTGTTTCGTAGATGGTTTGGCGTATATGCCTTTTATTTATTTTTACTAATTTTTACATATTTTTACATATTTTTACGTATTTTTATTTATATATTTTTTTTTTTTTTCGGCCGCATCATTGCGTGTCTGATCATTGTGCAAATACCCATTTGGAGGAAAAGTCCTCTTTGTCCATTCATATAAACCTCGCTTTTTGCATTATTGTATTTAATTTTTTTTTTTTTTTTTTTTTTTTTTTTTTGTTAATTTTTTTTATCTATCTTTACACGTACACGTAGTTAATCATTTACATCCAAACTAATCGTAAAAAACAAAAACAAATTAAAAACAGGCACAATAGTTATGAACACTAATGTTTGATGCATTTATAAGGGCCATTCAAATGATAAGGGAAAATAATTTTTACCACAAATATATTTGTGAGTAATTAAAAATTGAATAAAAGGAAAGAGATAAAATTAAATGAAATCACAAAAAATAATTCATATAGAATTAAGCAAACATATGTAATGTTCTAATGCTACATGAATATGAATATTCGTTGCCCGTGTCTTAAAAGAAAAAAAAAAAAAAAAAAAAAAAAAAAGAGTGAGAGAGAAAGATGGAGGGATGAAAACCAACACGCAATCATAGATTGATTATATGTCTTATACATGCATATATTAATACTCTTGCATGAACGGATGGAGGTGATAATTCAGGTGGTACACAATAAAAATAAAAAAAAAAAAAAAAAAAACACATATTCTTCACTATATATCTTGTTAACTTTACCCATTTGTTACTCGAAAAGATCCCTTTCTTCTTTCTCTCATTACAACTGGTAAAAAAAAGAAAAAAAAGGGTTGGGAAAATGGGTATACATGGAATTAAAGAACATGTACAATGTAACCCATACACGTGTGACAAAAAAAAAAAAAAAATAATAAAAAAAATAATAAAAAAAATAATAAAAAAAATAATAAAAAAAATAATAAAAATAAATGAATAAAAATAAATAAATAGTAATTTAAAAGGTATATGTAAAAATGATGGGGAAAAGGGGATAAAACAAATTGTGCGAAATAATGCAAAAAGATAATGGGAGAGAAGCAAATTCTTCCCCAAATAATTAAAGTTTGCGAGAAAAAAAAAAAAAAAAATTGACGACTTATCCAAAATGTGTAATTTTTCACCTTCTTCTATATCTATACAAATAAAGTGGCAAGAAAAATAAGAGACAAATTTATGGGATGGAATAAGCGTTGAACAATTGGATGATCTTTTTTTTTTTTTTTTTTTTTTTTGAAAACACTAGGAATACATCCTAATCAGATAATTCAAAACATTTTTAACACTAAACCCATCAATTGCATCAAAAACTCGATCGCTAATAAATTTTTCTTTTATCATATTGTTAATAATAGGTGATGTAATTTTTGTAAAACCAATACCACCCATTCTGCAATTTTTACAATTTGCCTCAGGTGGGAAGACAATATCTTTATTAAGGAATTTTTTTTTCATTTCGATTTCTACTTTATTATCTGCTTCCTTTCCAGATTGAACTTCTTGAATTTGAGCTTCCTGAACTATCGATTCATACATGGACCTCAGGGTAACAGAATTGTGTATTCTCCATAGAAAAATAACAAACGATTCTGCTGAATGGATGTTGCAAAAGCCATAGTAACATGATTTTTGTGCATTTACAAAATGTTCGATGCAATTTTCGCAGTTTAAGTAATTTTTCGTGTAATTCGTTATGGCCTTCAGGTAAAAATTATATCTTTCTTTGTCATGAACAAGGCAGTGCACTGATATCTTGTGATATAGTAACCAATAGGAGCACAGAATGGAGTTCTCTTCGCACACTTTGAATTGGGGATTCTCCCACGGTTTGCATTCGTTAGTATGTTCCCTTGGTGGTTGTTCTTGTTCTTGTGGCTCTTCATGCGGGTTTCCATTTTCCAGATCATTCTTATCTCTCACGAGGAGAGCTCTAACACTGGGATTAGTCTCGCTAGCACAGTCATCGTTAGCAGTGTTTACAATGCTTGACCACTGTTGATATGTTAAGGGATAGACCTGCGAATTGACCTTTTGATAAATTCTCTCTGACCATTCGGATAGTTCTGGGTACATATCTGAAACAATCTGAATAATAACAAGAAAAGGTTCAACAGTTGACCTATCAACATCTAACCCTAAAGATATGTGCTTCTTTAAAGTAAACAATATTCCCTTTATAATATCATGCTTTATGTCATCGTTACTAATATTGTTTTGTGCCCATCTCTGAACTGCATATTGGTTAGATCTAGCAACGATTCCTCCTTCATCCATGGAAGGATTAATAGTATATATAAAAATATTATATTCAGGATTATATTCTACTGTAGGTAAGTCTACATAACAAGACTTCAAATCAATATGGTTAAAATTAACATTTTTACATAAATAAGTTTGTATCATTCTTTGAAATTGTTCCACGTTATTTACTCTATCAACTTCTGTATATGCTAGTAACAAATCATTTTCATAAATTGTATTTGCTATTTGTGTTTTTGGTGTTATATACTTGTACTCAAATTTATTTTTCTCCATATAATCATATACTGGATATAATAACCGAAAGGTAGGAAAATAACGAACATTAAAAAATCTGCAGTATGATACAAATAAGTGACATGAACAATCGAAAGCAAACATACTAACATGCTTTTCATAATTTGAAATTTCCTTTTCCAAATTTTCCCAAATGTCCATATATCTGGAACATGCAGGGCAGTAATAATTTTTTATACTTATTAGTATAGCATCCCCATGTTTTGCATTATTTATCGTAACCCCAAATTTTTTCAAAGTTTCTTCAGCTCCTTTACAAACATCTTCACTTCGCGAGAATTGTATCCTTGTCATAACAATATTATAAGTGAGGATCAGAATTTTAAATATAGACCTGGAAAGTCGCACCATCCTTCCCGTGCGTATAAGAGCAATGTTTTTCCAATACCAATTTTGGTGATTTGGATCATCTGTCTAGCTATCTAATAAGAATGCTGGGAACACACTAGGATATGAAGCTGTCAGGGGACCCTTGACTAGAAATCTTTTTGTTAACTTGTAACTTCGTTTATTTTATGCTATATTCGATATCTTCAAACTGACAGCCCTGATTTGCAAAGGTGGCCCATTTTATTTAATTCTATTCCGCTTACTTCTGCTTAGTTTTATTCCGCTTACTTCTGCTTAGTTTTATTCCGCTTACTTCTGCTTAGTTTTATTCCGCTTACTTCTGCTTAGTTTTATTCCGCTTACTTCTGCTTAGTTTTATTCCGCTTACTTCTGCTTAGTTTTATTCCGCTTACTTCTGCTTAGTTTTATTCCGCTTAATTCTGCTTAGTTTTATTCCGCTTAATTCTGCTTAGTTTTATTCCGCTTAATTCTGCTTAGTTTTATTCTGTTTAATTCTATTCTGTTTAATTCTATTCTGTTTAATTTTTTTTTTTTTTTTTTTTTTTTTTTCTTCCCGTTTCCTTTGCGATGGAATAAGATGGACTAAAATTGTTTAGTCGGCGTGAGCTATTTTCTTTTTGTTATTCAACTGGAATATAAATTGAATGCAATTTTTTTTTGGTGCAAACTCGGGTACAATTGGGGATACAGGTAAAGACACAGAGTAACAGAGGAATCGAATGAATGTTCAGGAGATGTAAATATCTTTTATGAGTAAACCTTAAATACGCACAATTATGCTAAAGAAGGAATATTTCTATTTCCTCCAATGTTCGTTTATCAGAAAAAGTATAGTAATAGAAGGTCCACTTTTTTCCTATTTATCTATCTGCATTACTATTATATAGAAGCGCAATGTAAATTGGGAAAGGAAAAAAAAAAAAAAAAAAAAAATCTCCACTTGATCAAAAGGGTCATGTAGGAAATATGAGAACTGTTATATCTGTGTAACTTGAGAAATAGTCAAAAAAAAAAAATAAAAAAAATACTCCTTTTATTTAAATTCTTCGAACAGACATAAACTGAGGTACGTCCTAGAACTGTCGTGTGCGCATATGGTCATATCTACGTATGCATGTATTTATATATATACATATTTCCACAAGTAGATATGGACATGCACACTTGGGTAGTAGTATATATATATATATATATATATGTGTGTGTGTGTATACTTAGATTGCCAAATGTAGTGCATGCGTGGTGAAGACCTGCTGATTAATGTAAGGTAAGGGGAAATTAAAAAAACTTGAGCGGAACCAATAATATAACGCTATTTTCTTGTTAATAACATTATATTCAAAAAAAGAAAAAAAAAAAAAATAATAATAAAATAAAAAAATAAAATATATTGCCCCTAGTCTTCCTATTAAATTATAGTTTTTTATTTTTTCTTTTAGAAAGTTGGTAAAAGTGAAGTCACAGAATGTTTTAAATTTTCCTTGAACTTTTACATATACAAGTACATGCATATTATATATGTACATTTTTTTTTTTTTTTTTTTTTTTTTTTTTTGACAATCTGCTAATGATTACAATAGGAATTTGTTTCAAATCCGCTTAGCAACAATTTAAGTGGTTTAAAAAAAAAAAAAAAAAATTCATATATCCGTTTTAGAGGAATCCTTAAATGGTTCGACAAAAAAAAAAAAAAAAAAAATGTACATATATATGTATTTGCATATACATATGCATACCTACAATTCATACGTACATTCATAATTATATTGTATTGATGTTTATATTTTTTATTTACTGCCACGTTTAAGCTGTGTATACTACCCATAGGGCTTGTGTTAATGTGAAAAAAAAAAAAAAATAAATAAATAAAATGATCTTTGTGATGGATGTTTATATGTAACCAATCTACCCTACTGCAAAGAAATAAACAAACATGGTTATGGCTTGTCATAAACACTTAAAACAAGTCACATTTTTTTATATGCATATTATGTATATTCCCTTACCACCAAAAGTGCACTATATACATCCCCATTGTAAAAAAGGCATACCTCAGCCAGTTTGGCATCCACATATTTGTTTTACATTTCTTATCACATACACATTTTTCTATTCACCCTTTTTGTTGGCCAATTTATCAAGTTCCACTATGCTGCACCTATACCTGCCGATAGATGCTGTGTTTATAATGCCACCATTTATCATATCTTAAAAATTAAGTTATGGTCATATGCTTCCACTGTCTCATTTTTTAAACGCAGAGAAATTATCTACCTATTTTTCACACATACGTAAATTTAAAGGATACTACTTCAAGAAGAAAAAAGATAAAATAGAGTAGCGTAAGAGATGCAGTGTGAATAGAGCACCAGAAGAAGCACAAGAAAAGCAGAGCACCAGAAGAAGCACAAGAAAAGCAGAGCACCGGAAGAAGCATAACACAAGTAGAGCACCGGAAGAAGCATAACACAAGTAGAGCACCTGACGAAACAGAATCCAGAGAGTACTAGAGGGGAAGAGTGTATAAAGCCATACTGAAAAAATACGAAAAAATTGGAGAGAAAGAAAACGATTTTTATGATTCTGTACACCATGTCAAGTATAAACAAATCGAAAGGCAAAGAAGAAGAAGAAGATATAGTGGACAAGCTGAACTACAAAAATTTAAATGATGTAATGTTACACGAATTGAATTGTCTTAAACCTAAACGACAAGTATACATAAAAAAGGGTGGAACATTCTTTTTAAGTTCCAGAGAAGAAGCTCTGTCCGTTTTGAAAATCAGGAGTCAAAAGCAAAATCAACCAAAGGATAGCAATCATCGAAGTATGAAAGACATTTAAAAGTGGCTTGAACTTTTACTCTTTATCTTTCTCTCTGCTCGTTCCTGTGTATGGAACTTCCCAACCCTTGTGGTAGCCACCTCTATACACAGTAACACCGTCGAAAAAAAAAAAAAAAAAAAAAAAAAAAAAAAAAACACATACACATACACATATGTACGTGCATACATAGGTACATGAGTACTTACATGAATACATATTTATAAACAAGCTTTTTCTATTTGGTCATGTCCACGGACACGTGTGTGCACCCGCACTCAGGAATAAACAAAATAATTTTAACATTATGAAGAAAAATAAGAATTAAAGAGTTAATCCTTGCAAAAAAAATAAAATAAAAAAAAATAATAAGTCTCTCCTAAGCATATACGCACGCTTGTATGAAAACATTAACGTATATAATTTTTTTGACTTATGCATTTTTAAATGTACTTTTTAACTTGACATGCAAAAATAAAGGTCTTAAAAATGAGTGTAAGTTAAATAGACTAAAATGTTTTTCAAGTGCAAAAAAAAAACATTACAAACGGAAAGTGGTACCAAATGGGTTTAGCAAGATAAATAGAAAGGACCTATGGGGGACACATTCCATGTGCGAAAAAAAAGGGACCTCGAGGATTTGTTTCTTGAATCAGTTGAAGAAAAATTACCCTAAGGTGATAAGAAGATGTTACTATGATAAGAACCAGGAACGGAAGAAACACCGTCTCTATAAGGCAATTTTGCAGGTCAAGAGGACTCCGCTCTACTGGTCATCTGGGGATTCCCACGCAGGAAGACACGTGGGCAGAGACACAGACAGACACAGTAACTTCCATCCGAAGTGTCTGGCGAACCACTTCAGCGATTACCCCGGATTCAGCTTCTCAGTGCTGAAAGAGTACCAAGAAAAAAAGAACCATGGTAGAATTGGAATTATAAAAACCCCGAGAGGAGAAATAGAAACCCCGAATTTTTTGTTCTGTGCTACAAAAGGGTGCATGAAATCTACACCAATAGGATTTATAAAGAATTCTAGAACCCAAGTTATTTTAGCAAACACTTTCCATTTACTAATTCATCCCAAGCCTCATATCATTTTTCAGCTAGGTGGATTGCACAAATTTATGAATTGGGATGGTCCTATTTTGACAGACTCTGGGGGATACCAACTATTCAGCATGGCCTTTGGTTCTGTTTCGGACGAGATCAAAAGGAAATCCACTTGTACACGGGAAAAAACACCCAGGGTGGGGAAAAACGTGAGTGGAGTTGACAAAGTTGATAAAGTTGATAAAGTTGACAAAGTTGACAAAGTTGATAAAGTTGACAAAGTTGACAAAGTTGATAAAGTTGATAAAGTTGACAAAGTTGACAAAGTTGATAAAGTTGACAAAGTTGACAAAGTTGACAAAGTTGATAAAGTTGATAAAGTTGACAAAGTTGATAAAGTTACCGATGCTGACAAAGTTAAAGCAGTAGAAAAGGTAGAAGGCGTGGTAAGCGCGGACGAGGCAGATAGAGGGGTCCCTCCGAAGTGCAGCAAAGTCATTTTAAAAATAAATGAACAGGGAGCATTGTATAAATCATACTATGACGGATCAGTTGACATGCTGACACCTGAAAGTTCGATACAAGCACAATATCTTCTAGGTAGTGATTTTGCAGTTGTGCTAGACGAATGTACACCATATCATATAGCAAGAGAATACACTGAGCGATCAATGCATAGATCACATAGGTGGTATATTAGATGTCTGCTAGAATTTCACAAAGCTATGAATATGCCAAATTATCATGCTTATCTAAATGATTTATACAATAAGAAATATAAAACTAAATACAAATGGGATGAAAGAAATAGCAATAAACAAGCTTTGTATGGAATAATACAAGGAGGTATATACAGAGATTTGAGAAAAAAGAGTTGCCATGTAGTTTGCAATATGCCATTCTTTGGTTTATGTATTGGTGGATGCCTAGGAAAAGATAAGAAAATGATGTATAATGTTATAGAAAAAACTATGGATTTTGTTAGACATGAGATACATTCATCATCTCGTGAAAAAATAGACAATGAGGAAAGAACAATATATCTGAATAGAAATGATAGCAATACATTTTCAAATGAAAGTTATGTTAAACGAAAACCTGTACACCTCTTGGGTATAGGACAAATTAAGGATATTTTTTTTGGAGTGCGACAAGGAATTGATACTTTTGATTGTGTGATTCCAACGAGGTTAGGAAGACATGGATATTTTTTATGTAAAGTTGATACTATTAAAAGTATAGAAAAAAAATTATGTAGATTTATTAAAACTGAATATGTGAAAATAAAATTACAAATTTTTAAGTTAGATAATACTCCTTTAGAAAAGAATTGCCCATGTTACACTTGTTTGAATCACACGAGGGCGTATTTACATCATCTTTACAAAATTAATGATAATTTATTGGGAACTTTACTGACCATACATAATGTCTATTATATGAATCGATTAATGCAGGACGTTCGCTGGGGAATAATGCATGATCTTTTGGACAAGGTTGAGGCACAGTGGGTTCGATAGCATATGCCATTCGCCTCTTAACTATACTTTTTCACACAATTAGGGAAGTGTAGAAGTGGAGCAGAAGTAGTGCAGAAGTAGTGCAGAAGTAGTGCAGAAGTAAAGCAGAAGAGACGTTGCCATATAGCGAAGTAGACAAGCATACATATGGCTCGCTCGCGTGGGAAGAACAAACAAATCCTTATCGATGTTAACACATTTTATACTTGGAAGGTTGGTGGTCTCACTAGGGGTTCGTATCGTCACTGTTGCATATGATGTCTATTTTTTCCCTTATCGGTATGTTTATATTTTTATTATCATTGCATGTTTATAGTGCTACACAATTGTTAGATTAAGAGGTCCCTTTTTTTTTTTTTTTTTTTTCCCCCTCTTAAATGATCTTTCTTCGATATGCATATTTGAAGAAAATGGAAAAAAAAAAACCAAAAAATTTGCAAAGTGTTTGTTTTTATTAATTAGTCTAAATGGATAACAAAGTGTTTTTTTTTTTTTTTTTTTTTAATTTTTTATACATATAAAAAAAGGAGAGAGAAAAAAAAAAAAAAAAAAAAATTTAAGAATAAAAAATGCATCAATATGCATTTTAATAACGGAGTACATGTAAAGAAAATTCAGAAACGAAAAAGAACATAATGCAGCAAAAAAAGAAAAAAAAAAAAAATATATATATATATATATATATCACATAAAAATCTTACTTAATTTAATAAATGTTCAGAGAATTTAAGGCTGTATAAGATACTGCATAGAGCCAATCAAGACAAAAATAGGACGTTAGAAGGGGTAGAAAGTTTTAGAGTTGAAATATGATTATGCAAATTTTTTAAGAAAAAAAGAAAAAATAGAAAAAAAAAAAAAAAAACTTCACGCACATATATGTACACATCCATGCACACACGTGTGTATGGTATTAATGCGTTTCTTATCCCTAGACCTCTTCATAATTCGAATCCTTGGTTGTTTTTCCCTTCCCAAAGAATTTCTTCTTCAATTTCCATTTTTTGTTGTCCTCAATATTTCCCTTATTGTTTCTCGATTTTGGATCTACGATTAATGAATGCAAGGGAGCGGGGGAGGAAAATGTGAAAAAATGAGCCATATGTATTTTCACACATGCAAAAATGCAAACACTCGCTGTGTAGAAGTGGACATGTGTATTTGTACAATTTTACACTGCAAAAGGAATATTACTCCTGCTTGGACACATTTCAAAATAAAAACTTACTTAGGCTATCGAGGAGACTGTTGTTCATTCTTACCCCGTCAAAAATGCTCTGCGCGAGGTGCATAAGAAGAAAATAAAACGAAGTTGAAGAAAATAAAACGAAGTTGAAGAAAATAAAACAAAGTTGAAGAAAATAAAACAAAGTTGAAGAAAATAAAACAAAGTTGAAGAAAATAAAACAAAGTTGAAGAAAATATAACAAATTTGAAGAAAATAATACAAAGTTGAAGAAAATAAAACAAAGTTGAAGAAAATAAAACAAGGTAAAACAAAATAGTGTTAAGATTTTAAAGATATCTATTTTCTACGTATAGCCCCATTTATCGAACTTGCAACTTTTTCCATTTTGGCATTTCCATTAGATTCTCACCTGAGTTGCCTTCCAGCATAAAGCAGTGTTCGTCCACGTTATGATTCCATAAATTATCATTAGTGAAAGGTCCGCTGTAGCGTACGTAAAAATGCTGCATTGAAGGGGTGATACACGTAAATCAAATTAAATGACAAATTAAATGACAAATAAAGTGACGAGTAAAGTGAAGAGTAAAGTGACGAGTAAAGTGAAGAGTAAAGTGACGAGTAACGTGACGAGTAACGTGACGAATGAAGTAACGAATAAAACGAACAAATAACAATTTCACAATGGAAAAAAAAAAAAAAAAAAAAAAAAAGACTTCTCGCGTTTTAACACCATTGTCAGAAAATAATACCCTTCGATAATTATGTAAATGGAAATTATGCTAGAAACCAAAAGCATCCAATTGTAGAATCTCTAAAAAATGTGAAAACAAGGAATAATTTATTTTCTAAGTTGTTTATTGTACAATGTGTATCTCAGTATTAATTCCGGTTTCTTAAATACATCTCTAAGAATTTTTTTTTTTTTTTTTTTTTGTTCTATGTGCCTCTTCTCCACAGTACCAGTAGGGAGGGTATGTACGATTTGCCTAAATGTGGAAAGACGAGAAAAAAAAAAAAAATATATATGCATATATATATATATATAGGTATATATATCCATACAGAACTGCAACACGTGTGCAGAATCGTAAAGATTAAGTGCGAATGTCTATTATAAATTGTCTTTGTCTGTTTTGTCTAAAGTAGCAAAGCTGCATTCTTCTGTTGACACTCGTTCTATTCTTTTCTTTTTTCTCTTTTTTTTTTTTATTTTTTTATTTCTTACCAATGAATGCAACTATGGGAAAGACACAAAAATAGAGGTTTGTAAAAAAAAGCCACCTGAAAAAAAAAAAAAAAATCCGGGGTATTATATTTACAAAAATATAAGAAGACGTGTAAAAGTAATTACAAGCAATGGAAAATACGTTCTGTATGTTCATGAAAATACAAACAACTGAGTGCAAAAAAAGGGAAAAAAAAAAAATACAAAAGAAAATCGATTTAATAGAAGAAATTACCCATAGAAAGATAATGGGGTTGAAAAGAAGCTATAGATAAGTAATATTAAAACAAAAAAAGTATAAAAAGTTACAAAAAATATATATTTTCTACAAAAAGCTTTTGTTTTGTCGTCAGGCTGGTAGTGTTCCAGCCTATTTCGAATATGATCCATTTTCGGTTTTGTTATAAATAAACTTTTGAAATGCCAAAAAAAAAAAAAAAAAAAAAAAACAAAAAAAAAAAAGAGACGCAAAAAAAAAAAAAAAAAATGCTACCGAATTAACATTTACATTAATTCTAACATATTTCATGGAAGAAATCAAACTCTAATATTTTGTACCAACAAAAACCTCGCTTGTTATTTGTGACAAATGTACAATATGGGGTAAATACAGAGTACTGTTGAGTATGCATGCGTAATACATACATGTATATACATAAACACAAGTATGCATATATATACATTCTTATATATAGATATGTTTATTTGTTTATATTCGTAGGGTGTTTAATTAAGTTCAATAGTTTTTTTTTTTTTTTTTTTTCTCTTTTTCGTTTTCTTCTCTCTGTCGCTTTCCTCTTTCTTGTTCCCTTTTTTGCCTCCCACTTTCTGGGTAATTTTACAATTTTTAAAATTTAACTTAGAATCAAAAACATAGCTATGGATTGGTTAATATTTTTCCAGAAAATCTATAACAAAATTATACAACGGAGAAAAAGAAGAAAATAATTTTCTCTCTCTGAAGGAAAACTTCTACTATAATTACTATATGCAAAAAATTAATACATATACATAAATATGCAGATAGGGAAATGTATATAATATTAGATTGTATTTAATAATGTGACGACTAATAGCAATATTTTATCTAAACAGTAAAAATACCAGCATGGGTCTGGTCATTTACGAAGAAAGAGAACCCAAACGTATAAGTGCATAAATAGAAACAGCTATGTTTTTCTCCGTTTTTAATATTACCCATTGCAGCCCGTTCTGATTGTTAATGTTGATTAAAAAAAAAAAAAAAAAAGGCACAATATGTATAATATATATATATATGTATATCTTCGAAATTTTCTCTTCACGAGCTAACATTATGTATATGTATTACAAATTTATAGAAGATGTTAAAAAGGAAAAAAAATTCGCAATTCCTTTTTTTTATGCCGATACAAAAGTTATTTGTCCTTTTAGCATCTTTAAATTAAGGTGAAATGCTTTTCAAATAGTTTAGAAAAATAAAAGCAAATATTTTTTAATGATCTTAAATGATTTTAGTGATTTCAATGATTTTGTTTTGTTTTTTTTGTTTTTTAGTTTTTTTTGTTTTTTTGTTTTTTTGTTTTTTTGTTTTTTTGTTTTTTTGTTTTTTTGATTTTTTGATTTTTTGACTTTTTGATTTTTTGACTTTTTGATTTTTTGACTTTTTGACTTTTTGTTTTTTGTTTTTTATTTTTTTATTTTTTTATTTTTATGATTTTTTTTTTTTTTCTCTCCTAGACATGTTTTGTGTGCACGAAAACATTTTGAAAATTCTATAAGACTTTCTAACTCGTCTATGCACATCATTGGTCATTTCTGTTTATGGAAAGAACCTGTGAAAATAAAGACCACACTTTTTTTTTTTTTTTTTAAATTATCCTGGAAAATAAAGCATTATATGTACATGCATATTTTTTAAAAGAAATGCAAAGTACAACTGGCAAAGCGGTGTGAAAAAGAAATGACAAATGAGTGACAAACTAAATGACCCAAACCAAAATTTGGAAAACCTATTTGAAAAAAAGAAATAATACGAAAAGGAGAATATTTTCTCGCATGACAAAGTGAAATACTTCTTTTTTTTTTTTTTTTTTTTTTTTTTTTTTTTATTTTTTGATTTTTTGATTTTTTGTCTTTTTGATTTTTTGACTTTTTGACTTTTTGTTTTTTGTTTTTTATTTTTTTATTTTTTTATTTTTATGATTTTTTTTTTTTTTCTCTCCTAGACATGTTTTGTGTGCACGAAAACATTTTGAAAATTCTATAAGACTTTCTAACTCGTCTATGCACATCATTGGTCATTTCTGTTTATGGAAAGAACCTGTGAAAATAAAGACCACACATTTGTATACGTATTATAAATATATCTACCTAAACGCATGTTCATATGCATGTACATATATATACATATATATATATACATATATATATATATATATATACATATGTGTATACATGGAGTGTGACCAATTATGTGACAATGCGTTCGTCCAGTGAGCCCCAATTTATATGAACAGAGGGAAAATTATTTCTATTAATGTAAATGAAGCTTAAAGAAAATATAATAATTTGTGAGTTCCATAGAAAAAGGTGTGCTAAACAAAGTGTCAGATAAAGACAAAGTAATTAGTAAGTTCTGTGGGCATTAAAAAACAGTCGAGTGGAAAAAAAAAAAAAAAAAAAAAATTCGAGTAGACAAAATAATTACCATTTGATTGTATAATAATTACCAGTTCATTGCAAAACAATTCCTAGTTAACCCCATAATTGGCATTAATGAATAAAAATAAGCCAAAAAGCAAAAACAAAAAAGGCCTCAAAGATAAGGGCAATAAGTGGAAGAACTTGTCAAATGAAGAACTTGTAAATTTAATTAAAATCCAAAAGGAGGAATACACTAGAACAGTTCAAAAAAAACACCTGCTGGAAAGGAGATTGGTTAGCTAGCTAGCTAATTAGCTGAAGATTAAAAAAAAAAAAAAAAAAAAAAAAAAAATTCAAATGTATTGTGCTAATTTGTCAATGCGCTAATGTGTATGGATGAAAAAAAAAAGTGTTAGAAAAGCCACAAGCGGAACAGCAGCATAGCAACCGTTTCATGTTGCCCTTTTCACCTTTTCAAAGGACGAAAAAAAAAATGAACTCGAGTGTTTCAAAAAAGAGTACAATGAATTGAAAAGCAAAGTATATTTCATCAGTGAAGGATGCGAAAAATATGATGAAAAGCACAAGGAGGAACAAAAAATAATTAAAAACAAATCAGTTTTTTATAATTTTCAAAATGCAGAAGAACTGAAAAAGCTGGATAAGGAAAAAGAAGATATAAAAAGTATGATTAATCAGAAGCATGAGCAAGCCATGAATAATGTGGTGAGCTTCTTAGAAGACGAGAGACAGAACTTAGATCATGTGAAAAACAGAAATTTTCAAGATATAGATGAACTCAACACCTCCTTCAATTTGGTAAGGATAAGACGTGACACTTATTCTTGCGTCGTTAACATATCGATATGTGTGTTTGTATTTGTACACATAGGGGAGTTGCTAGTTGGGGAACTTATTAGCCATTTAGCTAGTCCGGGGGCGAATGTGCAAATGGGCTTGTCCAATTACGTGCCTCTGTCTAGGTTCCAATAGACGTACTCCCATGCTTGCATATATGTATATATATATATATATATATATATGTATACATATATATATACATATGCGAAATGATGCGTCCGAGGAAATTCCCCCCAACCGATGAAATACATCCCCACAGTAATAAAAAAATGACGTGGTGATTGCTCCACCGTCTTCTGAATAGTAAGAGTAGTAAATGGTCGTATTCTGTGCTTTACATGACAGGAACAGATAAGGCATTCGTAATTATAGCATAGTCCAGTTCACTATCGAACTGTTCACGTGCATGACTCGTACTTATACATTACCCTCGCAGAAATTAGACAGCATGGAAAAACTATTCACAAAATATTTGGAAGAGTATGAACATGACATGAAAGATGAAATGAATGAAATGATTGATAATTATAACTTAATAGAAAGAAATGAAATAATTTACTTAAACAATTTATATAATGATCACATTAACAATATTAACGAGATTCATATTAATATGTTTCAAAGCTATAAAGAATATTATATTGAACAAATCCGAGAAAATATAAGTAAAATAAAATCACTAAAAATGAATATTAACGAGTTAGAGGAATGTGATAAGGAAATAAAAACCGAACTGAATATTCATAGTAATCAGAGCTCAGACATTATGGAGAAAATAAGAATCTTAGAGGCTAAGAGGTAAAATAGTGGGGTTCAAGAAAAAAAAAAAAAAAAAAAATAGGGAACATATGCAAAACTTGAGAACTTTGTCATTCAGACATGCCTTCCG